TGGATCGCCGCGCCACGTGGATCCTCAGCGAATTCCTCATCGCGCGCGCTGCGCTTGCGCCAAGAAGCGCGCCGCGATGCAGACACAAGAAGCGGACACGAACGTTCGTTCAGTAGCGTCGTCGCGCGTCACGTTGCAGATCGGCCTTATCCTCGTCGCCTAGCCTCGTCGTGCACACTTTCTTATCAATCTCCCTGGAGAAAAGTTCAAAGCTGCGTGTTTTCGACGACGTCAAATTTGCGACGCGACGGACACGGGAGGATACGTGCTTCGCGCGCGCGGTGTTTCGCGGTGATCGCTTCAACGATCCTTGCACACACTATCGGGATTTAAGCTCGCCAAAATTATGCCAGCTCAAATTTTTACTCATCGCACGAAAATCCCTTGTCGTCGAGTCGGCGGGCCGTGTGCCGAGTGACGATCGCTCCTCCCAGAGACAGTTAATAATTCGTTTTCGTTTATAGTGAGTTGTAACATACATCGATGGGATCGGTCGGTGTATGGATTTAATTGATCACAATAGGGAGATGAAAATGAAGATAAAAGCTGAGGATTATTACGCCAAACGGAGCGCCGAATATTTCGGTAATTATCTTTTGGAAATTAACTCACGCATTCCCCAATCGTAACAACAATAAAATAAATTACTCGGCTATACGAGTTATACGATGAAACGATATTGCAAGAACTTTGCCCCAAATAAATTTTGCAATGTTCGGAAGAACGTAGGTCAAATTTTATAATTGTAATAATTACTGTCGCGACAATACACTATTGTAATAATTCTGATTAAAATTACACTTAATGTAATAGTAACTGTAGCAATATAATTTTCTGAAATGCGATCGAGCATGTCACGCGAGAAATAATATTTATTTCACAGGGGAAAACAACTCCATTAAAGGTAACTAAATTTCGACTGGGATCCAAATGAAAACTCGGCGGTAGAATTTACAAACGAATGTGTTCAGTCACGATAACAGAGATATCATTTCTCGCTGACGAGTTTTTATTTTGTCCCCATTCAGTTACATATACACGGAAAAAAATCTCGATCCGTATGACTAAAACGGGACCAAATAAAAAACTCGTTGACGAGAAATAATATCTCTGTTATCGCGAGCGGGCACATATAGCTGTACTAAAAACCTCGATAGAGATAACCGAGAGTAGAGTTGATTCAGTAGGAACCTTCTGCATCTTTTTGTTCCCATAGTCAAATTTTCGTCCAAGCCCCGGGCAGCAGAGAACTCAGTTACTCTGACTCGGTTGTTCCGTATACTAAAATTTTCTTCGCATATATTAATAACAAGCAGAATGACAGGTGAAAGCGACAGAAATAAAACGACATAAAATAAAAAAAAAAAAATATAGGACGTTACTTATTGCCCTGCGAATTTGTCATACGTCTTTCGCGAATTCCTCACGAAGACGTCAGCTATCATTCCGATGCACCCGGTGCAGGATACGCGATATGTTAATCAAATGCAAAACCGGCCGCACGACTCGAATACGAATGAAGTTGAGGTGCCGTCATATTGACGCAAACTATCCTCCGTACCCGCCAATTCTATAAGCAGAAACAAACTTATCGCGTCTTAAATTGCAATAACTCGATCACACTTAATGACTTACTTCCCAGCAGCGTGGTATTCGTGCCGACAACATAAAGTCCATTTGAAATCAAGCGAGAAATAAGATATCATACACTGAGAGATGAAAATCTAAAAATTAAAAGATATTTGTTCAATGGGTACTGATAACGTACTTATAGTAATATATATATTTTTTCACTAAAAGAGAAATATTTTTCAAATCAAAAATATACATTTTCTTAAAACTCCTCACGAAAGCAATTGTTTATTCTATTCAAATAAAAGAATTCAGTTTTAAGTAAGCATGTTATTAGTACCATTGAATTAATATCTCTTTTATTCTTTAGATGTTTTTTCCTTCAGTGAATGATGAAATCTCTCAATTGAATTAAACATGGAGGGAGAAACCCGAGTTTGCGATTCAAGAGAAGAGATATATCATCTACCTTATGAAAATAAAAAAGTATTGAGAGAGAGAGAGAGAGAGAGAGAGAGAGAGAGAGAGAGAGAGAGAGAGAGAGAGAGAGAGAGAGAGAGAGACCTACAGAGAGGCAGCGCGAATAGATTGCACCGACGAGGCGTAATTACGAGGATATCTAATTAAGCCCGTTGCCAGATTCGGTCGGTCGGCCGGTCGGTTGTATAATAATACCGTCATTGTTTGACGTGGTCGACGGAGATCGGATGATTCGAATGGAGAAACCGAGGCTTCGTATGCGCCGCACGTGAGGGGAAAATTATGGGCATCTCCTAATTCGCCTTGCCGTGGCTAAGCGTGAAAACAATGCGCGCGGGTGGGGCCTCGAAATAAACGGTACGTGTTCCTCTCTCGAGGGAGACATTATCGGGCAGTCGTTCGTCGTCGTTCACGGACTCATCCTCGTGGTATCTCGGCCGGGAGAGGGAGAGTCTCTCAGTCCCGCGAGAAAAACGTATTGGAAAAACGTGCCAGGCGATTTCAGCGCCGGAAGTCGTTCGGTGTTTGCTTCCTGTCATTGAAATTAATTCGCGTATACCAAAGGGAGAGAAAGAGAAAGAGAAAGAGAAAGAGAAAGAGAAAGAGAAAGGGAAAGATAGAGGTGAAAGACACGAGCTTTCTTTGATGCTGCGTTTTCGTGGAAAACGTCCGTGTCGAGTTCAATCCACGAGAATCGGGCAAGATTTTGTAAATGGACGCGGTTTGCGCCAGTCCACGATCGAGAAGAAGACGGAACAGACCGAGTTTCCTGGATCTGTCCGCAGTGACGCGTAAGTTAAATCGCGACGATACGAGTCGATGAAAACGCGAAATCTCTGTGAAGCGCGAACGTGACGTCTGTTGTTCCGATAATTGCAGGAAAGAATAGTGAATCGTTCGTCTCGGGGCGATCTGGCGTGCGTCTCGTCGAGAAAATGAGAGAAAGAGGGGGAGAGAGAGAGAGAGAGAGAGAGAGAGAGAGAGAGAGAGAGAGAGATAGAGAGAGAGAGAGAGAGAGAACATTAATCTTTTTGTAGCAATTATCATCGTGCAAGAACGATCCACACGACCTACGTGCATTACAACTCGGCTGTATTCCCCGCGATATTATCGTTGCAGCCTCTACAACGCGTCGAGACTGCCGGATATTGCTGGACTATTAAGGATCGAGACGAAATTCTCAAAACACGATTTTTATATGTCTTAAAGATGATACAACGAATACGTCTCTCAAACAACACGGCAAATTTAAAAAACAGACTGCAAGTACTTGAAATGAGATTTTATAAAAAGAATCTCTAGAAAAAGAATTCTTCTCTCTTTTTAAGGAGGCGGGAATTTACTTTGTTTGTTATTCTTTGTTTCTTTCCTGTAAAGCTTCACCGTGTCACTGAGACTTTCCAGTCGATCAGCAATTACGGATTTAAGACCGGAAGCGCGCCGAAAACGGAAGCTACACGCGCGTCACGTACAGGACGTAAAAGTTGTCGCGGAATGGAATCACTAAAATTTCCCGCTTGCCTCGCTCAATTTTTTTGTAATTACTATACCTACCTACATACAATGCAAATACGTATGAAAAAAGATTCCAATTATTCGTGTAACGGAATAAACCCAAACGAAAAACCCAGTGACGAGGAATGATATCTCCGTTATGTGGCCGCGGCCGGAAATATCAGTTTGTATATTCAGATGTTCAGATTAAAACTCGGTTGAGATAATCGAGGGCGATTGACCGAGTAAAAAACCTCCCACACTTGAATCTTGACGTTCCTACAATCGTGTTTTCGTCCGACCCAAACGCGGAGAAAAGAGATTGTTTGAATTGACAATGACACAAGTGTGTTCTGGCTGGAAGAAAAAATTACTGATTCTCAAAAAATTCCAAATTTCTTGAAAACCAAATGCGAAAACCAAATTCCTACGAACCAGAAATTCGGCTCTTAGAAAGCAGAAATCCTGTTTCCTTCAATCAGAATTCGTTTGCTTGTATCACATTATGTTATGTCGATTAATTCAATCGATTTGCCTTTCTTTCGCCTACTGGCAACAGAAGTTTCATTCGCATTAATGGAATTATTTTTTCCGTGTATACACGCGACTTTTGAAGATATTAAATATTCGTTGTTTCTTCGGCAAAAATCGTTGAAATTCAAGCTGCAATTAACGGACATACTACGGCCGCTTTTACGATACGAATACGAAGATGAGTTGAGTTCGTTCGATTAATTCAGGTCACCCCGGTGCGACACATTGCGTCCACGCTGGAATTTGCGCGGCGGGCTATTTCGCGAAACTCAAAACGTAGCCATTGTTATCGCGTGCGCGTCCCGCGAAATAGCCGCGTTATCTGCTACATTACCTCATCAAAAGGCATTATATCCGCGCGCACATTGCGTGTTTCGCATATATACGTCATACGCGAAATTAAATGTATTCCCTGTGCGTTATGATGAGACTTAATCAAGGCTGCCAGTGACACATGCACACGGCGGCCGTTCCCTAAAAAAAAGAAAAGCAAAGGATAGATTTTGAAATATATTAGGTGTTCCGATTAATTTTTAGGATTGACGACGAATGGAATCCACTTATTGCCAGAAAGAAGGTTGCAGCAAACGATGAGAAATATTTTGACCGAAATAATAAATAATAAACTAAAATAAAAACTAAAATAAAAAAATAAATAATAAATAATAGATAATAAACAACCCATCCATCGTAGATCCCCAAAATTCATCCCGAAACACCTAATAATATGCCGACCAATCGATAACACGACCCACCTAGGGAGCAAAAATGCTTTCTCGCGCTCCTATCTCTCCATTTGCAGGCACCAATCCTGTTTATAAATTGCACAAATGAAATAGAGATGTTCCAGAGTAACAAAGAACGTCTCATAGATGTTCGAATAAATTAATTTAACATCTTGACGATTCACCTCTCTTCAGGATCACACTCAACGACGAGGGATGGACACGCGGAAGATGACGTCCTCTTCGTCTCTAGCAAAGACAGCGAGGCTTCCAAGTTGTGGACCAGCTACCTGTCGGCATGCTTCGAGCAAATCAGCCGGCAACAAGGACGACCACCGTACAGGTGAGTTTATCTTTTTTAAATTCGTTACTCGCCCAACGTACGCAAACGTACACGTCTCGGTATCGTTTACGTCATCGGTATCGTTTACGTCTTCAGAATACGTCAAGTGGCGATCGAGGAGCCAATAGCCCCGAAAATGGAGGAGAGGATCCGTTCTTCTCGTCTCCAGGTCGTCGTGGTCTGTCCAGTTCTGTTGGAGCGCGTCCGCGCTAATCCGGAGCAGACCGTTCACTTGACCAGACACCTGGTCAACGAGAAGGTGCTGGCGATGATGCTGGGTGTTCACGACAGCTACATCAACGACAGTCACAAGTCCAGCTTGGTCTGCTACGATCAGTGGAGAAAATTCTTCGTGAAGGATCAAGACGAGACATTCGTGGGCGAATTATTGGGCGCGGCTGTCGGCATTCTGGGCACCGCACCGCCGCCGGCGCTTAGGGCCGACAAGACTGCATTCTCCGTGCACCCGAAGAAAGTGAAACTGGTAGGTGCATAATATAAGATATACGCAAGACGATATCTTCGAGATACTCGAGTGAGCTTCTCGAGCTGGAGCGAAACAGGCTCCAGCTCTTCTCCTGTCGTCTCTCTCTCTCTCTCTCTCTCTCTTTCTCTCTCTCTCTCTCTCTCTCTCTCTCTCTCTCTCTCTCTCTCTCTCTCTCTCTCTCTCTCCCCCTCTCCAACGTTCCGCCCTTTCCTGGTCTTTTGACCTCTGAGTCCATTCTTCTTTGTGCATCAAAGATTTGTTGCGAAACGATCATCTGATGAAAAGACTCTGTCTATTCCTGGCATCATTTACGATCTTTTGAAACACGTGGCAGATTTTGAAATGATTCTTCGAAATATCACGAGAACTCGATATATGGAAAATGTGTGTTCGCAGGGACAAAACAGAATAATCGTTCTGCTGAACGATCCTTTGACCGTCGAAGATCACGTTTCGGTAGTCATCGATCGTTGCGGCGATGCGATCGACATAAGCAACGTGAAGAGGAGGAATCCTTACGCGCTGCAGTTCTCGATACCAGAGAGATGTCTCGAGGTGTCCATGCTGGTGGGCGTGAGAATATCCAAGAACGGCTGTTCACTTGGCGTTAGGCAAGTCAAGTGCGAGAGCAGGCTCCGAGAACTCGATCAGATCCTCAGAGCGCACGATAATCCTCTCGAGTTTATGTGCCAGGTAATTTAATTCACTGTGCGAATTAATTCAGTTTGCCCTGAAAGTTCCATCATGAAAGAGGAACTAAATCTGATTTCTCTCTCTCTCTCTCTCTCTCTCTCTCTCTCTCTCTCTCTCTCTCTCTCTCTCTCTCTCTCTCTCTCTCTCTCTCTCTCTCTCTCTCTCTCTCTCTCTCTTTCCCCCCTCTCTCCCTCCCTCTCTCTCTCTCTCTCTCTCCCTCTCTCTCTCCCTCTCTCTCTCTCTCTCTCTCTCTCTCTCTCTTCCCTTCAGAAGAGATTTTATCAAACAAGTGAATATCGAGACATTTGATTTAAAAATATTCAAGCATAATAGGCACATCGTCAGATATTTATTTAATCGGAGAATAAATAGAAGGCGACGAATAGCTTATTCAGACTACTTTTTCTTGCAGACTTTCGGCTTCAGTTCTACCGACAGGGAGCAGTTGGACAATTGGATGGTCCACGCGTTTCAGAAGAACATCCCTCCTCACTTCAATCTCCTATCAACTCCGAGCGGTTTGGTGCCTACCCATAAGAAACACACGAGTAAGCGGTCCCTAACCCCTAACGATTCGTCGAGAATGACGCATGTTTTGCAAAGTTTATGAGCGCACGATTTTGGTTTCGAAGAAAAGTCGCGACAAGCAGCAGAAGAATGTCTTCTAATATTTTTGTGATTTTCTATCGCAGGCCCCGAGGAGAGCCCGACATTGCTACACTTCGCCGCGCGATTCGGCCTGGAGAAACTAGCATGGCAGTTGCTGGAATGTCCAGGCGGCGACCTGGCCTGCGACCTGCGAAACATCTCCGAAATGACACCCGCCGATCTCGCGGAGCAAGGCGGACACACGAGACTGGCGCATCAGTTGCGGGGTTACATGGTACAGAAACCTCGCCTTTAGACCGACGTCGCAAGTAATCAAACACGCAATCGTTACTTCCGCGATACACTTTACTACTTCGCTACTTTCTCAAGAGCCGACGTACTACGTACGTCGCGCGTGTACGCACGTACACGCTCTCGCTCTATAGTCTTAGAATAGAAATAGAGATACCTCTCTCGGAGAGAGAAATGTCAGCCTGCATAGCGACCCGCTGCATCTGTCAACCCGCCGTGAATTTCACGGCGCATTCGCAGAGCCTGAATTTCCAGAGAATCTGCCGAATTTCGCGCTCACTTCGAATCGCGCAATCTCGCGCGACCGACGCGAATTAACCGACGTGTATGCTCTGCATTGCATATTTTGGCCGTCACTTTGGATCCTGGTTAATGGAATTCCAGCAAATAAACGAGTTCTCCAACATGTACAGCTACCTCAAAGTCATAAGCGAGACGACGACTAATCGACCAACAGGTGCGACTTCACAGTATCTCGAAACAATACTTCCAGATTAAAGTGTCTGATAAAAGTACTCCCGAATTACCTCCAAACGTTATAAATTACAACATTTCTTACATATTATACATATAAAATGTCCTCACGTCTCCAGTCTGACAAGTGAGATAAAAATAATTCATCCAATTCGCCCCCGTTACTTCTTTTCCTTTTTCTTTCCTTCTTCCTTCGAGGTGTAATACGAAATTATTCGAAAACAGATCACGACCCCCCCGCGACGGATGCCCCACTGACCGCAACTGCGAAGCAGCAGACCAGTAACGAGAACGAAGACTACTGTCTACCGAGACCTCTCAGTGAGGCTTACTTGGTGCCGCCTATCGCGAGACCTGTAACGACTCTGATCTCGAGCCTGCAAACGACGACTGTCAGCACGACGATGAGCAATCTCATAGCCGCTAATTATTCGGTCGTGCCAACGCCGACCCCGGTAATATTACCGTTCACAACCGCGACTTGCAACCCTTCGAATGGACTGGACCCGTCTCTCCAGGATTACATGCAAATGTACCCTGTCGGTGAGTCTAAAGGCCTCCCATGAATAATATCGCTGATCGCCGTTACGCGAGGCAACCCTCGTATATTAATTCTCCCGCGCTCGACTTTCGATTCGAAATTAGACTTTGTTACGTACGCGCACTAATCTTTAAATGTTTCCTGAATCATTTCACGCATCACGCACTTCACTGTCGCCGAATTCACGATGATTTTTCTCATCGGCGGTCAATGCGATTTATGTCTAAATAGTTCATGCGCTACGTAAATTGATGCTTCCTGCGCGAGCGTTGGAATTGTACGCTCACCAAGGCGCGTTGATATCCCACGACGCGTCCAGACTCGTGCAGGTCCATAGATCGCCATAGGCCGCATCTCGATCGCATTCGTCCAGCCTTCTGAGCTTCCAGCCTTCGTTCCAGCCACGTCGCTCGTGCTTTATTCACTTTGTCATATGGCACTCGCGATCGCGAGAATTTTATTTACACGATATTGAACGAAAAGTATCGCGAATCGCGAAACGCTGCTAAAAGGTCGCGAATCGAAAGTATTATAGAAGATATTACGCTTCCGACGAGTTTCGGAAAGAAAGAAAGAGAAGAAAAATATTTTCTAATTTTACGGACAATTATGGCAATTTTTGTGATTATATGATGTGAGGAACACTGAGGTTCCTGTTTGACAAAAATTCTAATTCTCAAAGGACAAACAGACGCACATGTCAAACTCGGCAACAATTTTAATTGGAATGGAACCTTGCCACTCCTATCAAATGGATTTGTGGAGCAAATGGATTTAGAAAATTGATAATCGCGATAATTGCAAAACTTACACAAACGAAATGAATAATCGCGAGTGAGTTGCGTGAGGTAGCGCAATTATAATGCGCATTTTATACTGCTCGAAACAATTAGGAGATCACATTGAACAGACAACCCACCCTATAATTGTCTAAATTTTATCTAGAATTAAATGTGATAAGAACAAAAACGTTCACATAAATCGGTTTCTTAAACATTATAACTTATTACAAAAAGAAGTTTTGTACTATAATATAAACAATTACAAAAAGCGATCCCCAAATTATTTCGATCACTGTTTCTCAATGTAAGAAAACACATGCATACAAAACTCTACAAACTATAAATCGCATTGACCTGATGAGTTTCTACTACAATTCACCAGCTTAAATCTTCAAATCATTTCTCGTTTTCGACTCACCGAGATGGCAGGAACTCAAAAGCGGCCGCATCTCTGCTACCAATCTGGAACAAAAAAATAATTTTGCCAATCGGATACCTTAATTAAGATTAATATTTTAAAGAAAGTTTTAGAGAAAGTTGTTTTTCGACGAGAGAATTATAATAGTTAACTCCGCGATCGCAGCAGTTCGATTTCTTTCTACTCTGACACAATTCCATCTCAGTTTTCAATCACGAAGAATCAAACACAAAAGTAAACGGAATTTATAAACCTACCTTTGAGCCCGCCCTGCCCGGCCCGAACCGAATCCCCCGGTTCGGCATCCCACGGAATCTAGCACTACCACTACTAATACTGGGAGTCGCATCCGTCGTGTGTGGTCGCAATCTTTGGTAGATCTGAAAGGAAAAGCCCTCCTGATTAGTAGTTGTATGGGTAGATGTCAACGAATTAAGTACAAGGAAGAAATTATTTCTCTCTTAAATCAAGCAAAAAGCAGAAGGCAGCAGCTACCTTCAAAATTAATATTACATTATTAATAATAGATGTCGCCGCACTGCTCAAAACATTGCCAACACGATGATTTGCACATACAAAACGATACAACGCATATCACTGATCGATTTTTAAAACTCAGGAATCACGCACGACGTCCGATTCGTTTGCCTCCGCGTCAAGAATTATAATATTTATACAATTTATAATGCTAATAATTTATATATTCATTTATGCGCTTGGCAGTCGTGTACGTACATACGTTATTGTTTCCGAGATTACGCGACTCTAATCATCGTTAATTATAAAGCATCATCCTATTATCTGATCATATATCTGATCGATATTCTCTAAATCGCAATATATTAACGTTGAATGTTATTTTGCAACATCCGAATCCCCTTTGACATTTTAACGATAAACGTTAACGATAAACGTTAAAATACGTAACATTCGCGATGGTAATCGCCAAGTAATGGCGAATAAATCCCTAATTAGATAAATTACGCTTGTGCACAGGCTCGAAAATTTCAACGACAAACACAACGAAGCTGCTGTCGTCTCGAACGGGCACACCCACGCAGTGTACTCGTTTGGAGTCTCATCAAGGTTCTTCGGCGATACGAGAGGATAATCCCAGTCCAAAGATCAGCCAGCCTCCTGCCTATGGTAGAACCTCGTCCAACTCCAGCAGCTCCAAGTCCAGAGAGCCGTCCGGCCCTCAGGACGAGTTGCTGGAGATTATAAACGACTTCAAGAACAACGTCTTCACGATCTCCGAGGTGGAGAGGCTCGTCGAGAATTGGCAGAAGCGGAACGACGTGCAGCAGAGCTTCAAAGACAAGCAACGCCAGCTCATGGCGATGCGTGAGGAATACGACAGGATACAGAAGAAGATGAAAGAAGAAATGAAAACCGCGACGCCTTTTGACAAGATACGCAGGTTCTTTTCCAAGGGAAAGAAAGGCAAGTGCATTGCGATCGAAACACTCTTGGGAAATTTCTTGGATTTTGTTTGACCGATTGAGCAGCAAAGTGCAACGATTATCGAGACTTTTCGTCAATCAATCTCTGTCTTACAGACACGAAGGAATCCGCCAGCGTTGCCAGCGACTTGCCTTCCGGCAAATCCGAAAACGTCAATGGTGGATTAGTAGCTGATCGCCGGCCTGTCAGTAGCTTAAGTCTTCGTAGTGTCTCTAGTAAGTGTACTTATTAAACAAACTGTAAATATCATGCAATCATATAAATCATAAATTATTACATCATGAATGTGTATATGATCGAGAACATTTGCTCTCGTGAGTTTGCCTCGCGCGCGAAAACTCGGCTTTAAGTTTGAAGTTAGATCTGAATTTTTTCGGCATCGTACGCTACCTATATACATACATTATATACTTGTTACGAACGTGATTGAATCGAAAAACTTGCATCTGATTCAAAACTTTATCCGATTTTATTGTATTTTTTTCTTTTCTTAAAGGAATACTAGATTCGCGTTAATAAATTAATAAATGCAAATATGAATATCTCACTCACGAGGCAAGGGAGATAAAGAGACGTTTATCCTTTGGCCATATATTTGCCACGTGTCTACAATAATTTATTTCTTCGACACTTGTGCTTGCCATAATGTATAAATCTTCAATGTATCCTTCAGGCTCGTCCTCGTCCGGTAGAATGAGCACCGTCAGCGGGTGCAGCGGCACGAGCTTGGGCGATAGCGGGACCCACTCCGACTCCGAAGAGAGAAGAGTACGTCCGACGTATCATACAATTAGAGTTATACGGATTTAACGGATTTGGCACGTCGCCGCACAATCATCATTGCCCGATTGCCGCTCTTCCGAGATTCTATTCTTCTTTTGGAGAGAAAAAAAGAATTACAAAGAATTACAATGACGCAAAAGTAGTTCGTATTACAGTGAAATTTATGCACCGACTACTTTCAGCTGCAGAATCTCAGGGACGAGAAGGCGTCCGGTATGACGTCCTACGAGATACCACCTGCGCCTAAACCGTTCACGGGCAGGTATTCACCTGCGCCCGGGTATTCCCCGTCGCCGGGTGTCTCCGTCACACGCGACCTCGACCTCCGGCCGGCGCGGTCGCCGTCCCGGGCCGACGACAACGAATACTACATCGCGTTCCCACCGTCGGGATTACCCGTTCACGGTAACTTGGGCACAAATTACACAAACAAACACCACAGGTCAAAGTCGACGAGTTGAGACATCGTCTCAACTCGTTCTTTGGACATCGACTCCCCGGCCGCTGAATATCTCGAGAAAGGAATGAATAATTCACCGTTCGATTCTTTCGCAGCGTTCAAAGCGGACGGCTCGCCGCGGGAACCGAACACACCGAGCTCGCCCTCGCCCGCGTGCGAACGCACCAAGTGTCTCGACTTCGCGCAGAACATCGTTGTTCCGTCGAACAAGCAGGAGGACGGGACCGAGGCGACGCGGCGGCGGCGGCACGTCGGCAACGACGGCTACACGAACATCGAGCCGACGTCGTCAACGAGGAGTTCTCCCTCGGACTCGGCTCGCGTCCCGGATCGCAATGAATCAACGTCCGTTGATCCCGTCAATTCGGCCCGCGCGAACGAGGGGATCACGAGGGAACGTCGTGGCGATGCCGACGAAGTCTCCGAGACGTGTCACCCTGAGGACACCTTGAGGACGGTGCTCGCGCAATCGGCTGCCGTCGACGAGGTCGATTCCGTCGCCCGAAGCACCGAACAGGACAACGCGGTGAAATATGAGCAAGCATACCCGCCGGCGGGCTCGACAAAGCATACGAATATCGAGGCCGGCGAGAACGGCAGAATGCCGGAATATATGAACCTCGCCGTTAATATGGGTCACGACTCCGCCAAAGTCCTTGGCGCCATACCAAAGAAACTGCCCGCGCCGCCTGTGCCGCCGAGAGGTACGACTTCGAGTGCTGAATAATTTCACACACACACACACACACACACGTTCGAGGAACGGACACGCGGAGGTGTCTAGCGCGCGAGGGGAACCGCCTAGTGTGACTGTTGCGTTATTATTAACATGTTGACTACCGCACGCTCGGCGATCCCCATCGCCGATTATTTTGATGCTCGGTTGACGGTTGAATCACCGACGATACGATAAATCAATGCGATGCGCATGTTCGCTGCCTCGTTCCGTCCGCTGTATATTCAATTGGTCACGTGCAATAATCGGCATGTAACAAATTAAATATGCGGTGTGTGTGTATGTGTCGACAAAACGCGAGCCGATAAACGCATTGGATACATTTAATAAATTGGTGAAACTTTGTAGCACCGTTCTCTCACCGGTGAGTCCCGCGGTGGTCAACGTGCAAGCGCGATTGATTCGGTAAAGAGAGATATGCAAAACCATTGATAATTACAACGCGGAACATAATTCGAACTTCGATCGAAGAGGTGTGCAAAATTATTGGCAATTAACTCCCGCTAATTGGTGGGACATAACCACGCAACACTCTCCAGTTTTCTCGATTTCTCTCGTGTGAAACCGTCGTCCCGTATTCTCGCGATAACGTCAATGTCAATCAAATGTGCGCGAGTTATCGCGGAGCTGATAGTCGGAGAACGTTCGCTAAAACTCGCGAGATTATTCGTCGATGGTCGCTTTTATTTTAACGAGTACGCTTACTTTAAGTGTTCTTTTACAAGCCGGATGTACAGATTCGCGAGTCCAGATAAGCGAGCGAGATGAATCACTGACCTATTGCGGCGGACTTCAATGCAATTCTTCGAAATCATTTCCTGAAGAGAAGGATCGACCGCGAAAGGACTACGGACGTTCTCCGCGGAATCGCGACGAAGGAGGATTTCACTGACGTCACACGCATATGTATTCTCGAAGTCGCGAATACGTGAAGCAAAAGATTCTTGTTGAGTCGACCACAGTGCTAAATCATTTGGAAAACCGAGCTGTCAATTTTCATCCATCGGCATGCGGAATCGAATCGGTCGAATTGCGAGAAATGGGATAAAAATTTTTGCCGTAATATTGCAAATTTCTGCCGCAATTTTAAAACAGCACTCTCCCAGCACTCTGATGCTTAATTTCATGATTGTTCAATATGGTTTTGCAACATTCACACACACACACACACACACATATATATATATATATATATATACACGTATGTAAATAATCACTTTAAGATTTGTGTCTAACGAGTTCCCATTGTCTGTTGCAGTCACGACTAAGAAGTAGGAACCGGAAATCGATGCGAACGCGCAAGTGTTTCTTGACACTTAACCTGTGTACGTGGTGTGACATGTCAGCCTTTTTGCGTATTAAGCCGCGATTGAACTTTCAACGACTATCAACGACTAAAACTCAGATCAGTTGACATTAATCACCGAGACTCATCTGTGTATCTTTCTCTTTCGTATCCTCGTTAAGTATATATACTCGTTAAGTATACGTAGTTACGTAGTTTAGATATGTCGAAGGAAATACTCTTTACATGGCCACGACATTAGTATATAATTACTGTATCGTTCTTCTGCTCGTCTTCAGAAAAAAAGAATTCGCGAATCCATTCGCCCTATGTTAGTCGTACAAAAGCAGCAACATTAATTGAATAATTAGCACGTAATAATATAATTAGTTAAAAAAGATGTTACAATTATAGATGCCTCGATTATAAAAAAATTAGTCCGATTAAGTTTTCAAAGAAATACACCGCGCTATTTTTGCACGCAGCGGAAACGACGTTTATACCAAGTACCAAGGACGCATTTATCTTTAATTTTAAGAACGACGCGTGATTCGCGGATGTTTTATACAATTTTATATTACTCCCGCCGAAGCAATTATATATATATATATATATATATATATATATATATATATAATAATAATATATATATATATATATATATATATAAAGAAACAACGCAAAGAAAAATATAGAAACTTATTCAGGACGTTGCTTTGTTTTTCCACACATGTCCGTTACAATTCACGAAACGCGGCGATAACGAACACGAAGCTGAGCAGCGTTCTTTAAAGTGAATTTATGTCTTCGTACGCGATAAAGCGAATCTATCGTGACGTAGTAATGTTGGAAACAAACTGATGTAGGACACCGCTTCCTCTGATTCATTCGCGAGGAATATAGCGATTAGAAAAATAAAAAGAGCGGAAAATCTTGTCCTTCAGAAAAATCTAACGCCCTGTTTGTCTCGATTTTTTCGACGCCAAACGATTCTCTCAGCGACTACGATTCAAATCGTAGAAGGCCGTTGACGTAAAAGTAGAGTCAAATTCCACATTTAGACCGGTAAACCACATTTCTTTCCTTCCGGCCGAATTGGGACTTTCTTGTTAATTAGAGTTCTAATTAGAGTTGCGGTTCACCACCGCGTTCCGATTATAATATGCGGTCGCGTCCGAAAGCATATCTGGCATATCTGTCGAATATGAAGAGATAAAAAAATCTAGGGCAATAATGAAAAAGAAAGCTGTGTGAAAATAAAAAAGCTGTATCTTACGGTCGTATCAAGAAAGATATTTCCGTTTTTTGTAAAAATGAATATAAATATTTACACATTTTTCTGTGGACCATAAATAAAGTCGAAATTAACCAAACATATCGCCTATGATTTGCACAAAGTATATAAGTATGTGAATAATTATCAATATATTATCTATAATTTTTTAGCTGGGAAAATAACATTCTTAAATAAAGAAAAAGAAAACTTTTGATTATTGTCGCACGCAGAAGATTGCATTTCTAATAACAAAAACGCTAACAACTCTGATAAATTTATAAATTATATCAAATATTTTGGTCCTCTGCAGTGTGTGAATCATGCAAAAGTGCGTGGGAGTGAATGGGCAAGTGTTGAACGATCGTCGTGGAAGGGGAAAAACGATAGGCATATATATCGGAGGTGCCATTCTGTCGAGCGGCAAAAACGACAAGGCATCGATCACCTTTGCTAGCGATTACCACTTACCGCGTGAACAAAGTATGACATGAACAAATAGCAGCGAGTATATACACGCGTTTCAAGTATCGTATGCAGAAAAAACTCGTTAGCCTTTCGCGCGACTGTTGTACGAGCGCAGTGATGCTGTGCACGCGTTGCGAAACAGTGAAATGCAAAAGAATCAGTCGTAGATAAGACAACGGAGAGTTGAGACGCACGAGTGACAAAATACGACGAGAGTGACGATATCTCGCGTTCCATCGGAAAAATAAATCATTTGTCAAAGTTTGTTGTTCGATTCTATTCGCGAGCTGTGGAACTTTCCACATTCTAAAAATGAATACAACCGGAATATGTGTTTTTCTCCGCCATCGCGTAATTGTGCATTGTGTAATTGATCATTACTAATCTCTTTAAATAATTTTCAACGGTATCAATTAAAAATGATTGATCGAATTTCGCGCGCTTTGCTCGATGTAATAGAGAAAAATATTATCCTGTTCGCTGAGCGGAAAGCTATTACTTAACTTACTTTCCTTCTTTCAAGCATTAATTATCTTCAACAAGAAATACTTTTTTTTGTATCAATTTTAAAATATACTTATCTCACTTATTTATCAAAGTTCAGAAAAGCTCATTATCATATAACCCAGAGAAGAATTTATTCTTTTTTCAAAAATATTTCAAAAAACTTATATTCTACATAGAAAATCGAACCGAGTTTTTTTTTACTTAATTCAAATTTTTTGATCATAGTATCAACTATTTCGAGCAAATTTGATATTCATGATAAATTTTTGATAAATTTGTAGGTATATAAATTTATTAAATGCTTGAGAAACAAGCATTTTCTGTGTGTACGCAGCAGATATCGCTACGACTGAAGAAACAATTACCACTTTGCATTCCATGTATCTACTAATGAAATATTTATCATATATTACGCAGCTTCCGCATCGCAAGGTTGCAAGCAGCTCTCGGAAACGGTGGAAAAAATGAAGCTGCTAATCGTGTGCCTAATTTTCGCGGCGGCGATCTCTATTGCAACGAGTCAAAACGAATACATCGCTAAACCAGGCTCGTGTCCACCTGCCTTACCTGTGCAATTCTGCGGACATTCCTGCCTCGTTGACTCACACTGCGCTGGAATCGGCAAGTGTTGTCCGACCCAATGCGGCGGTTCTATATGCTCCATGCCCGTCACGATGAGCCGGCCTCTCCAGTCAGGTGAGAAATTCCTCGTTATTGTATCACACCATATTGTTCCATCTGAAACAATCATGATCGTGCAATCGATTAGTTCTCTATCGCGCACAAAATTAGAACTTTACAAAAAATACACGTGTTTCTTAGAATCATCTCGAAACGAAAGTACCTAACGTTCATGCAGCGTAAGAAAAATATTAAATATAAAATATGAAATGTATTTCAGAGACATTTTGAGGATAAAAGCATTTCCTTAAAATTCCCTGCAAATATCTGTCTATCTAATCGGAATCCCAAAAGTATCCCGTGTTTATCCTTCAATTATAAATCGAACGAATCGAACATAAAACAATTCTAAAAACATATCAAACTCTGTCGAATGAAACACTGTAATAGTTATCGTGAAAAATATAGTTAACTAGTAAGTTTAGGTTTGTGTAAATTTATATACACGTAGAAAAAAAGTCACGGCTGAATTAACATGACAAACGAGCCAAATAAAATTTTGGTCGAAGGCAACAGAATTCCCGATTTCCTCTGGAATTTCTAGAGCTAAATTTAGTTCATGAGAACCAGAAATTCTTCTCGGTATGCATAAAAATATCGGATCATTCTGTCCGCAGAGAAACCAGGCACTTGCCCGTCGGTACCGACAGGCAGATGGGTGTGCACGTCTACCTGCAACAGCGACAGCGATTGCAGAGGCAACCTGAAGTGCTGTAAAAACCGATGCGGAGCTCTGGCTTGCCAGAAGCCGGAAATCGAGGTAGTCGAGTCTATCGGGATTCCTGTTGAACCGGTCGCTCCGCGTTTCGGATACGATTATTAAGAAACTTTTGCAGATTTATTTATCCTTGCACACACCGTGCGCATAATTAATACAACTCTGCCATTAATTGCGCAAAGATTACGTCCGCGCAAACGACGATAATACGATTTTTATGTCTTAGCCTACTTATTTCACCTTGCGAGATTGACGTATTCGATATTTGTGCCATACTTGTGTGTGTGTGTGTGTGTGTGTGTGTGTGTGTGTGTGTGTGTGTGTGTGTAAGTGCTAAAAATATTATTTACGTATTTTTCTATAAAATATAATGACTTGGACCAATTACTGCATTCCGATAGGTCTTATCGTCGTGTAAATTTTTTTGGTGTTTTTCTCTTATCGCTAGATAAATATCTATTCAGTTCCTATTTACTCGAAATAAATTAATAAAATATCAGCGAAGAAAATCAATACAGGATGTTTGAATAAAATCCTAAACAAAGCTGTCATAGAAGTGTCTATACATTTACACCGAGACGTAATTAATGCATCACCACTCGCCGATAACTCCAACAGAGTACAAGCAAAGGCCAAGGCTGTGTGCGGGGGGGAGGGGGGAAGGGAGGGGACAGCATCAAGGTGAACAAACATTTGTTGCGAGATTTGAATAATACATTCGAGCGTTTAATTCGATATTTTAAGCAACATAAGAAGCCACGACTCTACTCGCTCGCTCGCTCATTATAAAGATTAAGTACGTATGTTGCAAGAATATCTAATGAAACAGATGGATACTCCAGAAAAGAGCGGATTGTTCAGTATTTTCCATCGACGGAGAAGCAGCTGGTGGGGTTAAATTTATTTCCAACTCAAAGTGAGTGTCTCAAGTGGCGTATTACACGCAGTTACGTGATCGAACTGTACAGAAACGAATAATCTCTCGCGTACTTCGATACACGCAACATATCTCGCCGTGATACGTCACGATGTCATGATCGGCGTGTGGAAAACTGTAACAGTTCACGGAAAAAAGAAATCGATATCGAAGAAAATAATTTTCCTGGATCCGCGTGTTATTAGCTTAACGACTCGAATATAATCGCGGCTTATTATCCGCTACGCTTCTTATTCTCCTTTCGCCGCCGTACTCTATCATCGTCACGGTGGTGGTGGGAAGGATTTAAGAGCCAGTGCTGTTATCCTCGTGCGTTTAGAAGCTACGTCGAGCCCGCAAGACGGAGTTTTAGTCAATTATTTGAGAGCGACGCGCAAAATGAACCGTAAGTATTTAAGCCGTGTAAGCCATAAAGCCTTGCCATGCAGCCTTGAGAGCCGCGATCGATATTACGCACTTACTTACGCACCGTGCAATTCCGTGTAAACGACGTCATTAGCATACGTGTTGAGGAAAAGTCGGTAATAATCTCCTAATAATTTCCTTACAAAAATGTGTACCGACTTATTGTAAATTTTTTAAATTCCAAGATGTTTTAGTGCGTGCTGCGTGTCCCGGAATTTAATTTAATTATAAAATACTATGGAATTATCGGATGCGAATTGAATTGAAAATTACAACCACTGAAATTTTGCGAATTTATATCGAAATTTTGTACGTACACAGAGAAAAAATTGGTTAAATCAACGTAACAATGAACTGAAAAAAAAAAAGTAACCAGATGCATTTTGCTTGAGGGAAATCAAATTCGATTCACAAGGATCAGAAACTCTGTTTCCTTCATCCAAAATGCGTTAGATTCGCTCGTTGTCACATTAACTCAACAATAATCTTCTTTCTTCGTTTAAAATTTTGTACGACGCTAGACTGTCGAGTTAAACGAAGTTTAAACGAAGTTTCGCGCTCAAACTCACGAGATACTTTCATCGGAGACAAGAGAGTTTTCTGTTAAGAAAAGAGAAGCAAAAAAATTCTAATATAAATATAAGATACGTCGCAAGTGACGAAGTAAAATTTATCTTTCCGCGGCAAGCGGAAAGCTTTTTTTCAACGTGTAAAATGACGTTCGTTTCACAAGTCGAATCGTTTTTATAACCGCATGTGCTAGAATTCTGACATTGGATGTAATTTTGCAGGAAATATCTCTCTCCTCGCGGTGGTGCTGATTCTGCTGGTAGCCAGCACGTGCGCTCTGCTGTTTTGTAAGCAAATAATTCAATTACGCGTATGAAAGATAACGAGTGACAAGAGTAAACTTTGTACAATCGATCGATGCTCGCCAGTGACTCCATTGCGCGGTACGATTTATCATTTCAGTTAAAAGCGGCAACTGCCCGCTAAAAAATACCGTGAGCAATTGCGGCACCAGATGTACGACTGACTCGCAGTGTGTTCTGAATCAGAAATGCTGCCCGAACAAATGCGGCCACATGTCGTGCGCTGAGCCCAGCGTCATCAGCACCGGCAGCGGATACAAGGGGTCGAACCGTACGTATGAAATTTCGATTTTCATAACGAACTTTCTCACTCCCAAATTCGCGCGATGCTTCTGTCCGAGGTGATAGAGCAGGGGAGTCCTCTCTGTGAAAAGAACAAGATCAAACAAATCCCAGAATAAACATAAATAACGATACAGCAAATCGAAGCAAATGAAACGAAGTAAAGCCGGGAGCACGCGGAAAAGCATAATCAATAAAACTCAAGCAGTGAACACTTTGACTAATCACAGTCGATTATTCTCCTCGCGGTCTAAAAATAATCGGCTGTAATTGGTCGATTGGTCGATCCTGCAGCTCAAGTTTTACCGCTTGCCAGTAAACACCAATTAACGATAACGACATCACACCGATATTATAATTTCTCACTCAGCGATGTGGTAAAAAAAGTGTAATATAATACATGTTGTACATAACAATTAAATCATTGAGTGAGAAACATAACATTGCTGTTTATTGGTGCATTCATGTTTATTTGTGCATTCACGAGGCCTGAATACGAGAATATACGTAATAAAATAAATAAGATTGTGAAATTACCGATTCCTTCGATCGCGCTCAAGCCGCTCAAGCCGCCATTTTGCTTACAGAACAAGCCGTTTACTGCAACGGAGTGAAATGCGCTACGAGTGAAAAGTGCCTGTTCGACCGCAACACCAGACGCGAAAAGTGCACACGGGCCTAACTTCATTCATTACCATAACCGGATCTCTGTGTAAATTTCTATCGCCTCGCTCGTAATCCCGCTGCAAACATGTAATGATATATCGTTCTTTCGCCGGGCTTATTCAACGATTTTCAACGGTAGTGTCCTTATCGTTACGTTGTCGTGTTGCGCAATTCCGCATACCGTACGGATTGTATCCGCGCAACGACAACGTGATGGTAAGACAACGACGATGTTATTTGTCGTTAAAAGTTAAATGACTAGGTCTACTTTTTTACCGACAACTGCCGATTCAGTACGTGTCATTACGCAGATATGGTCATGTCATAAAACAGTTGCATTACCGTACAGTTGCGTGTCGCCGAATCGATAGTCGCCGGTAGATGATATATAGACACAATAAATGTACAAAACAGCAGCTATATGCTATATGTATCTTGGTAATGACGAATCGCCGATTAAGAGGCTCGACTGTACATTTTGGCGCTTTCGTTCCGCGACCGAACGTCGAGCCCGTCGACGTCATTAAGCTTAGCGTAGCTAAGCTATTAGCGAGCTCATTATCGCAATCTGATTGAGGATCAACTTTAGCGTGAGAAATACCTAGATATTTTAGATGTATACCTGTATCTGTAGCGATCTAAAGCAATAAAATACTGGCACTGTGTCGAGAAAGCAGCATGCGTCGTTCGCCATTTGTCGCTTCTCGCTTGGAGTCGATCTCGACTCCAATAATCATAGTTTAAAAGTTGAGATCGAGCGGTCGAACGATCGAGCGATCGAGCGATCGAGCGATCGAGCGATACGGTACGCCGCACCAGACGGTGCGGTTGTCGCGAAAGTCTTCTCTAATCTACAAATGGCTTTTGGGAACTCTGGTCCGTAGGCGATATCAGAGGAAAAAGTGGAAATCTGCAGGTTATGTGCGTCAGCAAAGTAGCAGACTGAAATTTTCTTGTCTTTATCAAAGAAGTGAATCGCCCGGGAGAATCGTGAGACGATGTGACTCGTGACTATTCGAGTTAAAATCCACAAAATGGATCGCCAATCTTACGTTCTCACTCGGTAACCGCGTAAATATCCTCTCCGGGGAGAGGTTAGCTCTCCTCCGGTTCGAGGGAGAGATTAGCTCTCCTTCGCCGACTCGATCGAAAATGGCAGTGGAGTTTCTGATAAATCGGCTCAAGGCCCTGCTTGTGTTGCTCTTCGGTATATTTAAAAGAGCCATGTGCTGCCTTCGACGTCGAAGAAGATCGTCCTGCGACTCTGTACCTCTGTCCACGGTTGGCGTAATACCCAACGTTCTAAATAATTCAACGGTGAGCCGGCTGTGCTTCCCACCACGTATCTTTGTGATAAGCGAGTTTCTTAATGACATTTTGATTGAGACGATGAGATAATAGTATAAAAAGAAGGAAACTTCAATTCTAAGGGAAAAATAGCAAATATCGAAATGTTTATATTCCATTAAATTTTGTACACTCTTGTTAGTCTTGTGTAAATGTTCACGACAGAAATAATTAGAAATTCTCTTCAGGAATTAGAACAGTGGGACAAGTGGGAAGAAAATCCAATTGTTGTGATACCTGACAAACCAGTTAACACGATACAAGCAAAGATAGATCAGTATCGACAGCAAGTCAACAAGCCTCCTGAGACACCCACTGAAGAACAACTCAACTTTTTTGAGGTAATTCTTGATAATGTTATAATTTTAATAAGCTAGAAATACGACTTTTGAACTTTATGTAGGATATGACCCCAAAAATCACTAGACAAACAAAGATCCTAATAAAGGATAAACACATGGATGGCTCATCTCGCAACACTATAAAGTTCATAGCTATGGATCCTGTTCCAACTGTAAGTTTGCGCTTGAAAATTCGGATAATCTAGTGTTTGTAATAATTCAGAAACTTATATCGCACTATGTATCTAGAATGAGTTGGGAGAGTGGGAAGAGAATGCCGCTGGCTGGGAAGTGGACACTATAGAGGAATTTGGTGATCCTACCAAAGCTCTACGAGAGCAAAAAAGGAGAGAGAGGGAACAACGGCTGATTGAGCAGCAACAGAAAAGAATGGAGCGTACAGCAAAACCACCAGTATTGGGTGCTAAATTGTGCTCCTGATGTGAAATCACAAACACATGGGAGTTAATATCAAAATACACAATAACGTACAATCTAATGGCATTCATACTAGAAATTCTCCACCCAGAAATTGGCTCGGTTATGTTAATTATATCATAAGTGCAGTATATTTACTTTTAAATAGAACAATTAACTTGCATTCTGCATGTATTTCATCAGAATGCGTATGTATGCTCACTTGTGTGTATCAGTTTCCTTGACGTTTTCAAAGATAAATGAAATATCGATTTGTCTGTTTCCATAAAAAGTATAATATTTGTAAACATTCCATGTGAATCTTGTACAGTATCGAGTGTGATATGTTTTAGCTTTTACACAAGACAGAATAACTGTTTTGCAAATTTTGTAATAAGTCGACGCGATAAGTCGAACCGAGTAAACTTCGTCTTATATCACGAATGTCTGTAATAATCTTGACGAATTTGTAATCTTTGTGCTAGTGAAATTTGCCAAAAGCTGATCTTGCAGAGGAAAGAAAGATGTTAGTATATTTTAAACTGTTAGATTTTTCCATGGTTTTGGTTAATCATGTATGATTATAAAGTAACGGTGATCATGGATTTTTAAGTGGATTTCATAATAAAGTGTAATTATGTTTAGACTGAAAATTTCAAGTTTCAGGATATCCCACGTAGACCCGCAACACCGAATTCGGTGAATGAATCCTGACACATATCTGCTATTTTTCAAAGGTATTTTTCCTCGGTAAATATAAAACCAAATGTTCCTTTGCAAAACATTTTTTTGTCTGCTATTGTCATGCTATAACTGATTACAGAGAATACTAAAACGAAAATCGACGTGTGTCGCTTGGCTCGAGCGACTTCGTTGCTTTTTCGCTATCATTTGTTACATTTCTTTAATTAATAGTTCGGTTGTTACGCAAACATCGCAAAATGATATGGGAATTTTATATTTATCTCAATCCGTTCTTTTATGTCTTCATGGATTCCTCCTGGAGCGAGGAATTTGTGAAACACTCTGTATATGTATTTTTCGGATTGCAATTTTAGTATTATTTCGACTTCGGATTATTAACTTAAGGAATGCCAACGTGTGTGTATATATTTAAAATAAAAATTATTCTAAATTTTCTCAGGTCTTTTTCCCGTTATACCATATCTATTTACCGTCCATGCTTATTTCGAGCTCTATGTTTCATATTTCGGCCACGATATTTCTAAGAGGACGCTAGTGCACAACGGAATTTCTCTGGTACGCCAACAGTCTTTATAGTATCTCGTCCGATCCGATGGTCATTTACTCTCAGACTCCCACGCAATGTATACGCGTGCACGCGTATCGACCAGGGACGTACGACACGCACATCATATAAACACATGTGTTTACGTGTGATGCACGTAAAATCCTATCCATGCCGTCATCACGAGCGTCTGAGACAGGTTTTATCGAGCGATAAAGAAAGGAATCCCGAAGAGAAGGAGAAGCGCACGAGGAAGATCTCGGCTGATTCAGGTTAGTGATAATACGGCGACGTGCAGATACGACGAACACCGCAGCGTGGCTCTCGTCAGTCGTGGCTGCGAATGTCGCCACGTACATAATTCACGGCCATGTGCCGAGCCGATAATCGTCTCCGTCAGCTCTACCGACGGCGATGCATGCAAATACGAAATGTCAACATTCAGAGGTGAGCCGTTTCGCGACGGGTGCGTAAGCAACGACAAACGGCGACGGCGCGTCAGCGAAGTTAGCCTCCCCAATTTCGTAAGAAATTAGGACACCACCAATCCAATCCAATCCAATCCACGTAGAAGGAAGAGAAGAGAAGCGCGCGCGTGTGTCACCGCGAGACCCAAACTTTGGCTGACTGGAGACAGCTGGAGACCAGCTGAAGACCAGTCGAAATGGACTGATCGGTCTCCCTCACTTTCTTCGGTCAGCTGGCGTATGTTCATGACAAATCGAAAGTTCTCACGGGGAGAGACGGACCTTGACACGCGGATTCCAATTGAACTCGAGAGATTAGACATGTCAATGGTAAATGAGCATACTGCGCGACGGAAAAAAAACAACGAGGTGCTTTGTGCGCCGGAGAAACGGGATATAATCCAACTGATAGCGGGACCGATAAATTCGAGCTGAGTAAATACTGCGCGAAGGTGTGATTCCGAATGCATCGCGTATTGCAAGCGGACACGATAGATGGTCGTTTCGTTGGTTGAGAGGAAACAGTTGTGTGTGTGTGTGTTTCTTGGAATCCGGTGCCCTACGAGGAAATACCGATCGACCAAGTCGCTTCTCTGTTTGAACCAACAGAGATATATACGACTTGTAAGAGACAAATATACCTATGTGCGTTGATGTATATATATATATATATATATATATATACGTGCGTGTGTTTTAAATATATTTCTTTTTATATGTATATAGAGCTCTTGAAAGATTGTTGGCTTTTATTATGACTATATGGACTGTTTGATTTTTAGATGTGGAGTGCTTCCTTATCTTTAAATATAATATGGTGTATGATAAGAGTTACGTTATACATGACAAGAAACCCAGTTATGACTCACACTGATATATAAACTTATAATCATGTAAACGTGGCCTGTACAAAAATATTGTATGGTTTATGTGTCGTAAAGTAAACAAAAATATCGCAACAATGGGTTCTATCGCTTTAGAGGAGTATGAGTTAATGAGGGACTCAAAATATAGAGTGTGAGTGTACAATAATTGCGTATCATTATCTAAAATTAACTGACAGAAAATTATCTGACATGTATTTCGAAAACTTCTCATTCTCTTCAAACAATAATTATAATTTTTCAATACAGTTTGTTTAATATTTGTATATAATAAGTCAATTAAGTTTGCAATACAATTACGATTACAATTAAAGATTGTAATAATTAAAATTTAATATATATGTATACTATAATATTTTATATCTGTTTTAGCTATGTGTCCGCTGTTGATAAGGCTCTAAAAAGCTTCGAATACACAAGTGAATGGGCAGATTTAATTTCTGCATTAGGGAAACTCAACAAAGTATTACTTAGTCATATGAAGTTTCCTGTTATTCCCAGGAGAATTAAAATATCGAAAAGATTAGCACAATGCATGCATCCAGCATTACCTTCTGGTGTTCATCTGAAAGCTTTAGAAACTTATGACATTATTTTTAAATGTATGGGCACTAATAGGCTCAGTCATGAACTCTTTATCTATAGCGCAGGTATGTTGTGCGCATGCTGTGCATATTAAAAGCAGTAATTGTAAATAGTTTTTTTAATACTTTGTAATTTTGTTTTTAAATAGGTCTCTTTCCATTATTGGGTCATGCTGCCATGAACGTCAGGCCATCATTGTTGACAGTGTATGAGACGCACTTTGTGCCACTTGGTGAAAGGTTAAGACCAGGCCTGAGTGGTTTTCTAAGTGGTGTCCTCTTGGGTCTAGAAGATGGTTCTGACCATTTCGACAGGTGTGCTAAACTGACATAACATTCACATTGTATTTATAATGTCGTTAACTATGAATGACAAAAAAATTTATGACGTGTATTACTTTTTCAGAACCAATTCCTTATTAGAGAAAGTGTGCGATGGTGTTGGTGCGGAACACTTTTATGCGTGTCTGTGGGACTGCTTAGCTTCGAATTCTGGCATCCGGTTGCCTGCTATATCATTTGTTCTAGCACACTTCAATAAAAAGCTATTGATGGAGGAGCAAGAATACATTATGGGTACTAATATTAAACTTATGGTAAGAGAAATTTTATTTAATTATTTTGAGATAATATATTATTAAATATTGAGGCTTGTTCACATGTGTCTTATTACAGGTTTCAGCCTTATGCGCCGGAGTACAAGACACTTCGGTACTAGTGCAGAGAAGTGCACTGGATTTTCTATTGATAGGTTTTCCTATTCACAATAGTCAGTTAATGCGTCAAGATATGATAATATTAATCAAAGCTGCTCTGGTTACTATACTACGAAGAGACATGAGTTTAAATAGGTAAGGACTGATGCAACGCGATAATCTTTGACAAATTTTTCCTATAACTCTGTTACATGTCTCATCTTTAAATTGTAGACGCTTGTTTGCCTGGTTGTTAGGCACCGAAGTGAGCACGTCAATTTTAAAGATAAAAACGCAAGTAGCCGCAGATACTAAGGAAGATTCCATAACGTATTTTGATATATATTCGAAAGAGATGCTAGTCGAAGCGATAAAATACCTTCTTAAAGACGTATGCGAAGAGGATTCACAGGATCTGAAGCCATATAGAATACTTGTTTCATTACTCGATAAAGTGGATATCGGACCAGTAATTTTGGATGATATCCTGTTTGAAGTGTTCAGGTAAAGTTGAGATACATTACATACATTTTAAAAGAAAAAAAAAAGGTTCCGTCCGAAACTAGCTTTCTAGCTCTCTATTTGTTATATTTCAGGACATTTTATAACGCTTGCAAACAATCAGTAGCAAATCACGCTTCGAAAGCAAACGAAGTAGTGAAATCCGCGAATCTATTGTTCTCTACGCTAGAGCCGTCATACATCTGGATACATTGCGGACATTTGTTTGAGAAGGCCTGCAGTATCAGAGCGAAGACGCAAGTTACGATAGAAGACGTTTCCGTGAGGCCCGTCGGCAGTGGAATGCCAGATCTAGTGGAAGTGTGCATACTGACGGAATTCCTGCTAGAGACCGTGTCGCTGGACGCATTCATAGACACTCCGTCTGAACATCTGCCCGGCTTATTTTACGAGATCACGAGCAAACTTTTGTATCACATCAACATTCTGTCCCCGATGGAGATCTCGAAGAGTCTCAAGTTGTGTGCTAAGATCCTATCGAAGATGCAACCGACCATGATGACAACTCATACGGACAAGTACGAGGTGGACACCAAAGTGGACGTGTCTCTGAACAACATCACAATTCCTAGCGATCATTCTTCCTTGACGACGATCCCCTTGGAGAAGAGTCAGTCGGACAGTAAGTTAAACAAGCCCGATGCGACCAACGCATCTTTCACGGAGAAAAGCCCGAGCACGAGGAGAAGAGCCAATTCCGGCGGCGCTACTAAAAGGAGCGAGAAGAAGTCGAAGAAGAAAAGCAGCAAGAGCACGCCCAAATTGAACGATACTTACAGCATACAAGCCGACGGCAGCAATATTTCGGTTGTGGTGAGTGAAGACTCAAAATCTTTACCCAGGAACAAGAGCATGGACGACATCAAAGCAAGCTGCATCGAGAGCAACGGATTGAGCCCCACGAGCCCCAAGAGCAGTCAGCTGTCCACGTTGAAACTCTTCGCGAACGTCAGTCCAAACGGATCGACGGGTTCCTTGTGCAAGGGACCATCTCCGGCTTTTCAAGCTCAGCATTCTATGCTGGAGAAATGCCTCCGTCAGTATGAGATATTTTATGTCAAGTTGATCAGCCAGCGCATACTCAGCAAGGAGAGAACGGTGCAGGATATGTTTGACCACCTGGTAGTGTCCTGCCCGCGCAAGAGTTTCGACGAGAGAATGCGCTACCTGGAGCACCTGTTGAACGCCAAACTGAACATAGAGGACTCCGGATTCTTCAGCCAAGACACATCCGTGACCGAGGACACCAAGTGCCTGGATATTTTTCACCTGTCCCTCGACATTGCAGCACACTCGGACTGGACCGAGGCTATGAAGATAGCGTCCACCCTGTTCGTCGAGTTGTCCGCGTTCCCGAAATACCGCCAGCCCGGTGACGATGTGCACGTGGAGGAGGAGCCCAAATTCGAGCAGGTTCTGCCGGACTGGCTGAAGGTCCTGATAGTTTGTTCCTGCTGGCTGCAGAAGCAACCGGCGTTGCAGTTGACGAGCATCGCTACGTTGTTGGACTTGATATCGTTGCTGGAAGCGCACAACGATGTCGAGACGCATCCCAAGAGCGGAGAGGGCATGACAGCCGTAATAATGGCGCCTTTGTTAAAGCAATGGCACGTTACTTACCTGATGCAGTACACTAATATATTTCAGGTATGCGCTCGTAATTCTTTCGTATGTATACACCCAATGATTTTTGACCACTAAATATAACAAAGTATAACGTTTATTGTACAGAGCATTTCTGAATTCCACGACAACAACAAACTTACGGGACTTACAAGATTCTCTATGTTGGAAAAAAGTTTTAGTAAATATGTCTACAAGAGCTTGCTTTTTGAGATACAGTTTTCAATAAATGACAACAATGAAAGAAAATTTATCGCGATTTTCTTCTAGCGAATTAAAAATGCCAATTAAAATGCTTTTGCTTAATTTTTGAAAATAATAATTATCAATTTTTGATAATTTCTGAATATCAGTCATTCATTGTGACGTTGGTCGTACCGTTGTACGTTGGTTGTTACCGTTTGTCGCGAGTAAAATAAAAAATGCAATGTTTTTCCCCTTATCATCATGGATGCCTACACTTTCGAGAAGCTTGTAAATATATGGCAGATATGTTATACAAATTGTCCAAGAGAATTACTTATTTTTTAAAACACGACACAATGAATAGGATATATATTTTTCTTTAAACTGAGATTGTGGCAGTTGTGTTTCGGAAACTAAGCACGTTTAAGGACATATATTTGCTAGGATTCATTTACTTTTTAATGTATATAATGTATCCTGTGAATTTGACGGTGTAAAGTTTCAGATATATATCCTGTATCACACAGAAATTACCAAAGATATAACGTATGCTGATGAAGGAATTATTCCATGTTAAGGTTTTGGCGCACTCCTTGTGGCATCATTTAGGCGAGCTTCCCGCCCATAAGTTTAGGATGCGTTGCGTAGAGCTGTTGCATGACCTGCATCATACCTTGTACAATTCCTGCGACGCGGTTGAGGACCTGATAGGGTCTGCGCTCACCTCTGAGAATCCTGAGAAGAAAATCGAAGCGTTCGGCAGATTCGCCACTTTATGGCACCTGGGACGAGAGATCGAGACGAATCCGCGGCTACGTGGTTGCCCCAGGACTTTCGACCAGTAAGCAAAAGACATTAATTTTCTTCGTTTAACTAGTCGTTATTAATGACCCCCGAACACGTGTTTGTCGCAGGTCGTTATTGAAAATGCTAGACAATCTTCAGCTCGCGGACAATTCGCCGTTGAAGCTGCAGGCCCAGTCGTGGCTGCTACATTCCCTAATGCGCGGCGATATATCACGCGTAATAGATCCACTATTGACAATACTCTTGGATCCGTCCACCTGCCGTATGAGCGTTCTTCACGTTAGTATACAACACAGCAATACCGTCCTAACGAAGAACGACCCGGTGGAGGAGAAGTCGGAGGTGCAGGACGACACGGAGGGCGCCGCTAAGATCTACGCGATTAGCTCGGTGGACGGTAATGTGATATATCATGTGAGCGACAACGTGGACGAGGACAAAAAGTGGAAGAAGGGCAAGAAGAAGAAACAGACGATCAATCCTGTGAAGATCAAGCGGATCTTTGCCGTGACGACCTTGGCGACTGGCGACAATTGCAGCCACTACGTCACGGAGAGGAATCAGTTCATGAAGGAGCTCGAGGTGCCGCCCAGCATATCCGGCAACAGGAAGATCTCCGTCTTTGTGAACCCACTCTCGATTAATTGTAACGAGAACTCGACGGATTCCTTGACGGAGGACGACTCGTTGCCGAGTATGCGGAAGGCAAACCTAACCACCGAATTGTTGAAGAACGCCACCCGTTTCAAGAAAATTGACTTCGACAAAGGTTCCACCGCCAGTTTAGACGAGAGTCTCTTCGAATCGGCCAATTCCAGCTTGAAGGCAAAAGACAAGAACAGCCTGAAGAAGCTGAACGACGACGTCGGCTCGTCGTTGGACTCCATCACGAACAGCTTGGACTCGAGCAGCCCCGAAGTGACTAATAATAAACAGTCGAAGCCGAAGAAGGAGCCTGTCATAATGCCAGGCAGTTCCAGGGAGGTGGCCGGCACCATCATCAAGGGCAGATACTACAGCACGAATGAGTTCAGCGCGAATTACGATCATGAGATCGGTAGTTTCGAAGCGAGCGCGGAGGTGCCTAGCTGGACGATGGACGACGAGGACGGCGACCTGGACGCCAGCACCACCGCGGAGGAGTACTTCAGCAACTCCAGCAGCACCAGTATAGTCGAAGAGATCTTAAACGAGGTGCTCGATCGCGCGATGCAACTGTGCGATGCCGCGGAATCGTCAAAAAGCGTGAGTATCCCAATTATTTATTTATAGTTTGTTGAAAGTGGCTGTAAATATATAGCCACAAAATGATACGTTCAATAATCTTACTGAATGCCGACTATACAGACTATTTTCGTTATATATCTATCATATCTGTTATGTTCTCATCCATATTTAGTGGGTTAAGTTCAATCATTCAATCGCGTTTTCATTTCTATCGAGCGATTTCTGTATATTGTACATTGTTTCGGCGAGAATTTGCACGATGTTTCTTCGCTTGCAGTCGGAGGAAATCACGCAGCAGAACGCAAAGTCCAATCGAAACGTCGGTCTGGGCGTTCACAATCTTCACTCGCACATGTTGCTTTACTGCGGCGTATACGACTCCACCAGGACTCTCTACGCTCTGCGTACGCTCAGGAACGAGCTGCTGACGAACACGAGAATGTTCTTGTGTTGCGCTGCGACAACCGGCGTGGCGAGCACGACCAAGAACGCTTCGACGATACTGCTGAACTTGTTGGCGAGGCATCGGAAGAGCGTTTTCGGCAGGAATTTCCACGGCAGCATTGCCAACTCGGAATTCATAGCGGCTTATCGGAGCAGTATGTACCTGGAAGTGCTGATAAGCGTATGCCTTTACTTCGCGAGAAGTTATTATCCGAATCTCGGACAGATGAGGCTTACGTACGAAGAGATCGCCGGTAATCGTCAGGTACGTTTCTTCTTTTTTTCTTTTTTTTTTCTTTTTTCTTTTTTTGTCATGAATAATAAATAACTCCTTGAATATTGTCCACGTGTGTGTGAGAGGAGAAAAATCAAATTTAATATTAGTAAAATATATCAAAAATATATAAAAATACGTAAAAAAAGTATACATATATATATCTTTTTTCATAAATTATTAATATATACATATATTTTCGTCTTAATATCACGCACAGACACACACATCGAAATTATAATCTTTACAGGTGCAACTTGCGAGCGCAGAGCTACTGACGCTGATGTTTTCCGAGCTGATCCCAATTGTACGCGACTCTGGGAAAGGTTTCAGCTGCTACATAGTCGACCTGCTGACCAAGTGCAAGGTACAGAAAGTTGCGCTGCACTGTCTCGTGTCCAGCGTTATGAGTATGAGGAATGCTCACAAAGAAAACGAGGACGTCTTCACGTTCACCGAGGAGATCGTGCTGTTCAACGATCCGTTCATCGACAATGACGTTAACAAGTGTAAATTTCGAGCGAGCGATCATACGGAAGCTTTCCAGATACAGTTGCTGCGGTGAGTGTGTAATAAAGTACAGTGAATGCTTCAGAAACACATTTTACTTTACCGCCCTGCAAGTGACCGATCACATTTCCAGATTATTGCTGTCGTTAATAATGTTGGAGCATCAGTGTAGCAGCCAGAAAGGGGAGGAGATCAACCCGACAGTATCGTCCATGCCAAGCTCGCCGGCACGGACTCTGTCAAACTTGATAGGCAACAGCCTGAAGTACGTTCCCGGAGCGGCGATCCCGCAGCAACCGATGTTCCTCGCCAGTATTCTCAATGCATTGCAACTCGTACGTAATTCGCGATATTGGAATAATAAGTGACCTGCATCGATGAATATGTTAACATTAACATCATCTCACTCAGGATCATATGAGGCATCTTCATCAACACTGGACGACGCTCGTCACGTCCAGCCTGCCATTCATGGGATCGTCACTGACGACCGTCGTTACGTCGGTCATTCATCAATTGTGCAGCAATATCGAGCACCTAGCGTCGTATTACATCAGCGAGGAGGCCGCGTTGACATCGAAATTGCAGGATATCAGTACGGTCGAGTGCTGTTTGCCCGCGGATTACACAGTGACACATCTGGAGGCTTTGACGTATTTGCTGCATTATTGCCTGCTGGATACTTCCCAGCAAATTGGGTTCTCCTTCAACCAGCCGCTAAGTACGATACAGACAGGAATCCCCGGCGCTAATCCGAGCCAGATATTCAACAATCTTATACACGTCTTCATGCCGAGCCCGCTCACGTCGGTCAGTTCCCTGCATCCGCTAGATGCAGTTTCTACAAATTTGAATTTTAGCTTGTGCGCTGATGATAAAACACATTTTCTTTTTCTCCCGCAGGATCTATCCGCAGCGAAGGATAAAACCGGTGCCACCGAACTGCAACAACACGCCAGAAGAACGGCGCTGAGCCACTTGCCGAGGATAATAGCGTCCTTATCTGCCTTGTGGCAGGCAGTCTTGGCGACGAAAGACAAGTAAACATTCTACCATATTTTTTATGTACACAGAAACATTTTATATTCCATTAATATAATATTGTTGTGCTTCTTTTTTATGATGCTGTATAGCGAGCAAGCCAGCTGTGTGGTGGGCAGCCCGAGAATAGTCAAGTATCAATTGTTGGAGCTCTTGTCGCCAATCTCTTTCCATCACGGAGCCAATTTCCTGGCCGCAGTCGCAGTGGCATGGCACGAGAGACGACAGCCGTCGGCCGTTTCGAAGAAGGTAAATATTAACTATTTGATTAATCCTTTGAATATATTCCGTGTGGAGTTGCCGAACGGTTGAGAAAAACGGTTATCGTGAGAATATTTGTGTTGTGAAACACGTTATCATATGCTTATACGTCTTCTGATAAAGTAACTAATATGAATGATAAAAAGATTATACTTTGGGATATGAATCAGTTTGTGTCAACAAGATGAAGGAAAGTAAGCATTGAGCGTCCATCAATTATAATCGATAAATACATACATACATACATACATATATATATATATATATTGAAAAAAAAAATAAAAGCAACGTGCGAAATAGGCAATATATTTAGCAGCTTGGCTTTGGAAAAGAAACTTTCATTTAAACCCGAGTTCGTTTATACACAGATGCTCCCAGAAGCCTGTCCCAACCAGCAAGTGATGGTTCATCTGGTTAGCGCGATCCGCGTGATGCCTATTGACACATTGGTTCACACCGTGCACCAAGTGGTGAAAACGCCGCCGCCGATACACGGGATTAAGCAGGACTTCTCGTTGGAGGTCTCGGTGCTGGAATTACTTTACGTGTACATGCAAAGTAACACGTCGCAGTCGCTCATCGAGTCGTGGGCATCTTTGCTCAGTCTGCTGAAGGACGGTCTGTCGTTAACAGCGCCCGCGCAATTTCTCTTGCTGGCTATATTGAACGAGTACGTGCAAAAGTGTCCGCCTATGCAGGAGAAGAAGGACATCAAGGATCTGCAAGACGTGTCTGCGAAGGTAACGATTGTTATCGCACGCTTTGTGTTGCATTGCCGCGATAAGAGAACGGTCGCTGAATATCACTCGATTTCCGAACATTCCAGCTCATCGAGTCGTGTTCGCAAATAGCCGGCGCGTGTCTGGAACAGACAACGTGGCTGAGAAGAAACCTGGCCGTCCGAGAGGACGTCTTCGAGGTGGTGGAAGGTTCCTCGGAAGGTAAAGAAGGAAAGAATGGTGCTGGTGCGTAATGTGCATATTATTTCTTAGCTATACTTGTGAAAAATACTTTCTCAACGTAGTAACGATTTTTTCTTTTTTTTCTCTCCCTTTTTTTTTTTTTAATCTTTTTCTTCCATTTCTCTCGATGTGCTTTATTCCCTCAGTTCTGTGACCTTACATTAGCGAGCGAGCAGCTTCGACCTTTTTCGCCGGTGTTCGTACGTACGCGCATTGATGGAAACTTGATACTTTTTTACAGTGACACCCGGTACTCCGCCTAACGCGGCGTACAGCGTTCAGGCGCAAGCGGTATTGGCGGAAATACTTGCGCCGTTGTTGGACGTGAGTTACGGTTCGCAGGAGAAAGAACGCGTGGTGACGTTGCTGACGAATCTCATGTACAACGTTACGCCTTACTTGAAGAATCACACGTGAGTTTTGTGAGACTCGCTTTTATAGCGCTTTTTTTTCTATAGCTTTCTGACGTCGCTCGATTCTCGATTGTCGACGACAAAAAACAGCATTCTGATTTTTTATTGCATTCTCACAGAATAAAGAACATCGCTTCATTCACCGCCTGCTCCCAGCTGCTGGCCTCCTTGTCAGGATACCAATACACACGAAAAGCATGGCGCAAGGATGTCTTGGACCTATTACTCGACCCAGCTTTCTTCCAAATGACACCGGCGTGCTTACCGTACTGGAGAACTATAATAGACAACCTGATGACGCACGACAATACCACCTTCAGAGATTTAATGAGTAATTAGCAAGCACCCTCTCCTCTAACGGCATGCGACATGTTCGTTGTAACCGTAGAAGTCGAGCTAACGTTATTTCATTGAACAGATCGTGTCTCCATGGCTCAAGGCAGCGGGATCAGTATATTCTCGTCGAAAGAGCAAGAATACGAACAGAAGGCACAACTGTTGAAGCGGTTGGCGTTCGTTATCCTTTGCAGCGAGACGGATCAGTATCACAAGTACATGCCGGAGATACAAGGTGAGTTTAGCTCGGCAGGATTTATCGGATACTCAGACCCACACACACACACACACACACACACACGTATAATTGTTGATTGGTTATTTTGCTTTCAGAACGTTTAGCAGATAGTTTACGCCTACCCCAAGTAATCCCGTCTATCCAGGCGCAAGTGTTTCTATGTTTTCGCGTATTGCTATTGAGAATGTCACCGCAACACGCAACGTCCTTATGGCCGGTCATAGTTAGCGAGCTTGTTCAAGTTTTCCTCTACATTGAGCAAGAATTGAATACAGACAGCGAAGAGTTCAGGTACGCGAATTCTTCTGATTCATGTTGCTTCCCGGATATTGAGCAAACTCGCTTATGGGACGCTACTGCTTTGTATTGTGCATGGTATATGTTTATTTTGCGTACGCGCGATTGGTCATTACCTTATCAGAGCTATGTCTAGGATATGTATTTTTCCTTTGTGTCTCATATGTTCTCTTGTGTTTTCTTTTATGTTCTTTTCTTTTTCCTTCAAAGTCGCGTTATGGCTTCGACGTGACCGACAGTCACAGTATAGTAGCGAAACGTCTTGTAATACTTGTGAATTATCGTTGGTACACATTGGCATGATCGGTAGCTCTGTGCGCGTTTTGCGCATTGACCTTAAGAGAGCATTGCATTCGAGACACGATCAGGAGATCACTAACATTCGCAGGACACTCGAAATACAAGTGACAGATCTCTGAATACATAGAATATTGTGTAGAGTACCGATGTCCCTTCTCGAGGTTTCGAATACATATTTCAATACCGACTGGTAAATAGCAGTAAATATCCTCAACAAATTTCTCTCTGTATACGTCCCCACTAACATGGACACGAACCTAATATCGTACTGTTTTTTGGCTCTGTTTCGGCATCCGCGATTTGATGGGATTTGTGGTGCCTCCGTAACTTGAATGGTGTTGGGACAGCAGTCTTCAGAGCAGGTAACTCGATGGTCCAATGCAATATTCGACGTGTACCGCGTGGCGTACACATACGGTTAACAGTGCGAAGGAGTTGACTTCGGTAATGTGTGAAATACTGCGAGAAGTACCTTCAGTTTCAGCGTCTAAGTACATCTCTATACTCGGCGCCTGAATTCATCTACTGTTTTCTAAATATTTGAAGATAGATATGTATATCTATCAAAGTGATTTGCCACCAAGATTTGCACCTGCGAATATTCAAAGATGCTGAACCACAACTGGTAACCGTATGCAGTGCGCGCAAAATTGCCGTGCCGAGCCGAGCCGAGCCGAGTCGTCTGTCGGGAAAATTGTATATCGTTTTTACATTGGCTGGGTCGAACCGTCACGCTTCTCAAGTTGCGAACGCTTAATAGCGGTACACTAAATAACGGCGCACGGTTGTGTTTCACGCAGCTCGCACATCAAGCTCCTGTCGGCCCTGGACTCGTCGTGGGCTGTCAACGCCAGCAACGGGCTGCAGGCGCACGGACACCCTCACTGGTTGCAGTTGCAGCTGGCCGCTGCTAAATTGCTAGACCTGGCGTTGCTGTTGCCCGCGCACAGATTACCGCAATTTCAGATGTGAGTGGCCGCTTGAAACGATTCCTTGGGCGCGCGCGCGCGCGAGTTCGCCTCAAGAGCAGCGGAGAGTCGATCTCGAGACAGCCGCGTCGTGTCTCGCGTAAGACAGATGCGTGCATTCATTTATTCATCCCGTCGATTTACAGGTACAAATGGGCGTTCGTTGGAGACGCGGCGGCAGGCTGCGCGGATAACAACAAATTGTCCTCGGACTTTGTGCCGCACATCACGCGAATCGCGAAATTAATGGATAGTAAGGTGAGAGCTCCCTCGCGACTGAGCAGCTCTCGCTGCTTTCGACGAGAATTTCTTGGCGCGTACACGAGAAGCGATTGCTCGCTTCTCGTGTTTCCGGCAGGGGACAGCTTGACGTGTGTGAGAATACGTGTGTTGAGAGGCAATGCGACGATCCCGTGAACGATCAGATTTGGTAATTGAAATCTCGCCCTTCCTCCTCTGCTTCCGTCCAACACTGCTCCGGTGTCAGGCACTTCTGTCTTATCTCGTCGAAGACATAGTCCTCCTTGCACTCGCACCCGCTTCTACACGGTGTGTAACAATCCACCACGTCCGGCTCCATGCACGTGAATTGGCAGAGGCAATGCGTCCAGACTGACCGGTCGTCGCACTGTTGGTAGCCTCGGGAGCCTACAGAGGCGAACTCGTCGTAGTCGTAGCCGGGGATCCGGTGCTTGGTGTATCTGTAGACCTTCCTGGGCAATTCGTACCAGTCGATGTGCTCGGCGAACAGATTTCTCTCGAAGGAATCGACGTTGTTGCCAAAGGCGGTGAGACGGTGATCCTGCGACTCGGGATACGCGCCGCGTTGGCGCTCCGTTTCCTCGTAAAAGTCGTCCGCCACCGCATCGACGCGTCTCTTGTGGAAGTTGCCAACGCGGTCCTCCGACAAGTCCTCGTAAAAGTCGAAGTCGTACTCGGTATCGTCCTTGTATTCTGAATACGATAATGAAATAAAAACGATATTCGATTGTCGGTCCGTATTTTTAACGCCAAGTGCCCCGACGATTAACATGGATTTTGAATATATTAACCGCCGGTGAAAATGCGTGACAGGTAATACGCTGAAGAAGTACGCGATGCAAGGGAGGAGGTTTGCTTCTCTCAATATCCAATGTTGATGAAAATATGTCGATATAAAATGCTCCGTTGTAAATTCGAGTCATTTTTACAAGAAATTACCTAGGAACCTAGGAATGTCACTTTGACTCTTTTGACAGTTGTGATTAATAGACTTCCTTAACGACGTTTACGCGAAGCCCGGAGCGGAAGTTCACTCTCGATCGCGAGGAGATTAAACTGATTAGATCAATCTGCGATCTGGAATAGGTCGTTGCACTACGTGCAACGTGGTTATCTTTTCTCTAATACTCGTTAATTAGCATCAGTTAAGCTCGCATCGGAGCTGTTTGAAGTGTCGACCGGCGCGAATAAAAAGAAAGACGTTACGAGTCGTCAACGCAATTACTCGCAAGTAATATTCGTGAGTGTGTATGAGAGGAAAAAAAAAGTATCCAGACGGTGCATGGACGGTAATGAAGAACCGACGAAAGAGAATCGCAAGTGAGCTGAAAGTATTACCGAGTAACGCGAGAATCCGCATTATTCCTTGAAACGAACGGAGGAAACAGGTCGAAAACTCGCCCCAACACTCACCTCCGCTGACAATCATCACGGCGCACAAAATGTAGCAACACAGAATCTTCAGCCAAGCCATCGCTGCTACTGCTACGTCAGACTCCTCTCGCACAGATCTCGAGCTCTGCGCCGACTGTTTGAATTGCAACGTGCAAGTGCTCTCTCAATTATCGCTGCGAGGGCCTACTCTTATATAGGCTTTGCTTAAAGTCGCTTCTGTTTAACGCAACACCGCCACGCACAGTGTTATATATGTATCTTCAATTCAGTTCCTTCCGAGCGAGTTCATTGTGAGCGATCGGTTGTCGAAAAGCGAATTTAGGAACTTTGATTCAATCAGATTGAAACACAGCTTCCTTCTCCTTCCGTTACTTCGTCTTCTTTTTTCCGCTCAGATTTCAGGTTTGTTGGCATTAACGCGCTGGTGCGAGAACAGGGCTCGCGCGAATGACCGAGCCTGACGCGCACGCGTCTCTGTCCATTTCTGAAATACTTATTTTTGTAACGTGGTAATCGTACATATGTTTGTTTTTGCAGTCACGCCAATACACGCTCTCTTGTCCGTCGAGTGAATGTTGCACAACGTTCAGCGGCGAAACGGCGATCTTTCCTTTTCTTTCATCGTCGCATTGTCTCGATCGTGTACAAATACAATGTTCAGTATATTTGAAAAAAAAACTCTCTACATTGCTCTTCATATTAACATATTTTCTCGCTCGCAGTACAAACCGGAAGGCCCGCCGCCGAAGAGGAAACCGGGGGAGCTCCTGCTGACGTCGAACAACGTCCGTTCCTTGCAGGACCTGCATCATTTCTTCTCAAGCCTCAGTCGCGCCACGTGCGACACGCATGTGCCGATAAATAACACACAATTGGAGACTGTGATCGAACAGGACTTCCTTGAAAAAATGCCAGCCGTGCCAGCGAGATAGTAGGGGTACGAAGAGGTAGATAGATAGATAACATCCGTTTGTCAATCGGGAAGTGAGAAGGAGAGAAATAAAGGAGAAAAGATATGACCGTGTTAGGACTCTTTATTCTTTGATATATTTGTAAGAAAATGTACAACGAGGGTGTGTGTCGTAGTTTCGCCGTACTCGAGTGTCGATACGTAACTACTATAAATGTTTCATAAATGTGATACAGATAATGCGCAAGCACTCAGAGAAGACACGAGAGACTCTCGCTGTCAAAATCTGCGCGTCCAATACTTCAAACGGATGAAAAGAGATGCGACGAACTTGATACACCCTATGCACTTAGATAATAATAGCGTTAATCTCTTGAAACGGAGGAAAGAATCGACAGAGAGAGAGAGAGAGAGAGAGAGAGAGAGAGAGAGAGAGAGAGAGAGAGATAACATTTGCATTGAGAGAAACGCGTTAGTTCTATTGCGGATAGATTGTAGATAAAGCGATAAATTTTTTTCACGTATAGTCGTTCGATCAGGAGATATCTGGCGCGTTTAGAATAAATCGAGCTTTTGTTACTGGTTTTTTATTGATTAAGCTTTCGACTTGTCTCCTCATTCGGTTGTGAATAGTTATCAGCGTGTATGATACGGCAAGCTAAGCTCGCGCGTTGACCTGCTAACTGTAAGATTGTACAGAGAAACGATTGTACAGTGTAACATAATATTTAATAATGGATGATAAAAGGTCTTCCCGCGCTATTTTCTCTTGACATATGCGCACGTCGTTCATGCTTTCTTTAACAATTCTTTCCATCTAATTCTTCCTTTAACTTTGCGTTCGTTTTTAACGTTTGTTTGTGAAATGATTCAGACACATTTTTCCTTGATGAACGGCTGATAACGGCTGTCAGCGCACCAAATGGTTATAATTGCGAGTCACTGCTCACAGGTTTATACGGTAATTGGTTATAACAAAATTATACCAAAGTGACAGTATACAGCGTAAATATTAGTTTATTAGTTTAATTATTCTTTGTTATATTCTTATCTGAGATGCATAAAAATATGATGAATTCATTGTATTATACAAGATAAAAATGATATATATATATATATATAATTATATGTGTTATATAATGTAATATCGTATATAACATATTATGCACAAGATATAATAAATTCGTCATATTTTATCTTAAATTGGGATAAAACGTCCGATAACCGAAAAAAACTCGTTTTCGGTGCTTTCACGCAGATATTTTTTTATCAGACATATTAAGATGTATGGGAATTCAAAAAGTAAAGTAAACAAATAAATAAGTGATAAATCTGCTGGCCAGGGACGTTAGGCCAGGTTAGGGACGTTTCATCCCCCATATATTTTCCCCGAATCTTCCATTGCAGTTGTAACGTTGAACGTCTTGTATATTATCACTTCGGCTCTTATCGAATTATTACGTAAGCTCCCAAAAAATTACTCGTAATCGTGAAGGTTTAATACGCTTTATCGGAACTTTCGTCGGAAAAGAATGTGTCCGGATCGTCTCACAAACGAGTGTGTAATCATTCCCGTGCGATAACGGCGGACACAAAAAAGATTCCCTTACGAGACCAGCGAGAGTCACAGAAATTGGGATAGATTTAGTAAACGACACACAATTCGAACGATCCTCCCCCAGTCGTGACGTCCAGCGAGAGAAACGCACGATGTTATTATTAATAGTGAATGTTAATGATTAATAACGTTAATTATCAGAATCTTGGAAATTCGCGAGTCTCGCGGCAAACCTTCCCAGAGAATCGAAAAGCGTCATGAGCGGTCCGCGCGGTTGTCTTCTCGCCAACGCACCTGCGATGAATATTACATGCGTCAATCGCTTGATACAAGCGCAATCTCCTTTTTTCCATTCCATTATCTGCAGACAACCGGCCCGCTTCACATTCAACCACACACACACACACACACACACACACGACTTCGAGCCAGATAGAAGATCGCTGTGAAGTCTCAGGAACCTCCTCTCCCTATTAATTGTTTAATATAAGACTACTGTATTGTATGTGAGACGTCATTTATTTTAACGAACCGACTTTCCATGTGTGAATCAGTGAATGATAATTATCAAACGATAATATGCTACTTTGGACACAGCTCGCTTGGAATAAGACGCTATATTTTTATGAAAATGCGACACGATACGCATTAAAAAATCTATTTCCAAGTATATCTGCTTAATATACGGCTACATCTACGGCGTTATTATTATACAAGCTTCTGCACACACGTACACACAGATGCATACGGTTAGAGAATAAAAGAGAATTCGCAGATAATTATTAATCGGAGTATAATGAAGTGCATATATAACGATAAGACAATGTGTGTCGTATATTTTGCTCAATAAAAATTTTGGAACTGTACCGAAGGTGTTGGACCCGACATCTCGGCAGTCTCGGCGCATGCCGAGCCGAGGGTGAAATGAAAATAAAGATGTCTGTGGAAAGTAAGAGTTTAATGCCGCATTAATTTTACGGACGGAAATATCAATGTTAGAAAGTAAATTGCACGTGAAACGAGCGTCTAATCGCCGCCGTGCGCCTGCGCCCGTCGCTCAAGGATGCAAGAACGAGCGACCGTCAAGCAGGACCACGGCGAGTTATTAAAATCGAGAATCGAGGTGTGCGAGGAGACACCTTGAGACTTGAGAACGGAAAAGAAGGCCCGTTGCAAAAATGCCGTGCATTCGGCGGGGTATTGATAGCACGTGTTGCAGACGACACGATGGTCACGTTTTCTCGGACTTCTGATTCGTTTCGGGCACAATGGCCCGAGTGGGCGCGAACAGCGACGAAGAGGATAAGGGTCGTGAGAAAGAGAGAGGGGAAGTAAGACAGAGCGAGAGAGGGCGAGCGAGAGCGAAGGAGCGAAAAGGAGAGAGAGAGAGAGAGGGAGAGTTGCTGAAGAGCATCGTTTACATGGCGCTACGTGCTCCAATGAGTGCATCACGTCCGAGGTCTCGAGGACAACGTGACGACGCTCGCCACCTTCTTCCGCCGCGCTCCCGTGATAGGTGCACCAGGTACTCGGCGAGATGACAACGGCGCGAAACGTATGCGCACGTCAGTAAATTGTCCCCGACGTGCGAAACCGGTTCCAGCCGTTCGAGTCGTTACACTTCAAAGGCTAATGCTGAACAGGTGAAAGTGAAGTAATATCGACGAAAGGGACACGCGAGCGAGTGAGCGAGCGAGCGAGCGAGCGAGCGAGCGAGCTGCCGAGCGACTGGAACTGGCACTCGCGCGTCTTCTTCTGCTGCAAGCTCGCCCCGGGAACATGACCGTGGAGACGCGTTCGTCCTGAGCCGCCTCGTTGGCTCGCTGACAGTCAGCTAACCTAAGTCGGACGATATCGTCGTGTCGAGCACGACGGCAAGGCGTGACGGTGACACCGCGATTCTCTTCGCACCATGGCTACGGTCGACAAGCTGGAAAATGTCTGCAGACTTTGCCTGGAGAAAAAGAACGAGATGATGCCGATCTTTGGCAACGAGAGCATGCAGCGCAAGGTGCCTCACAAGCTGCGCGGCTGCCTGCCAGTGTTGGTGTATCAAACCGACCCGTTGCCCAAGCAGATTTGCCAGTTCTGCGCGGCCAGGTTGGACGACGCTTACGAGTTCCGGGAGCACTGCCTGGACGTCTTCAAGAAGATGTTCAACATGCTACTGAAGTCCCAGCAGACTGAGTCGGTGCGGATATTTTTGGACGCTATGACCAACTCGCAAGACCCATGCCAGGTTTGTTGTTTAGGCAGTTGATGCGTTTTAGAGATTCACAAGGTTTGTGTAGGTGTAGGTTTAATAGTAGTAGTTGAAGGAGCTGGCGGATCTATTACAGAGAGATCTTGGAGTTATATCGTATATAAATCGTACAGATCCATCATAACTCTGTTGTTGCTTTAGAGATCATTCTCTCAGTATTTCCAAGGTTTTTGGGCTTGGTGGGTAGCTTGTGATTTATGATTTCATTGAGATTGCAATGGACTGAAATCAATTTGGTAGGATTCTCCCTTAACCGTCGGTGTTTTAATCAACAGGCGCAACTGTGCAAGAAATCCAGAGCGCCACCACCTTTGGTCCCTTTGCCAAATTCACTGCCACTTGACAACTCATTAGCTCCGATCAATCAGATCAATCAAGACCAGCTGCAAAACACTTGCATAGAGAGCCTGCCTGAATTACCATGCGAAGTGGAGATAAAGGAGATGACCACGGACACAAACTTGAACGACCAAATTACCGCTTGTGAGTCACCGGTTAGAAGGCCCAAATGGTTGGAGTCTTACAACACGAGTTTACGAACAGTGACAAATACAGTTCCTACATTTGATACGGGAGATGAGCAGGCATTCTCTAAAGCAGAATACCAAGCGAGGAAGGAAGAGAAGCGTACGAGCATCTTGGAGCAGGCATTGACCGGCAATATCACGTTGAACAATCTGGCAAAGAACAGTTTAACGGTGGACCACCGACAGAGGCTGCAGACCAAGGCAAAGCTAACTTCCGAATGGTGGTGCGTGCCGTGCAACACATACTTCAAGTGAGTTTCGCAACTCCGTAACACAGCGAGAGCATTTCGTCAATTTAGTGATGACCAGCATCGATTGATTTCAGATCGAGAGACAGTCTGGTGAAGCACATGCAGGTGTTTTGCCCGCGCGACTTTACTTGCAAAAGATGCTACGTATCCTTCGAGTCCGTGGAACTCTTGGCGAAACACGAAGCTGATTATCATTTGGTAGTGAGGTTGGGCTCAGTCGAGAACTTAAACGACTGCGACCAGTGCGACCGGCAATTTCTAAGCTGGAACATGTTGAAACAGCACAGATTGTGTCACCATTTGGCCGAATTGACCGAATTTCTCGACAGAAACACACGGTGTTCATTGTGCAATAGGTGAGTTTAGAAACATATTTCTTTTACAATGCTCCCCCAAATTATTATATCCGTTTCGTTCGATATGCTTGAGCGTACCTGTGCGCGTTTGTGCTTTCAGGTGTTTCCCTACTGTACGAGCTTACCAAAACCACATGCAGTTGCATCGAATGAACGACAGTTCGTTGTTACCACAAAGACCGTTTTCAGCAGAGCCTACATTTCCGATGGTGAGAGTGGAACGAATGGGAGAAGTTAAAAGGATAGATCCATTCTACGAAAACTCAAAGTCCCTCAAGTGTCCCACATGCGGAAAGGTACTCGTTATTGCGAGTAAGAGCTTTGCTTTCTCAACGATTACAACGATTGCTAACAATCGTGTGTTTGCCAGGTTTGCACAGCGCAGAGCGCATTGTCGAACCACATGCGTACTCACAAGCCGAAGAAGTACAAGTGTAACTTTTGCGGCCGACTGTTCGGCCTGCTCATACGGTTAGCGGCGCACAAAATGTCACACGACAAGCAAGCAGAGGTGTCGCCAGTAATGTCGGCGGTCGAGCAAGAGGAGGCATTGAATGCTGAGAGAGAGGCGAGGGAAGCGGCGAGAGAAGCCAGAACTCGTGTCAACAAAAGATCGTATTCCGAGGTTTGTCCAGATCACTTTCTTTTTCCTTTTTTTTTTTTTTCTGATTAACGCGAATAAATTTATGTAACGATGTAAAATCAAATCGATAACTTATAATTTCGTTCAACGATCTTTCCTAGTGCTTCTGCAAATATGTTTGCATATGATGTAAAATCCATGATTTATTCGACGATCAATGAGATTATCCCAAAGCTCTTAAATTTCTACTCGCAAGCACATATTCATATCCTACAAAAGTCGACGCAAGTTGATCGTTGCGCGAGTAATTAACGGTCGGAGGATAAAATGGAATCGTCGTCAAGTGAAAAATCGATTGAGACGATATACGATAAGTAATTAAATTATAATCGTCGCGTTTTCAATTGCAGATGATGGAGAAGCACGACGCGTCGCCGGAGGATGAGCCTGCTGAGTTTAAAAAAATAGCAAAATGCGGCATCTGTTCGCAGTGGTTCGGCGACCATACGACGATGCTGGCGCATCTCCAGACGCACTCGGACAATTACAACTGCAAGAACTTCACGTGTCACGTGTGTAAGAAGTCGTTCAAGGAACAATGGCAGCTGGTCAGGCACGAAGTGAGTACTCTTTCACAGCGCGTTCATTTAGAATTAGCCATTTGTCACGTCATCGTATACTTTTTTCCATACACGAGCAATCTTCTGATTGATAGGCGAGTCATAAGCGCGCCGATAAGGCCGCATACACGTGCAACAGCTGCAAGAAGTCCTTCGTGGATAAGTCTCTGTACAAGGCGCATCAAAAGACACACATGGTGGATAAGACCTATCACTGCGCCAAGTGTAACAAGATCTTCTTCAAAGAAGTGTCGCTGCTCGCTCATCAGTGCACAGGCGGCGCGTTGTCGGATAAGAGGCCCGCTGCGGAACCCGCGCAAAGAACGTCGACTCACGACAGCAATAAGAGACACAAGCGGGACCCGGCATCGTTACCGTCACGAAACTCCCACATGAGAATGTACAACAACGACACTTATGGCAACATGGTGTGTGACATGGTGGATGACGCCTATTAACAATGATGTCGTACATCAGACGTATTCCGCGACTAACAGTGTCTCACCTTTCAGACACAACAACGTGAGATCAAAGTCGAGGCGGACGACGAGTCGATGCCAAAATTAAGCCCGGAGATCTTGGAGTACAGCGTACCTATCATCGAGCCCAGAATCGAAATCAACGAGCAGAGCGCACCCCCGCCTTTCAAACGGACTCTCATCAAGACAACTAACGGGTGAGTGAAAGGGTTCGAATGTCGAAACTTCGTTACCATAGACTTATGTACATGGAGTGCGCTTTCTTACGAGAGATTGGAAAACGAGATGTGAAAAACAGCTCTATATTCCTTTTCCACTGACCACAGGCGTGCAATGTTCGTCTAGCTAGAGCCAAGCTAGACAAAGATCGAAGGTCTGCGAAGCGGCAGCTGCGAAGGTCAGCTTTTTGTGAAGCACTCACTCTATGTACAGGATGTTCAGAAGTTCCTTAGCAGGATTTTCTTCGAAGTGATTTAAAATTGGTAAAGACAAGTGGCACTTACTCCCCCCCCCTCCCCACCTTCCCCTTAAACAGAACAAAACTCTTAAGGGAGAAGCATGCATCGAGAAAGCATGAAAGTACTTTTAATCGTAGATACCACTTGTTTTTATCAGATTCAAATCAATTCGGACAAGAATCCCCATGAGAAGGCCACTCTGTGTATAAGTCTATGTTCGTGACGAAAAAAAGCAAGGAGGGCGAGCTACATTCCGAGTAACCGGATGATTGCTGCCTTCGCGTAACACGCGTACGTGCTTCTAGGTATCGATGTGGCGTGTGCAAGTCGCCGTTCGTGTCGAGGGAGCTAGCCGTGGCTCACTTGAGGTCAGCTCATCCAATAATGCCGTATCAATGTCCTTACTGTAAAAAACGATTCACCACGCAGTATATGTTCACCCACCACATCAAGACGGAGCATCCCGAGGAGCCCGAGAAATGAAGACCGCTCGTGACTCTTCGACTAACATGGACCCGATCGAAGTTGTATCACAATATGTGCCTCGTACTATCTACACGAGAGAGTTCGTCTCTCATAGTATATGTGTACAGAGTGTTCATCGAAGGGCTTCTCAAGCTCGAACCGTTTGAGTCGCGATGGACACTCTGTATATAAAGTGCGTCGAACTTTGGCCCGAAGGCTCAGACCGACGTGCCGTTTTTGTTCATAAGTATTGAACGGAAGAGTCCTTTAGTATGTAACCGCGAGCGCGTAACGTTGAGATGTTTGTTGAATGCGAGGCTATTGATACTAGTACTTACGCTGATGAACGTGCCTGTATAAGTGCTTTGTTTTACAGTGTTATTATAGTCCGACGGCGCAGCTAACCGCGCGCAGGAGGAGAGAGAGAGAGAGAGAGAGAGAAGGGGAGAAGGTGTTTCTAGAACGACGGTAAGGAGAATCTTAAGCGTGTTGATTAGGGGAAAAGAATTTAGTTAGTTACACGAACGTTCGGACGGCCAACAGGGAACTTTAGTTACGCAATTTGTATTATGTACGGTCTGTAGCGATGAAAATGACATTGTGGTCGACCGGTTGCAGTGACGTGAGAATACGGAGAGTCCTCCGCGCGACACACACATCGCGAGTTCGTTGACACGTTGTGTTTTAATACCGTTGTGAGTTATCTTGCGTTTTAGAGAGAGATAAACGGAGAAGGTGTCGAGAATCCTCAATCGCCTTAAATTGCGTTAGAACACATTCCCGCAATCCCGCAATCCCGCAATCCGTGACTTCGACGTCACGATCTCTCAGCGATCGTCGCGCGACTCGAATGCTGAGTTCTCAAGAAGAATACCGAAGATCATCGTTTGTCGCGGTCACGAGTAAGCAGACGTCTTCTCAGCCGACAGCGATGCCACGTAATTTAATTGTACACTTTGTAAGTTTGTTTTATATATAGTTCATTTACAATAAACCATGTCGAAAGATTCTTTCTCGCTCTCTTACTCTCGCCGCACAGAGTTGCGAGTTGCGAACCGCCCCGAGAGCGGAAAGGAATGCGTCTTCTTACAAATATTAATCTCCACAACGGCAGGTCTCCCCCGGCTGCTTCGCCAGCGCGGGGATGTGCATTCCGGAAGCAGGCGAAGGAGGGAGGAGTAGCGTGTGTGCACCACCATCGACGATTGCACCGGCGCAGCGGGCGCATCGCGTCCGTCCAGAGGGGGTGGGATCTGCCGCATAGTGCGGATATAGCAGGCAAGGGAAACTCGGTGACTCGGTCGACGGGTATCGGCGCGTCAGTTGCTATGCGTCCGGGCACGATCGCGAACACGGTGCGCGATCGCCAGCAAACGGGCCGTGCCTAATAGTCGTGCTCCTCTCACCCTTGGACGTAAGCGACGTAACGCGAGGCGAAGCGAGACGACGACGTCGTATATCATTCACTGCCTCTCCTTCCTGGTCGACGACGACGACGACGACGACGACGACGACGACGACGACGACGACGACGACGACGACGACGACGACGACGTAGACGTGGACGTGCTCGCCTTCCATGCGACGATCGCGGAATTAGAGTCGAGACAGAAAGCACGCACATGGTCCGGCAATCGCGACCATGATCGCGAACCGTGCCGCGCTGATCACCGGCCTCGTCCTCGTTGTCCTGGCGGCCACTTTCGATCGCGGTGAGTGCCGATCGAACTCGGCGGCCACCGAGGCCTTCCCACAGAACCACGATCGATCCTCCCCCGCGCGAGGCGCGATTCAACTCTCGGGATCCTTCGAAGGATTGAAAATCGCGCGACTCCCTCGTCGTGATCGCACCGAGACGTTGCGCTTAGCGCACGTTCGTGACGACGCGCTTCGATTTACTTAAGACGAAGTAATTGGTAGAATGTAAAGTAGCATAAATTTATCTTGATTGGAGTCTCGGAAAACAGCATACAAACCGAAATACCCTTCTCTTGGCGAGGATGTATTCCGAATATATTTAAAGGAACAGGGATTTCGTTTGTGTGCCTTTCCTCAAGTCACCATCTCGCTTGTTTGCTTAAAATCGTCAAGCAGTGAGTCGTGTTGTTGATTTTCTGCCGAAAATCGCTTCTAAAAAACGTCCGTAAAGCTCGCCCGCAAGGTCAGGACGTCCTTGGGGCTGAGCTCTATAATATACTGAAGCGAAGGAGACATGTCCTTGAAGGAGATAGATCGGCTAAAACGTTGATTTATCTTCATCTTCAGCAGTCACACACACACACACACACACACATATTTTCAGCACTTGTTACTGACAAAGATAACAATTCCATCTGTTCGTCTCCTTGAAGGCTCACTTCAGTATAGTATAGAACTCACGCTTTACGAGCGTCGGTCTCCATTGACGTGATATTTTCTAGGAAAATATGCACGATGATCAGTCTGCCGGCTGACAGCCGTCGTAAGGTCGAGTAGAAAGTAATTTGCAGATTGTGTATGAACTGACACGAGCTAAACGCTCGTGTTTTTCGTACAAATTCGCCACGATGACTCGGCGTTCCCGATGCTATCGCTCGTGCACGCTCTCGTACCGTCCTTCGAACGAAATTGAACTAATTGCCACTCGCGAGCACGGTGCTTGGCCGAAAGCGCGAGAACGATCGATAGCACGACCTTGTGCACTTTATTTACAAGTGAAGAAAAGAGTCGTATACATCATCGCGCGACGCAATGCGGCGTAAAAGTGACGACAGGAGAGCTTGCCGCCGCGAAGGATCCACCGGGGATAGAAGCCGATGGCTCGTCGTCGGCGGGGTTGCAGGAACGCCAGACAACACGAGCCCGGTCCTGCCGAAGAGCGTCCGGGAGGTCGAACCGACATCTCTTGGACTCCTCGACGAGAGCTTCAAGACCAATTGCAGCGTCTTGAAGCTTTCCTCAAGAAGAGGCTACCGGGAAAATAGGGCGTTTTTTTAACTCGCGTAAAAGATTAGAGAGCTGTGTAGAAGATCCGAAGGTTTTCGGAAAGTCTTTCTCTCACGACGGGAGGGAGTCCTTCCGAAATTCATCGCGCTGTCCGTGAGGGTGTGGGAAGAATGCCTCTTTCAGAAAAGTGGAACGTTTTTCAAACGTAACTTCCACAGAGGTCTCTCTCTCTCTCTCTCTCTCCCTCTCTCTCTCTCTCTCTCTCTCTCTCTCTCTCTCTCTCTCTCTCTCGAGTCCTTTTTGTATTGTACAAAACCGCGAGTCCTCTCGCTTACATTACATTCGCGCGCGCGCGCGCGTGTGTGAGTTACGTAAGTCGAATTACGTGTAACCGTCTCTGCGTGAATGGGATCGTTACAAACTGCGGGCGATCCCGAACGGTTCATCACAACGTCCTCGAGTTAATTACGGGGAGGGCCATCGTGCGCGTGAAATATATATCGCTGTGACGAATCGGAACGCGCTGCGTCGGAAATTGGTTCCACCGCGGGATATATTATTCATCCACCTCGCGGGTAGATAGGCGAGTCAGCCGGAGGACACATGTCTTCTGCAGCTTTCGTCCACCATCGAAATCCGAAAACCGAAACCGATTCGCAGTTTCCGCTGTCCCGGCCGTCTGCTTCCCAGGTAGAAGAAAAAATCATAATGACATCGAAATGACGTCAAAATGATGAGGAAAACTTATTTTTCCATTTTGATGTAATTTTGATGTTATCATGATTTTCTTTTCTGCCTAGGTTCAATTCTCGCAGGGAAGACCGACACGTTGTTCTCGCGAACGTTGGTCTCTCTTCGATTTTTCGTAATCGTAAGCGAGAACGGACCGAACTCTCGTCCTTAGAATTTCAATACGCTTTCGTTATGTATATTCAACCGTCTATTACGTCATATCGGCGCATCGGGAGAAAGTAGAACGGACTCTTCGGGGAAACTTCGCGGTCGATTCTCGCCCGATCTCGACAAGTTTCGATCTTCTGCGTCCAATATTCCATTTGCAGAGCGCATCTCGCTCGATTCGCTCGGATTCATTCACGGAACATCGGCCGCGCATCCTTCCGTTGTTGCATTAACAATACTCAGCGATACGTTATCGTCGAGCGCGTCGGCATCACGGCCAGCGAGAGAGCCGAGATTGCTATCGGAGAATTCCTACAACGGTAGCACTTGTGGTACTTCGAAACACCGTGCCGCGAAAATGAGTCTACGCGTACCATTTTCAAGCGCAATCTCGTTACCGTGCAGGAAGAATGTCACAGTAGGTGCGCACATTCGCGCTCGGCCAGGATGAGTCCGGAATAACCGTTGAACGAACATTTGAATCTCGCGTCTCGCTCGGCGTTTCGTAATTAAAGCGATTCGCAAATAAATCTCGACGTGACAAATTTTCGCGATGTAACACATTTTTTTCGCTATTTTCGCCACCGCTTTCCTCCAGGAGAAAAGCGCAGAGAGAACGGCCAGGACTTCAGCGAGCCGGCGTATCCTGTATCAGGCATTTTCGAATTTCCGTTGCACGCTGCCGGCGGAAAATCAATTTTCCACCAGCCTAGCGACTTGTCAGCATGGAAAATTAAACATTCGGTTCCGCGAAATCGCGAGTCCTCGAGTTATCGAGCTCGCTCGCAACCTGATTTCGATTCGGTCTTCGCATATTAAATATTCGGTCGAGCGAATCACCGTGCTTCGGCCGCGTTTCCCGCCGTCGACGTTGTCGATACATGTCCAACGCTTCCGACGATTTCCGCGACAACGACGACGACGACGGCGACAAGGGAAAAGTTGAGCCTCGTGGAAGCGGTCGCGGTCGCACAATGGATATTCGTTTCCTCGACGGCGCCGGATGCGCGCGATCCGCGAGCTGATGACGTAACTCGCCCGCATCGCTGACAGCGCAAAGGTGAAAGGTGCAGAGATTTTCAGACTGACTTGGCCGCCAAGCAACGATCGCGCGATGATTAAACTCTGCTAATTAAGTCTGCCAAACGATAATGAGATCTCTCTCCCGTTCTCGTCTATCAGGCAACACAAATACGTTCCAAATACGTCTGTGAGGCGTTTAACGTTAATTCCCAGCAAACACAATATATAACACATGTGTTATATAACAGTTATATTGTTGAATAAGAAATTACAACTAACATGCACGTGATATTGTGTTTGCTGAGTTATTATTTGAAACTTGATTTCAATTCACACACACACACACACACACACACACACAAGTAAGATATTCGAATTTGAATTTAAAGTTGCAAAATATGAATTTTGCAATTGGATCACGATTATGGACGTAATTCTGAGTGAAAAAATTCATATCTAACTCTGAATTCAGATCTCATGTAAAACAAGTCTCAAATTACGATTATTAATGCGAGCTAAAGCGAGTAAGATATCTCTTTAAGGCGTCCTTTATTTGTGCTATCTCCGTTTTATGAATTTAATGAAGATCGACCAGCGGCGATTCTCGACAATCGTCTGTTCGGCCCGCGCCAATTGTCCCGGTTGCTCCTTAAAATCCTGCGTTCTTCGGATTGAGATCGCGTGGTTATTTCCGCGATAAACGCGATTCCCAACCGGGAGAGTCGTAGCTTCGACCGCTCGTCGGATGCGCGCAACTCAGCGGACGACACGCGCCCCTGCTCTTCGTGCTCTCTTCTGTCGCGGTCGGTCGAAATAATTGCCGATACGAAGTTAACTGGCATCGGCAATTCGCGCGTTTACGACGTCGTCGCGGATGTATGTGCGCGGCTATATCCGGCAATTTGTTGAAATTTAGGATAGCGTCTACGGAGCCCGCCGTTCTCGTGTGAGGCTATCGAGCGACCCACTTTCTCCTTCTCACCCCTTTCCTCCTACTCAACCCCTGCGGCCCATCTACCTCTTTCCGTATGTTTAGTATGTTTATCTTGTTTTCCGAGTAATGATAAGGTTACTCTTTCCTCTCTATTTTATCCGTTTACCATCTTAATGATATTACACGCGCACACACTCTCGTGTCGTCACCAAGGAGACTCTTGCTCCTCTCTCTCTCTCTCTCTCTCTCTCTCTCTCTCTCTCTCTCTCTCTCTCTCTCTCTCTCTCTCTCTCTCTCTCTCTCCCTCTTTTTATCCATTAATATTCAAGTCCGCTTCGGGCGAATCTTGGCAAATCAGAAAATTAAACGTATCTCGTTTCATCATTTATTCAGCCGCAGGACATTCGCCGGGAAATCGATTTAGCTGCCTAGACAAAACGGTGGTTGGATTTTCGTAGTCCGACGAAGTTAGCCCGGCGTTATTCGCGCTTCTTCTGGTTAGTTTTTTTTTTTTTTCTTTCAGAACGTATGTAGTGTACCTGTCACATACGCTCGACTTCACCGACGATCAATAGGAACTCATTCGGATAACGGTAATTTGTCAAAAGTATATTCCTGCGAGTTTGCGAGCGAATAATGTGAGAGGAAGAAAGGGTGAAATTGTGTGGTCTTATCAGATAAATGATCGGCCGTTAGTGAAACTTGGCGGCCGTCCATCGCGGAGGATAATAAAATTCGATCTTTAGGCTTCCCGTAATATTATCCTAGTCGGGATTGATCGCGACCTACACACGGGTGGTGATATTCCGCGGTTCTTGGCGAAAAAGAAGAACGATGAGAGAGCGAGAGAAGAAAGAGACAGATATGTACCGAGAACAAATCGCTCGACGATTATTATGATTTCTTCCTTTAATTTTTCTTCAATAATTAGGACGCAGCCATGTTTCCATGTTATCAGCGTCCGGGGGACGCGAAATGGGTCAGTTAAATTCACGCACAGCGAGCTGCACGATGAGTTGGACAAGAGAGGGGGAGAAGAGAGCAGGTGAAGGAGGAGGGAGTAGGAAGAGGGAGAAGGTGAATTTGACGCGCGCTTCTTCATTATTCGTCCCTAATTGCGCGGGTACTTGTAAGATTTGGATTCTTCGTATCGATCCACGACAGCTGAGTGTAGGTCATCGCGTGCCTCGCTATGCTGTTCGATATCAGCTGGCGCTGTTCGGTATCAGCCTGGTTCCGTGGGACGCAACGGGTGTGCGTGCAGCGTGTTACGTCATAGTAGGACCAGACAACGTGAACCAGACCTTCTCTCTTGGCCTCGCTCTGGACGTGTTCGAATCTCGTCCGGCCGACGTCTGCTTTCTCGAACTTGCCCGTAGAATCGCGAGTGAACTTAGTCTCTGCGAGTGAGAAATGCTTCTCTTTTTCTGAAGTCTATGCACTCGAGCTCTCGAGTAGATTCATACGCTCGTACGATTCGTAACGCCAACGCTGATCGATCTTGTGTGATTGCAGGCGAGGCGATAATATGTTACCAGTGCAACAGCGAGTACGACCCGCGTTGTGGCGACCCATTCGACCCATACAGTCTTGGAACTGTCAACTGCAGCTTTCAGCCTCGCCTGGAGCACCTCAGCCAGCTGGAGCCGACTCTTTGCCGGAAAATCAGTCAAAGAGGTGAGAACCGTAACGCAAAGTTCTTTGTTTACGTGAGTGATCGGCGATTAGATTTCAATTTAAACGCCAGTTTTAACGGAGTCGCGACGAAGGACATCTCGGAGATCCCGTATCTTGATTAATTTTTCATTAATTTCACGTATTCATCGTGTGTATAATATTTTAAAGACCGAAGCCTACGTGATTCGCAAGAAGAATAGAGCTTCTCTGCAGGTAGCAGTTGGTTGGCAGCAGGTAGTTTTCTGTTCTCTTTTTCTTCTAACAATGCTCCTTAACATATTGGGCATTAATAACATATTTACTTAAGTCTAAATCTTTCGGTTAAATCGAAGAAACCATTACTTTCGTATAAGAGAGAGAGAGAGAGAGAGAGAGAGAGAGAGAGAGAGAGAGAGAGAGAGAAGATTTAAGAAAAAATGTATATTCCTCTTGAAAAGTCTGGAAAAGAATTTCTTCCCCGTATAAAAAATATATTAGTATAAATAAATATGTTACTAGCACCCGTCGAATATTTGTTAATTTTTAGATATTTTTCCTCTCAATGTTAAATAAATTATATAAATTATATAAAATTATATATTATATAATTATATTTATATAAAATTATACAAATTATATTAATATAAATTTGTGTATATATATATATATATAAATTAATTTAACTAAACTACTATTTAACTATTTAACTAAACTAAAAATAGTCGATAGGGAATCGTTGAAATGAACAATCTTTACTCTTCTCTGTCGCATCTTTGGTGACTCAAAGTTGAATTAAACCAACGTGTTAAGGAAACGGAATTGTTGCAGTGTACGGCAAGGTGAGGGTCGTCCGAAGCTGCGGATACATCACGCACGAGAAAGACAACGGCGAATGCCTTATGAGGACCGGTACCCACGACGTACGTGCTACGTACTGCTCGTGCACCGGTGATCTGTGCAATTCCGCACTCGAGAGCCGCACGCCGTCCTTATTACTGCCACTGGCATCCCTCCTGACTGCCGTTCTGGCGACACCGAGTCTGCTCTTGTCGTGCCCGATCGCGCCGCCTCGTACCTCCACTCTCTCAATAGCCTAATTCTGCCTAATCGATCGAATCACACCTGAATCCGAATCAGCCAGCCTGTCGTCGTTGTGCCGCACGGACCGTTCGCGTAAATGCTGTCTGTGTGGGTGCGTGTACCTGTGTATGTGTGTGCGTGTGTGTTTTACGTATGTCGGACACGCGTCTGCAACTGGTCGATCAAACGCTGTGACCGACTGTCGTCAATTTCGCCGCCACGGTATTCCCCAATCGAGGGAAGAGAAGCCCCGGGAGAAGAAACGGCTCTTATTGTTGCATCGGAAAGAAAGAAAAACCGAGAAGTTGCTCGCCTTGTTTATGTACAGATGTAGAAGATCTTCGGCCTATCCTTCATCACAGATATCCGGCCTAATCGAATCGCGAGAATAAAGATCGAAGCGCGCTTCCACACGCAGTCAACGAAAACTTTTCGCGAGAACTGGCCTTCTTCTGTCCCGAGCCGTACAACGAATCCGACGTGGCCTCTCGTACTCTCTCTGAAAGCGCCGTTTCTTCGTGGGCTCACGCTCGCGAAAACGCTTGAGGAATCGTACCGCTGCTATTACGAATTCCTCTATTTCCCTTCTCTTTTCTCCTGATTTATCCTCTTCATTATTCCTTTCTTACTTCCCCGCTTTTCTTCTCTTTCTATCCTGTCTCTCTTACTCTCTTCCCTTTATAAGTTATAAAGTGTAATATTTAATATTTACGCGTGTCTGAAGCATCGGAAGTACGGTTTCACGAGAATCACACACGACGTTGTAGATCTCCGACGTTTGCGGAGAATGCTGTAAACTCTTTAGGAAAATCTTCAGATTCCTTCAGTAGCTAACTAGTAAAGATGGATTTCGTCTCGGCACCTCGGCGGCGAACGGTCCGCCGGATAACCGACGATTATAACGTAGTGTAACGGTGATAACTGCCAGATGCGCGAGGACGACACTTCAATACAAGTAGTACATATCTTCGCGAACAAAAGAAAAAGGAAGGTAAACAGCAACACATACACGGCATAAGGATAAAAGATCGATCACCGGCTTTTTTCACGTGCTGACGTTGCGCTTGTCGCGCGGTCGATTGTCGCGCTGATCGCGAGTGTCGGATGCAGCGTTTTTCGAGTCTACGGATATTTTTCGCAAAGGTGGATCAAGAGGATTCGATCAGGAGAAGCCATTCCGCGAGATTTACATTGATGTTTTTTTAATCCTCACAAACACAATCTTGAAATTTTACTTCACGTTCAACTTGTTAATATATTTTTTTCCGGACAAGTGCCGCTTCGTTACTTCGTTAAATAAAAAATCAGTCGAATTTGCGATTGATGGTTTATTTAAGAACTTGCAAAATTTAAGTTTTCTCTCTCTCTCTCGCTCTCGCTCTCGCTCACTCTCTCTCCTCTCTAGCCCGCTCACATAATATATTCCTGATCGATTTCTATTGATTCGTCTATTTTTGTATAGAGACGGCCGGCCGCCGATTCTTGCCTCGCCTCGTTGCGACAAGCGCAACGATAATAGTTCTAAAAAGAGCGTATAGAGAAAAAAAAGTGAAAACAGGCGGATATCTTGCAAGATATTCGCTTAGATATCTAATGAGAATTTACGATTAGTGGAAAACTAAAGAGTCACACGGTATAAAAATAACGTAAATATAGAGTAGCGGCATCGCGCGCGACACATTTCGCACCCCGCCTGCTACTGCTGAACATCCGTGTCTGTGTCTGTGTGTACGCGTGTGTTGCATATTGTGTCTGCGCGACTGCGTGTGCGTGTGTGTATGTGTATTGTGTGTACGCATAACTTTACGATGTATGTATATGCACGCGAAGTAAAAAGCAAAAAAGAAAAAAGAAGAAATGAAGTGTGCAAGTATATTTTTCGTTGGAACGAAAGCCGAAATGGAATTGTGCACGCGAAATCGGCGCAGTCCTGCTTATTTCTAGAGGTGCAATGTCAATGTAGCGTTTGCGAGGGCGCGAGAAGACCCACGTCACGCAGGATGATGCACCGCTTGCATCCGCTCGGTGCGCACTTCAGTAACGTTCTGCCGCGTTCTGTTGAACTCAAGTTATACAGTCGCTCATAGGAGATCATACGTTGTTTCTTCTTGCCCGGACAACATCGTGCCGTTGTTAGTTCCGTGTGTATTTGCGAGTATTGTTTGTATCCGCGCGCTCTCGAGTTTTACCGACTTCTACCGCATGAATGTGACGTCCAGAACGAACTGAAGTGCGGTCCGCACGGATGCGATGTACTACCATCTGCATCGTAGCGGTGTATTGGGCATCGATCGATTGACCGGGATAATCGAAATTAACAATGGCACGGACGTGCTGGCATGGTGCTGGACAATGGAGGCGTATATTATAAATAATATTGTACAGCATCGCGGTAACGCGCGTCCATCGTTGCTAAGAGGTCGCCAGTTGATGCAAACGACTTCGATGAGATCCCGTTTTAGAATGCCTCATACGTACGTGCACGTACATTTATTAATTTTCTTCTATCAATAATTCGATATTTCATCTGGTTATTTTATGTGGTTTGAAAAGTGGTAAAAAATTGTTTACGCAGCTTTACTCGGATATGTCCCTATCCTCAAGTGAGATTTTTTAATCGATCAGTGTCCAACACCGCTACTGTCCCTCCTCCTCTTCAGGGAAGAGCGGGCTAAACCTCGACAAGTGCTGTGTTACAAAAGTGGGCTACGTGAAGAGTACGCGGTATATAAACATATCGACGATATGCCGAGAGAAACCTCGCATTTAGCTCTAGTAAGGAGCGAGAAATCCGCCGTCACGTCCACACACGATTACTCCGTGTTTCGCAGAGTTTTGCAATAAGTGCAGTTTAAGCCAGTAACTGAGTCACCTGAGCGTACAATAATCGCCATTTGTATGTGTATGCGTGCCTGTGTACGCGTGAGTGTGTATGTGAGTGTGCGTGCGTGTGTAAACGTGTGTAAAACCCGATAACTCAACTTCAGAGCCGGTCGTTGCATCTTCGGCTCAAGTGTTCGCTAATTTACCCGGCAGGCGAGCCACGTCTCCCCTCGCCCGGTCTCTTTCTAGATTTCGCAACACTCGCCATAATATATAAATATATATAATCAGAGAGATGAGAGGGATTAGTCGACGACCGACGATGGAAAAACCGGCTCTTGATTGCTGTTGCTCCTTTGCGCGCGCGCGCGCGCGGCCATGTACGGGTAAAGGATAACGCGCGCATCACAGGATGCCAATAGAATCCGCCAATAGAATCGCGCTTTCGGCCAATTCTGCACGATGTCCACGGGATGTTCCTCGGTATCTTGAAGCTTCGACGTTAGGTTAGAAATCACAAAAGGGAATCTCTCGATTGGCCACGTGCGCCGAGCGCGTCTTGCAAATCGGACGACCTGTAACGACAGCGACGTTGTCGACGAGAGCGACGACAACACGACGAGAACGAGAGCAATAACACGAGTAATGAGGAAGTAGATGATCGGCAGAAGAAAAAAAAAACTAGATGAAGTAGCGCGCTTGGTCAATGTGGAAAATAAAAAAAAATACGCGTCACCAATAGTAGACCCACCGCGAGGCAAACAAGTGATCGTCACTACTGCTGCTACGTCATCCCACCCGTCGTCGCCATTATTGCCATTAATACGGTCGCTACTAATTACTATTACCACCATTACTACTACTACTATTATTATGGTTATTGTTAGTACATACATTTACCGAGAGACGTTGTTACGAGTAACACCGCTAATAATAATTATCATTAGAGCGCGAATGGCAACAACCGTGACGCACGATCGGTACAGGAAATGGCGGAGACGACAAGAGCGATAAGGGTGAGATAAAGTCTGTCGCGAACAACGCATCACGCGAACAAAGCATCGATGAATCGAGGAAGCCTTGAAAGTTCGTGTTCTTCGCGAATACCGTTGCTATTTAGTTAGTTAGTAGCTATTATATTATATTTAGCTATTATATTATAGAGATTGTTTTTCTTTATTGTTTATCTTTATTTCCGCCTATGAAAAGTATGTATCAGTTTCTTCATTGTATGATTTTTCTTCTTTCTTCTCTCTTCGATTAATGACGGATAATGGAAGATGGCGTTTGCACCGGAAAAACGACGAATAAAAGTCGTTCAAGGCTCTCTCGATGAACAATCGGTCATGAGAGGGAGGGCCGATTGGAATCTATGCAGGACTCTTGAAGTGCAGTGCAAATGTCGAAGCAATCCAGGTACAACCAGGAAACGCAAGCGGTCAGCAGTTAGTACGACTGTGGAGACTTTCTCGCAAGGGAGAGTTTGCCCGTTTGCCCCTTGACGCTCCCTTGACTCTCCTGTCGCCTCTCGACCCGGGTGACCTTGCTCGGTCTCATTCGAGATTCATTGGAGTCGATGCGACTCCATAGTTCGGGGGAAGTATGGAGTTCTTGTTGTTGAGACGATTGACTCGCGTTCTGTCGACACGTGTCAGCGCGGTGCGCGGTCGACCGCGCACGATTTTTCGTACCGGTTGATGCTTCGCAGACAAGCCCGCGATTCAACGCGGGCGCGTATTAACGCGCGATTATTCCTCGATCGATATCGTCCGACACGACATCGCCCCCTGTACATCGAGCCTGCGACAGGACAACACAAAACCCGCCGCATTTCCGGACGCTCCACGATTCCCTCTCTGTCGTGAACTGTCCTCGAGAGAGAATCGACGCTTCGCTGCAGCGCTCTTCAGAACCTTTCAAGCCTCGAACTTCAACCTCCCCGAAAATTGCCCGATCGGCGGGAAGTATCAAGTCAAGCTCGAAGTGACGATCGATCCTGCGACGACGGTTGCGGAGACACGCTGCTGCATCTTGAAGATAGATAGCACACAGTTAACAAATTGATATAATATTGTAATATAAAGAGAGATATTACCTGTTATATTGTTACATGAAAGTTTTCCAGCTGTGTGTGGCTATCTTCGAAGTGTCGCAACGCTCCTCCATCGCGGTTTCCATTCACACTTTCGACGAAGTTACGCGCGAGATTCACCTCGGTGTGCAACAGTGACTTCTGCCCGAGATCCCAGTAAACGCTTCAACGCCTGCCTCATTTCCGCGAGAACACGACAGATCCGGAAGATCTCGTCGAACTCTTCGCATCCGCCGGCACGCGGTCGAGAGAACGCTTTTACGTCGAATCTCATTGAATCTGTTCGTAATGTTCATTGTCGAGTGACATTACAATATCATATACTATGTACAGAGAGAGAGGGAGAGAGAGAGAGAGAGAGAGAGAGAGAGAGAGAGAGAGAATATTCTGCCAATAATAAAATGTTGAGCGATTAACACGAGTGACGACCTCTTTTCCAGGTGTGTATCTAGCGAACCGCCTCTCCCGTTCCCCTGCGAAATCTCCTTCGAAAAGAAGCTGCACGTGCCTGCATTTCAAGTAGTTATCTCGACACTGCGACTGTCGGCGAAGACAATTTTTCGCACGAATCTCAGGAAGATGATCGCCGCCGCCGCCGCCGCCGCGGAGGTGGGTACACATGACAGATCGCACACGGGCTTGCGTGTTTACGTTTTTATTGCAGTATTACTGAACGATTGTCGTGGTATAAGAAAAACTTCTTTACAAAACAAAATATCTCTACAAAAGTTATCGTCTTACGTGTATTAAGAAAGTTAGCTTGCTTGTACGCGTTAGTTTCTCTTTCGGTATGTAGATAGATAGGTAGGTAGGTAGGTAGGTAGGTAGATAGGTAGGTAGGTAGGTAGGTAGGTAGGTAGGTAGGTAGGTAGGTAGGTAGGTAGGTAGGTAGGTGGATGTTCAAAAGGCACCGGAATCGAAGAAAACTCTTTACCGATCGGAAGACGAAAAAACGCTCGATCACTCGGTCCCTTGAGTAGCGTGTGAATATACACGAAACTTTTCTCTCTAATAGCTTTGCGAGCGGAGAGTAATGCCATTGTGTGTGTGTGTGTGTGTGTGTGTGTGTGTGTGTGTGTGTGTGTGTGTGGGTGTGTGTGTGTGTGTGTGTGTGTGTGTGTGTGTGTACGTTCTACATACAAATATAGCCGTATGTAAAATATACCGGAGAAAACGTAAAACTCCTCGAGTGCCTTCAACGTCTCCATAAATGCAACTTCGATGTGAAGCGCGAAATGAAGAAGCAAAATATTAATACTGTAAGAATGACGCGCGTACGGCAACTAAACCGCGTTATGAGAAATAAAACGAAACCGTCGATCGCCGACAGGAGAGCTACGAGCTTGTTACTTATTCTAAAAACGTGTGCACATCGCTCTTCAGGTAACTACAATCTCGCTTGTAAGATCTCTGAACTCGCGAGCGCTCCGGCGCGGTTCTCCTCGACCTCGGCCTCGTGGTTTATTTGCATTTTCGCCGCCTCCTGCAATGCATTATGTGCCTGCGAGACGGCGAGGAAGCCGATCGATCGCGACCGACGTCAACGGACGTCGAGGGAACCGGGCCGTCCGCCCGCGCCGACGACACTGCCGACTTCGGCGCGTGCTCCAGAGTCGGTGCGAACTAAAAAAATGTATACAACTTGATAGCGAAAACGTACCGATGGAACTGCGACTCTATAAGCGTTGCGCTCTGACTACCACCGACTCAGCAGATTACCACTGCACGATGGCGATTCTACTCGGTCGGCTAGACTCACTTCTAGATTTATATAAAAAGAAGTGCCCGCCTCGAAACAGCGTTCAACAGTGTTATTATACACGTAATACGGTGTGTCAGTGTACAAAGAATAATTAAAATCTATCTCTAACGAAGAAGCCTACGACAGAGCCGTTAGAATGCCTCGTTACACTGCAAACTGCGCGAACTCGCATATTTGCTGCGATGTAACGCGCATTAATGTACAAGGGTGTACAAGGAATGTTCCGTTCCCAGCGCGTGGGAATCCTCTCCCCTACGGCGGATTCCTCGGCGAATTAATAACTCTGCTAAAACGGGGGAACTCGCTTAAAGTGGAACACAGTGGTCTTTCATTCTCACAATATGCATCCCTTTGATTTGCGGACGACAGCCGAACGTTATAGAGTCGCGATCGGCGAACTAAACTAAAAAATCGACTTCTGAGGAACCTGCCGTTGAGAAGCGAAGCGCGGTGACAACACCTGTGTGGTCAGTCTCTATATATGGCCGCGAAGAGAAAAAGAACATATCATGTATCTGCGTTATCGAAGATAACCGTAACCCGCGTTCGAATTTAAGTGCCATGTGCCAAACGAGTAATGACGCACTTATTATGCCTACGAACTTATTCTAATACTCGCGATCAAATGGAATATGTTACAGTAGATGAGTTGGTGAACGCCACACATCCTTTATCTCTCGACATTTGTCAGGCAACGTTACATTCTCGAAATGCTAAGTATCCACAAGTATGATGTCGTTTTCCTTCTTGCTCGATGCGAACGGCGTGACTACTTGCAGGCGGACCGACACGTACAGAGGATAGGTCAGTTGTTTGTCCAAGGACATTAAATGCAGCTGCAAGAAGCAGAAGGCAGAGGTGACAAGGCGGTTATGCCGAAGCAACGACTCCTTTCCTGAGAAGGCCGACTTACCTGCATATTCTTCTTCACGCACAACCTGAGCAGACCCGAATTCTGAATGTGTTTCACTTGCCGTTGCTCGTCCAATGAGAACAGGCAGATCCTGGAATCAGTCCTCGTTGAGTGCCACGCTCAGAGCGTCGCGCTCTCGGCTCTCGTCGAGATCGTCGCGAATCGACGAAAGTGCAAAACTCACTTCAATATTATATTGTGCTCCTTGTGATTGGCCTTGATGTGCTTCGAATCCATTCTGTTGCTCCTCTCGATGTAAAAAGTGGTCATGTCCATAGCCATCACCAAGTCCAACCCATAGTGGAAAGCCCTCCATCGCCAAACGTGCTCACCCGGCTTCTCGATGCATCTACCGCACCGGAAGCACTCCCTGGAGAATTCCTCCTCCGTCATTTGCACCGGGCTGTAACGCGCGAAGAAATGTGTAACCCGCGACCTGACCGTTCCAGCCGACGCGACCTTTGAAAAGAACTCGAGTCTGCGATGCTCACCCTTTCTCCTCATGCCCGTCGATTCTCAGCACGTGAAGCCACTGTTCTCTGTAAGCGTCGTGCATCCAGTCAGGCGGTATTAAATTGTCGGCGTTTAACAGCTTGACATCTTGCTCGTGCAACACCAAATATTTCATCCTTAGTGCCTTGAACGGCGCCGCGTATCGCTTTCCTTCTTTCGTCGTCAAAAACGGCTGCGTCCACAGATGATTCTTGAAGAATTCCTCAATCTGCGGCGTCTCCTCTTCGTTGTGCGTGTGTGCGAACAACCTGCGTCACGTTACACACAGCGTTAATTACATGCAATTACATTACATCGCGGAACTAGTAAGTTATATGCACAATTTAATTACGCAATTCAACTTAATTAATGGCATTAACGGCAATTACTTGAATTGTTAAATAATCAGCTTAATTATGTACGTTATAATGCACACAACGTTAATGCGCAACCGCACAGTTATACACATTACATTTAGTAAGCTGTATATACAATTCATAATTAAGTCAAGCTCAAGCTCAAGCTGATCAATTATGTAATTGAATTTAGTGAAGCAATTAATTTAATTGCATAATTATATACAATCGCGCACGACGCGGTCACGTCGTTGATTCTCTTATCTACGTACCATACACGTAGCATCGTGTATATGCAAAATTCTGTTTGCATAGCGACCAAGTCAGGACTAGCGATTAACTCTGTCATCAAGTCCGGTGTGATTTCTTTTAAGAAGGTCGGATGTAGGTAACCGTAAGCCAATAGATTGACCTCCAACCAACGTTTCGCGGCTGCCTTCACCGTCGACACACCGTACGACACAGCCGCATTGTAATACGGCACAACGGTCTTGATGTTCGTAGTCTGTATCATAATGTCGGCGCATTCGTCGATCAGTTCTTGCAATTGGAACAGAGTGGCAGTCGCCAAAATAGAAACAACTTGTTTCGGCTCCAGACTGACTTCATCGTGATACAGCGAGCCCAGAACTATTGACAATGCTGAAACGATTGTATTATTTTTAGGTGATACAATGTTTCTCTACATCTCTAATGTGTTAAAGATTCACACACACACACACACACACACACACACACACACACACACACACACACACACACACACACACACACACACACACACACACACAGTTCTAAGAATCCTTACAGTTCAATGTAATATCAGGATCTGCGATTTCAACATTAATAATCTTCTCATTAGCTTCTCTCCAAGAGCCAGAAAACATACTAGCAAAATAGGGACTCTGCGGGAACAAAAATATATATCTATTACATACACGTCTTATTTATTACATACACATTAACATCTCTCTATAGTGGTTTGAGTTGTAACAAGCTATGATACCAAATGATATATTCTTTATTCCCATTCAAAATTTATATTTCCTTAATACAAATTTCCCTCCCAAAATAGTAGTTCAAGCATCTGTGCTGCAAATTATTCTAATTCTTCATAAACTACCAAAATATAAATAAGTAATAAAGTTTAACTTGCTCTTTCTTTTATTTTGTACTTTATAATATCTATTTTATAATAGATGAAATCTATTTTATTAAGTAATTTATTCTATTTTGTTAAGTAATTTGAATTTAATTCCTGATTCCAAAGTGTCCAAAAATATTTAATGTTTAAAAGCTAGACAGCTAAGCAGCTGTAAAAGATAATAAAATTATTACCAAGTATTTCCTGGCAAAAAAGTGTTTTCAAAGTTGTCAATGCAATCGAAGCATCTGTTACCAAAGCTCCACTAGATGGTGGTAGGGGCAAAAAGAGCACATGTGAGTCATACCTGACTAATATAGACCTTGTGTAATCTCCATGCTCGTCCAAGTATAAGGACAGTTATGTCACTGCCTTTCTCTTCAAGGAACAGAGTTTTGTATATATATTGTGCTGTCGTAAGCAATTTTCTCCTGCAAAACAACATATTAGGAATGTGAAGCTGAAATTTCTTTTTTGACAGGCCTAATCAGTAATCGTTCGTAAGTGAAATGTCAAAGGCTGCTTAACACAGTAAAGTGTTGGTGATATTTGTCAACAATACCGATTAATGATATTTATCAATATTAATCAGCATTTACGATATTTATTGATGTCAATAATACAAATCGTATCACGCATAAAATCGGAGAGAGAGAGAGAGAGAGAGAGAGAGAGAGAGAGAGAGAGAGAGAGAGAGAGAGAGAGAGAGAGAGAGAGAGAGAGAGAGAGAGAGAGAGAGAGAGAGAGAGAGAGAGAGAGAGAGAGAGAGAGAGAGAGAGAGAGAGAGAGAGAGAGAGAGAGAGAGAGAGAGAGAGAGAGAGAGAGAGAGAGAGAGAAATGTACAGCAACAAAAAGAGAGAGTGAGGCGGAGGGGAAGAGAGCAGGAAGCGAGGTAGAAAAGGGGAAAAAAAGAGTGAAATGAAAGTGATGTCTTACTTTTTCGGAGTTTGCAGCGTTCGATCGATATAATCGGACTCGGATTCATTGTCGTACTCCTCGATGTACTTGCGTTTACGGCCGCGACACACGCTGTGCACGGCCGTATTTGACATCGAGGCAATGCTGCTCATATAGCCGCCCATCGTCGCGACGAGATTCCAGCACGAGTCGCCGAGGATCGTCGCCGAGCACACGAGAACCGTACACCACGGTGTCTCCTCTTTTTTCTCCTCCTCCTCCTCCTCCTCCTCTCACTCGCTTATACCGGTCTTCGTAATATCCGCGACGCCGAAAGCCACAGAGCGTGTCCATACAACGCGTAGGCGGATGTACTGGCGCATGGGCGGATTTACGTTGAGAGCGAGCTACTACAAACGGCGCATGTAAACATCCGAACATATGTAGAGACCAGGGCCGGCTTTAAGCATGAGGTGCCCCCCGCGGCGCGGACGCCACCGTTCTGATTCTGAGTATTCTCGATTTCAGCTCCGGCTCCACAGTACGATTATTCACGCATCGTTCGTGCGATGCTGATGCACTTGACCATTTGACAGTGGCGAATGTTTAAAAAGCGCGGCGAAAGTCAAAGAGGAGATACGCAAGACAGCTAAAGCAACACGACAGGTAGGCGACGCGGCCGTTTGCTCGGCGCGGATGAAAATTACGTCGCCGGCGATTCTTGTCCTTCGTAGACTGTCATGGGCTCGCGTGTGTCGCGTGCTTTTTCGATGAGAAACTAGTATCCCGGGTGATACTCGTGCGACAAGTCAAAATGAATCTATTCGGCAATGCGTGCTGCATACTCGCGCACGACATACGGCAACTTTGCGTGATACATCCGTGATCGATCACCTGTTTCATCTCTACTGAACTAATACTGAACTATACAGCGTCAGTATATGTACATATATATATATACATATGTGTGTGTGTGTGTGTATGTGTGTGTGTGTATGTGTGTGTGTGTGTGTGTAAAAACATTGATCTTTTTTTCTCTCGGAGACAATTACGACGCACTGCGCTTGTTGCACGCTTCATTAATTACTTTTTTGCGTTGGCATGACAAATTGGACGTGAGGTTTCGCGTCTTGCGTACAGTTTCGGGACTTGATGTAATATATCAAGCGAGGCGCTGTAAATAACGAGGGACTGTACTCTCTCAGATTTGAAACAGATGGGTTTCGTAATCGCATAACCTCATTATAAGTAAACGCAATGTGCCAATGAACCAGCCGTTATCGAGATCGATACATCGACAATATGCGAATGACTGAACTTAAGACTGCTGTCATTGAACTTTATATGCGACATTGTATAATACTGTAAATCACAAAAATGTTACGGCGAAACAGGTAATTGTTTATATAACTATTCATATCCACGGCTTATTGAAAGCGTAATCGGATGTGTCTGGCTGTGTAAAGGCCGAACAAAATATAAAAATAAACCGTAAATAATACATCGCGGTATTATTTTGCAATTGTTATTATTTTAAATTGTTACGGTAACAAATTATAAAGAATAACAATTATAAATATAATGTTTTTTTAATTGTATGTAATTAATAATAATTAACAAATTATGTATTAACTAATTAATAAGTTATATTGACTGCAGGTTGAAACATAGAATAATATCCATCGCCCTCATAGTCGCAGCGACGATATTTTACAATGAATATCTGGTATACGAAGTACAGAAATTCAAATGGGCCATGCGCGAGTGCTCAGCCTGCGTCAAGATCTTACTTGTCGCGGATCCGCAAATTCTTGGAGAAAGGAGTGAGAATTATTTCGGCTCATGGTTAGCTAGATGGGACAGTGATAGGTATGTTCCTTGACGAATATCTCTGCTGAATTTCCCACATTCATCAATCAGTAATAACATGAGAAATCAATTCTGTTGGAACTTACGTATTGGTTTCGTATTTCACAGTATTGTGTTTTCAGGTACTTAGAAAAGACTTTCTCAAGAGCGTTAAAGTATTCTCAGCCGCATGTTATCGCCTTCCTTGGTGATCTCATGGACGAAGGTCACATAGCTAATGCAGAGAATTTTGAGAGATACAAAAGAAGATTGGATTCTATATTCTCCATGCCAGACGATATAATGGTGTTATGACTTGTTCTTCATAGGAAATGTGGTGTTTACATGTGGTGACTATTCTTTCTCATTTACTGTTTTATATATTGATCTACTACTGTTTCTTTTTAGAAAATCTATCTGCCAGGCGATAATGACATCGGAGGCGAGGATGATCTTGTTTCTCCCCATATTCACAACAGATTCAATTTCGCGTACACTCAGCCGGACACGTTGGTTTACAAGACTGTCACTTTCTTCAAGGTAAACCTGAAAATTTTAATCGCATTACATTTGCATCAGTAAGACAAGTACGTGTTATCGTAGGTGAACAGATTGACGCGTACGATGCCGGAGGCGCCGAAGGATGCTTTCCTCAACGATTATGCCGAGAGGAATACGACCAATGTTATTCTTAGCCACATGCCGTTATTGTTCGTACCTGGCAGCTTCGTGCAAAATGTACGTTCAAATATAAGTGGGAGAAAAAAAGGAAAAAAAGACTTATCGTCTTACTTCGCCTGCCTATAGATCATCTACCCTATTATCGCCTACTTATAGATCTTACTTATTTGTATGTGGATACTTATAGATTATATTAACTATTTGCTCTGCTATTGCTATCTCTGTAACTCAAAGGTACTCAAAGAGCTATCGCCGCAAGTAATCTTCACCGCTCACGAGCACAAAGCGATGCACGTGAGTCTGGACACGGCGACCGATCAGTTAAGTGAGATCGGGATCCTCCCGCCGCACGAAACGCCCTTGTATCAGCTGCGGATGGACGTAGGGGACATTCATGAAGTACAAATACCGACATGCTCTTACAGAATGGGTACACCGCACATGGGTTACGGGCTGGCATATATCGGTAATATTACATTACAATTATGTTAACAACGTGAAGAGTAGTTGATTAGAGTTATCTAAACTATCGCGATTGTCTCCGTTCACGTTGCAGATACTCAGGAGAAAACCTTGGAGTTCACGATCCTCTGGCTACCGAGCAGATTCCCGCAGCTGTGCGCTTACGCGTTCATCGTCGTGCTGATCGTCTTAATTGCCGCTTGCACTTTCATCTCGGGCTACTGCTCGAAGAGCTACGCGACTTATAATCGTATACCTTCCGTATAGGGTAGCGTACAATCAAAAAGTACTTATATTACGCTTAAACAGTGAGTTAACTTGACGTCGCAAATTAGGTACAAAGATCCGTCCAAGAGATGACGACTCCTCTCTAGCGTCTCTGTGTCAAGTCCGCAGGGAGATTCCGAATGGGATTATGATACAGACAGTTATCCGTTAGTCACACCGCGTTAGAATAAATACGGTCACCAGGTGCTAGATTTCGATAAGACTTATTGTATTATTAATATTAATTAATATTATTAATATTATATGAGCATACTCGTAATCTCAATTCTCAAGAGAGAGAGAGAGAGAGAGAGAGAGAGAGAGAGAAAAGAATCATGAATATCGAAAGAATCACGAAGCATTCGCCCAAGAAAGAAAATTTTCTACAGTTACTTACGTTACTTTGTCTTGATCTCGCTTACTATAATCACTGCTGTGACTAGAAACCTAATGCCAAATCTGCGATACATTTTGTTAGTGAGCACTTCAGCGCTGATCTTAAACACATGATATTTTAATCACTGATTCAAGTCAGTTTCTGATTTAACACATTTTCTGATATAATCATCAATACATTAGCCACAGAAAATCTGAATAGAACAAAGCGGAGATCATTTTCTTATATAGAAATAGGTTTAAGGTAGTACGCCTGGTGTCCTGTATTTTAATTTTTTTATTTCCAGTTTTATTTTTTTATATTCTTTTTTAACACTTCAAACGGTAGTTTCGTTTCATTTAAATATAAAACTGGTACTGGCGAAGAGCACCGTGTATTATGTGTACATAATATTGTTCGTTCGAATCTTGATGTTCTGTTTGTAAGATCTCTATACGGACGTAATTGCCAAACTTCAGTGTGGCTCTCATGAACCATCGTTGTTCGATTAAACAATCTGCTTGGTGTGAATGGTTTGAAGAGATTATTATTATTATTATTATTATTATTATTATTGTTGTTATTATTATTATTCGAACTGTGACGATAACGTCGATCACAGATAACCCGCCGATTGTACTTGCTTTTAATTCGACGAGAGATTTATCGTACGACGTTATAAGTATAGAGAATTATAAGAAAGAATTGTTGAGAAAGTGAGAGAGCTTATTTCAGATAGGTCAATTTATATTTCTTCGCCGACCTGTATATATATCTTTGCCTGAAATAAATGTTAAATGTTGAAGCACTGGCTCTACTCGTTGTTCAAAGGTATCTCGTAAATACTTGAAACGAAAATTTTGTAATTTGTTGCCAAGTTGTGTTATTTAGCAACGGAAGGAATCACTCGCTTCTACTAATAGATATAGAGTTCGAAATTAAATTATTTCCATTTCCTATTTAAATGGATATATCCTGGCGAAGAAACGATAGCAACATTAGAATCTTAATATATTTAACAACTATAGACTTCAAGCTGCAAAATGCTTCTCGAAACGTTTAATTATTTTTATTTATCGAAGTTACAACCTGTCGAATTTTTGCATATTTTTTCATAAATAACATGTCTAACTAGCTATTAAGCTCTATTACTTACAAACATACTAACACAAGTATGTCTCTATCATTGAGTTATACTACGACCGGGCTTTTTCTTTTTCTTTTTTTGGAAAATATATAGCCATTAAACACAAGCTTATATATACGGGGCTTATATATACGAGGGTAATTTGAAAAGTCCGTACAAAGTCGGAGAGATGGCACCTCTGGTTAGAGATTATTTTCAATTAGTAGCATTTCTTAGAAGAGAACACACCAAGTTTCAGCCAGACCAGTCAATTTCTTTGTGTTTGGCGTGTTCGTTTGAATCGACGAAGTCGAGTGATTTCTAACAAATGGATAAAAGAGAATTTCGTGTGTTGCTCAAGCATTACTTTATAAAAGGCAAAACGCCTAAGGAGACTAAAGAAAAGCTTGATAAAAATTATGGTAAATCTGCACCTTCGATCAGTACGGTTTATAAATGGTTTCAAAATTTTCGGAATGGCAATATGAGCACAAGTGACGCTGAACGTTCTGGACGCCCTGTTGAGGCCACTACTCCAAAAATCATTGATAAAATCCATAATATAGTGATGAATGACAGAAGGATTAAGGTCCGTGAGATTGCTAGTGCTGTGGGCATCTCGACTGAACGGGCACATAATATTTTGCATCAACATCTGGACATGAAAAAGCTATTCTCAAGATGGGTGCCGCGATTGCTCACAGTTGACCAAAAGCTAAATCGTGTGAGATGTTCCAAGGACGGTTTGCAGCTGTTTCAACAGAATCCACAGGACTTTAGGCGCCGTTTCGTCATTGTGGACACAACATGGATACACTACTACAGTCCTGAGACCAAGGAACGGATTGCCGGCGCAGAATCTGTATCAAAGCAAGCAAAGACCGTTTTTTCGTCCGGGAAGGTTATGGCGACTGTCTTTTGGGATTCGCAAGGAATTATCCTCATTGACTATATGGAAAAAAGTAAAACTATTACAGGTGGATACTATTCATCGTTATTGGACCATTTGAAAACTGAGCTGCAAAAAAACGTCCACGATTGAGTCGCAAAAAAGTCCTTTTGCATCACGACAACACGTCAGCCCACTCCTCTGGAGTTGTGGCCGCAAAATTGATAGAGTTAACGTTCCAACTCGTTTCGCATTCCCCTTATTCTCCAGACTTGTCTCCCTCGGACTACTACTTGTTCCCCAATATGAAGAAATGGCTAAAAGGAAGGCGATTTTATTCAAACGAGGAGGTGATTGCGGAAATGAATGCCTATTTTACAGAATTGAACGAATCTTATTATTCGGAAGGGATCAATAAACTGGAACAGCGTTGGGCGAAGTGTATATGCCTAGAAGGAGACTACGTTGAGAGATAAGAAAAAGGTTTGTCCCAAAAGATTAAGCAGTTTTCATTTTTGCACAGACTTTTCAAACCATCCTCGTAGCTTAAGATACAACGTCAGTACTCAAGAAAACTTAATAGGGAGTTTTTGCAATACCGTCTCTCAGATATAGTAAACGTATAAATCGTGAACGTTATTCACGTTCAGAAATAACCTCGCAACGTACGCGACCAATAGCATTCACGATTTACGTTTACCCTATCTGAGTGACGGTATTGCAAAAACTCCCCATTCTTAGTAATCTCAGCTTAAGCCAGCGGCACACGATGCTTGTTTTCGTGCTGGATTGCTTGCTGGATGAAAATACTGCGTTCTGATTGGTACATTTCCGAAGATGAATGGAAATGCACCAATCAGAACGCAGTATTTTCATCCAGCAAGCAATCCAGCACGAAAACAAGCACCGTGTGCCGCTGGCTTTATTTTACCTGGACGTATGTATAGGTATGCCCTCTACATCGACTCCTGATGATTCACAGTACTACGATTAGGCATCTCAACACAACAGAAAACAGTGACGACTCATAAAGGTCATTCTACAATGAGGTTGTAGTAGGATGCAGTAGGCAAATTGACCAATCACGATCGATTGTTCTCTTTACGATCGAAGAAAAATCAACTGTGATTGGTCAATTTGCCTACTGCATACTACTACAACCTCATTGTAAAATGACCTTAAGAGATATTTAAGACCTGGTCTACAATATATGTCGTAAGTTGTAAGCCGTAAGAATTGGCGAATCACAATCGATTATTACAAAAATAATCGGCTATAATTGGTCAGTTCTTATGGCTTACGACTTACGACACGTATTGTAGAATGAACTTTAATGCTCTAAAAAACTGCTTTTCAATCAAGACTCGAACCCTTAGCCGAGACTCAAACCTTGCTTGTGCCTACACAACAAGTTTTCCTACACCCCGCTAGAGGGCACTAGATGAACGGTTGACGGGTCATAATACTGAACGACAAGTCAGAAATATACATACATTTTATTTCCAAATAATAAAATTTAACGATCGATATTAAATCGATATTTCCATTTCATTCATTTAAAATCTTACACGATCTACCCACATTGATTTTCCAAAGAGTTCAAAGACTTTATTGCAAATTTTACAATTCAACAGCAAGTCGAAGAATCTTTCTATCCTCAAGTGTTACAACTCAACGACGGATCAGACAAACTTTTCATTCTTCGGTGGTGTGAGCAAAAACGGTAACGAGACGAATAAGCTTTCGTCCCTATTTATTAATAAAGAACAAACGTGACAAATTGAAATTCAGCGTAGAAGCACGAAAATTCCGTAACAATTCGCATTGGAAGCACTATCGACGCTGATGATCGAGCGGATCACGTGCGGGGTTATCGAGAGGCTGATTATTCCTCCAGTAAGATAAAGAATCGAAATTCGAGCGCTCGGTCGATCATCACCCATCCCTAGTGCACTTGAAGTCATGGTGAACACGTAGCCGGCGTTTGACGTGTCCTAGCCTCCTAGCTTAGGCATATAGCGATTTGGTAATTTGTTGCGCGCCGCTTGAATTTTGACCGATCGGACGGATGTTTACGCACATATGGCGAGCACGTTGTGAAAATTAACGCGGATCTGTTACGTATCTATCACGTCCGTGCACGCAGAGACGACTAACATGCTGCCGAACAAGCCGTCGTCGACGTCGCCGTCGTCGCAGTCGTCGACGTCGTCGTCGTCGTCGTCCTCCGCGACGGCGAACGCCAAGAAGGTCATGTTCCCCGACAAGAAGCCGACGAAGCAGATGAAATCCTCCACGTTGACCAACGCCGCCGGCCTCAGTTCCCTCATTACCTTCACCGTTCTCTTGCTAGCCTGGATCTCGGGATTCGCCTCACGGCTCTTCGCGGTTATACGCTTCGAGAGCATCATACATGAGTTCGATCCTTGGTACGTGATGATATCTGCGCGCCGGTTATCTCACCATTTCTGATAACTCAGCCATATGATCTATTACGACTAATCCGATCTCTCTCTCTCTCTCTCTCTCTCTCTCTCTCTCTCTCTCTCTCTCTCTCTCTCTCTCTCTCTCTCTCTCTCTCTCTCTATCCCCCTCCCCCTCTCTCTCTCCCCCTCCCCCCCTCTCTCTCTCTCTCTCTCTCTCTCTCTCTCTCTTGTGGCAGTGATGGTAAATTTCTCTGGTTCTTGCTCCAATACAATGTGACGGAAATTTGAGATGTGTTTCTCCTCCACGGTATTTTGCTTGAAAATACATGAGAATACATGAGAATTTAGATTCATCGGAAGTAGTAGTATGTTTGAATATCTTTCAGCGAGTAATTGAATAACACGTGTTCTTTTCCAGAAAATTGACAGATAAATTGACAGAGATCTTTACTTTCCAGCATCGAGAGATACGCAAGTGCAATAATATATGGTGATATATAACGAAGAAATGTATCTCAAATTTAGGTTCAACTACAGAGCGACCGCATATATGGTGCAGCATGGATTCTACAATTTTCTAAACTGGTTCGACGAGCGAGCGTGGTACCCGCTGGGTCGGATCGTGGGTGGAACTGTTTACCCAGGACTCATGATCACATCCGGCTCGATACACTATGTGCTGCATTCACTCAACATTCCAGTGCACATAAGGGACATATGTGTGTTCTTAGCTCCAATTTTTAGTGGCCTTACTGCCATATCCACATATTTATTGACAAAGGAAATATGGAGCGCCGGAGCGGGCCTGTTCGCAGCATGCTTCATCGCCATCGTACCCGGCTACATCTCGCGGTCCGTGGCTGGCAGTTACGACAACGAGGGAATCGCGATTTTCGCCTTACAAATCACCTATTACCTGTGGGTCAAGTCAGTGAAGACCGGCTCAATCTTCTGGGCATGCATCACTGCGCTCTCCTACTTCTACATGGTGTCCGCATGGGGTGGCTACGTGTTCATCATTAATCTGATTCCACTGCATGTATTCGCCCTGTTGATCATGAATCGCTTCAGCAATCGCCTATTCACCAGTTACACTACATTCTATGTTCTCGGACTTCTATTGAGTATGCAGATACCGTTCGTCGGCTTCCAGCCGATCAGAACCTCCGAGCATATGGCCGCAGGCGGTGTGTTTGGTCTCCTGATTTTCATAGCAGCTCTTAGGTATGTGTCCTCTTCCCCGATAATCAATCACGTCAGTCTAGTAATCGTTTTCTTCTTCGTTACGTTTCTATCTTCTGTTCATATTCATTTAAATGCCGAACAGATAGTTAATTGCCCCTTTTCTTAAGATGTATTTCATTGGAATGTGCACAATGTAGATATCTCGTTTTGTTTTCAGATACTTAAGAACTGTACTTACCAAGTCCGAGATGAAATATTTCGGTGGCGTGGTGGCCGTGACCGCGGTTATGCTCCTGTTTGTTTTGATTGCTCTAACATACGCCGGTGTCGTCGCACCTTGGAGCGGAAGATTTTATTCGCTGTGGGACACCGGTTACGCCAAGATACACATACCCATCATAGCATCCGTATCGGAGCATCAGCCGACGACGTGGTTTAGCTTTTTCTTTGACCTGCACATTCTCGTTACGACGTTCCCGGTGGGTCTTTGGTACTGTATCAAGCACATCAACGATGAGCGTGTCTTCGGTAAGCAACTGTCGCGTGACGATAGATACTCTCAGTGTAAATTGATACTGATCCTTACAAACATGTGTGTATGTATAGTTTGACTGACTGTACTTAACTTCTTAGTTTCAATTCTTTATTTTATCGTATTATTAAGCTTGATCTTCGCTTACTTCATTATTAGCAAATGTTTCTAAATTTTATCATTCTCATTTTCTCACAATGTCCACTTTATTTTTTAATTCCAATTTTTAATTGTCTTGATATGTTTTGTACTTAATTTATTGCTTTATTATTAGCAGAGGTTTTACGTCTCTTGTTTCCGCTTTCGATTATTTTATTACGTCAACAAAGATCATAAGATGAACGTAATAGATTTATCCTTATAATATAAATGATGCCAACACATAATGAATAATCGAATCTCTTTGGCAGTCATATTATACGCCATAAGTGCCGTTTACTTCGCCGGGGTGATGGTGAGACTCATGCTGACCCTGACGCCTGTGGTTTGCATGTTGGCCGGCGTGTCGTTCAGCAAGTTGCTGGAGCTGTTCCTCAAGGAGGAGGACAGGGAAGGCAACGATCGGAACGGCAACGAGAGCGACGAGGAGAGCGAAGAAGAGAGGGAAAGGAGCCCGGGTAGAGCTTTGTACGATAAGGCTGGCAAACTCCGCAGAATGAAGCACGAGAGGCCGAAAGGCAGCGGCGACGCATTAGGCGCCAATCTCCGTAATGCCGTGATCATCGGCATACTCATGTTGCTGATGCTGTTCACCGTGCACTGCACGTGGGTGACCAGCAACGCGTACTCCAGTCCGTCGATCGTGCTCGCGTCGTACAGTAACGACGGCGGCAGAGCGATACTCGATGACTTCCGGGAGGCTTATTATTGGTTGGCTCAAAATACACCTAGCGACGCCAGAGTTATGAGCTGGTGGGATTATGGATATCAGATCGCCGGTATGGCTAACAGGTAAAACAAAAATCTAGCGTGTACCGTCGCACGACCTGAATCAAGCCTCATGATGGGATCGCACTATCCATCTAGACTGCAGCAGATGGGACTCTGTCAATCCCCGTTGTCGCATCGTTCGTCAACGCTGTTGCATTGTTGAGAGTATTCAGTGTCCCTCTCCCTCGCATCTTGACCGTTCCTATTCGAGAAACACTTACGAAAGATTGGCGGATTGTTGTCTACCGCCGTCTAAGCAAATAGTGCGAATTCGACCCAACTCAGGAAAGACACGGACAGCCTACATCGGCTTTGATAAGCTTGATAATATTCTTGGTGATTAGAAATTTATGAGTCTTAAAATAACCAGGGACTGCAGACTTACTCGAAGAATGTTCGGCCGTCAAATTATCTTCTTCCTTATCGAGAAAAATAAATGCTCGTCGTTCGGATGAGCTCGTGAAACATCAGAGACATATAACTAATAATAATTAACAATACGTAAACTTTCACAGAACTACGCTCGTGGACAATAATACGTGGAACAACTCGCACATAGCACTGGTCGGCAAGGCGATGAGTTCGAACGAAAGCGCCGCTTACGAGATCATGACGTCCTTAGATGTGGATTACGTGTTGGTGATATTCGGCGGAATGATCGGATATTCCGGCGACGACGTGAACAAGTTCCTGTGGATGGTGCGTATCGCCGAGGGCGAGCATCCCCAGGACATTCGCGAGAGCGACTATTTCACGGAGAGGGGCGAGTTCCGCGTGGACTCCGAGGGTTCGCCCACTCTACTGAACTCGTTGATGTACAAGCTGAGTTACTATCGGTTCGGCGATGTGAAGATAGACTATCGGTCGCCGTATGGCTACGATCGCACTCGTAACGCCGAGATAGGCAATAAAAATTTCCAGTTGACGTATTTGGAAGAAGCGTATACCACCGAACACTGGCTCGTCAGGATTTATAGGTGAGAAGCGCTCGAATTTCCCAAAAGTTCAAACTGTAATCGCTCAAGGTTCAAAGTATATTTTATTTCAGTCGCTTAGAAGGCTTGATTTAAAGGTGTATTTTTCAATGCTTCTCATCATTCATCAAGTATCGTTGTGTTAATATTGATATCAAAGTTACCAAATTATCCATTACGTCTCCTAATTGAGGAATACGTTCGCAGGGTAAAGAAACCAGCAGAGTTCAACAGACCGAGAATCCCGATCTCCGAACGGATCATCACCCGCCGTGCAAATTCGTATATTAGTAAAAAGGTTGGTGTTTACATCTCTTCGGGGTAAGAGGAAAGAGACACATTTCTTGTTTTTTATTTTATGGTCTCTCGTATCGTTTTGCCTTTTTTATCGTCACACTTCAGTCGATCTGGAAACGTAGTTGAAGTTATGGGGGGTCGGGCATTGATGATGTTTCAGACTGCACGACGCAAGCGAGGTTTCATAAAAGGCCGGCCAGTTGTTATTAAGGGGCAGAAACCTCAACGACGAACGACGTAACGAAGATCCGCCGGCTATTTCGTAACGGTTTTCAAATACAGCTTTTGTAATAAAAAAAAAGAGAATTACCGTCCCTTGGATCTACCACGAAACTATACCTCGAACTAAGAGTTTAAATGTCATCGGAAACAGTTCAATTTGTTTGAAAAGAATAGAATACCTTAAGATGTTTTCTTTTTTCTTTTTTTTTCTTTTTTTTATATCGAACAATCAGAGAGTAATTGAAGATTATTTTAACTTTATATTTTGTTTTCAACAGTGTTGTCGTATCCAATGTTCATATGTAATACCATCGTAGTCCGATTTATTTCTCCCCGAAGCTAGACCGTCGGTCATCATTTGTTATTGCATAATAACATTTGCAAGCATCGTTTGTTGATATCAACATGCTTTCAAAGTTTAGGATATGAATACTTCCGATAGATTTACAAATGTATTATTCATTATGGTTGGTCACAATTGTATATTTTACATTTATCCATAGAAGAGTTCCTCGCGTTATATTTTTTCTTTTTCTCTCTTTTCTTCGTTTTTAAATTATTCCTACAACACGAGTCGATTGCACTTAGCAATTGACCGTGTAAACCTTTTCGCAGGAATCACTTGTTTGCTATTAATCAAACAATTACGACGGTCTTACATAAATCGAGACCCTTAAGACATCCTATAGTTAGTGTACACACGTTTATGTTACATAGTATGTCTAATGCACATGGTATATTGTATCGGACCAGAGTCTGATAGCGGAGCGAGAGAAAAACGGATCTTTGCCGATTTTCAGCCGGAACATTCAGAAACGATCGAATGTGTGTCATGTGTACACAGTTTGTTGTATAGCACCTTGTTGAAAGATAAACATTTGTGATAACATAGTGTCGTTATTTAACAAATGCGCATTTGAGATGCAAGTCGAGTTCGCAATTTTTGTTTTACCCGTAAAAAATTTAGAGAAACGGGGAAAAATCTACTTGAATAGAGTATAAGGTCGCATGTGGAAATTCGACGTAACTTTATATTTTTCTTTTGTTATAAAATATATAGAGAAATTTTCTAGTGTTCCACCAGCAAATATCACAATTCCATTTCAGCATTTTTTTTCTTTCTTTACATAATTTCTATAAAAACAATCTGGAGAAATAATAAATTATGTAATAATTTTATGTATATTGGTACGTTATTGTTGTATTAGAAATTAGGTTTGGTTATTTTAAATAGTATAATACATATTAAAAAAAAAAAAAGTATTAAAAACCATCTATTATCGAAGCGATTAGAACTGATTTTACTCCAGAGGAGTCTAACCGACAATGTAAAATCCCGCGGATGTTGTCAAATCAACATGCACGGTAACACAGATGGACATTTCATGCATTGAACTTTCAGCCTCTCCTTAAATTTCCTTATCCGTGTCATCGGACAGATCTCCTAGGTCATCAAAGTCCTCTTGCGAGCCGGCGCCACCGAACGTTCCAGTACGATTATTGGTACTGACACTGCTGAATATTCCCGTAATATTCACGCACGAAAATTTGTTCCGCTTCAATTGTCTGTCGATTGCCTCCTTCAGCGTGTTGTACGCGGCTATCATGTCACGCGGGCACTGCGACAGCAGATCTGAAGATAAAAATTCAGAAACTCGTTTAGAATGTTTACGATCATTAGATATAATATGCATGCGACGGAAAAGTTCTCACGTTTATAAATCGGCTGGCCAATGTCGAACATTCTGTGATAATAATACAACTGATTGTAGAGCTCCGTCCCGGAATACTGAAAATATAAATGAACGCGTGCATTGCGGATCTTCGAATCTTGCAACAGAGGTCTCTCTCTAAACGAAACGATTCAACTCGCTCTGAGAGTGTTAATTAAATCACTAAACCGAGAGATTAAATTAAATTGAGATCATTCCTTTATTTTTAATTTTATAAGTTTAAATCTTACAAGTGTAATTCGCGTGGTAAAAATTAATCATTCGGCGTTTATGAGACGAATATTAATCCGAGAGATCAATAATTTGTAATTCTGAGTCAACTTACAACTCTGGCCATGGAAATGTCCTTGCATACTGGACAGTCCGGGAATTTTCTTGCAAAATCCAACGGCAGCCTCCTGGTTCTGTTGGAACACAGCGGGTTCTCGCATTCTAACCAACCGTTATAATACTTACCGATCGCTTTCCTCATAGCAAGTTGAACCATATTCTGTATCGCATTTGCGTATCTCCAAGGTGGCAATTTACAGTCCTGATTCGGGCACATACTGAGCGAGAATTGCCGACCGGAGTGCTGCGCCGGAGGAACACGCGTAAGTATAAAAGAAAATTATATTGAAGATATCTTGAGAGAGACAGAACGACTGAGAGGAACAGATAAATACTTACGAACTCGGTTATAGTGTCCTTAATTATTATTTCAGTGTTGCATCTTTCATTCCTGCATTTGAACGTTAAAGGCACACAATTGTCGAATCTTTCGTCATTGATGGACAATGGCAGGTTCAAGGTCGCCTCGCAGGCTATCGCCTTCGGTTTGTAAATGAACTGTAAACCTAGCGGATAAATTGGCATATGTAAAATATTCCGTCTCGTTCCGTCTCTCGTTCATTTCTACAGTTCACGATATTTGCACGTTATACCTAAATTGTTAGCTAAGAAGACGTCGTCGATACCCTCGATCGGCTCGCAAATTCGCAGCACCACGGGGAATATTTGGCTCAGCAGATAATAATTGACGTCCACCTTCAGTTTCTCGCTATTCTTTACTTCATCGATGTGATACGCACGTTCCGTCGCGCTTGCTTCGGTTCCGTCCTAAATGTTGAATACTTGATAATTTTCACAACAATTCGAGACTTGTGAATTTGATTGTGTAACTTGAGATCTTAAGTCACGTATAACATAACGTATACCATAAGTTAAATTGTACAACTTAAGATATCTAATAAGAATATAACTGAGATTATATATAATCTCAGGTATTATAATTTGCAAACTCAAGATCGTAGAACGGGCGCGCAACAGAACCTCGCATATGATATATGGCAACGTGTCGCCGGCCTTCCACATTCGGCCGCCAGCTTTGTTCAACCTCAGTGCCACCATCACATGCGACAGCTGCTTTTTATCCGGATACGCGTCCGGATTCTTCGACAGTTGCTTCGTGATGACGAACGACGACATGGGGGCCGTTCCTTCCTTCACGCTCTTCGCGACGTTCTGCAGAATCTGCACGACCTGCTCCAGGCGCGTCTCGCTCGATTGATCGCACAGAAGTATATCGAGAATTTTTCTGAAAGGGAAGGCATGCACACTTGGACGAAGCCAGAATAACACTATCGCGATCATCATGAGCACTACATAATTATATATTTGCTAACTTTCCAGTCTCGCAAGCCAATGGACACCAATCTCTCCTGACGATGTCCAGACCCTTGTGCTCCTGCGCCAAATGCAGCTGCCCACTCGGCAACTTCGTCATCGTAACGGCAGCGTACTTCTTCTTTTGTAGAAGCAACAAGTACCGAAACACCCCGTCGATGTCCAATTCGACCTTCTTATATCGGTTATTGACTTCCCGCATGATCTATATAAGACGTTCGATCTCGTTAGATCGCCGCTATTGAGTACCGACTAATTTACGAAGTGCGAAAATCACACTTATGTAATTATACAGATTATGAAAAAAGAATTAGGGCCTCCCCCCCCCCTCTCTCTCTCTCTCTCTCTCTCTCTCTCTCTCTCTCTCTCTCTCTCTCTCTCTCTCACCTTTCTGCCGATCGAGAAAACATCGTCGTACTCCAAAATGTTGGTATTTATCATCAACGAGTCTGTATCGCCGTAAATGACCTCGTACTGTAACTTCTCGACCAAGTGTTTCGTGTCTTCTAAAATCTCCCGACCCTTTGCTGAAGAATAAAACATACGTTTAGTATAATATCGACGTTACGTTACCAGCTTCGTTAATTGTCGTTCTTACATTGTCTCACCTGTTATCAAAGCGGCGAGGCCTTTGGCGTAAAATCGACAATGCGTCGCTCCTAGACATCCGTACATGGAGTTGGCAGTGAGCTTCAAGGCCATTTGCCTGATATGGTAATCCATTCTCTGCTCCGGTGTAAGATTCGGCGTTTTCATGAGCTGCTTGATCTGCTGTCTGCTCTTGACCAACTTGTGAATTTCGGTCGGAATCACACCAGTCTCCAAAGTTGAATCGGGAATACTCAAATGCTGCATGTCGCACAATTAAGTATGTTATTTGAGATCTCTCTTTGTCGAGGTGTTACGGAGGAAATTACCTCGACTTCAGCGTATGCCGCACCGGGTACAGTGGTGAAGCACAAATTGTATTCTTGTATGATACTTGGGTATAGCGAATTGAAATCCATCAACAACACCAGTTTGTCGTAGAAACCTTTCTTCGGGTCGAGTACTAAACCTCCGATGTACGCCGCAGCCTTCTTACGAGGACCATCTGTGTGTGTATGTGTATGTGTGTGTGTGTGTGTATGTGTGTGTGTGTGGTATTAGTGCATTCAATTTTGCTAATAATAATGCGCAACAATATGCCAGAGATTTTATATTTCAAATTAATATAAATATAATAATAAATTAATACAAAAAAATATATAATACATAATTTAAATACATGAGTTTAAAAAATTTTTAATTAAATTAAAATTAAATTAATTGATTGTGTCGGAAGGATTGATGATATATAATTTATATAAAATAATAAGAATCAAAATCTCACCGTTGTCACGTTTCTTTTCGGTCTTCTTGTCTGGTGTTACGTACTCTTTTAAGTGGAAAGCGTGCAACAGCAGATACTCGTTTCTCTCAGCTCTTCCACCCAATAGCGTTCTCGACAAGATATTACCTACGTTCATTTTGTCGAGGAGTTTAATTGCAACTGTGTACTCTCATAGACACATTAACGATACACAAAATCGAAATCTTACCGGCCAAGCAGGTGATTTGAAGCGCTAGCGGTATAACATTAAGATCCATTACCATAGTTATTATGTATTTTGCTTCTTTTAACGTCGCATGTATTAGACTTGTTATTTTGTCCGCGGTATTATAGTACAACGGAGTTTCCGCTGGCGTGATCTCCTTACACTCGTGCTCCTTAGTTTTTAACACCTAGAATTCATCAAAATCTCGTATAATCTCGAACGGATAAACAGTATAGGCGCTGTCATAACATCGTGCTACTTACTGCACTGCAGAGCGACAGTAGATCGTAACTTCTGACTTTCAAGTTTAATTCCTTCGCCGAAATTTGAATGTCGCAAATTGGACGTCCAACGAATGCCTGGTTGAGAACGATCTTGCCCTGTAAAAAAAAATAGTTTGTACTTGTTTCTACTTGTTGATATAGAGTACGTTGATTTTCTCTTTTACTCTTAGCTTAAATTCAACATATCACATAAATGAGTCACACTCGCGTACCCTAAGAAGAGGAGGAGTTGTGGATTTTAATCTTCCCATCCTATTCCAATTCGATACTTTCAAAGCGAACATTCTTTGCATCAATACGTCGAACTGAAACGCACAATCGTAGCCTACTATCAAATCCGGGTCTGCTTTTTGCATCAATGTCAACAGCTCTTCGAGTAATTCGCTTTCAGTTTCGCATTTTATTATTTCGGTATTCGGGACCCTAGGTAGCACATCCCGAACTTGTCGTGGCCATGAAATATCTCGTGGCCGTGTGACAACTACACAGAGAACAATAGAAAAATCTTCGTTAAGATCTTGAAAGAAAAACCAGCACATATGCCGCAAACTCCGCAGCATAAAGATCAACGAATGGAAATATCCACATATATAAATTGAATAAATTGCAACAATTTTCTGTTGCTCGTCTGAACCGAAGAATTGATTGAAGGCTTTCTTTGCAGGTGAAATATCAATATGTAATTGTATACTAATGATAAAAGAAACATACAGCAAAATTGACGATCATAGGGCGGTTTTGGTGGTTCCTTATCGACGTTATACTTGTGATGGATTAATACCGCGACCATGACAACTTCATTCTGTAGCTTCGAGTTCAAAGACATCCTCACATTTAACGTCGCTATCATCATTGGCGGCTTGGCGTTATCTTGGGAACATAACGATACATTGTCCATGTCCGAAGTAACCACCTGTTGCGTTGCGACATTGCGACGTTATTATTATATATATCCCGTACATTGTTCATTACACTTGTTATATAATTCATGTTGATGTATGAAAAATATGATCGTTATCATATTATGGCAATTAATGATTGAATTATTTGATAAATGGCTCATATTATTGACATAATAAAGTGATAATCCGCCGCACTTACTATCTGTTGACACCAAGCGAAACGTCCCGCAGTGGGTGACACGTTTTTTACATCCAGCCAACCAGGTCCCTTGATTTTTCTTTCGATCAGTAACAATTCCAATGCGTTCACCGTCGAGCCGAAGACGCGCTCGATCGCCGGGCCAGAGTAATTGGCTTCGATCGCTGGATAACGCGCGTTGTATCTGACCTCCAGGTAATCGGACGTCTTTGGTGTACCCTCCTTTTCGAAGGAATAATGCTTCTTCGTCTCTTTACAGTTAAATTCCATTATACGCATCTTGCTAGCATACTCATCGAATTCTTTATAGACGTCCTCTATGGTGGTTAATTGAGGCTCGCCACTCTTAGGAGTCTTCAACTGAAATTCGCGATCAATGAATGCATTTTATCTACCGCTTTGATACCAACACGTTTCAAATAGAACCGTCGACGAAGAAAAATCACGTCGACAAATATACATACGTATTTTCTAGGTAAGAGATATATTCTTCTTGGTATACAGTGCACCATAACGCAACAGGAACAGTACATATCACGACTAGCCACGTAGGTCTTGCCAAAGAGGTACACAGTTCCAGGATTCTTATAAGGATTCTCGTACGCGTCTAGATAGTAAAATCTGAACACCTCCACCTCGTCTTTCGTCTTGACCAATTGCGGTACTACTTCCGTAAAATCGACCACGTTCCCGACCTTTATACCTATGACGGTAGTCTTGCACGTAACATTTTGCGTAATGTCCGTCCTGTTCTGCTGAGGTTTAACGCTGTTTACTGAAGACGAAAAATCGGCATCCATGCTCCCATCGTCGAAGTCTATAGTAGATAACTGTAATATATATTTTACATATAATTATATACACATAGTTTCACTTCTATGCAAATGAGATGAAACATAATAAGAAACACAACAACTCACATCTCCGACACATTCGTTAAGATCCATATTTGACTTCTTTTCTGCTGTCAAACATACAGACGCGAGTTCCGACATACTACATAACTCCACCTCCATGGATTCATTATCGATCAACTGACTTGCACTTTGACAGTGTTTAGTGTCTTTTGATTCTGTTTGTTTACTTATACCGTTTTCTTGCATTTCCTCAAGTTTGGTATCTTCAATTCTCTGGCTCATATTCCGATAACATCTAACATCATTTGATGCCATTGGTTTATTGGTATTTTTCTTTTGTGGTGCATCAAATATCGCAGCAGTATCATCATCATCCTCAATTATTTGACTTGCATTTTCTTCCGGTTTTTGAATTATCTTTTTATCATTTGCTTCTTGATTTACAGGTGAAGATTGGTTTTTATATCTGTTAATAAATTTTATGTAACTTATTATGTTAATAGCTTTTATGTAACTTTGGTAAAAATTTATAAAATCAATACAGAACATTATATATGAAGAGATATAAATACAACTTATTAACTTACGCAAGATCTGAATGAACCGTGTGGCAAAATTTGTTTTTAATTTCTCTTGGCTCTTGGATTCTCTTAGAATTATCTACTGTCTTCTTACTTGTAGAAATCTCACTGAGCAACTCTCCTAAAATATCATCATCCTTGCAATTTGTATTGCTCTTCTTAGAAGGCATATTCCTGAACATGTTTTGAATATCTCCTTTTCTTCTCTCTTCTTCCTTCCTTTTTTTCCTAGGGCCAGCCATATTATACTTCTGTCTTTTAGCTTCTTGAATGCTTTCTTCATCCAAATCGTCATCAAAAATCTCCCTTCCATCCTCCACATAACCACTTCCTCCTTTAAATTATTAATTTGAAATTTGAAATTTGAAATTAAATATTAAATATTAAATATTTGATAGAATCCAGAAAATTGATGCTAGTAACTATACAAAATTTACTTTAATTTCCAGCATGATCCTTTTCAATTATAAAATACGATATTCTTAAACCAAATAAGATATATGAGAGAAATGTTTACCATCGTCGACTATCCAGTCATCACGCTGGCGTTTTAGAACAGTATTACTGTACTCCTTTTCATCTACCTCATCATAAACATTTTCCAATTCTCCAACCTCATATTTGCGCTTGCCACTTCGGGCCTCCTTTAATTTCTCCAGAGCCGAGAGCCTGCCAGTCTTATCAGTCCTTTGACGTTTACTTCTTCCAGACGTGGATGCTAAGGCAGTTTCATTTAGTAAAGCAAAACTGCAGTATTTACTTAGATCATTCATAATTTAAAACAAGACATGAAAGATGCATAACACATTGAACAGACAAAAAGATATTTACGAATGCGTAATATATAATTGTCACAATGTAATACTTGGCCAAAATCATTCCTATATTTGACAATACATCCGTCAATTTACTTACGTTGCGAATCGTCCATTATCCTTCCGCTAAATTACGTTTCCCGGTCACAGAGTGCAAACGACATTTCGTGCCTTGTTCATTCGATGAGTTTTAGCGGGAAATCTCAAGCAACGTGACTGACGGAGATGTTTTGCGATTCGAGTTTAATTCGAAACTTAAGCCAGCGGCACACGATACTTGTTTTCGTGCTGGATTGCTTGCTGGATGAAAATACTGCGTTCTGATTGGTACATTTCCGAAGATGAATGGAAATGCACCAATCAGAACGCAGTATTTTAATCCAGCAAGCAATCCAGCACGAAAACAAGCACCGTGTGCCGCTGGCTTTAACGAGTTCCACTAATCGAGGAATTATTCCGTTAAAAGTTCCCAGAAATATCCAATAGAAGAATCGGATTTCTGGAGACTCTCCTTAGTGATTGTTTCTCCCTAATCGCATCACTGCGTATCTATTTTGGGGATTGGCAGTCTTGGTCTTATGTTCGCTAGGTGCTTCAAAGCTGAAGTTTCATCAGTTTCGTGTTTAACGTACAACCAGGTGTGAGAGGGTAAATATTCTTTAAAGTATGTATTCTCATAACGATGATTATTAGTTTTTACTCTGATTGTCGATAGCCCTGACTAATTCGTGATAGTTTTATTTGCGATAACTATTTTGAAAAACTTCGAAATAATTCGAATCGCGACAGTGATTATCTTAACGCTCTATATGTACGTCTGATACATATATATGTAACTATTTAATATCAAGCGATAACAAAGAAATAGATGAAAAACTAATTTGTGTATCTTGACAGAGCTTTTCTCCACGTTATGTTATCAATAAGAAAATATATCACTGTCTTGTGAATTAAGTGACTTGAATGATATATTTTTTACAAGAGGAAGCGAAGCTGACAAAGCTGCACAAAGATTTGACGTATAGTGTCGAGATTTGCTGATAACAAAGATGCTTATTAGAGAATACAAATTCTGTGTCAGCACAGCAATTGGTTTTCTTATATTGATTTATTTAGTCCATTACGCAAATATTACGACACAAAGTTGTATGTAGGTTATGTTTTTAAAAAAAGCAACCTTTTTATACCATTTTCCTGTCACCAGTGCCTTTATATAGTTGATAAAAGGTTGTAAGGTCTTTTTAATGAGTTTGACGACAATACATTTTGTATCTAATAAAATTACTTTCATAGTAAAACTGTATTTTCAGTCATAATGGCGAAAGCACATAGTCCAACACGTTTCAATGCAGAATCAGATAACTTTTACGATCCAAACTTTACTCTGGATATTAATACACGAATGCGAGTCCCAAAAAGCATTCGTGTAAATGGAGATTATGACGAAGGCAACACAATGGCAAATGGATCAGTATGGAATCAAACATCTACCATAGAGAAAATTGAAATGCATGTGCCAGATAGGATTCTTGCTGTTGGTAAGATTTTATCTTGAGCATCAAATTATTTTGCAATCATTAGGGAGAATATAATTTCACATTTTATTTTATATAATATATTTTTATAATCTCATTCTGATTGCAGGTCAAGAACAACATGTTGGTACAAAAGCGCCGCCATTAGAAATAGCTGTAGAAAATGCTGTCATGTCTCCTGAACCTAGCGTTGTTAGATTACAAGTATGACATTGAAATCAGAGAATAGGTATTTTGAAGTAAGAGTATATTATTAAATATTTTTCTTTGTTCATAGACTCCTCCAAGAATCCTTACATTGGACAGCCATTACTTTCCAGCAGCAGCAGCAGCAGAAGAAGAAGAAGAATCAACTATATGTGAAAACAGAGAAATAGCACCTAAAACATACAATGCTGAAACACAGATTGTGAGACATGTCAGGTAGGAAAGTTTTTTTTATGTTAATTATATAACTGTATAATATTTTCTATGAAACTTTTGTCATCATAATTTATCAACAGTACAATCTACCTTTTATTTTGCACTGTATTCAATTTACTTGATGTGTTTTGCATAGAGAACCAACACCTTATAATGTCCTCGATGTTTCTTTGCCACCCAGTGAAGAAGTGCAGCATTTACGTCGCCAAGTAGGTAAATTGAATCGTAGGGTCATGGCACTTGAGCTAGAACTAATGCATCGCCAACAGAAAGAAAAGATCTTGTACATAGCTACCATAGCATATTTTTTATTGAAGGCTTTTTCCTGGTTAAGTAGGAACTGAATAAAAGATGAAAAAAGGTGAGACATGTCAGGAATTGTTCTTTGGTAAGAAATAACAATTAACAATGGTGAACCATTCTTGCTATATGAAAGTATAACCAAAGACAACAGTCTCATTATTAAATTAAGCAGGACAACAGTAATCGCATATATGATACAAAATAGAAATAGATACGTGTGAGCGTTTTTTTTTTCTATTATGCAATTATATAACACAACCACATACTTTATTGTGGCAATTTACCATCCATGCCATATTTAGAGTAAAAGTTTCATGTAATTTTAAGACATGTATGTACTGTACTAGATTTGACAATATATGTATTATTATTCATGTACAGCATGTTGAGAAATAACTAATAAACTAGATTAATTTTCATATAATGTAGATAACAGACGGCAGTAACAGATATTTTGTTGAAATAATATGTGTATAATTTAAGAATCTTGATCTTTAGAGATGACTTGTTTTGGTGATATAATTTTCTATATATATATATATATATATATATATATACACATATATACACACACGACATTTCTATTCTCCAGTATATTTAGTGATTTATTTCTTAATTTTGTAAAACAATTGTAAGATTTAAAGTTATAAATTAAATTTATATATATCAACAAATGAAATTGATATTAATGAAATATTATATCTTTAAACATACAAGTGAATGATATTAGATGATAGAACTACATTGTGTATATTGTGTGTGTATATATATATATATATACATAATTCATATATGTGTATGCTACATACACAATGTAACATGTTATTATTGGATATAGATGTTCTACTTTATTATAAGAAACTTGTCTACAACTTTGTTTATATATAAGTCGATTATGTCTTTCAAATTGAAATTATATATTATGTGTGTGTCACTAAAATTAAATTTCCGTGATATAAAAATATAATAATTTTCCTTAGAAAATTTAGTTTTATCATTTTCTTTATTGCGTATCAATATTGCAAGAAATGGTTCAAGATATTCAAAATTTCTTTTAAAATTGTTAATAAAGCGTATTAAAAGATCACATCAAGTTGAAAGTATCAAAAAGTAATTTAAAAAAATTGCAATTTCTTCAAAATATTAATCTTAACCCCTTAAAAATCCTTAGAAACCGAATGTCTCATGGTTGTGTAACGCGACAGCATAATGTCATGGATTATTTTTCCAGATTTTCCAAAAATGCAAATACTATTGCATATAACCAGTAAAGCGGATATGTACAACGCATAAAAATGCAATCCGCTCAGCGTCAAAAACGTCACCAAAATGTCCTAGGTCTGCACCCCAAACCCGCAATGTTCGTTTCTAGTTATTCTAGTAACTCACAAAAGAGCTGAGAGTGGCCTAGGTCCATTTTACGAACATAAACTACATAGCCAATGTTCGTTATTTTTCTCAGTAGGTAAGATAAGGTAATGTCCATAACTTTCTATTTTGTGCTGTGCAATGAGCGAATTAGATCAATTAATCGTGCTGATGATGAGACAGAGATAGAGGTTGATTGTCCGTTTTTGTCTTTGTAATATGTCCATTCACGGACACAGCAATCAATAACAACAAAATCACAAAATCGTGGACATTACCTTTTACCCTCTGAGAAAAAGAATGGATATTGACTACGTAGTTCACATCCGTAAAATGGACATAGAAGCACTTCAAGATAATATTACGGGAAAATGGCCGTTCTCAGCAGGTTTCTTTCTACTACGAGATTCGGCCTAGGGGAAATTCTTCAAGACTTCCATCGCGTCCAAGACATAATCGGCCGGTTGGCGCGCCTGCCAGCACATAAGAGAGGTCAGTGCACGTCACGTAGTTATTGCTCGAAGCCGACGAAGGAATTCGGTACGGTGAATTCGTTCGCGGGTGATTCCGGCCAGCGGGACAGCAGCGAACGTCCTGGGACTCTCGCGAGCGGGCCGAGGACATTGTCGGTGCGCGGTCAGCTCGGCGGTGTTCGCATCCGGACAGGACACAGGGACGGCCACGTAGTGTGAGATTGTGCGGAGAGTGGAGAGCGCGCAGGGTCGCCCCCGAGAGTTCGCTGCGCGCTCACGAGAGAGATCGCGGAAGTGTGTGTTGGCGCGTTCGTTACAGTGCTCCGCGCGCGAGAGTGTACAGAGAGAGAGAGAGAGAGAGAGAGAGAGAGAGAGAGAGAGAGAGAGAGAGAGAGAGAGAGAGAGAGAAAGAGAGACAGACAGAGAGAGAGAGAGAGAGAGAAAGAGAGACAGAGAAGAAAAGAAAGAGAGAGAAAGACAGCCGACGGGCCGCCGTTGCACGTCGGCCGCCGCCGCTGCCGCTGTTAACTGTATGTAATCGCGCGCTACGTTCCCCCTCCTCCCCTCCGCCCGTCCTTTCGTAGCCGGTGCTGACACGAGCCGTCTAAATCCGCACCCCGGTTCTACCGACCGACGACACGGGCGCCGCCGTCGCTCGACGCTCGCCGCCGACGACGACGACGACGACAGCTACGACAGCTACGACGACGACGACGACGACGACGACAACGACAACGACAACGATAAGGACGATTACGACGACGAAAACGTCGACGACGACGACGACGACGACGATACGCAGGCCACGCGACACAGGTTATGTCAACTGGATTGTCAGGCGCTGTCTCAAACCAGGTCAGTGTGTTGTGTTGACTACGTTACTCCACCATCACCACTACAACCATCACTACTACCACCACCACCACCACCACCACCACCACCACCGTCGTCGTCGCCGCACGCGTCTGCATACGGCAGACACCATATACTTTCTCCCCCTTTTCCCCTCCGCGTACGCGCTCTCCCGTCACGTCACCGAGAGGGCTGCCCTTCTAAATTTTGTATGTTTTTTCATGCGACGGCATGCAGCGGATGAAAGGACAAACCGGCAATCAAGGTGAGTATCGAAAGTCGAGTATGCATCTGATTACTGATTCTCTTTCTTTCGACGTGCACGTCAACACATTTCGGTACTTAGTGCTGGCACGGGACGCACGTGTTGAATGCAAGGGGAGAGCAGGTGTCGTCGCGAGTTGGACGCATGAAATGACATTGATTGATTCTCGTGTGTCAAGTCAAGAGATATCAGATCAGGTATTTGGAGATTGAGGATTGAGGATAATGGGCTATAAACTGAAGATCGAAGACTGAAGATTGGAACTTGACTAATTCGGACAATGCAAGCAAAGATTGAAGTAAATTGATTCATCTAATTTCAATTTTTATTCAGCGATCATCAATCTTCACTACCCAGTCTGATGTATGAGCTTCGGAGATATGCAATTGTATATATGTTAAATACAAAATTCCTGATTCATAGAACCTCAAGGACATAGAAGACATGTGATCGAGAAGAAATTAATCTTGCGTCTGATTGATAAAAAAAGATTAGAATTATCATTCATAGATTAAGTGCATTTTAGAGTAAACTTAATCTTACTGTTGGGACTTGACAGTATGTTGATCCATCGAGACACGCCAAATTCAAAAAGATATATGTTGTATACATTTATAAACTCGCGTTCACACTCCCTGTGTGAGTTACCTAACATATGTGTAATATAATTTTCTGCAAAGGTAATAACAAATTTCTGTCAAATTTGCTTGTTGATGTTATAGTATGTCTACAATCAAATCTACAATCACATCACACAATATCTCCCGACATTTGCTAATTCAACATTCACAAGATCAAAATCACATCCCATTCTCCCTCTCTCTCTCTCTCTCTCTCTCTCTCTCTCTCTCTCTCTCTCTCTCTCTCTCTCTATCTATCTATCTATCTCTATCTCTATCTCTTGTTCTATCTTTATCTCTTGTTTCCCCATAGATTGTCCTTTTAAACTGTATGCATGTAAAATGCGCCCAAATATCTTCTCTACCTCTCTCTTTCTCTCCGCTTCTTTCAAGCTGCAACCAAATAAACACAGAGTTCTGTTTGGTACAGTGAGCAATGGCCCTAAGGAACACCAGCAGCAACAGCAGACGGAGCATGCCGCTGGCGAAGACACCGGCTTCGACTCGTGGCGAGGTGGTAACAATGCTCAGCATCACTCGAGTTATCCAATCGGCGCCGGTGATCCGTACAACCCGTACTACGCCAGCACTTCGTTTCCTTATCAGGCCTTCGGAGATGGCACGTGGTCGAACGGCACGGACCCGGTGGCCTTTCTGTCCGGCTACGGCGGTCAAATAGGTCATGACGCGTACGGCATGGACGGTATGTTCTCAGCGAGCGCCGGCGGCGGCTTCAGCGCGTTCGGCCAGCCGCAGTTTAACTATTTCCACGGTAATGGCGACTTCAGCGCCTGGGGCACACCCAGGAGAACCAAGTACGAGGACTATTACCCGCGCGGTAATGAGAGCTATACCACGCCAAGCAGCACCGACATCAAGACTATCGAGCAGAGCATGCAGAGCCTGTCGATCGGTAGCACCGGCGAGCTGCCGAGGCAGGATCCGCAGCACTCCGCTGCCGCGGCTGCCGTAGCTCAGCAACAGCTCAAGCCGGAGCCGAAGGAACCACGTAAGATCACTTGGGCTAGCGTGGCTAGTCAGCCAGCGAAGCCGGTGCCGCCGTTGTCGTCCACGCAGGGTATGAAAAAGAAGGCGGGCATGCCCCCGCCGCCGATAGTGCCGGGCAAGCACAACATGGACATCGGCACGTGGGGCGAGGGCAAGTCTTCCGCGCCGCCGCCACCAACGGCGCCGCCACCGCCGCAGGTGCAACCGCCAATCCCGCCGCCGCCACCGCCCGTCCAGAGGCAGCAGAGACCGCCGCCGCCGCCCCCGTGCTGGAACCGGCAACCGACGGCGGCGACCCCGCCGCCGCCGCAAACGCAAATTCATATGCCGCCGCAGTCGCAGCATCAACAGCACCAACAGCAGCAGCAGCATCATCAGCAGCAACAGCAACAACAGCAGCAGCAGCAGCACCAACAACAACAACAGCAGCAGCAGCAGCAGCAGCAGCAGCAGCAGCAGCAGCAGCAGCAGCAACAGCTCGCGCAAAGCCAATCGCATCCGGTGCTCGATGAGCTGAAGGTGAAAAATGACTACAACCCCGTGGAATTCGATCAGACCGCGCCTGGCGCCAGGTTCTTCGTTATCAAATCCTACTCGGAAGATGATATACACCGTTCGATCAAGTACGAAATTTGGTGCAGTACGGAGCACGGTAACAAGCGGCTGGACCAGGCTTATCGGGAGGCGAGTCGCGAGGGCGCGCCCCTCTATCTGTTCTTCTCCGTCAACGGGTCCGGTCACTTCTGCGGCATGGCGCAGATGGTGTCGCCTGTCGATTATCAGTGTAACAGTAGTGTTTGGTCGCAGGACAAATGGAAGGGTCAGTTCCGCGTACGTTGGATTTACGTGAAGGACGTTCCTAATGTGCAACTGCGACACATTAAGCTAGAGAACAATGAGAACAAACCGGTGACCAATTCGCGGGATGCGCAGGAGGTGCCGCACGTCAAGGGCGTCACAGTGTTGCGTATCCTGCATACCTATCGCCACTCCACCAGTATCTTCGACGACTTCGGGCATTATGAGCGCAGGCAAGCCGAGGAGGACCAGCGTAAGGCGCCGAGCAGTGCCATACAGCATCACCATCCTTCCACCAATCACAGGAACAGAGGTCACGCCACGGACTTGCCCAGAGATCATCATCAGCATGGTCATCAACCTCACCTGCATCAGCGCAAGGTATAGATCGACAAGGTTCGAGACGAGTTTCGAGTTTCATTAATCACCCGGTGATAAGAATGCACTCCTCTCTTTTTATTCCCCAAGTGAAGTCGCGTTATCGCGAGGAGGCTTTGTAGACGCAAACAAATGGAAACGATCGAATGAGAGATAACACTCGAGCGCTGTCTAAGCAGATAACGATCATTAATCGCCGGCTAATGAAATGTTTCCTTTCGTTGCAGGAACGCGATGGTACTCGTGGTCGCGGCGGCAGAGGAGGTTCGCGCCAGTAGCGTTGGGTATCGCAGAAACGTCACGACATGGACGAGAATGATCGACGTAAAGGAAGCACGCTGCGACTAATCATCACGTCCTACCACTTACTACCTTTGCTTTCCCGGATCCGCGATGGGCTTCTGATTTTCCTGATGTGACCGAACTTTCGTCGTCGAGACCGCGTTGTTCTTACGTTTAAAAATGATTAATCCGTATGAGATAACTAGCGTCGCGCGTCGACATCATCGTAAATAATATGTAACCGCAACTATTATGAGAAACGAAGGAGAAGATGATGATACGCTATCTCGAAGAATATTTGGCTAAACTCGCTGACGATCGCTAAAGAAAAGAAACAAAAGCGTATAGTGTGGTGTTGCGTGCTATTCATCGAATGGTGTTTCTTAAACGTACAAATAATAAAGCGGAACAGGTAGAACGCAGACAGGAGACAGAGAAAGAAAGAAAGAAAGAAACGGTGAGAAAGAGGCGGAATGAAGGAGGAAGAAGGAAGAAAATGAGACGCGTTAATAATAGAGAAGGACGAAAAAGGAAAAAAAAAAAGAGGAAACTGTAACATGTGGACTAATCCTAATGTAATAAAATGCTTAAACTTTTGTTGAAAATGAGAAAAAAAATCTATGCGAGAACACTTTATTGTAAGCAAGTGTCATTTGGATCGGTTATAGTTTCCAACACCGATGAACATTTAATCTGGTGCCTGCAGCTACGAGAGGAATCGAATCCCCCCTTAAATTGTTAATAAGGTGCAGGGGCTTGTTACAACGTTTTCAGTTGTATTTATAACCATCATGCTTCACGAAGAATTATACAGAAAAAAAAAACAAGATTACCGGCGTTTATTTTAGCGCGTATTCTATATCTCTATTACGAATATATCTATTATTATATTATTCATGAACTACAGAGAAATAATGAGTTGAGGATAATATAACGAAGTGAATAATACTGCAATTAATCTACTGTAATGTACACGATGACGACGATAATTATTATTATTATTATTATTATTATTATTATTATTATTGTACCATTTGATGAAATTTCATGATGATTCTTATTGTTAAACGCATCTCTCTGTTCTCTACTTCTTTTTACTTTTACGATGTATCCTTCGCGGGGCGACGCAACATCGTTATAACGAAGCAGAGCGATTCTGAGTCATTCTCGAGCGAACGACACGGCGTAGATTTCTCTTCTCAGTGAAGATTCGAGCGGACATCTCGCGTCACCTGAAATTTCTTTCGAGAACTTGTAAAATTTATTATTGTTCAGAATGCATTCTCGTCCGAGGAATGCCAAGGAATAAATCTCTTTTTTTTTTTCTTCTTTTTTAGACAAAAACTCAAGTAAACGTCATCACTTGAAATCCTTTCGAGAACTTGCCAAGTTTATTGTCATTTTCAGAATCGTTCTGCGTAGAGCATTGCGATCTCCGCTTGAACGACATGGGGGAATGATCGGTAATTTTATGAACAATAATAAATCAATAATAGGCCGATCGGCACTGGACATTGGCGTCGCGTTCGCGCATCCGATCGATCGATCGATCAAATCAACATCAGCTATTCGCGTCGAATTCGCACACGCGTCGTTCGCTCGCATCGACGCGATCCTCGCTGGTTACCGCGACTGCTCCCTCTCGCCGCTTATCCTCCGCCTCTTGCGCTCTATTATCGGCTTCCGCCACATCCGTCACGTGCTCGTCTCGAAGCAGCCCCTGCTGCCGGAAGTAATCCCGCAGGTTCTCGCGCACCTCCTCGCAGAACTTGTCGCGATTCGCCTCGACGTAGCGGTACACGAACAGATCGGCGCCGGTGATGACGAAGCGATGATTGAAGACGTTTATGCGCGCGCCGATGAAGAGGTCCTCCGGCGTGTAGTACAGCGGATCGTCCTTGCCGGTGGCCGGCCTCAGCTTCGGGATCAGCCTCGAAGATAGGAAGCTACCCTCGCGCCGGCCGGAATTGCGCTTCTCCAGCTCGCTGATCTGAACGGTGCCGTCGCTCAGGTTGTACATCAGCACGAAGTCACGCTCCTCGTCCTCCGGGTGCGCGGCGTCCATCCGGGCGGAGTAGCGCAGCTTCTTCGGGAAGTTGGCCAATTGACGGATCACGTTCCTCCTCGGTGGCTTGGGTATGAACGACAGGCAGCTGGCGTACGTGTCCTCGGGGCTGCCGAAGTCGATGTGAGGCGGCATCACGTACCTCACCGCCGGCCCCTCTATCTTCAGTGGCAACGGAATCGCGCTCGGCTGCGGCGTCCTCAGCATGTCGGAGTAATAATTGCGCGTGAACGCGTCGCAGTCGTGCAGCAGGAAGCATCGGCCGAGCACCAGGACCTTTTCGCCCACCTGCGGAAAGGATCTGTGGTCATTTCCGATTTCGAGCGCGTTATTTAGGAAACAGGAAGCATACAACTCCGCTGCAAGTTAATTTCTCTCAACGACGACCTGTGGTAACGGCGTGATTCTCGATCGTTGATAGCACGATCGCACCTTGCGAACGGCTGAACGGTAACGGTGACGTAGACGGTGCAGTAGTCACCTTTGCCGTTAATTAGCAAGATGCGAAGAAACGTCTTCTCAATTTGGTGGACAAAGTAACGGAGGTTGTTACTCCTTGAGTTACGACAATGAGTTATCGCGATGGCGTTACTTCTTTCACCGAATAACGAGCGCGACGCTGACGAGTTGCTATTCAATTCAGTCAAATTTGCAATATTCGTTTGCAGCGAAGAGGCCCGAGAGCCGTCTTACTCGGAAGTCTCGTGGCGTGTAGTACTCCACGTTCTCGGGATCCCCGCGTTCCGCGCGGACGCTCGGCTGCCAAGACGGCGGCAGGTTCCTCCAATCCTTGGGCACCCGCATTCGCTTCAGCAGCAGCCCCAAGGGATCCTTGCCGTTGTTGGGCTCGCGAATCTCGCTGATCGCCATGGTGTCGTCCGACAAGAAGTACATGAGCCGATAACGATCGTCATTCCACGTAGCGTCGAAAGACAGCACCATCCTATCGTACTCGAGGAAGCGTCGCCTAGAGTCCTCGACCACCTCGCTCGAGGCGATCGTCCGCAACTCGCGCTGCTTCGTGTAAGGATTCGCGGGAGCGGGCTCCCCCTGGCCGACGTCTACGCCTTGGCTCGTCAGGAATTCCCGGGTGAACGGATCGCAGTCGGTGATGTGGTAGACGACGCCGTAGATGCCTGCGAGGAATGTACTCTCTTCAGTCGAGGATCATTACTATTGAAAGATGGATACGTTCAGCGATACACTATTCGACGAGTTTCCGATTTGTTACATTATCACTCCCTTCCGTCTCGTATTGTTTCTGACTGAATAGATTTTTCGGTCAGTTGGAATTAACAAGTTCTACGTCGTTCTTCAATAGGGAGGCAGAGGAGGATCAGCAAAGGAATTTAATTAATCGATCGATTAATTAATGTTCCCAATTACTGTATTCTCGAGAGATAAATATTTCCCGAACGAGCAACTCACACACGTCAATGCCGACGTTGAAGTCCTTCCAAATGAACAGATCGCCCTTGCCGTTCTTCGGGATCCTCTCGCGTCTCACCAACTTGCCCTGCTGGAAACCAGCGTTGTCCAGCACAGGTTCTATCACGCAGACCGTGTCGTCCTCCAGGAAGTAGACGATGTTCACGTGCCGGACGCGACATCGCTCGTCCGGGGAATTGAAGATCCTCTGGCGGAAGAAGGCCTTGAAGCGGAGGCACTTCTGCGCGAATACAGCACGATGCGGCGCGAATTGCCGGTACGCGTAGCGAGGCAACCGGCCGTAAGTCAACGAGGGGTCGTACCTGTGATTAGACAATCAACATCACGGACTCTGATTGAGGGGGGGACAGTCATTATTTATTTTGATGGCATAACTAAATGACTCGATAAAATATCTATTATCCACGAAATAAGCCTTTGTGAGGTAATCATCCACTTTCCGCTTTATCTACGTAAAATCGTCATTTATAAAATTGAGTAATAATTGGGAAATAAATATTCTCTGATGGTGATTAAATAATTTAATGATTTAATGAGATATCTACGAAACGTTTATTTATGATAAAATCATTTATGAAATAATCTATTCTATTGTCTCTGTATGTAATTTCTATCGTCTACGGAAAATTAATATAAAACGGAAAATAATAAAGAAAAATAGTATGAGTAACGATAAAATAAGTAACGAAGATCTACAAGAATATCTGTGGAAAAAGAAACAAGAAATAACACGTATAGAGAATTAATTGCAATTATTTTAATCGAGTCGAATAATTCGTAGTAATCACTCCGTGCTTAATGCGGGAATTGAATTGGCGCTTGCGCGCGCGCGATATAAAGAGCACTTTTCGAAGAAGCTTTGACAGAACAGAAAAGTCTGCAATTACTTACTCCACGGGATATGGCACTTCGGCGTGTGCAGCCGATGCCACGTCCGTCGGCCTCCTTCCGGTGCCGTAATTGGTATCGCGCACCACGGGAAAGCCATTTAAAATGTCGAGCTTGTGCGGCAATTTATAGTCCTGAAGCTTATAAAAGGACGAGAGGGTCAACCATCTGCTATCGGAACAGCGAAATATAAAAATATGATGACCACGAAAAAAAATTCGTTCGACTTCTTCTCCGATAAAAAACAAAGAGAATCTGATTACAAAGAGGCGCACGATTACTCGGATACTTACGCTGACGTCGCGGAAGGTGTATCCCGGCAGAAGAGGCAAACTTGTCATAATGAATAACAAAAAGAACGTCGGCTCGAAGACGACGTTTTTTTTCGCTACGTCGCCGTGACATACTCGCTCTTGTGTCGCGGCCGGCTCGTTCGATATCGAGACCTTTGTTTAAAAGGTATCTCTATAACGACACATACACGGCTGTATATTGATTTAATTCTGAGTCGTGTATCGCTACGGAGTCTGTTTGTCAGACATTGCATAACCTTACGAAGAATCATGACTTATGTCGGTATTAACAATCTTTATTTCAGGACCTGTCCCAAGTGACACATACGTGGATTTCAATTTAGGGATAGATGCGAGTTTTTCGGTTAAACTACAATTACGAACGTAACATTATTATATCGTTATACAACTCAACTGAGAATCTCTCAGATAGCTTCAAATTTAGGTCCCACGTGAGATAAGTTTCAAGAGTAACGACTAAGTTTCCAATTAAATACTAATTAATAGCAAAACGTAACAACTAATTAATAGCAAACGTAAGCAATATCAGAAATTTTTGCTAAACAATGTCACTGTTGTCCCCCCAGCTTGTATGAAATAATCTCGTAACCTCAGCGAACGCAATTCAACATGTAACATACTTGTTAATTGTCCTTCTCAACAATGTAACTGTTATATATATATATACATATATATATATATATATATGATACGTTATATAAACGCACGCATTTTTTATACAACAGTTATATTGTTAAGTAGGTAAATTGAAACTAGCGGGTATGTTACATGTTACACTGGCACATGTATTACATTGCACTCGCATTGTTGAATAGGAAATAACAACGTTGATGTAATGTCACCGTTGGTACGTGTTTTCACTAAACTAATAAGAGTCTCAAACGTACGCATGCAACTTGAGAGGAGGAGACCAGACGCAGGACAGAGGACGGTTCTGTTCGACCATTTATTTGTTCAGGACTTATTGACAACAGTAGTATTCGGATGGTTGTTCGTGCAACCGCTACGAGCAACCACCAGTCCCGTCTGCCGGCGGGGTCAGTCGGCCGTGACTGCTGCGCGATCACAAACTAATGACTCTTCTGAAAATGGCCATGCAACCAGCGGATAGGCAGCCAGCCATCGGCACGGTGATCAGCCACGCGAACGCGATATTGCGAAACAGTTTCCACGACACCCCCTCGCCGCCGCGGGACGCCCATCCCACGCACACCACCGATCCCACTTTGCAGTGCGTCGTTGACACAGGTAGACCAGCCTTACTTGCCAACAAGACCGTCACTGCTGCTCCCACCTGCGATTAAATGCGCCGAGTTATCGACCTTGATATCGGCGACATGTAGATCAGCATCGAGCTCACTCGTCGAAAACTTCCGCGGAACGGATATACGTATCAGTTATCAGTCGAGCGGTTAAAATGGATGAATATGTAAAATCAAACATGATTATCGCGAGTTTCTCGGCCTCTCTCGGCCGAGAGATATCACGTAATGCAGATTTCACGTAATCTCTATAAATATAAAAAGGAACGCGCGTGTGCCAAAGGGAGATAAGGAGAGAATTGCGGCTGTTGAGAATCGCCGAATCACTATTAACGTAGACTGCCGCTTAAAGTAGATTCTCATTGTCTCTATAAAGGTTTAATTGTTATCTTATTTTAATGTTGTATGAAAGTCTTATTTTTGATTGATTAATTAAACCGCTAAAGATACGGTACGGAAAATAATGGTAATTCAAGATACAAACATTTCTCATCTCGTTTTACCGGTTCCGCATTAGCTGTCGAATTTTTTAGATGCAATTCATTACATTTTATGCGTAACATAATGTGTTAGATGTATTAGAATGATAGAGAAAGATTGAATTGTTGAATTTAGATGGAGAAGAGTGGAAGGAGTTGGTTCCTCGAAAGTGTCCAGTTGTCGAGTCTGAGGTACGCACCTCTATAGTAAATCCGGTCGTGGGGGTGATGCGCGCCAGGTCCTGGCCCAAGGTTTGTATCACCCTGCGTCCCCAGACCCACAGACCGGTGGAGATACCTAGGCCGCCGTACAGCAATATAAGTATAGGAGTTTCAGCTTCCTGCTTAGCCGAGCCTTCCGAGTAGACGGCCCAGAGCGCGATCAGCGGGCCGATCGCGTTGCTAACGTCGTTACCGCCATGAGCGAAGCTGCCGAATGCTGCGGTGAGTACTTGCAGGAAGGAAAATAACCTGGACACCTCCGGCTGCTCCTCCTCGGCCGCGATGCAGTCCGCCTGCGCGTTCTCTACCTCCTCCGCCTGGGCGACCATCAGCAACGGGCTCTCGCTGCTGTTGCCGCGCAACTTCACATCCTTCGCATTGCCGTTGCTGTTGCTGCCATCGCCGCCGCCGCCGCCGCCGCCGCCGCCGCCGCCGCCGCTGCCGCCGCCGCCGCCCCCGTTGCCGCCGCACGGGGACTCCGTGATCACCGACAACGCCGTCGTCTCCTTCTTGTCGCAGGCGCCCAAGTGCGTCGCCGCTTTCTCCCGGTCATCACTCATCGCCAGCAATATCCTCGTTCTCTGCCATGGCACCACGAACACGTACACGATTACCGCGACGACCAAGCCCAGAAGCAACGCGGCTATCAAACTACCCCACCACGGCATTTGATCTAACATTAATACTGAAAAGAGAAAGATAAAGATACCTTAGATGCGAGAGAATAAAGAGGACAGTGCAAGAAACCTTAATGAAACTTCATATCCTTCGATCAGGTTGGAAAAGGCACTTTTTAAGAATACAACTCCGTTACCGTCACATGTTATCGTTATTTTCACTCATTCTGAGCAAACACAACTCATTACCGTTATAGTTATTCGAGACTATACTTACAATTCCCACTGTTTTCCTCAACAAAGTTTCCTCCTCTTTCAAGTAACCATTGTATTTGTTACTTACTGTCAAATAAAAGCGAATGTAATCACGCCAATAAAGAGAAGAAAAACACCGTTGCCAAGTCGTTACCGGAGAAAATAACTTGCAACGGTAACAACGTTCTGTGATGACCAACCCCATCAGTGATGTACGTTAGGATGACGCTACTATTTACATTTAGGTCCGTCAAGCGCAATTGACATAACATTGACAGCAATGGTGAGACCGTACGCTACGGGGAGAATATTGAGACCCTGTTCGAACGGCTTGCTGGACCGAAGCACGGATTTCCTCAGCAGCCAGAAGATTAGAAAGGACACGATCCCGCTGAGCACGGGACTGGCGAACCACGACGCCGCTATGTGGGCGAGAGCTATCCATCTCACCTGCAACATTGGGCATAACGGGTATAATGAACATCGCGCATCCATAATCCCACCGCGGATCGCGCGAGGACTACTAACCCCCTTGGTACCTCTGCACACGAGCGAAAATCCGACTGTAGCACCAACAATGGAATGCGTACCGGAAATTGGAAGTCGTAACGCAGTTGCCAATAGTAGCCAGATAGCAGATCCGGCTAGACTGGACAACGCTCCTATCATCAACTCCTTCTCGTGGCCCTCGTACAACGAGACGTCCAGTATACCCTTGCGCATAGTGTCGGAGACCTATAATATGGCAAACAAGTCGTCGAGTGACATAGCAATGTCTCATCATCCCATAAACAATTCGAGCAAAAAATGATGACAGGGATTCGGGTGTCCGGGATCTTTTGGAAAAATTGTGAAGATTAATCGGATCAAACTGAGAAGAAACCAGTCAGATACCATTTTGAAAAAATCGCAATAGTTATTAAGTTATTAATAATTGAAAATGACCACATCTAGAGGCTCTTTTAATTAATAACTTGAAAATTTACATATTTATTTGTAAAAAGGATAAAGAATTTTTTGTTCAGAATGACCTGATCTACATGACGGTTCTCTACTTCTCGATATATATTTACCTTGTATCCGATCAACACGGCACCAGCGATTTCGAAGAACGTTGCCAAAATGCAAGCTTGGAATATCGTGAGTACCCCGGCACCGACGCTCGTCCCGAAGCTGTTCGCGACATCGTTAGCCCCGATGCCGAAAGCCAGAACGAATGCGACTATAAAGCCAATCACTACTATCCATATTAAGCTCTCATCGTATGGTATACTCATCTTCACCTAACTTAGATCTATTCTGCTTGAGCTTCCGGAGTGCGTATGGCGTGTGTCTGTGTCTGTATACGTGGTGTGTTACGTCGCTCTAACGTGCTCCGTCTATCTCCGGAACACTTGTACCTCCAGAAAACTTGTAGGCATGTTTAACCGATGTTCACCACCATCACCACCACCATCATCACCACCTCTCTTTTTCTCTTCCTCCGTTGCACCCGTAAAACAATTGATACGGTATCGGAATACAAGAGAATCTTGTATCAAGGAAGAGCCTTCTGGTACAGAACGTTATATCAATACATAATGTAAACGCTTATCCATCAGAATATATCCTTTCTATATACATGTGAGTGAATGTATATATAATATATATATACATATATATTCTTTCATAATATAATATGGATCTATATCTTCATTGTAGCCCTAATACGATCAATTCTGTAGTTTTGTACATGTAGCAGAGGTAGTGTTTTGGCGCAGCACCTGATTCATCTAACATCGTGATCTGTCGTCACACTAACGTCGACGCGAAACTATCTCTTTCTCTCTCTCTCTCTCTCTCTCTCTCTCTCTCTCTCTCTCTCTCTCTCTCTCCTCTCTCTCTCTCTCTCTCGTTATAATATACTTCCCCCACCCCCAAAAAAGGAAACGAAAAAGTCACTGAATGATCCTCGTTACGCTCGTCGTGCTGTTCCTCTGATGGAAATTACGATGCACGATCTTCGAGTCGTCGAGCTCCTCTAGCAGCGCTTTCCTCGAATGGAAACACGCCGGTCGCTGTATTCCCCGCATCTGAAACCAAGTGCGAAGGAAGTTGAATGGAGGTTTCACGTCTCAACGCTCGTAAAGTGCTCGGAAGAAAAGGAAAAGAAAAAACCGCGCGTACATCGCTCGATGAGCCGGCTTATGCAAAATGCAAAAGAATTGACGCGTGCGAAATGAAGATCATCTATGATTTCGAGTCGAATATCTAAGGCAAAAATTTAGAAAGATCCGACAACGTGAAGATTTCCGACCACAGTCGGATTAGTTAGGATCCTCACAAAATCGATCATCGCAAATTGTGACATTTTTCCTACGAAAGGGCGGAGATTCGATCAAGGCCGGCTGAGAATACGGTACGCTGCATGCACTCGGCGAAATTATCCGATCGTTAAACTCTAACTGATATTTCATCCCCTCCATGAAAATCCAACGAGACTACTCTTACGTCATCCCTCGATCGCGTGCGATAGCCTTTCTCTCACCCCTTGGTGTCGACAGCGGCATTCGGGATCGCCGAAATTCCGACACCGTGGAAAGAAGAGTAAATCTCACACACACGCTTCCAACGCGGAAGTTTCGAAGGCGAAGGCGGTCGAGGATCGCGGCTGCGACGATACCCTGTGCGAATTTCCACGCGCGACCTCTGACTCATCCCCCCGCGAAACGTTCGATCGCCGATCTATAGCGACGTGGGAGATTGATAAAGCACAGCGCGTCTCTTGCTGTGCACTTGAACGTGTGCACGAGACGCTCGCGGAAGCGAGCGTCACACTTCCGTCGTACCTTCGAAAAAGAGGACTCCCTCCGAAGAACAAAGTACAACCGCGTCGCCGATAACGGACTCCTCGGCGAGTCCCGGGGGCGAATATATAAATGCATGAAAGATGTCACAGGTCGCCAATTACTTTCACCTTCGACGCGCATACATTCCGCGCGGACACGGTCCGACCGCTTTGAGTCGCGGTCGGAAGCGCCGACGATACGCCCGGATATGAATTCTCGCCGGACCGCCCGGCTCCACGGGGAGCCACGTCTGGCCGGAGTCGCGAAGTTTCCACGTTGAGACGCCAAAGAGACTCTCAATATTACCACGCTCCGAATCATTTTTCGTGCTGGCCAGTGCGCGTCCTGTTCTTCAGCACGTTACTCGCACGTCGATGGTCACGCGGCCGGGTCATCGGAGGGTAGGAACGAACTCGGTAAGACACTTGTAGGAGGAGGACCTTGGCAGCGTCCAGCAGCAGCAGCAGCAGCAGCAGCAGAATCACCACCACCACCACCACCACCACTACCACCAGCACAGAGAAGCGGTGCCAGCCACACTCTCGCCGCTCGCTCGCGAGACGACTCGAAATTACTCGGCGTGGAGGAACTTCGGTGGCCGCCTGTCGTCGTCGTCGTCGTCGTCGTCGTCGTCGTCGTCGTCGTCGTCGTCGTCGTCGTCGTCGTCGTCGTCGTCGTCGTCGTCGTCGTCGTCGTCGTCGTCGTCGTCGTCGTCGTCGTCGTCGTCGTCGTCGTCGTCGTCGTCGGCGGCGGCGGCGGTGGCGGCGGCGGCGGCGGCGAGGTCCGCGTGGGGGGTGAAATATTGATCCGCTATTCGCTTCCCGCGAAACGTACCGCACATACAGCTGTCGAGGGATGCTCAATGACAATCAATCCATGATCTTCGCTAGCGCGACCGTCTGACCGCAACGGTCGAATCTCCCGAATTCGAAACTGCCCTCTCCCCTCTTGCCTTCGTCCGACCTTCCCCATGATGCATAATAGGGGATGAAGAGACGCCACCGGCTATGGATACACTAGGGGATAAACAGGGAGCGGGATGTTAGTAGTTAGTTTCTAGTGTTAGGATATCAGAGTTGGCTTATCAGTTGGAGATAATCAGACGATAATGTTAAATCCAGAGCAACAACGGAAGTAATCAATGTCAGAAATTCAAGGCTTGGAGATAATTCCTACGTTCGGGAAAGAAGCGGACTCGATCGGCCTTAAAAAATTGTATCATATAGCAAAATTTTAGATTAAATTGTAGAAAATTTTAAATAAGCAACGGCAATTATTTTTCAACATCTGAAACACTGCAAATGGATTTTAACATGGGGAGGGGGGGGGGAATCATTGCACATGACATAAATTGCACAACCAACAATTCTTAGTGAACGAGTGCATCGTACATCTCGAACATGGAAGTATCTCGCGACTTCCGCTCTGCTTCATCTCGCGTCGCTTTACATTTTCTATTTTCAATTATGATTCAGAATCCCGCACGACATATTGTCATTATTATCACTGTCTAATTATCACAATGCACGATAACTTCTTGCATAAGGGACTTGCTAAACAGGTCGCAAATAGACACGAAACAATCGGCGATACATACGCTGTATACTGCAGTCAGGAAAAAACGCATACCGCGATACCTGCGACGGTACGCCCGCCACATATCTTTTCGTAATTATCGATTTGTTTGCGTCAGAATGATCAGGAAGTGATCGTGATGCGAGGAAGATGCGAAGAGGATGCGAGGAAGATGCGATGGAAGATGTAAGGCATCGCTTTGAACAACATCGAGACCGACGTTGCTCGAGTAGACGCCGTCTCTCAACATCGTTGTTTTTCAAAGGAAGAAAACATAATTTATTTACCATTTATCTCCATACTTGCTATATATATGTGTACACAGACCAGCTTTTTGCATTATACTGGAACTAACTATGCAGTAGAGAACAAATGAATTTGTTACATCCTATGTTGATCATTAGGCTAAACTATATTCTATGATTCATCCCATAATTCTCTCTCTTTGCGCTCTTTTTTCACCTGCTTAATGTATGGCTGAAGGTACATTACATCCTACAAAGATATATTCTCAGTGACATAAACCATGGGTATACACAAGTTTGATCATCACATATCAAACAGACAGTGACAAGATTTACTGACTTCTTCGTATTTCGTCCATTGCTCCTCGGGCAAAATCTTTTTTTGGGCATCCAATTGCATGGCCCTGATTATACGAAAGTTACGTTCATCTACTAAACATTTGGGAAGACGCCTCAATGCTTCCCGTATATCCGCATCAAGGGTCTCATTAAGAACGTCATCTCTCATTAAACCTGAAAAAGAAATATAACTTCACAATTCAATATCCCAGGATGATAACATAATAATCTATATACAACATTTATTGCTGTGGAATTATAAGTATCTTCAAGAATTTATGAATCTTTAGAATGCTATTAAGTACAAATCTGTTATCTGGATTTACGGGACAGGTTTAATGAAAAAATAACAGCTGATATATGATATCGCTCCAGAAACGCGATAAACATTGTTTAACATAGAATAATGGCGCAAACAATTAAGAATCATTACATATCAGATCTGTCATCAATGACGTTAGGTTAAGTTTGAAACATCCGTCAATCGATTAATATCGACTTACAAACAACTTTGTAATGTAAAATGATGCTTTCAATTACCATATTTATTAAATCCGCTTATATTATAGCACCATTTCCTGAAGCTGACATCTGAAAAATCCAAGTACGTTATATAAGACCGTGTCTTGCTCGACACCGCTTGGGTAAGAAACAAAAGCACAACGAATATTGTTAAAAATGAACTTTGAGTGTGATTATTTACTCATCAGCAGATTCATCTTTTTGCTCATTTTTAATGTACGATGTTTTCCACAAACAGGAAAATTCTCACACACCGCTATTAACCTCCCTCGCTCTTTCTCTCTATCTCTCTCAATCTTGCACCACCTTGCACAGGATTATCTAGTCCGGTCTGTTCCTCTTAAGCCAGCGGCACACGGTGCTTGTTTTTGTGCTGGATTGCTTGCTGGATGAAAATACTGCGTTCTGATTGGTGCATTTCCATCCATCTTCGGAAATGTACCAATCAGAACGTGGTATTTTCATCTAGCAAGCAACCAGCACGAAAACAAGCACCGTGTGCCGCTGGCTTTAGCTGCACTACTGAACTGGTGCAATAAGTTAAAGTGAGAAAAAATACAGTTGTCTCATTCTAACTTATTGCACTAGTTCCGCAGTGCAGCTAAAAAGAACAGACCATAGAATAGAAACGCGAGATATATCGAAACTGACGAATCGATGTTCGATTCTCTTTCCTCGTAAAAGATCGATTAACTTCCAAGTACGTCTTTCAAATTCGATTCATCTTAGATTAAAGCATTAAATCATGCTAAGTGAAAATAAATGGTCCTTTCATTAGCCGTTGACTCATAACTGTTGAAAATAAAGATTCATTTGCCCGATCGTTAAGCAGCACCGCTTAAAAATTAGAAAATTAGAGCATGAAAAGACACTCACCCATTGGGTGAAGTCCCTAGATCGAGAATGCTCGACAGATGGCGCTGAGAAACGGTACTACTTTACTGGAGCGTACGACAGGCGTTCTGCGTCAGCGGTATATAAGCAGGCGTAGTAAGCCCACGACGGCCTCTGCCTCACTAAAAGTAGAGTTTTCTTCACGTGTGGTTGTGTATCCTCTTTCCACAGAAAATAGGCCACACAACCCATCTCCATCCGTGAAATAACTCTCCTATAAAAATCCAAAAAAATCATAAAACCTCTGAAAAAACGCATACAAAAAAATCGCAAAACCGTAGGCGAAAAACCGTGCAACCTCAGGTAACAGAGAAAGTGGGGTGAAAAAAATCAGTAAGGATAGTCTGCTCGCGCCTAGGCATCCTTATCAACGAGGCAACGAGGAAAGAAGCAGCAAGAAGCAACCGAGGAAGAAGAAAGCTCAGGCGACGAGCCGTTGAACGTGGCTGGAAGAAGAGCGAGCCATATTGTGAGAAAGAAGACGACGAAGCTAGGAGGGGCGAAGCGAAGAAAACCCTCGCGCGAGAGGCAAAAAAGGGTAGCGATCGAATTTTCTTCCGGGAAAAAGAAGTGAGCGCACGTCGAAGCAGCACGACCCTCCGCCGCGACCATGAATCCGGGAGCGCCCAATTATCCCATGGCTTCGCTCTACGTGGGCGATCTGCATACCGACATCACTGAGGCGATGCTGTTCGAGAAGTTCTCGTCGGCTGGACCCGTGCTGTCGATACGCGTATGCCGTGACATGATCACCCGCCGTTCGCTCGGCTACGCATACGTCAACTTTCAGCAACCGGCTGACGGTGAGTCATCATGGTCCTTATCGTCTTCTTTCTCGCTTTCGTCATGATTTTATCATTGTCGTCACTCATATCTACGTGTACACGAGCGCGCGTCCACGAATGGCCGCCCGCTGTGTAACATGCCTCTCACACGTGCTTCGCATTGCGCTGCGTGTCCACCATTGTGGCATCCATGTTGAATTCGCGTGTCGTCGTTACAAAATGGTGGTGGTTAACGGTCAAACGGGTTCGAGCGAGAGCGACAAGGATAGACAACGATGAGTGCACACGAGAAAGAGAGAGAGAGAGCGAGAGAGAGAGAGAGAATGAAAGTGGAGGGGAGGGAAGGCCGAAGGATAAAGGTCTTATTCCGTTTTGTGTCGATCATAGGCAAACAGATATGTCGCCACTGTGCAACTTTAATTGCTTCCGTGGAACGATGGCCATCCGTTCCGCTCGCACTGTCTACACTTTCCCTATGCTCCATATGCGCGAGATCGAAAGCCGAGACCGTAGCACGCGAGAAAATGAAAATTCTGAAAAATACGACGCGAAGCGAATCTGTTCTCCATGGGCAGCATGGCTGGCACGTTTCAAGCCGAGAACGATGCGCAGCACTTTCGCAATATTATGACGCAATGCTTGTGTCGTGAAAAAGTAAATATTTCACTCTGTGTTTTCCTTCTCTCCCTTTGTCATATATAAATCTTTTTTTTTTCCCTTGCCCTTTCACTTTTCTTTCCCTCCTTCGTCTTCTTCGTATCTTTGCTTCGCTTGTTTGCATTTTCTCAAGGTCTGTTTTTTTTCCCATTGAACTAGACTGCACTGTTTGCTTGTCAAGTAAAATAAATATGTAGCTTGGTATTCTTTTAATATTTAATATTTAATATTTAATAAATTACCATGGAACTCGACAATCAAGTACGGTACGGTACTCTTTGAAAAGAACAATGTTGAAGGGAAAAGGAATGAAATTTCCTTTGGTGCAACGCTAGTTTGGCTGACAAGAACAAGCCTTTTGGTCTTAGTCCGCTTCTTGTTTTTAGTTCCTTCAGATTCATCTTAAATTTTATTTTGCATAATCGCAGCAGTATTTGTACACACACACACACACATGCGTGAATTTATCTCTTTTATTTATCTCATTTATTGTGTGTTTCAGCTGAACGCGCCCTTGATACAATGAATTTTGACATGATAAAGGGACGGCCTATTCGAATCATGTGGTCTCAGCGTGACCCGTCCCTTCGGAAATCGGGCGTCGGAAACGTCTTTATCAAGAATCTAGATAAAAACATAGACAATAAAGCGATGTACGATACATTCTCTGCGTTTGGCAACATATTGAGTTGCAAAGTTGCTCAAGACGAGTCAGGCGCGTCCAAGGGCTACGGCTTTGTCCACTTTGAAACAGAGGAAGCCGCAAACAAGTCCATTGATAAAGTCAATGGCATGTTGCTGAATGGCAAGAAGGTACGAACGAATATTCTCCCCCCCCCCCGCTCTCCTTCTCTTTTGTTCTTTGAATAAGCATCGATCGACATTTAATGTTCTTCTGTTCCCCGACATGCAACAGGTGTACGTCGGCAAGTTCATCCCACGCAAAGAACGCGAGAAGGAGTTGGGCGAAAAGGCCAAACTCTTCACCAACGTTTACGTGAAGAACTTCGGTGAGGACATGACCGACGACAAGCTGAAGGAGATGTTCGAGAAATACGGGACCATTACCAGCCACAAGGTGATGAATAAGGATGACGGTAAGTCACGTGGCTTCGGTTTCGTCGCGTTCGAGGATCCGGACGCCGCCGAACGAGCGGTGCAGGATCTAAACGGCAAGGAGATCGCCGACAGTAAATACATGTACGTGGGACGCGCCCAGAAGAAGGCTGAGCGACAACAAGAACTGAAACGTAAATTCGAACAGCTGAAGATAGAGCGGCTAAATCGCTACCAGGGTGTGAACCTCTATGTAAAGAATTTGGATGATACGATTGACGACGAGCGTTTGCGCAAGGAGTTCACGCCTTTTGGCACGATTACGTCCGCGAAGGTCATGATGGAGGAGGGACGTAGCAAAGGGTTTGGATTCGTGTGTTTCTCGCAACCGGAGGAAGCTACAAAGGCTGTCACAGAAATGAACGGCCGTATTGTCGGGTCTAAACCGTTGTACGTCGCTCTAGCGCAGCGCAAGGAGGATCGCAAGGCTCATCTCGCTTCCCAGTACATGCAACGCATGGCGAATGTCCGCATGCAGCAAATGGGACAGATATTCCAGCCCGGTAACGCTGGTAGTTACTTTGTGCCCACGTTGCCACAGCCGCAACGATTCTACGGGCCCGCGCAGATGGCACAGATTCGCGCCACGCCACGTTGGCCGGCACAACCGAACCAGGTGCGACCGAACGCGCAGACTGGCAGCTCCGGATTCGCAATGCAAGCTCCGTTCAGAGCAGCACCGCGCGCTCCTGCCGCTCAAGCTGGCGCTATGCGCAATACTCTGTCCGCCAGACCTATCACAGGTGTGTGAGTTGCAAGAAAATTTATAATTCCAACTCCAAACTATAATTTGAGGTTTTGGAATTGTAGTAATTGCTACGATTTTCGTAATTTTATCACGAGTTATATAATTTGGTTCTACGAATTTACGTAGACGTAGTTTATAATTTATTTCTCGGACGAGAGGGATCGATCTAAATTCAACTTCTTCCCTTTTCCTCGAGACTCCGCGAGTCAAGCGTAGTTTAACCTGGTGAAGAACGTCAATCGAACTTGGCGCAATCGCGCAGCTTTGTGAACGACCGTTTCGTGAGGAGAATTTCAAGAAACAAACATGTTAATCGTTTTCTACGCTCAACAGGTCAACAAGCGGTTGGTGGTGCGAACATGCAAAGCCGATCTATGGCCGGACCGGCGGTCGGAGTTTCGCCGCAGAGCCGTCCATCCAATTACAAATACACCGCGAACATGCGCAACCCGCCGCAGACGATGCCGATGCCCGCCCAAGCCCCCGTACAGCAGGCAGTACATATTCAAGGCCAGGAGCCACTCACCGCGTCGATGTTGGCAGCCGCTCCGCCTCAGGAACAGAAGCAGATGCTGGGCGAACGTCTGTTCCCGCTGATACAATGTATGTATCCGGCACTCACCGGCAAGATCACCGGCATGCTCCTGGAGATCGACAACTCCGAGCTTCTGCACATGCTGGAGCACAGCGAGTCACTGAAGGCCAAGGTCGAGGAGGCCGTGGCCGTGCTGCAAGCCCATCAGGCCAAGCAGGCGAATCAACCCAAAAAGGAATAAGAACTCCTCAGCAGAAAGAAGTCCCGAGAATCCGCGAACCCTTTCAGTTGAGCTTATAATGTATTGAAAAGAATGTTTTCTTCGTTTATTTTTCTCTCTTTTTTTTCTCTTTTCTTTTTCTTTGTGTCTCTTCTCTTCCCCCCCCCCTCTCTCTTGCTATCTCTCTCTATCATTGCGCAATTTAATCGATTTCAATGTAAATTTACTTTTAAGATTTTTCGAACGGCGATGACTCGAGACTGATCGTCACGTACATTGATAAAAATAGTTGGAGTTAACTGGAATGTGAAATGTGACTATTGATTTGAAAGCTGATCGTGAAAGGGTTTTTCTTCTAAAGTTTTTAAATAAATAATAAATTTTTCTTTCAATCTATACAGCACAGTGTCTCGTGATCTCTTTGTTGTTTACCTCACCTTTCATCGGTCACTCTTTTATCACTGTGGAAGCGTATCTGTAAGGCGAATAAATGAGTTCTGGGTAAGAATACGAGAGAGAGAGAGAGCGAACTGCGACACTCGCTCCTGTGCTCTTGTTACAACTTACGCGGAAAGTGGATATGATCCACCTGACTTGGCACATTTTGCGTCATTCTGATATTGACTTTGAGACGTATAAGAATAACAAATTCTTCACGAGAGAAAAACAGTATATCGTTTCAATTTCTCAAGTAAGTCATGGTGGATCTCTGCGCTCAGACACTCGGTCGAGTAACATCGGTCGCAAATTAAAATATTTTATGCTTATTGAAGGATATAAATGTGGATCGACGACGATGTCACACAACGAAAAATTCCTCGAGTCTCCTTCGTATGGAATTGACTTTTTTTATTGCAACAAGAGCGAACCAAATATAATGAAAACGTGAAAGATAAAGCTTAAATGAATAAACAAAAACAATTATATAAATACATAAAATTTTAAATAATATAGAAAAGATACGACGAAGAAGAGACGGCCACTTTAACTTTCAAATTATAAAACAAAACAATTCGCGAATTAAACTTTGGGGAAGCAAACGTCCGATATTTATGTTTTTCTTTCAATCTTTATCTGATCACAACGATCAGAAGTATCGAGAAGAAAAGGACCGTATGAAAGATTAATAACAGTACAGAGGAGACCAGAAGTTCCTCCGTTTGAAAAAACGCGCGGTCCCAGGACATAGCGCGACTTGGTACGGCGGGAAAAACCCTTTGTTCTCTTTCTCTTTATTTAATTGCTACCTCGCACTTCCGCGATGAGCGCGATTGGTCAGCTGGTAGCGCCGCGACCCACTTCGGCGTGCCGATAGGTTGTCGCGTCGCTCGCGGCGAGATGGAGTGAGACAGCAGCAGGTCTCTCCCGGGCTATCCCTCGTAATGAAAAAAAAAAACGTCGCTTCACGAAACATCGACAATTGTGGGGGGCAGTTGTGCAGTTTAGTCACGAGGAGTCGTCACAAGGAGGTAGAATAAAGAAATTTAGTTGGGCATTGTCCGAACATTCAGCGAACGACGTTTCACGCAGGCGAGGGAGGGAGAGAGAGAGAGAGAGAAAAAAAATTGTTAATACATATCAACTCGTCGCCTAACACAACGATTTCGGCCGCGCGTGAGGAGGAAGAGGTGGCCAGAGGCGACGGCGCGGCGGCGACGGCGGCGGCGGCGGCGGCGGCGGTGACGGCGGTGACGGCGGTGACGACAGGTACGTTCCCGCATGTATGTGTCCTCTATTTACAATGGCCTCGATTGACTCTGCGCGCTGGGGAGTTGGCCCGACGAGAAATTCGGCCAGCTAGGATCGCAACGACGATAACTCACCACAGTTATGCTTACGATCTCGATCGCGAATCACCGTTATGTGTCGCACTTATCGTGATTCGTCGTGTCTCGTGTAATTACCGAGTTGATCTCGCGATCTTTCTCGTTCACGGGCGAACGACTGATCTAAATTCAGACATATGGTAATAAATTTGTAGCTGCGAATTGTGTGTCGATGCGAAGACCGGCATTAACTTTTTTCGGCTCCTACCGTCGGACCTAACGGCGCGAAGACGAATTGCTAGATCTTAATCTAAAGAACGGTAGAAATCTTTCATTGTCCGTTCTCTCGTACGCGTGTCGAAGTTCTTCCCGCGGTAAGGTTCGTGCTCGGTACGATGTTACTTTTTCAAACGGGTCATCGAACGAAGTAGTTGGCAAATCATTAGAATAAAGTGTTTAATCTTGAATATCGTATACTCCGTATATTATTATATCATCCGCGAGATGATTGTGAAATGTTGCGTATGTAAATAAACAAAAGTCAACAGCAGAACATCTAGGCCACAGAGGTAACCAAACAATATAAATCATACTGGTACATCTTTCTTTTGTTGTCATTTCTTTATTTCCTTTAAAGCTAGGTAGTGTGTATTTCATACAGCAATATAAATTTGTACAAGATTATCTTCGATTATATATATGATACAGTAAAAGAAAAAAAAGTCAGTAATATAGCACAATGTTATTGATGAAAAATATACCAGATGTGTTATCTGTATTTAAATATTTAGCTAATTTTCATCCCAGATAAGACACGATATCCAAGTTCATATCAAATGCAACTTTGGTATCGTGTTAAAATACCTGACTAATTCTTGAATACCTAATACTTGAGATTTCTGCGTATCCAAATATTGACAAGATTAATCCATATATTTAAAAAGACTAAAGAATACTATAATTATACATGATTGAATACATTTTTTTTCCTTCTGTAAGATACATTAACAGGTGATATTGCGAAAAGAAAGTGATAAAATGGACGAAATTGTGAAAATTTTGCGGTCATGCCTGATATCATGCAAAGGTGGTGTAAAGTTGGACAATTTGAAGGGTATGCACGAGAAATAAATTACTTTATTGTTGAACTAAACTCTCTCAATTTTATATGTAAAGTATAATTAATTCTCTTTCTCTTTTTATGATCCTTTCAGTCAAATTTGTGCCACAGCTGCTCACAGCTTTTGTTGATTTTAAAAATGATACAAGAATCAATTCTGTTGCTTTACAGCGGATTATCATATGATCACGGGAGAGCCCTTACCATATAGAAACTTTGGATACTCGACAATCGAAGCCTTTATACGTAATATACCTGATATTACAGTGACCAATAGGAGTGGAGAATTGTATGTTGATGCATTACCTACTAGGACAACAGCTCATCTTACAAAATTAATTTCACATCAAGTATCTCGACGAAAGACACGACGAAAACCACAGACCAAAAAAGTAATGATCTATCGGTGTACTGTACTTGTTTAAAATTTTGTTGTCGGTCATACCATTATTACATAAGCTATTTTATGTCTCACTTTCTGTGACATAAGCAAAGCTTAAGATTAACACATTGCCGACTGTGTCTGCCGAATTGTGCCTGTCTATACATTGCTTACTGTACATTTTTTGCAGAAATATCGTGCAGTAACATTTTTAAATTTAAGTATCCGTCATACAAGTAGTTCCAAATGATAAAATAATGATTATCTTATATTTCATGTAACCTATACAAAGTACATGAAAGTAAAAATTTGGCCACACAATTTAGTATTTTTATGAGTGTGGTGACTTTTAAAACGAATAGGTTTATGCTATTACAAGATTTACAAGATTTATAAGGAATATATCTATTTCTCTTGTTAGCGAAGCGTACTCTACATCTATGAGGATATCTGTTTACCACTGATAATAATTGGAACAAGTTTGTATTTTTTGAGATTTATCGAAAGCCTTTTTGGTGAATCATTCGAAAATCTTCCCTATCGGTCGTGCAGTAATATATTCTGAAACAGAGAGATCTCCCTAATCATACACAGTCAGCAGTCAGTGTTAAATCATGTTGCTGAGTGTTACAATTGTTCATGAAATTAATTTTCAGTGGAATTCTCTTCGATATACTCCCAGAGGGTACTTACCTGGTTTTAAAAATAACGGACCTCATTCTGGAAGGTATAACAATCCAAGTCCTTCGAATTCATTCACTAGATCGACACCTGGGAGAAGTAACTTATATACAGACTTTAGCAGGTGTGTTAGAAAAGTAAATAAACTTTAGATGTATAACTGGCTAAAGTAGTAAATTGCGCCTTGTTTGAAACACGAGTATTTTTATGTATATGTAACGAATATTATTTTAGACCTGTACCACTCATGGAGAATATAGTACAATGTCCGTATCCCTTATCGCGCAATAATGAGAAACCAAGATTTGTCATGGACACACCACAAGTTTCACCTAGCAAAGTAAGATCTGCGATCGCGAGTCTGCTGAACGGTTTGAGGCTCTTAATGAGGTTTATGTTGTTTTGATGTTAATTATACCGACGTGCTTGCAGAGACTGAAAGACAAAGCAACTAATCCTAGCGTATCGACTTCGACTTCGAGCCAAAGTTTTAACAAATTTAAGATTGACGAGAGATTAGAGAACAAAGTATTAATTGAGAATGCAGCATTGCCACCACCTGTGATAAGCTCAAAACCAAAGACTGTAGAACAAAAACCCCTGAAAATAAGCGATAGGCTTAAAATCCCCTCGTCGTTGTTGACTAATAATAATGGACATATCCATACGCCTATTATGTTATCTAACATTTCACAGGTATGAATAACTAATGTATCATTTGATCAAGTTGCATCTCTTCTACGAAGTTGAAATTCCCTTTCAGGTTGCACCTGTCAATGACCCGCGGAAAGAGCTGGCGACTCGTGCTACTGCGTTAGATCTACCGTCGCCGATTTACAAAATGTACATGAAGAAAGAAAAGATTGATCCTACAAGGATCACCATATATGCCAGCGTTAAAGTACGCCGCATATACTATATTTTGTAAACGCTTCGCGGACTTTCGCGGGCTTCGTTTTACTTTTGTTCTATACGTTATCAATCGTGATCGAATTCCGCAGGTTGGAACTCATACATTCCATACTTTCCCGGAAGACGCGAAGACCGGAGAAGAAGCCGAGAAGATCGCGGCGCGTTTAGCATTAGTGAACTTAGCCAAGGAGTCATCGAGTCCCGAAGTAACCACCGTTGATATAAAACTAGTGAAGGAGCGCATACTAACGATCGTAACCAGGCATCATAGCGGCGTCTTTATGCATCAATTGCCCACATATTATAACGAGCAATACGGAGAGGCTTTACCGCAAGATTGGCAGAGGATTACCGAAGAGTGTGCGGATATCAATAAAGAGAAAGGCGTCGGCAATTCGACGATCCTTTGTCGATCCGATCCAACGGCAAAGGTAGTAATTCTTCATTTTTCACTGCTAAATTATCCACTTATTCTCGCTTTTACCAATGTCCTTCAAACCTCAATCTGGGTCTCTTCAAAGACTCAAACCCAAATAAAGGTTTGATCGACGTTAGTATAAACAGACATCACAGAGATTGAGAACACATTCTTTGTTCAGCGGCCAGAGGTTCACTCTCCGTTCCACGAAGTGCATCCCGATAACAGTTTATCCAGTGAGAAAATACAGTTGAGTCCGATAGGACCCGTCGCGCCTGAAAAGTTGAAGATACCCGAAGCGACTCTCTGGAATGTATATACAACATGCGTCATAAGTACCGTCGAGGTATGGGTCAGGCTCGTCGACGATGACTACAACGTGAGTAGATTACATCGTTGTATTATCGGCTTCTTTTTTCCCTCTTATCGTTAAGCGTTTTTTTTTTTTTTTTCCAGGATAATTTTAACGAAATGACGAACGAGATGACCGAGTATTATAATCAGATAAAAGAACCCGTCACGACGTCGACATACATTCCCGGCGATTTCTATGCGATTTTCGAGGATGATTATTGGCACAGAGTACAATGCATCGACTTTGAGCCGGAAAGCAAACTCGCTACGGTGCATTTTATTGATGAAGGTTGCGTCGATCAGTACAAGTGTGACATGTTGCAGCCCTTGGAGAAAAAATTCTGTACGCTCTCGGCCCAGGTAACTCGATTACGTTGATTTTTCGATTACATTTCACATCACCGAATGAAAAAAAAACAAAAAAAAACAAGATTAAAATCGAGAAGATTCCCAACTCCGATACTCGGAACTAAAGTTACGTTGATCTTTTGATCGCATTCGACCTCACTACTTCAACTAAGAATACAAAGTTTAGGTCGAATCCACTTTTTACATCTGATCTCTAACAGACTATTCGCTTACGTCGATCTAACCGCTCTTCTCGTAGCCCTCTCTTCCGCGTCGGAGGGAATAGAAGCACATCCTTGTCTTTAACTGACTTTAACTAACTTTTGTCCGTTAGAGTGTGAAACAAGGATATAACCTAGTCTGTTGAAGAGAAAAGAAACGAAATTCCAGTGTAGCTCTAGTTTAGCTATAAGAAAAGAACAGGTCTTATGCCGGTGTATCGCCGGATGCAGGCCGGATCACTGAGGATATTCATTAATCCCGTCATATTCTCTGCTACAGGCAATCCGAGTGGCTCTTCAAGGATTGGAAGAATTTCGCGATTGCAGTCAGATAGTCGCAGAGATTGAGAGCCAGCTTTTGGAACAGGTGTTCTGCGTCAAAGTACACAGCATAGCCTCCGATGAGGACGGCACATACGCAACGGTGACGTTTTACGACACCAGTAGCGAAGATGACGTGGACATGAATAATATCCTCTTTGAAAAAATCGTAGAAAATATCGCCGCAGCGTCCAAATTGAGTGTAATTGTCCATTTAGATTCATTTGTTTGTCAATCTTTTTCTTTTTCTGTTTTTTTTTCCCTTTTTTCTGTCTTTGGCTGTCTTCCAGCAAGGAACACTGTGTTACTTAAAGCCACTTTATTGACTGAATATAATCCAAGATGTCTTTTAAGATAATATGTAGTCAACAAAGTAGTCTGATGGAACACAAAATTTCTTGGCGGAAAACGATCATTGCCAGGATTTGGAAAGAGTTCCTTTGCAAAAATAATCGCACACAACCGGTTTTCTTCTGAAAACCGTAATCGTTAAAATAATTCGTTACCATTATTCATTTTAAAAGGGACTTGTTATTGTCACTGAAGAAAATAATGAGTCATAATTTCCGTTGCTTTATTTTTCAGAGTTCCTTTTTTGCAATTCACTGTCACCAATTCAATATAGATATATATTCCACGAAGTGGAAGCAACTATTTGTTATTATAAAAAAAATTAAAACTGTTATAAAAAAATATATATATATATATATAATCCAATTATCGATTAACGCTGGACGATTAACGCGTTACTTTCCAACGCTGTTTTATCGTGTGATATCTTTGCTTTTTTTTATTTCCGATGTCTTTTACCAAGAGCGAAACGTTCTCATTTTATCCACAGGCTGGACAATTCGTCGAGATGTACGTCACGAATATGGACAGACATGGCAAGGTTTACGCGCAATTGAATTCCGTCTTCAAAACGTGCCTGTTGAATCTCATGAGCAACGAGAACATGTCGCAAGTACCCGTGCAAGTTCTGAAAAGCTCCGCAGTGAGGGCGATTGACTTCACAAAGATGTACTTCGTACAATTGGACTCGCAATGGTACCGGGCGAGAGTGACGGACGTTCAAAATGAACGTCTGGTGACGGTGTTTCTGGTCGACCTAGGTCGAACAGTCACCGCGTTGCGAGCGAACTTACTTCATATGGAGAAAATATCGAAGGCTCTGCAGAGCATCCCACCACAGGTGAGTGAAAAAAATATCAAGTCACCGCGCGCGATTATCGCGATTAGAAATATTATTTCACAATAACAAAATTAACACTGTGGCATATTTTGTACGCACGAAACAGGCGATGCAGGTTTTTCTCTACAATGTCGATCAGTCGATGTATGGTGACAAACTTGTGACGAGGTTTAACGAATTAGTCTCGGATACCGATTTGCTGATCGCAAAGGTCTTCCGAGTCATATCTGGAGTCCCGCTAGTGCAAATTTTCAAAAGGGTTCAACCGAGCAACATGTTGGCTTCCATTAATGAATCACTGATTCACGACGAGGAATTGACAAAGTAATCTATACAATACGCACGAAAGACTTCCAAGAGATACTCTGATTTTGTTTGTTTCTCGGAGGTTTTTCCAGAAACGCGTGTAAATTAACATGGAGTAAATCGTGATCACATCGTAATGTTCGTTTTAACCGATTACTTTGATTTGATTAATTACCCACTGATTAGTAATCTCATTGATAAATTATTTTATTTATAATTACGTGATTAGTAATCTCATTGATCAATTATTTTATTTATAATTACGTGTGTGACGATTAACTTCAATTGCTGATTTGCTTATTTTAGTGAAATTTCAATCGATTAAGACTCGATTGTTTTCGAGAAGCAAACTACATGTGATTTCTTATCTTGACTTAACACAAGTTATCGTTACATCTTCAGGTCTAACGAAGACGGTAACAACAACATCAAGCCCAAGAAACGTTTGGAGCACAAGAATTCGCGTATTCTCGAGTCCGGTAAATTGAATCCACCTACGATCTCGGACATCGGCCACTTCTTCGACGTTCACGTAGCATTGGCCTCGCACCCAGGACACTTCATCGTTCAACCTCTGAACAACATGGGTGACATGAGGGTACGGGCACTTCCAAATTGCTGATGCTTTTTATCTTGTTAGGACTCGTAGTAAATTCGAAACTCTTTACCACACCTAACCGAGACCTCATTGTTTTTCAGGCGATGATGACTGATTTGCAAAAGTGCTGCGATGCATACGAAGGACCGGAATTAGAATCGGTCAGTGAAGGCAAGCTCTACGCAGGAAAATGGGTGGACGATTATTGGTACAGGTTCGTATAGGCCACGACGAGATGAATCAACTTTCGTCGAACTATAACAATAACACTTGTTCTCTTTTCCAGAGTATATGTTACCAATATCATCAGCGACGACATGATATCAGTATATTTCTGCGACTTTGGAGATATGACGATAGTCCCGCCAAGCCGCCTGCAACCCTTAAAAAGCGAATTTCTGGAGTTGCCATATCAAGCTGTGAAGGCAAAACTAATCGGTAAGGGGAATGTTTTTTCTCACTTCTCCCTCCTTCCTCCGTAACTTATAATTATACTTATAATTAACTTTATATATTATAAGTTATAATTAACTTATAATTATACTAAGATGAGTCTTATAATTTTCTTTTTTCTCCTTGATTTTTATCGAAATACGACACACAGGGATACAACCGATGAACATGGATTGGACCGTCGAAGATTGCGTGAGATTTCGCGATCTGGTGCTGAACAAGAACTTCGTCTCGATAGTCGCCGAATCGATGTTCGACCACTTGTCGCCGGTTAACGGTACTGTACTCGGGCTGAAGTTAATTGACGTTAGCACTGAACAGGATATATTCATTGACAAACTATTAGTGGAGGAGAACCGTGCCAAGTTTATCCAAGAAGGAGATAATCTTACGCTTAGTTAGCTCGTTTCAATGACCGAGGATGAGTAGAAATGCAATTTTCGTAATTGTATCTTGTTATCCTTCTGTAATGACACGAGTGATTGCGATTCGTATACATTACAAAAGGATAACGTATAAGTATACACATAGACTGCAATCGTATATTTCATTGTCCGAGAGAATGGGTTGGTTTTTTTTTTCTTTTTTTTCTTTAATAACATAGCGCACACACAAATTCTGATATGTAATAGAGTTTTATTTTTCACAAAGGGTAATTATTTTATTTGTTATTATTGTATTCTCATATAAAGCCTTATGTTTGCAATTGCATCCTCATGTGCTGTTTTGTTGTCAACTCATCGAAGATGTTTGCTAAAGTTGTAATTAGTTGAAGTTGTAACGTGTGTAGTTTATTTACGGAGACGCCAAGTTTTATCAGAACTTTTTGTTTGTATTTTTGATAATAGCTTGTAGGGGGTTACGTGTTACGTTATACTTTCTTGAGTTTCACTGTTTACGTTTCATGATGGAGAAAGCAGTATTGGCTGTGCGTAATACTGTGCATATATTCATTAACAACATTCCATATTTAAATATACATATATTTAAGTATATATACACATATATATATATATATATATATATATCTCTCTCTCTCTCTCTCTCTCTCTCTCTCTCTCTCTTACATCATATACATATGTCACATACATATACACGTATACATAAGTAGATTCGTTGTACATATGTAACAACCGTAGAGCAGCATTTCAGTTCCATCTCTCCTCTATTCTAACAGTAATAAAAGAAAAGGAGAATATCGAGGCTTATATATATGCATTTCTATATACAGTCCCACCTCCTGTATCCGTGGATGATAGCGGCTCCTGTGTCCAAGTCGTTTTTCGTTCACATGTCACTATATGATGATAACGTTTAATTTATAATTTACGCATAATAAGACATTACCAATATTAAATAATAAAACGCATTGTATATTGTTATATACTTGTGCTTTCCCGTAAATGAACGGGATCTTCTGATGTTTTAACTTAATCTTCAAGGAACGATGAAGTAATGGAAAATATCACACACATTTTAAGGCTTATGCATCGTTTATTTCTGAGATTTTCCACTTGATATTTCCCGGCCGCAGTAAACCGCATGTAACTGAATCCGCGGATACAAGGATGTTCTGCTGCATTCTTAATAATTTAAATTTCTATATTTTCATTTTATCGTTATCTATTTCTCGATTATGACGAATTATCACGTCACCTCGTGATGAGTTGTTGCTTTTGAGATTTCACTCGACAAGATATACGGACTCTTACCGCGTCCATTCATTACGTCGTTGATACGACAGATCACTCCTCTCGAAATCTTCCAATATGTTTATCTATATGTATATAAGTGCACTCCGTATATTCGCAACATCTTCGCTTATTTCGCTAATTGGTCAATTGCATCGTGGAACATGCACAGCGAACGATCGCGTCCACTTCGAGGAGTACTTATCTCCTCGGTCATTAACTAACTCCGCCAAGTGAAATTCATCGTTGATTCATAAGGAAGATAGGAGGTCGTTACGCCTGCAAGAGTGATACCTCTCGGAAACGAACAAATCAAACTTTTATTTTGCGCAATATATTTACAATTATATCGTATATTATCATACATTATGCAATATGCATTTTGTAAATAATTTCACTTATTTTCTACTTATATGAGACCTCATTGAGAGATCTCATTGCTATTTGGCGAGCTCTCGTTCCTGAAAGTCTGCTCGATGGGGGATTTTGTACGTCCTCTTCCGTATCGATTGTAACTTGAAGTGTCTGCAAACCGATGCATCCGCCCCATCTCCTCGACATCCTCCATGTAGCCCGTACTCCTCGTGGCATACGTTTCCGTCGAGTCTGTTCCGTGCACTTACGCGCGATATCTCTGATCCACTTGTTTCGCTAATTCTCCTCTCGGTTAATCGAGTGGGCATCGTGATTGTCGAGCCTGAGACGCGCAATTTCATAGGAGATGACTTCGTTCCTGTTCGTTGGTGACACATTAAAGTTCGATCCTTCCTCGGCGGTAATCGTATTGCAATTTTTAGATCGTAGTTTATGTGCTCGAGCTGCGAGGTCTTCGCAACTCGAATTGCCTCAACTTGCGCCTTTGTTCTGCTTTTACCATGCTTATGTTATTAGATGCAACATACGAAGACGAACTTGTTCCATGTCGTCTCTTCTGAACTGCGGAAACTATCGTGCGATATCGTTGCCGTTGATATTTGCAGCCAATCATCATCTCGCTCGTGTCGCTTTGAGGTCTATACGTTCTTCGTTCCCCATATCGCGCAGTTTCCTTTGTTCTTCATAATCGCTAATATTCACAGCATGCGTGGACTGCATATTCTTGGCAACTTTCATAATAATAAATAAGGAACGTTAGATTTAACATCTTGGAATGTCGATTTCATGCGGAGCTCACATGCGAGAGCATGTTTTTACTCAATATCTCGAAGCATATCTTCCTTAGGATACTAACACGTGCCATCAATAGGTTCTTCTTGGATTGTGACATGTCGCGCAGGCTTGTCGTCGCCTTTGATATTTACTTTTGGTTGATCATCCTGCTCGCGTCTTTGAATATCTGCCTTCTTCATTTACATTTATATGATGCGAGTGAAGCCCTTCCTTTTGTTCCTTGCGTTCGTGGACAATATTAGTCCCGGCAGTCTTTTCGATAAACAAGGAACATTAGATTAGCAACTTGGAATATCGGTTTCATGTGGGACTCATGTGTGAAAGCATGTTTTTACTCAATATTTTATAAGTAGTTTCAAAATGTATTAACGAATAATACGGTCTTCCGAAATATAAGAGAAATGTTTTCGAAAATTTCTACCTCTTTCCCTTCCACTCCTCCCGCCAAAGTTGCTCGTAATGCCGATGCTGATGCAACATTAAAAACTACATATTCGAAAACGTATGCTATTGTCGCGATAATGTTCGGTCACTGATTTTTTACTCGCTGTGTCGCCAAAAGACAAGTACACGCGCGTAGAAAGTAGACGCGATTGTTCGCTGTAAAAGCACACTTCCGTCCGTTGATAACGCATTAAAGTTTTCGTCCGATTTTGAGACACATTGTTCGCTTGCATAATATGTTGATGAATTTATGGTAACGTAATACGTATATACACGTTTCTCAATTTGACGGATCCGCATAAGGGGATCTACTTGATATAAAAAAATCGTCCCGTTTTATTTTCGTTAGTTTATTATAGCATGACAATAAAATATGCGATAAGAAATATGATCAAAATAGAATTGTTGTAACGTGCAGAAAATAAATGTGTTATATATTAAATAAAGAAGTAATTTTTTTAACATAGACGTAAACCAAGTAGTCACGTTGTTAATTTGATAAAAGACAAATATATTCGCAAACGAATATACATAATACATATAAAAACTTAATTTTGGACATGGTAACATTTTTATGAGGACCTTGACGAGTCTACACCATTCTCCTGAGAAGTTCATTAATTTTATCTTCTCGGTTTCCGAAATCACCGCCTTCTACATAATGATTGGTCTTCTTACGCCATCCGCCATTCGGTGTATTAAGCTATAATAAAAGTAAGAAAATGTTTAATATAAATATATAGTATAAATATTTGTATTACATATAAAAATCATCGTAACAAATTACACCGTATTAAACGCTATAATTTTTCCTTCTTCACTTTGTGAAATAGAAATAAAAAAATTCATTATAAACTTGTAACTTGTTACGATTATTCGTTTTGGCTACTAGATGCACTAGATTTACTGTGGAGAACGAGACATATGTATATAAACTCAGCATTGAAGAGAAAAGAAACGAAAAGTTTCAACTTTCCAATTGTTCAGTTCAATTCAGCAAAAAAAAAAAAAGAAAAAAACCAAGTATATTAAGGCAATCATCAGCAAGTTCTTATTGTTCTTTGACGGCATAGGGAATTAATAAACTTAAAATTATTCCATAGCTATATCTATATAATATAATGCAATATATTTATATGTACATTATGTCAACTCTTTTAATCATACCTTGAATGGCCACAGAAAATTGCTGGCATATTTTAATTTTGGCCCAACAGTGAATATCTCATATATTAAATCCTCGGTACAGATGATGCCCGAACGACCTAAACAACATATATATTTCATCAAATCGAGCTGCTGCGCGATCGTCAATGAATATTAAGTGTTAAGTAAAATTAATTTAAAAAATTATATTAATTTTTGACAAACTGTAAAGGAGGAATGTCTTTGTATGTAGGTAACACTCCTATTTGTCAAACTGTTTACAGGAAATATAATAAGCATGCTAATTATATCGTGCTGTGCTTGCTGAAGTGCTTTTTAAATTGCAATTATTAATTTTACACTTATCTAAATAGTTGTTTCACTAACCGAGCTTTCTTTCAATGATAGCATTACTGATTATTGGTATACGTTGCCTGTTTATCTTGGCAAATCCACGTTTATAAATCAATTCACGAACTGATTTCAAATTAGGATATCCCCATGTGATGTAAGGCTCAACAATACGTAGCATATTGATCGTCGCTTTGTTCAATTTAACAAATACGCCATTGTTAATCTGCTTCAGTCGGAACAATTGTAATACTTTTCGTACCTTTGGTGCAACTTGATTTACACTGAAATAAGATCACAATTAAAAACTTTAATTATAAATTTTAATTGTATTTAAAGCTCAGAGAATAGATATAAATTTGACTAATATTAGGAATTTTAGATCAATACATCAGCATTTACCCTCTAATACGGATGACAAATGCCAGACGGGCTTCACCAGGTATGTAATAATTTCCATGGTTTTTTGCTTGTCTCATCAACCTTATCTCATCTCTTTCCTTTTGTTTATATTCTTTTATATATTTTTCTGCTCTTTTAAAAATTTCTTTCCTTTTCTTATAACGATTTGCGCGTTGCTGTAAAGAAGAAACAACATTGTATAAAATTGGGAAATTAGATTAGTCTATAACATACCACATATTACAAGCGAAATTCTTTGTATGATCGTGTAACAATTACCTTAATAGATATTTGCAAACGAGCAGCTTTAACCGCTTCGCGACGTTTCCTTCTTTTCAGAACAGATTCTGGTACTGCCGGCAATTTATTGGTGCTTGCCGGCGATGCAGTTTCTTTTTTCCTATATACAAAAGTATGATTTCTTAAAACATTTAAATGTTAGTAGACGAGTATATTACAGCAAAAATTTATTATATAATGATTATAAAATACATCCTAGATACAATTACATATGTATAACTTTTAACTTATCATGTAAATATCTACGATTCACACAAATATTAACCAGTGATTGTCGAAAATCTAAATGCATTTTCATGTGATATTAACATTAACAACAACGTAATGTTAACACATAATATTAATTAACAATAGAATCGTACTATCAAGTTTTGTAAAAGACGATAACGTACTCGCAACTTCCGTGCAAATGATCTTCATTGTTTCGTTAACATAAAAATTAAAAAAAAAAAAAAACGATATTATGTCTTTGCGTATTTGATATCATTTTGTTTAATCAATGCAGCTAAATTCTTTCGAGTTGCTCAAACAACTTACGTATCTGTCATCTTTCCGTATGGCAAGAAAATCCAACTTTCCTCTCTCTTCACTTAACCTTACGTACAAAAACGTGTTATTTGAGGTTTGTTTCCATTGCTGAACCGACTACACTAGTGCAAAAGGTGTACACTAAAGTATTTTCTATTGCAGAGAGAAAAGCACCATAAGCAAATAAGTCACTTGCATTGATTAAAACAATTGCTCTTAATTCTGACAATATTAATTTTTCGACCCATGTTCATTAGGAACATTTTTTCCTTCCTTCCTCATCATTTTAGTGCTTATCTGCCTTTAAAATCTTGAATCAAAAGAACTTTGTATAAGATGTTACATTGAAAAAAACTCTAACGTTTCCTGTACTTCATTATTACATACCCACCATACATATCTTTCTATTATTGAAAAGTATAATCTTTGCGAAGTAAATTATTCAAAAAGTATAGTGTTTGAAAAATTCAATGTTAATATATATTAACACTTTTTATCTAAACTGAATTTTCATATATACATAATATTGTATGATTTATAGATATAAATTTAATAATTGCGATAATAATTACACATAACTTATACGTGAAAAGAATGTTAATTGCATTTTCTGATGTACATCCTGACAAAGTATGTTAAATAACTAACATTTTGATTTGCATGTCACTCATATAGTTACATTCTTCAAAAGGCCATAATTTTTGTAATTTTGTGAGTTCTACAAAATTGCATTTGGTATATATTCTTAAAAATATAAAAATAAAAGTGTAAAAAGGACAAGATTTTTTCATCCGAAGTAAAATGCTCCCTTAAAATCGTTTTCTGTGTAAACATAATTATTTTTATTATGATAATTTTTATAACATATATAAATAATAATACAAATATCTATGCATCATCAGTTACTTGGTTCGTCTGAAAATTAGTAAGGAAGTTGGCTCTCCATTTTCTTCAATCTCAATTAAGAAATAAAGAGCATACTAGTTTCCGTTTTCATTTTCATCATTTCCATTGATTTCTGTTGCTTTGGGTGATGTTTCCAATCTTCTTTTGAACTCTTGGATATATTTGAGTAATCGTTTATCAGATTCCTTTACCTGTCAGGTATTATTAATGTCAAATTAAAATTAAGATATGTGAAATTATTAAGAAATATCATTTTAATTTTCAATGCTAAGATATCTTTAAAATTCTACGGTATTTATCATGACTACACAACATACTCGATTTATGACATCGGAAGCGAGAAAAAAAAAATATATATATATATATATATATACACGTTCGAAACTTCTACAATTAGTTAATTAAAAATTAAAAAAAATATGTTTGTAAAACGATATTAGCATTCAATTGAGCAGATCTATAAAATATAGTCTGAACACTTTTGCTCCAACAATCAATGAATTACTGTAAAATTAACATTGATAGAATCATGAGAAAAATAAGATTAAAAGATAAGTTGCATGTTCCCATTAATTTTTCGATCTATTGATCAATTGATTTATTGATTGTTATGGCAAAAAAGATGTTTGGAGTATTTTACAAATCTGCTCGTTCAATTATCGTCATTTTGTGAATGTCTTTTATTTCGTTGTATTTTGTAGGAGTTTTGAACGTGCATTTACTCGCTTTTGATGTCATCAGAATCAGAAAATTCGCGGAGAGTTACCAGAAGTCTTAAGCAGTGAAATTGATTAGATACTAATTCTGCTTATTATATATTTAATTTTTCGAGTAGTCCTCATATATCTTGTATTTTGTGTTTCCAAAGAATACTGTCTTTTATACATTACTACAATATATATCTAAATTGTTATCTAAAGATATTCCAACATCTTTATTAGATAAACGATAAAAATGATAATGATATAGGTAAATAACGACAATTCTCTATAACTAAATCGCTCGAAAGATTCGATAAAACAAAAAATGTGCAAAATGTCATACCATATTTGTGACTTTTTCGATAGCTTCCTGCAAATTCCCTTTTGATGGACCGTCCTCGAATTGTACACACAGAACCATCAGAGATTTGATGAGAGTCTCCTGATCTATCGCACTGTCAGGATTCAAGATTTCGGCTAGTATTGCGAATGCCAGATTATTATGCGTGTCAAACACTTGTTTGCCGAACTTTTGGCTGCTTCGCCTGATTGAAGTCAGTATAAATCTGGACACGTGATACGTATCGATATTCTGTAAAGGACTGATATCCGGCGCATTGCAAATGACTCGTAGAGTCGGAAAGTATGCACTTTCGAGCATTTCCGGAGCATCGGGCACACGGATCGCGAAATGATCAAAGAAAGCGCATAGACACTGTCGCAGGTAAATGTCGTCAGCGTTAGCAGGATTGTAACATAAAATTATTAAGCGCGACACCAAGCTACTACTGCTAATCCGCCGATTGAGTAATAGCTTGCAGAGACCTTCCGCTGCAATAGTGCGTAGTTCCTGATTCTGCAAATTTTCAACGGATAAAATTACTGCATGGAAAATTTCTCGTTTGATTATAGTACAACTCAATCATGATAGTATTTTTATACCGCGTTGTCCAACAATCCTGTTAATATGTGGACAAAATTGCAACTGTTATCTTCTATTGCAGGTCGCTCGTTTAAGGAGACAACGCTATCGACATCGTGTGTGTACAGCATACGGCTCCGTCCAGATCTCTCCTCAGGAATCTGCAAGATCTCGAAATACTCCAAGCCGTAAAAGAGCAAGAGATCGAATATCCCCTTTAAAGCGATTATCCATATGTCTGGATTTTCTTGTTCCGCAGAAAACTGATAGAAGAATATCATAAGATGCTTCTTAGCCATTTCCTTGTCCAATATGCAGTACATACCTAACGCCTTTAATGCTAACACATGCACATTATCGTCAGGATGCTGAAAAAAATAATTTACCATGTTAAATAATTGTATAAACGTATTGTAAAATGATGTAGGGTACACTTACGTCGAGACTGTCCAATACAATAGACATCATACTCCTGAGTGTAGGTGTCAATGTGCGAATGGACTGAACTTGCATCGTGGCACACAGAATGTTGAGGCACTTCGTCATCGTGGCTGCGTCATTTTTCTCGTCACGAATATCATCGGTTATTATATTCTCCGGAGTTTTCGACAGTTGATTTATCTTTTCTTTCAGAGTTTTAATCTTTTCTTTTATGCTGTCTGCTTTCAGAAAATCCTCCTTTTTGACTGTTTCATACAGTTCCTCCTCGAGTTCCATCAAGTCGACCTTCATTTGCGCTTTCTAGAGGCAAAAGGAAATTGAACAACAATATTTAAATCAAGATCCTCAGATGTTCAATCACTAGGAATTAATTTAGGCCAATAAGAATGCAAAAGGACTAGAGTAATATAATGTTTACGAGCAGTAGTACTGCTTACAATTAATATTGCACTACTGTACATATACTTCTAACAGCACTACGTGCTTCTGTTGAATACTGTCGAAGCTTCGGTATTGCACTGAGGAACACTCAGAAGCCTTAAGACTAAAGAGAAATCTCCGCGTGTACAATGTCCATCATTGACATTAGTATCCAGTCAAAATAATTGTTTATTATCAACATTTTTGCGCCTTCTCATCGGCCTAAATTAACTGTTAACGAAATTAGATGAATTTATCTATATAACAATGTTGAATTCATTAACAAGTCTTTGCATGCACCTGCATAATATTGCTCTCTTGCTTCTCTTCAGGTGCTTGTTGAGTGGATGTACTTTCTTTCAAAGGTAATCTGGTCTCGCTAATGACATTGGCTACTAAGTCCAGCATATTACTAATATTCGGCACCACCTTATCCAGCTGGTGCACTATACAGTCAATTATCTTATTGCAGCAATGATCGCTCATCAGAGCATCTATTATTATTTTCTGCAGATTTTTTCTCCCAACTTCGTCTGAGAGATCATATTTTTCAGTTATCTCAAATAGTTGTAAAAGAATAAATTTGTGATGCTGCTTTTCCCATTCTTCATACTGCTTAGACGATATGAAAGCGATAAATTCACATATGTAATTACAAAAAGCGGATAATTCTGGAATGACTAAGTCCAACTCTTCTGTGCAAGACAAATTATGGAGATGATTTATGACACACTTCCAATATAAGGTATTTTCGCACGACAAACTAGACAATGGGATTAATTTTATATTTTTATTTATTGGTACTTGCTCCAACAAAGTTTTTACATCAGTGTTTCTGAAAAAGAAGATTACTTGATGTGAATAAATTTTTAATTAGTGTACAGTTAATATTTAAATATCTGAATACTCAGGTACAAACTGAATATACTAACTTAAGTACTAAGCTTTTCGAGTATTTCTTAGGTAGATGATTATTTTGAAAATTATTAAAGTATAATTAGTATGAATAATATTTCAGAAAAAGGAAACAGACAAAATCAGCACATACAAAACTAACTATTACATAATTAAAAACACAAATATTAACAGGTTATTATTTATAATTATACCAAATATTTGAATAATACTCAAACATTTGGATACCGAATAGGAAATATGAGTATTTAGATATAGAAATTGTCCAATTTATGCTGACAGCGGTAGTTAATACATAGAATTTCTCTACGCTACTTTTGCTTACTTCCTTTTTTAGACTTACTTGAATAACGCTTGTAAAGCTAATACTGCAACTTCTGTCCCTATTCCAGCATCCAGACCATGTATAAGTTTTATGTATTCTCCGTTATAGTATCGTAGCCATGTTGGTAATAAGACTTTGCTTACACAGACTTTGACACTATCAGATCGGTCTTTAAGACCATCTTTTAGCAAACGTTCTCTTTGTTCAATTGTCAACGAACGTATTGTAATTTTGCTGATAAATTCATATGCCATTTTACGTACAGAGTCATCAATATCACGTGTCTTTTTCAAAGCAGCTAGTAAAGTTTTCTGATTCTTGCTCATTGTTGCAAGAACTGCTCTGCGAACTTCAGGCTTTGGATCTTTATATAGATGAAATAAATACATTTTTATTATAGGACACTGATCATTAGACGGCTCTTGTAATCTGTGCAAAGCAAAAACAGCCTGCGCTCTAACTTTAGGAGATTTATCCATCAATCGATCCATCATTCTGATTGTAATTTCATCGCATAAGCTGTCATCAATGAAAGCATGATCGCCCATAGAGTTTAAAAGCATATTCAAAAAATGACAGATTCGATATCTTACTGCCTTATCTTTTGCATTATCACTAGACAACAAGAATGTGAACAATTTATTGAGAAATGGATTCATCGGTTCTATAGATTCACTTTCTGCACAGGAATACAGGCTCATGGAGAATTTAGCACAGAATTCCAATGTGTTTATAATACGTGGATGCTCTTGAGCCATTGTAAGAGGCACTTTCAAGCATGATATGAAACATTTTGAGAATGTATCTAAATTAGTCTAAAAGAAAATAAGACAATTACAAACAAATTTAATTGAAGATTCATTTACAATTTATTTAAGGTTTATTTAATAACATTCATTTAAAGTTTATTGAATGTTTGCTTAAATGGGATAAACAACTGCTCGAGCAACAGAGGTTACTTTGTAGCACTTCACGTGTATGTTCTTTCTTTTTTTTTCGTTCTATTTCAAGGTAATTCTAAATACTTATAAATCACTATAATATGCCCCATATATTCATGACACATATTCATTCAAAACTGAAGCTATTTTAAAGATATTTTAAAGAGGAGAAGATTAAACCGAAGTTAAAATCCATCTAACGAAAAATAGTGTAATTCGGACTCACCCTCTGATATAGTTTCATAAGCTTTTTTGTGTATAGCGAGTGGTTTGTTTTGTTAAACTGCACATTGTAAAATATATTTTTCATATCATTCTCTACCGCACGTGCCATATCTGTATATTAGTATGAAAAAATTTAATTTGAATTTTAACACCACATACATAAAGTCGTGACGGTTACGTATCTTGAATTTATTGATCGACAATTGCCAACATGCGGAGCCGTCGTACTCCATTGAATTGCACTCATTGCACTGTAGTGCATCATCGACGAAGTAAAATAAAGACTGTCGACCCTGGAATGAAAATTTTCATATTGACCAAGGGGGCCCAAGGGAATTGCCGGAGGTAATTGAAGAGCGATGATAATACCGACTCCTATAGTTATGCTCAAGATAATACAGGTAGCAGCTATTGCCGGTGCGCGGCGAGAGGAAAGACACGCGCCTCTATTCGTGTTTTACCTCGATCGCATCTCTACCCTCTCAGGGCCTCACGCAAGCCATCGATAGTTGCTGGATCGATTAGGCCGCGTTGCGGGCTGTGGCCCGAGCGGCTGCTGCGAAGCTCTTCTCCATCCATTCGTATCTCGGCGCGCGCTTACTCGTCAGATTTCTGTAATTAATAAACTTTTTTTTTTACGTTACGAATATCGAAAAACTCTATGGGATTTTTATATTTATTTTAATCCAGTCTATATTTCCACGAGCTCTGTAAAAATTGTTTTGCAACACGCGGGTTATATACAGGCGGGTGTCTCATAACAGAGCGGGTTGAGACAAACATAAAAGTCTCATACCGTTCTGCCACTTCTCGGCTGCTTGAGCTAAAATAAGTACAGAAAAGTTTAGATACTTAACGTGATAATACATTACACTTTTATAATCGTCGTCGTCGTTCATCTGTAGAAAAAAAAGTAACTTCGCTCATGATCAGTATGTTAACGCAAGAGCGACGAGATAAAACACGAGTAGCGGCGGATCGTTCTCCTTTTTTCTTCTTCTTCTTCTTGCACACTGGCAACTGTCGTTCATGTGATCATGTGGGGCCCCATGCTTGGGGCCCCGAGAGGCTCTGATGCCTTTTGAATACCATCTTGGCCCGTGTTCTTTCGTTAGAAAGTCTCTAACGTTTGTGCGTATCTCGACTGCCAACTCGCCAACATGGTCTTGTTCGCGACCATGCATTGCTCTCGTCCTAAACGATCCTGAACGAAAGAATAATTAAGACGGGAAGAAACGAGCACAAATATTTCCACGTGGCCCGTCAGCAGACGGGAAATATCGCGTCCATTTCGAGAGGGAGAATTTAACGACTATAGGGGAAAGTATAAATTTATCAAAATGGTCTAATCGAAATTAGATGACAAATATATATGAATGATATTTCTCAGAAACAAACAAATCCAATTTTTATTTTGCGCAATGTACATTTACAATTGTATCGTACATTATCATATGTTATATGCAACATGCATATAATTTCACTTATTTCCTGCTTATAACAAAAGTGCCGCCGCTGTTATCTGGCGAGCTCTCGCTCCTGGGAGCCCGCTCGACAGCGTACGAGTTTTGTACGTCTTCTTCCATATCGATTGCAATAGTGTCTGCAAATCGATGCACCCGTCCCGTCTCGACATCCTCCGTGTAGCCCGTAGCCCTCGTGGCACATGTATCGAGTCTGTTCCGTGCGCTGAGTCTTTCGCGCGATGTCTCCGATCCGCTTGTCTCGCTAATTGCGTGAGTCACGTCCCGGCGTAAATGTAACGGGAGATCATGTTCTCGGTTAGTCGAGTGCACATCGTGATTGTCGTCGAGCCTAAGACGCGCGATGTCAGGGAAGATGAATTTCTGCTGCCCGTTCCTGCCCGTTGGTGACACATTCAAGTTCGATCCATCCTCGGTGTCCATAGTCGTGTCGCAATTGTGATCGTAGTTTATGTGCCGAGGCGGCTCAGGATTGCGAGGTCTTCGCAAATTGAATTGTCTCAACTTGCGCCTTGGTGGTGTTTCTGCCATCATTTCTATTAGATACAGCGTACGATAATCTAGTTCTCTTCTGACCTGCCGCATATCGTGCAATATCGGTGCGGTTGCCGGTATACTCCTAGCAATCTTCGTAACAAATAAGGTACATTAGATTAACATCTTGGAATATCGATTTCACGATTTCTCGCATTCCACCCCCAATCACACCCAAGTTTTACTGAATATTTTATAAGTGTTTATAAAATTTCTAAAATGATATTGATATACAACATCAAGAGCAATACATTCGGTAACATTATATGCCATTATCGCAATGTTTAATCGCTGATTTTTTACTCACCGTATCGGGAAAATCTAATTGTGCGAGCAAAGCACGCGATTGTTCGCTATAAATGCTCGATGACCAAGGTCTACGTATATATCTGGATATATAATCCCTGTATGGGTGTATGGTTGTATTGTTCCCGTCCTTGGATATTCGTCCCGCTTCAGATATTATCGTCAGACCAATGTCTTTGTTGCTCGTATTTTTATTAAATCTCAACACTCGCACCGCCGTTGGACCTCCGAAACCAGAATACGCTAGCACGTGGTCATACGGGTGGTAATCCACACAAGTGACCGCTCGGTAGTCACGCTCGCTCGTATATTTCGCGAGATGTTCGCTCGTTTCCAAATGCCAGACGTTTAGCACGGAGTCCTCGCCGCCGCACAAAACTAGACTGCCGCATGGGGAGATGCACGCTTTTGTCTGAATCCTGTAGGTGCATAGATGAAATGAGAGAGAGAGAGAGAGAGAGAGAGAGAGAGGGGGGAGAGGGAGAGAGAGAGAAGGAGGGAGAGGGGGGAGGGAGAGGGGGAGAGAGAGAGGGAGAGAGAGAGAGAGAGAGGGAGGGATTGCATTACAAAGATCACAGATGACGGGACAGTCAGTCTCTTTTCAAGTAGAAAGGTTCGGAATTTGTCTAGATGAGGCAAGAATTTTGCTCAAGACGAAATCTATCCGAAAAAGATCTCTTAAGGATATTTCAAAGACACACTAACCGTCTCCCTGAAACTCTCCGAAATTTGCAGATATTCTCGTTCAAAATCTTTCAAAATCGCTTAAAGGTAAGGGAGTTTTCATTTTGCGGTCGGTTGAGTGCGAATACATATTCTTCTGCTGAGAAATTGAAGAATTAAATTCATCATCTACCTTAACCCGGCGTCGTTGAAGCTGAATTATAATGGCCCGAAACGTTCCTAAATCCATTAAATATCTCATCAAATTACTTGTATTAAGAGATTATTTATTTCATAAAAATTACTACTTTTCTAAAACCGAATATCTTTGGTCTAGCTTACACTAGACCAAAAATATTCGGATTATCATGACTTATCTCAACGTGCGTGTAACATTTTATCACCGCAATGATGCCCGGTTAAGGAATTCTATGTAGATAGAAATTTTTGTGGTATTCGAAGCTCTCGTGGTGCAGAAAAATGCCGGGAAAATCGATCTGCCGGATTCCGCGGATCGAGCAAGGTAAAGGGGTATCCTTGAGTGTCCTTGAGTGTCCACAGGTACCTTTGATTGTTTAGCCCGTCGTATCTCTGCAGAACCACGCAGGTCGCGAGGTCCAACGTTCGCAAGCCGCTGTTCCTCGAGTGCACCAAAAGCCTGGACTCAAGGGGGTGCAAGGCGATCGTGTTGATGACCACTCCTTCGATCTCGCGAACTTTTATTTTCCTCGCGATGCACCACTCCCGTTTCGACGGCATCTTGCTGTTTCTCCGCGCCGACCAAACGATTATCGCACCCACGCTGTCAGCCGTGATCAAATCACCGTTCTTGTAAAATACCATGGAGTTGACGAAGCCTTCGTGACCTTCCAACTCCTGACAGAGCACCCGTTTCCGCGACCGCTTGTCGTACGCCCAGACGCGCGCTACACGATCGTAACACCCTGTCGCTACGATCGTCGTATTGCTGGGTCCATACTTGGCGCAGTACACATACGTGGGATGCGGAAGCATCTGCAAGTGAAGATCCAGTTGGAGCGAGTTGGATGGGCGAGAATTGATTTGCTTGCCCGAACATTACGAGCGACTTTTTTCTGAAGAAGTTTTCATCGTTAAAGAAGATGGTTAAGGAAGACACTTGGTCTCAAGAATATATTGCTACAATAGTGCCCTAACTTTTGTTAATTTGATTATTTTGAAATTTTCAAAGGTCAATAGGTGTTCTCCGACGCTTCGTTTCTGAGATATTTCACACCATTAACTTAAATGGTCCACCCTTTATTTTTTTAATATGTATTTAGAAATTTAATTATTCAGATGATGTTAAAGGAAGTGTTCCTGTCTGATTACCTCGACATATTGTACAGTCCGATTGCGAACATCCCAGATACGCGCTGTTTGATCCGCGGACGCCGACAACAAGCAGCGATCGTCGCTAGACCAACTTAGAGAATAGACGAAAGTCTTGTGGCCGGAAAATCGCACGTGGGTCTTGCCGGATTCGACCTGAAATCGGCGACGATGATCACGCGAACTCGGTACAGTTTCATCGCGAATACGCGTTAAAGTACGAAATTTATTATGTTACGAAATCAGACCTAGTCAAGGTACGAATCCTCAACCTGTACTTGGCTCAAGGTACGAATATAACGCATGTTGGTTTTGCTTAAGAAACAGCAAGAAAAAAATCAGGAACAGTGATAAAAAAAATTGAAAAAAGGTCGCAACATGTAAATATTTTTTTTTAATTTTTAATTAATTTCATTCGGCGGATTCACCTCGTAAACGACAATGGGATAAGAGTACTCCTCGGAATGGACGCAAGCCAAATACTTGCCGTCGCTGCTGAACGCCACATAGAAACATCCGTTTTCGCTCGCTTCCGTCTCAAACACCCTCTCGTTCGGAATTTTGCACGACTGGGCGGCCAAGCGCGCCCATTTCGGCAAACTGACGGCAGTCGAGATGCGCGTATTTGAGCGTTCCTGCGATTCGCTCCACGTGTCAGGGACATGTTTCATCGTTAATTGCTGATACAGCACTGGTTTGATCTTCGGGGGTGACACGGAAGTTACCGTCACAAAGAGACTGCTGGGGTATTTGCATCTATTGTTCGACTGCCACCATGTGTATACCTATACACACAGACACACACGTACAATGCAAAGAATCGAGTATCGTAAGTATGTAGAAAAACACGAAATCGTCGAAGCTTGTATCTTCAGTCTTTCAAAAGTATGTTCGTTTTAATGTATCATCTTGGATTTTTTATTCTCAGTACGATTGTTGTATATTGTAATGTAATTTTATTTACGTAAAATAATTTTAATTACTCTCAAAGGGTCTACAAGCACTTAATAGCCCAGCAAGTTAAATTATACTAGTTAGACTCAACTTATATTTACAATAAGTAAACGAGATATATAGTAAATAAATATAAGTTGAGTTTAACTGATGTAATTTCATCTGCTTAGTTATTAAATGCTTACGGACTTTTTGCAAGTAATTAAAATGCAATAACAATAGGTCCGAAAACTTATTGATAATTAAACGATGAGTATACCTCGCAGCTGCGCCTGTCGTATTTCTTAAAACTTCGCCTGGGCTTGTAAAGCTGCAATCGTACTTTCTTGTCCGTGTGAAGAGTGTCATTACATCCTAACGGCTTGAGAAACGCCCAGGCTATCTTGTGCCAGCATCCTTCGCTACCTGAAACAATAAAGGGATATGTTGTTTATTTATAATGAGCCTGTGGGCTACCAGAAGCTTCCCTTGAAGCCCTTGAAGATCTCGTATCGGAGATCAAACGGCATTTTCAAGTGTATCTTGCATTTTATTGCATTATATCTTATAAATTGCAGCCATATATACGACATAACAAACAAACATAATGTCTGTTTTTAGTCGGTCGTTCGAATCTATCATCCGACGAACCGTGCTGTAGTCAATTCGCGTATTCGCGTATTCGCGTATTCCGTGAATATCCAAAAGTGATTTTCTCGAAGAAACTAAGCCTCGCGCGCGAGAAGAAGAATATTTTGCTCAGCGTTATATCTTTGACTTATTTTCGCGTAAGAGGAGTTCCTGTTCTGACCGGGGGTCCTAGGTCGACCATCGAATGATCATTTAAAAAATTAACGATAGCATAACAAAGAATTACGAAATAGGTTTTAAATAAGGATAATAAATAAAGGATTAATGAAATTGACAATGAGACTACCGATGTAAAGTGAGACTTGCCGAATCTGTCGTAACTGAAGCTTGCCTCGGCGAAACTCAGCGGATCTATCACCTCAAAGAGGATCACCACCTGGCTGTCCTCGTCGCGTCTCGTGATCGCGTTGAAATCGTGCTCGAAGATGAGCTCCTCCTCCCAGACCGGTATCATCGACCGGTTCTCTTTGAAGTCGAACTTGCCGGTGATCATCGGCTGCAAGGACACGCTCGTGTTCTCGCTGTTGTCTGCACCACACTTCAGATAACTGCCCGTGTGTGCGTTCACGATGTGCACCTTCACCATCGGTCGTTTAACCTTCGCGTAATCCACCTCAAGCAGGTCTGTCCTGTGCACCGTCACTGAAATGTACCTGATCTCCGCGTCTTCGCGCTTGTCGTCCTTTTCCTTGTCCTGCTTATCCTCTTTTCCTTGTCGCCGCTTCTTCCTCTTCTTCTTCCGGACTCTCGTGTCCGTTTCAGCGTCAGCATTGGATCGCGCATCCTTCGCGGACGAGCTGGCCTTGTCGTCATTCGTAAGAACGTCCTTCTTCCTCAACAAGGATCGCTCCCTTTTCCTCAGCGATCGATCCTGAGTTGCTTCCGGTTGTTGCTTGTCGCTCGTGGACGTGGACGTCTCCTTGTAAGTGGTCGAGCTCGATTGAATATCAGTGACCTTCCCCAGGCTCGACGTCGAATTCACCTCGTCGGAGCTGTTATTCCTGCTTTTCGAGGACCTACTGGTCCTCGCGGAACGAGCGTCGCTGTCCGTGAGACGTTCACGTCTGCTCCTCGCGCTCGCCCCTTGAGCGCTCTTCTTCAGGGAGTCGCTGGACGTGCCGCCGCTCGTCCGCACCTCCTCGATGTCCTCAATCTTCGACGAGCGGTCGCTCATCCTCCTCATTTCGATCTTCGTGCTCTCCCGTCGGTGATCGGTCTCGATCCTGAGGACTTCCTCGTTCTCCGACACGAACGCTGGGTTGTCGAAGAAGAAGGCATTCCGTCGCACGCTAGACCGCGGCGCCGGAATCGGCTTACGCTGATCCTCGTCGCCGCCGGTCAACGGTGACACGTCGCGCGTTTCAGGTAGCCGGATCACGCTAGTGTCCTTGGACCAGCGTTTACGCGGTTGCCTCTTCGAGTTGTCCTCCGTCTCACTCGCGGCGTTCACAGTGCTCCACTGTTTCCTCCGGCGTGGCTTAACCTCGGGGAAAGGCTCGAGCTCCGGTGTCCTGGAGTTCTTCCCGGGCGTCCCGATCTCTTCGATTAGATCGAACGATTCCAATGTCACACGGTCACGTGTCTCGTCGAGACGAGTCCTCGTTACGACGACATGACGGTCACCGGGCACCTCACTCGCTCGCTTCGACGAGCTTTTGAAGCTGTCAGATCGCTTAACTGCCTTTTCGTCGGAGGATTCGGGGACTACGGGGACATTCTCGTTGTCTCCTTGCGAGCGGCTGGCTTCGTGGTGAATGTCCACGACGACGTTCATCGTTGCCTTCGACGGCGTCGTGTTCTCCATCGAGTCTTCCAGGAAAGACGACACATGCCGCGATCTCTTTAGCATCCTGCCCTTTGAGGCCATCTTTTCATCGACTGTGTGCTTGCGGAATGGAAAATGAGTTGAGTTGGCTCAGCGATTATGCTCGCTCGAAAGAGAACATCGCGTGCGCTCCACTTGCGGATCGATTCATCACTCTCTCGATGCTAATAACTGCGTGCTTCGCCGAACGCGATTCTGTCATCGTTACCGTCTTCGTCGATGTCATTTTTATCCTTCGATTCTGTGCGAATGCCGCCGCGCTGATTCGTCGGGCGGCTTACGGCCGACGACGTCGCGATCCCCGTTACTACAAACAAACAAACGCGGCGGCCAGGTGCGGCGGTACAAGAGTGTACTCCCACACCTGATTGTTCGCGTGGAACGCTGGTGAATCGATTGATATGGTAGCCGTGTGTGAGCGAGCCTCGCAGTTTGAAACAGTTTTTCCCGTGTTTCATCGATCGTCCCACATGACTTTTACGTTGTCAATACGAAAGTATTTTCGTACACACATCTGGAAGAAGGAGATTGAAAAGAGAAAGAAGGCGGAATAATGTGTGGAGTATAGACAATGGATGAGAAGCAAGAGAGAGAGAGAGAGAGAGAGAGAGAGAGAGAGAGAGAGAGAGAGAGGGAGAGGGAGAGGGAGAGGGAGAGGGAGAGGGAGAGGGAGAGGAGAGAGAGAGAGAGAGAGAGAGAGAGAGAGAGAGAGAGAGAGAGAGAGAGAGAGAGAGAGAGAGAGAGGGAGAGAGAGAGAGAGGAGAGAGAGAGAGAGAGAGAGAGAGAGAGAGAGAGGGGGGGGGAGAGGGAGGGAGAGTGGGAGAGAGGGAGAGAGGGAGGGAGAGGGAGGGAGGGAGGGGGAGAGAGAGGGGGGAGAGGGAGAGAGAGGGGGGAGAGTGGGAGAGGGGGAGAGAGAGAGAGAGAGAGAGAGAGAGAGAGAGAGAGAGAGAGAGAGAGAGAGAGAGAGAGAGAGAGAGAGAGAGAGACAAGAGCGATACAGATAAATATGCAAATTTATTCCGTCTAGCAGTGAAACATCTGCGAGAGAAACGAGGACGTCTCAATTCATGATCGCGCCGTCCTGCAACACGTTGTTGTTGTTCAATTCCACATGACTCACCTCCGCTTCCCGGGATAATTCCTGCCGGCGTTATTAGCGTTAAATAAAAGTCCGATTTTATGGGATTAATCGGAGTAAAAGGCTCTTTACCGCATTGATCAGGTTCTCATAGTCTTGTTCATATTGTACTATCAGTGTATTCTTCAAATCGCCGGACGTATCCTTCGAATCTTCCTGTTCGTCCACCTTCGTGAAAGAATCAACCAAGTCAGGCTCACCGTGTGTCTTAAAGGCCCTCATCTTTAATCGTAGCTCCCTGTTCTTCGCTTCTATCACCTTCTCCCTACGCGTCTCACGTTCAAATAGCTAAACCAATCAATTATGTGACTAAAGACTGAGAAAGCGTTTAGTAAAAAGTGTTACTTTTTACTATTAATATAGTACTGTTTTTATTTACTTTTATTTTAACTGTTAATATAATATAATATAAAATATATAATAATATAGCGATCAATGTGCATATACAATAGTTTAGGTACTAGCAAAGTAAAATAAATGTAGAATTCTGAGATGAAGAATTAATATAAAAGAAAGGGCCAATAAGAATAAAGCACTAGTTTTCTTGGACGATGTTATTTAATAAAAAATAAAAATTTGCCCATAAGATAATTTTTCTATTAAATAATATATTATCGCCCGAAAACTAGCGATCGACTCTCATTAGTCCATTTTTTGTATTATTGTTTTAAGTGTTAGCGCTTGATAAATAATTCCTATAACCTTTAGAACATTTTTTTTTTAACTGACAAAGTTTACTTACTGCGGTTAACAACAATTTGTCGTTCTTCTGGTTGACCGTTAAGGCTTCCGAAAATTCGATCAGGTACATCGCACCCTTTTTGTTCGCGACTGCGACCAGCTGTCCTTGCTCATGGGGTCGTATGCACGTTAAGCTCTCGTCACAAACCTTCAAACAAATTGTACAGCGATGAACGCTCGAGTACAAAAGTAGTTTCATACCTTGACACTAAGAACCGGGCTGTCTTGTTGAATTAGAAAATCCCAGACGTCCAATGTGCCATCCATTTTGATCAAGAAATACACGGAGTAACGTGTGCTGCTCCATGCACCGCCTGTGAGGAAATCTCGATGACCGCTGAAAGAATGATGAATCTTACTGGCGAGACCAAGGATTTGTTGTTCTCAAACTTACGGAGTCCAAGCTATACAGGATTCCCTGCAGTCTTCCGACCAGATCCTGGAGGTCCAGTCGCCGACCGTCAAGAAGTTCTTCACGAACGTCGGGTTTCTCTCTAGGCTGATGACTGGTCCGTACTGCGCTTTGAATCTTGTCGCTATCTTCTCAGCCGACGTCTTGCCCTTGCGATTGCCCGAGATTACTACGCCTGAACGAAACGAAAATTACTCGCATTATTAATGAAGCAAACCCATAATTACCCAACTCTATACAAATGTGCCCTCTTTTCGTGTCATCAATATCAAGTTTCGAATATATAAAACCAGTCCAATTCATTATCCGTATTAATAGAAAACTATCGTTTACAAAATTCAAAACAGCTGCGGACGCGTTTTAATCCACTAAAGGTCATGATTATTTCCTATCAAATATCTATAGTGAAAGGATCAGTTTGTTTGCACTTGGAAGTCTTAGATTAGTGTGACAGATTATTTTTGTTGAGGACGTAGATGTACCTGGTGGATATCTGGTGCTCTGGAAATGTAAAAATACAATAAAAATAAAATTATTTACCCGTAGATCTCATTCAACTTTATTCAAAAAAGAACACCGCATAAATAGGACACTAATGAGTCGCTAATGAGTTAACTTTCTTCATGTTAAGTGATCCAAGGACAATCGTTTGTGTCTCTGTCTCTCTGGAATATAAACGTAATGTAAATATGATCCAACGTTGTGACAAGTGAACGATACCGTTCTCCAAGCCGCACATAAAACGCGTCCCCATCGACGGCTCAAACTGAAGCGCTGAGATGCCAATCGCCTTGTCGACGTTCTGCTCCTCAGGCTTCAGCAAGTCTATAACTAACGTCTCCGTTGGGACCTGCATCTTCCTGGTGTCCCACCATTTTAGCTGCAAGTATATATTCTCTTTAACGCGTTATCTTATTGTTAACGATAACGTTAACCGTGCACAATCGGCTGACAATTATATACCTGTCCGTCCTTCGAAGCGCTGAAGAACTCGGTACCGGTCTTCGAGTTAATCCACAGAGCCTTATCACAGGGGTCTCTATGGCTGAATTCCACCGAGCTGGTGTCCACCGCTTCCGGTCCCCTTCTAATATCCCAGCAGGCCACCTGTCCGGTCATCAAGCCGCCCACCAGGGTGTTGCTGTCCTTGGGGCTGTACTCCAACGTCAGAAGCGGGCAGACGGGTGTCAACGTCATGTAGGCGCTGTTCGGGTTCTCTGCGATTTGATTTTTCCTTCTTTCATGATCTTGTAATACTATTAGACGACACATCACACTCGATCTCAGTAGGATCCTGTGCTCAACGCACCTACTTCCCAGACATATGAGGTGTAATTGCTGCCAGAGCTCTTCTTGAAGTCGACGTTGCAGTAACTGGCCGCGAAGCGGTTGCCTTGATCCGGCGACCATGATAAATGAGTGACCTGCCGTTTCGCGTTCGACGGATCGCGGTACACGTTCACTGTGCGCGAGAACGCTCTTTGTATCAACGGCGTCATCTCCACGTCGGCGAAGTACTGCTCGTAAATGTTACAAGCGTTGTTCTGCAGTATGCAGTGCTCCATCGACTTGATGAAGTTGAAATGGAGATTTCAAGAAAGAGAGTAAAGTTTTGCGCGAACGTCGTGGAATAACAATTCAGCGTGGGTTCAGCTCTTTGCGTTGGCATTGATTTGGAGACAGTTAAAACGCCGATGACAAAGTCAGCCAGCACGTCTCAGGCCATTCTGAGACGTGCCGGATGACTTTGATTCATAAATAGATAAGCGTGTTTATTGAATTTCTAACATAAAAGTTCAAAAAGTTCTAAAAAAAGAAAAAGGAGAAAACGAAAGAAAGAAATAAAAATAAAAAAAAAAAGGAAAAAGCAAGAGAGAAGAAAAAAGGAAACGAAAAAAGGAAGAAAGATAAATGGGGATTGTCTGGGAGATGTGATTCCAACGCAAAAAGCCAACACTCGACGTGAGAAATTCAGATTGAGAATTCACAATTTACAGGCAACAATTGGAGCATCGTGTGAATGTAGAGTTCGTCCTTCTCGATCTTGCGTCTATACCTAACCGTCTGCTCCAGGTCCTTCATATTGATGTCCTTCGGCCAGCCACCTTCATAGTGGAACATCTTATTGTCCCTGAATGTCGCAGTTGTCGTGTTCACCTGACAATGAGGCGAGATGAAATATTCGTACGAACGTTTGAATGTTAAAGTGTATAAACACGTGCTGGTAAAACCGAGATGTTTTCCATCCTTTGAAGGTATACCTCGTGAACCGCATATATTTTACTACACTGTGTAGCATGCGTCACAGGATCCATTCTGACATAATTATTCATCAGTCCCGGACTTGACTTGATTTCTACTTCGATCGTGTCGACATCGGAAAAGTTGCATCTCTTCCCGTAATTAATTCTCTTCTTCGTGTAAGCGTACTCCGCGTATTCCATTTTGTTCATGAGGATAACTTGAAAATTATACACAGGATACAAGGAGAGATCACGAGGATCTACGATATTGCTACGATATTGTTAAAATATGGCATCATATTGGAATTTTATTGCTCGCACACTTACTGAGGGATCTTAGTATGACATGAAACTCTCATCTACTTGATTATTGATGTATGATAATCCTTATTTGCTTACTTATTAATAGTACCGCAACTCTGCAAGTTTGTGGCCCTAGGAAGTGGCTGTATGAATTAGCTAAACAAATATATAACGGTTACTATAGTAACACAGAGCACACGTGTGCATCGTAGCGTGCGCAAGGCTTAACTATCGGTCTTAACTAAAACTGGCACTTGGGGATTCAAACCCTGACAAAGGATTAACATCGTTTTGTACGCTCGCGCGTATTCCGCGCTCGCAGGGTCCATATGCGATTTAATCGCCGGTATTACGTCGCGCAATACAGTCTGAATCAACGCGTTCAAGTACTTCGTACGTTGTAATTTCTGCATCGCTTCGTATAGCGCCAATAATTGCCTCTCGTCGCTGTATGTTATACAGTTCGCTTCGGAGAAACCTAAAATAAACAGAAGAAATATCGGGAGCAAGTCAAAATCAAGCGAAAATCAAACGGACGCGCTGTACGTTATGATTCGATTGTTCTCAATACGAAAGTGGAATTTACATTTGAATTGTTTCACACAGGAGACATTCCAGACGCCGTTCGACATCCATTCCCTTGTCAGAGGAAACGAGATGTCACAAGATGGTTTCTCAATGATGTGATGATCTTCGGTCAGGTTTTCGGTGTTGTACGGTTTCGAGATAGCCTCCGATTTTTTAATCCACTTCCGCACGTCGTTCAGTTGCATCGGATCTAATTTCCCGGTAAAGATATCGCCGAGCAATGAAATCGACTCATGTGTCACCTCGATCAACGGCGACGCTTCTCTCAAGCTTTCTCGTACAGATGTGTTCTGTAACGTGTGTGAGAACAAAATAATTCAGCTATGAAAATGAGGGAGCTTTGGACTCTCGCACAGTTCCTCAGCAGCGCTCCTTCCTGCCTACGCCGCGTTACTCACCATCGCTTCAAATTCCTTTAGAAAATTACCGATCGACCTCTCAGCTTTATCCTCTCCAATAACATTCGGGTTTCTCGCGTCAGTTTTCTCTAAAAATGCGTGGGTAGCTTCTAACGTTTTGACAATCTCGCTCGGCACCTTAAAGTGTCGAAGCGCTTCGGCTGCGTTTATCATAACAGTGCGACAAACAGTATCAACGAATTGATTATTATCATGTAATGGGCAATTGTTAGTCTTGCTATCGTCCGAGGAAGAAGCTAAGGCACCTTCCGTAAATTTTTGCGCCATTTTGTGTATCAAGCTGTTCAATTCGGGAGTCAATGCTGCCGGCGATAGAGATGTTCTCGACTGAAATAAGAAAACGCGCACGGTGTGAAGTGTTACGATGTTACGTTCGATATCTCAGAAAAATTTGTGTTTCACTCTCTTTCTCTTTCTCGAACGAAATATGAATCATACGCACAGTTTGTGGGGGGGCATTATTAGAGCCACGAGCGTCAGCTTGTGGCTTATTCAGCGCAATTATCTTTTTAACGTTTAATTTGTTTTCCAGGATAAAATTCCTCTCGCTCTTCGGCTTTGCGATGCTCTTCGCGGGCGACGCTCTCGATTGTTTTTTCTCGCTTATATTTCTCGGAGCAACGGAAGCTACCGCGCCGCTCTGGCAAGCAGCCGACGACCTTCTGCTGTCAACACTCTTCGCAATGTTTGCTTTCTGCGTCATGACGTTTGTATGCAGAATGTTTCTGCGGCCGCTACTACCCGGCGCAGCAGGCGATAAAGACGCTTTTCCCAAAGGGTTTTTCTTGGACGGTCTCTTCTGAAACGCCACGTCGAGCTTCACCTGCTCTCGTAAATCTTGCGCCAGAGTAATCGCCATGTCTATCCCCGCGGCGATTTCCTCGACTTCGCTCTCTACGGCAACCTGGTCAACGGTGAGACGAAGGTGACGAGATGCAATCAAGGCAATTGACAAAAGAGCGTATATGTAAAAAAAAACGTTGAATCGTAAATCTAGAAACACCGGGAAAATTCGCGTATGTAAATTACTTTCATACTTTCTTGCAATTGCAAGTGCACTCATCTTCTCGCTTCTCGACAATTTTCACCGGCCACGGCTTCAAAGCGAACGCCGCCTCCTCGCAGTTCTTTCTCAGCATTTCTTTCACCTGCTCCGTGGTCAGCAGAGTGTCGTGCAGCAACTTCCGCAAGCCCGACAAATTGAAGGCACGGTCCATTACTCCCGTACCTTCGCGACCCTGATGAAAAAGAAACAAAGGTCGTTATTACACACGGAAATGCCGGTGGATGGAAGGAATAAAGTATTCGCGTGTGCCGTTCAAAGCGTTAACCTTCGTACATGCGACACATAACAGATGGCAATACAATTGCCACAAGTGTCTGTTTATGCGATACTTGACCGGTAATACACGAGTTATCATCTTTTCACTTGTTCTATCATTATTATACCAAATACGAGCGAGTCACTCAATAACTCACATTTTTCTTTTTCAAAAAAACACCGCTAATAACACACACGCACGCACGCACGCGCACACACACACACACACACACAAATGTGACAATGAAATAGACATATAAGCCAGAGAATAGAATAATATCTTTATATATTAAGAATAATATATAATAAAGACTTAATGATATATATGTGTATATATATATCATTTAATTTTTTCCTTTCTTTTTTTCTCACAAGTGTTATGCCTCATCACTAGTTTCCTAAGGTTTCAGTCGATTAAAACTAGGAGAACATTGAAAACGGCTGCCTATCCTAGATATATCTAAAACGATCAATTCACACAATCGTTTTAAATGCTGCGATTGGAAATGTATTTGTAAACCCCACACTAGCCCTCGCAGAGTGCTTGGAGACTCCGGCACGCGTTCATAAACGGACTGCGGGCCTCGGAGATATGGTGTATAGATAAAAATAAACCTTTTTATATAAAAATAAAAAGTGTTTCGTGATTTGAATATCTTCGAATAACATGATCTCTCTTCCGCGTATTATGCTCCCATTTCTTGACGAGAGAAGATGAAAAAGGCGCAAAACTATGTGGATGACACAGTTTCCAGAGGGCAGAAAGTCACGTCGCCGAGGACGACACGCAACACAAATGGCATATTTGTGAAAAAGAAGAACGTACATCCGTGTGACACTATCGTGCGCGTTAAACTATTTCGATGCATCGTATAGACATCGCTCATGATATCGCAGTTTGTACACAGTTATCGAAGAGACGAGACGAGACGAGACGACTACGTATCACATAAGTACGCCATTTGAGCTGATCACGACCGTGACGGTAACCCTATGCAAAACTGCAAAGGTGCGCTCTTAATTTTTACACATTGTACACACTGCGACCGATCGACTCGCCAACTTAATGCCTAAATTAATAAATGAAATTGAAGAGGATGCATCACCGAGTTAATTTCAATACAAATGAATATATCTCTGTAAAGCGGAAAAATTACGGAGCTTGTAGACTGGATGCAAGAAATACAAGATACGAATCAGTTGATTTTACTTCTTAATGATTATGTGCGTTTACAATTCGTCCTTCCTTGGCACATCGTCGTCTTCGTCCTCTTCCTGAGCCTGCGAACGCATAAACAGAGTCATTAGAGCGTATATACACGAGACCTCTCTCTCTCTCTCTCTCTCGTCGAGTCGATTACGGAAAAGCGAGAAATTCTCGCGCGTCAACACACGCGGAAGTATATAATAATCTTTAGGTTACAGTTTCTCATCCAACATACCTCGTCTGTTGGAGCTTGATCGTATTCTCCGCCGGACTCGACGAATTTCGAGAGTTCCTCGAGTGTCCTCTCACCGTTGTATTCCACAGCCTGGACAGCGCGGGAACGAAGATATAAGCGCACGTTTTTTACACATTTTTACGCATTTAAAAATAATAATGCAAATCGAACAGATGTGAAGGAAACCCATACCTCATTCGTCTCTTTCTTATAGAGTGTGAGCGTAGGGAAACTGGTAATCTTCACATCCTCCAATTCGTTAGCAGTGGCATCCATTTTGGCGATAACCAGTTTGTCGTTGTCTTTGTATTTCTCGCCGAGCTGAAGCGCAACGCGTTCAATTAGAAGTAACTCGACTAACGGTGTCGTTCGGTTAAACTCTAGCCTCGATGAGAGAAAACGCTAACGTACTTGGTCGTAGATCGGCGCGAGTTGTTGACAATGACCGCACCAAGGCGCGTAGAATTCTACCAGTACGTCCTTCTCCTTGTTGTACACGATCTCGTGGAAGTTCGTGCCAACGAGAACCTTGACCGGGTTCTTGTCCCAGTCCTCGGGCAAGTCTTGCGTGAGCAAATGTCGCTTGAGTTTGCCCTCTACGAAGGCTGTGACGAACTCGAGGACATTCTCGGCAGTCAATTCCGGCTTCTCCGGCTTATACTTAGCCATGTCCTGTTCGAGCTTGATAAGTCGCATAGCGGGCACGTCCTCTTTCTTCAAGCCGAAGAACTCCAAGATACGCTCGTGGTCAGTCTCGTCGCAATCGATCGTCACGAACAGAACCTGAACGAATATTACGTCGATTCTCAAGGAATGACATAGTGGTAAAATGCATAAAATATTTTTTGAGCGTTTTGTACCTCGCCACGATATTTCTTCGCAGGCTCCTTAACTCCGTCGACATACTTTTCAAAGTGACCCTCTTCTTTGCTGAGGAAAATCAACAGGTGGCTCTTGATGTCTCCACTGAAGATCTTCTGCGCCGTGTCCTGATTGAATTCAACAATTAAGGGCAACGAGTGCACAGAAATGAAATTTTGTACACCCTTGATGGTGAACTCTCCATCGTAGACAGCTTTGCCTTCGTCGAACTAGAGAAAACGGAGATGAATTTAATTGGCAACATCCTTCTCTCGTTGATTCTTTCGTTGAGAAAAAGGATATGCAGTGACAGATATACTCATACCTTCTTGAACAACACAATCTTTCCATCCTCAACGCCGTATTCATTAAATACTTCATCAGAGCTCGTAATACCAAAGACATGATCGTCCACAGCGTTACCAACATCCAAGAATACCTTGGCCGCGTCGCTCTCAACATCCTAATATATAATAAAGTTGCTACATATGTATATAAACAGGTAAGCTGTTGTAACAAATTAATCTTCCTAAAGTTATTATAATCTTTGAAATCTTTGACTCGAAAAAGAAACTACATATTCTATATTTATTCGTGGATAAAGTGACTAAAGATACCAATGAATAATAATAATATTCGAATATGATATGAATAATAATAATCGCGAATTACTAACATATAAAAAAGATTGATATAAACGACCAGTATAAGACGCTTCTCGCTTTACCTTGAAGAATCCGACAATGGCAACATTGTGTGCCTCAATGAATGTTTTCGCTTGGTCGACAGTTGGTAAACTTTCAGCAGGTGGGCCAGTCTTCTTGTTCAGCCAATTTACAATGTCGTCTGCTTGACGGCCACCGGTGTAATCAATTGGTGTTCCTTTACGGAAAAATTTCAGAGTGGGATATCCTCTGACCCCGTGTTTCTCAGCCAGTTGAGTTTCAACTGTTGCGTCTACTTTGGCTAACTTAATCGACGAATTAGCCTCTTCCAGTTTCTTCGCTGCTTTAACATATTCAGGTGCTAATGCTTTGCAGTGTCCACACCATGGAGCATCTACGATTAAAAAGATATATTGACATTCACACAGACTATAGTAGACAAATATGATACTTATCGTTCAAAAGTAGTGTAGGTTTCTTGAGCTAAATATAAAGCTTAATTAGTCATCCTTCACTATCTGAATCATCACCTAATTTTTGTTACAACAAATAAAGGAGACAAAGAAACTATTTTCAGCAAGACAGTAGGAAGTTAACAGACTCAGAAGAACTGCATTATTCTGTAAAAAAAAATCTCCCACACTGCAGCGTCCAATTCTCTAACATCAATGAAGCAAAATCTGTTTCGGTCTACACGGTCTAAAGAATCTCCTTTTTACGCAAAGAAGCTTGTAACTCACGAAATGAAAGTGGAAAAGAAGGGAAATATGTTATAAGACAGGGTCAGAGAGTTATACGTTAGAATTTCACGATTCATTCGTCACTGTCGAGAATTCAACGGATACCATATGGTTACTCGTATAACTCGAAAAAGTCGTAATTATCGATCTAAAATTAATATATAATACATAAAATTCGATCACTGATGAAAGATACGACGAGTATAGCACAGTCTGCGTGCATGAAACCGATACAGATCATTCGCAAATATTGCACCGGTTGTCGACAATTATCATCAGTAGCAATCATCGTAACGTCATGGCCCGCGACGTTCTCCGGTCACAATCGCCGAGCGATTTATACAGCGGCATAACGGTAAAAAAAGCAGTACGGAAGCGAGAGAATCGTCCGTCTTTCTTACGCCTTCGCGGCTGCACTCTCCTACACTCTCCGTACTCGAGCGAGATAAACGCAATGCGTGGGTTGCGTGCGGCGTGCGGCAAAGAGAGGAGCGGAGCTGTAAGAACACAGCGTGTAGGTGCAGCCAAGTGAGCGGGATCTCCATTTCCGCGGAAGATTATCTGGAGGTTTAGAAAGCCCGTAAAAGGCGCACGAAGGACATCTGCAAGATAAAAATCTCACAGATATATCTCGGGCACTAGAGTCCGAAGTACCCGGAAGGCTCGCGCCTGAGCGCGAGCGAGACGGAAAATCCCGTTCTCCCGATGCGTTCCGCGATCGAGAATACGCATCGACTCTTTATCTCGTTATCTCGTGCATCGGCAGAGCAAGGAAATTGCGAGGAGAGCGAGTCCGACGGCGACGGTTGACCGTCGCGTTCGCCGAAAAACGCGAAAAACGCGAGCGGCCGTCGAAGTCGAAATATCGCGACTTCCTGTTCCGAATGTACACATATCTCATCGCGTACGCGCGAGGAAGGCGCGACAGAGCAAACTAACGCGCATATCACCTCGTCACCTCGAGGATGCTCGAATGATGACGTGTGAGTCGTACGCATCTGGATAGCTGACGTACGCGCGCGGCGACGACGATCAGAGAGTCGCGCGCACGTGGAGGACGCATCCGGCGAGTTCGCTCCGCTCGTTTTTCTCCTCTTTTTCTCTGCATTTCATCTCCCACACACACACGCTCTCTCTCTCTCTCTCTCTCTCTCTCTCTCTCTCTCTCTCTCTCTCTCTCGTATACGCTCTTTTCTCGCTCTGTCCCGGCGACGCGTCCCGCCTCTCGCCCGGAGTACAGAAAGTGCAGTACCGAGGAAGAGAGCAACAGATTGCCCACGAATACTCACAGAACTCGATCAGCACGTAATCGTTATCCTTGATGACGCTGTCGAAGTTGTCCTTGTTGATCACCAGGATGCCCTCGTCGATCTCCACTTTGGCGAGGCTCACCGCGACGAGGCATAGTGCCGCCAAACCGAATCCACCGATGAATCCCATGACGATGTCTCTCTCTCTCTCTCTCTCTCTCTCCCCCTCTCTCTCTCTCTCTCTCTCTCTCCTCTTCTACTGTCTCTCGGGGCTCGCGCGCTCTTTCGTCCTCTTGCTTCTCCTCGAGTTACGGTACACGCCTCGCTGTAGACGGCGACGGCGACGGCGACGACGACGACGACGACGAAGAAGAAGACCGGAAGACGGGAAAAAAGACACCGTCCACGAGGAACGCGCGAAGAGTGAGCGGACGCGATGCTGCGCCGCGACCTATAGGCTCACCACGGCTCGTCGTGGTTTACGCGTGGCATCGTCCCCCTCATCGTGGGGGTCCCTGATTGGCTGACGGAATTGGTGTGGTGTTCGCGGTATCATCATCGTCCGCCGGCGAATCGTCCACGCGGAGCTTTACCCTTCGGCGCCACGGCCGACGCCGTTGATAAGCGCGCAATCTCGCGAGTCTCGCGAGCACGGCTGATAAAATGACACGCAACTAGACAGGTTGCCGGCAGCTTTGCGATGCTGCCTTATCCCGAGAGATAAGTGCCAGTTCAGTTGGAGAACCTAACGACGGTGAAGTCTCCTCTTTATCGGTTGTATTGTTATCAAATCGAATCACGTTGGCATCAAAATGGCGATTCATAGTAGAACGAGTTGATAAGTCGACGGTCGACGATGCGGCTGGAAGCGAGCGAAGTACGGATAAACACGCGTACTGACGTCCAAAAGGACACGTGTGAGTACGACACTATGGAGACTGGGATCTGAAAAGTTCAATTTGGTCCAATCACGTTCGTAATTGAAGACTGTTGACTGTGGGACTCACCACAGTTTGTTGTTACAGCCGCGTGGTTGACACGCCGGCTGTGTGATGAGCACAGCTGACAGGAATGCCGCAGCAGACAGGTGTACGTCGAGACTTGAAGAGAGTCCCTGAAGAGACGGACATCATGGTTGTTCGCCCGAAACATAATTCTAGCTATAAAAATCGAGCTATTTGCGAAGAGCAAGCTGTCTTGTTGATAGGTAAATTTTAGTGTCCTTGACATGCAGGAGTTCCTAGATGTGTGCCGATCCTTACAATTTAAAAATTCAAAAATTCAAATGTTAAACTTAAATTCCATAAACATATATAGAATCAATGCAAAGATGAGTTTATCATATTTACAAAATGCATATTCAATAAACATGTCCCATACAGCACAGAAGTTGCAGCAATATTGCTGCAACATTGCAAAATTGTTTCAACATTGCAGCAACGTTTCTTCGTGAACATAAGAAGATAACAGAGTAGCCTGTTATATACAAAGTCCTTACTTATAATTATTTTTCATATAATTACCTTATAATTTTCAAGAGCATTTAAATGTTGACACAATAAGCGTGCAAATAATTGAAGGATCATTGCGCAACAAACAGACCTTTTGCCACAATGTAATGTTCGACTTGAAAGATCCCGAAGGGTCCAATAGAGTATTAATATAGACAACAAAATGCGATGGCATAAGCTTATGGATTATGTAAGTGTCGTTAAGAGACGAATTCCCGAAATAAATGCTGCCACAAGGCTGTGATACCGCTCGGTCGCGACATGCTTCATTATCGGTGCAGCGCGCGTCGCGCGGCACGGAGCTGTCTCCCCGGCGATTTATTTTCGTGCATTAATCTTCGAACCCTCTGGCCATCGAGACGTTACGCGGCGGCGGTTTACCGAATCTCGGTTATTGACGGCTATATGTACAGGCGGGGATTAGCCTTCTTGCACGTTATAAATAGAATATAATGAGAGCTTGTAACTGTATGGTACTTTGCGCTGTGTGTGATGTTAAAAAACTATCATTAAATACCGCATTTATCTGAGAGAAAAGGAAGAGAAAAGAATAGTGATACCTCTCTCTCTCTCTCTCTCTCTCTCTCTCTCTCTCCTCTCTCTCTCTCTCTCTCTCTCTCTCTCTCTCTCTCTCTGTGTCAACGTCTACGCATAACTCGAATAATAAAGCGTTATTACATTAACTCTGTAAGTAAGCTGATCAGAGGAGAGACGAGTTTGTTAATAACAGAATATTTTCGTCCACTAAGATAACAATGCACAAAGTAACGTCAGAGATATACACGGAGACTAACAATATCTCTGAGAAGCTTGACAACGGCAGTAAGTTGCGTTTTCGCATAATTCCAAGTAATATGCAGGCATTCATTAACGCGTACATTAAAGCACGATGCAAAATCGATTTCAGATGCAGTCACGAAATTCGCCTTCAAGTGCCCATCGTACATGATCGACCCGACGTCCGCAGACAGGACGCTAAAGTGCGATAGCGATGATGACTTGGACGTAGACAGAGATAGAGAAGAAACACTTTCGATAGGTAAGATGAAGAATGAAAATTATTGGACGCTTGTTGCATGCATATTTGGCTAATCATCTCTAACAGAGATATATAATAATACGTAATAACAGAGCACAGTGTTTCGACGGAGCTGAATTTGGTCGGCTTGCAAGTGTGGAGAGGCGCGTTCCTGTTGGCCGACTACATCTTGTCGCACCCGGATTTGTTCAAGGACCAGATAATCTTGGAATTAGGATCAGGAGTCGGAGTGACCAGTATCGTGGCGAGTCACTTGGCCAAGGAAGTCATTTGCACAGGTTCGCATGCAAAAGCAAGCGTTCACGCAAGAGCTCCATCGAGAGAGCTTTGATTGATTTTACTAATCGGAGCGTTCTTGTTCCCGGCCAGATATCAACATCGGTGATATATTGAGTCTGATCGAGCGGAATTTCCTGAGAAATCACATGCACGTCAGGTCCGGTTATCGCATAGAGGAGGTGAATTTTCTCGACTTGGAGTGGTCGAAGAAATTGGAGGAGAGATTGCAAGACGCAAATATTATATTGGCTGCGGATGGTACGTTCAAATAATTCTGTATTGTAACAAGTATATAAAAGATAGAGGTAAAGAATGATAACGTTGCTATTCTTATTCGACTTACAGTAGTTTACGACGACAAAATCACGGATGGATTTGTCCGCACGTTATCGAAACTTTTGTACACGAAGAAGAAAAAGACCGTTTACGTCGCTCTGGAGAAGAGGTACGTGTTCACTATTGCCGACTTGGACACCGCTGCACCGATGTACGAGGAGTTCCTACGCTGCATCGAAAAGTACAGGATGAACTGGTCTGTAGATTATATAAGTATAGACTTTCCGCGCTACTTCAAGTACGACAGAGTTAAACATTTGGTTTTAATGAAAATACAAAACAATACGAAGTCCATTGCGTATGCATAGCAAGCAACTTACGTTCCTAATAGCGTACGCGAATCGTTCTCACCATGATATAACACGTAAATAATATTACAAATAAAAAAAGACAACGTTAAAATTGTCGGATTGAGAAGTCGATATAATAGCTCCCTAATATGTGCACTTATCTAATGAAAATACAACATCACAATTGACGTAATTTACAGAAAAAACAGCAGTCTCTCTATGTTAAATAAATCATCTCTTGGATACATAATAAGATTCATCCTAAAAATCAGGAATAAATCTCTCTTTATTTATTTTTTTCTTTGTTCGGAAAGATCCTTTCGCTCGATTCTTATATTATCTTAGTGTCAATCTCGTCATCTCGCGCAAAAACGCGAATTGAAGAGCGGATAATTTAAGAGTCAACGAAGGGCAGTAATCAAGATGTATATTCGGATCATGACGAAAAAAGTAATGATAACCGCGTAATTTATAATAATAATTCTGTTTTTTTTTGTTTCACGTTCACATATTTATTATTTATCGTTACTTTCCTATTTACATCCTACCTAGCGGATAATATTATTGGACAGTAAATGAAGTCGCTCGAAGAGCACGATGATTCCATGCGTGTATATATGTATACATGTACGTGTGTATGTGTGTGTGTGTGTGTGTGTGTGTATAAATGTATATGTATGTGATGAACTTAAATGCCACCGTCAAGTGAGCCGCGGCGGCTACAGGATTAAAAAATTTCATTACGCTAACTATTACAAAGAAAGACCAAGTGTATACAGAGGAATGTGAGCGCTTCTTCGAACGACTACGGCAGTAGAAGTTGTATATGTTACACGCAAGTTCTTTTTTTTTTCCTTTTTATAACAGTTCATCATTTAGTATATATGATATACTCGTGGTCCGAACCGCGAATCGCGCGAAATCATGGCATCCGGGAGAACGACGATCGGCGAAAGATCGCAGTGCTGACGCGCACTCGGTCCTCGCGAATCAGCGACGCGCGCGAGACACACGCGTCGGCGGCACGACGATCGCGCGCGCGCGCGGACTTTCAAGTTTTATAATATAACGACTGATAAAGATTCCACAGATCCCGAGAATCGTCGAGCGTCGTCCTCCCGGCGGACTCGGACCGTTTAGTTTGGTAAAAGGCACTTTTACTCTACCGACCCATCTCACGATGTAGAAAACGTAATGTATAATTTACAGCCTCGCACACCATTTTCCTCCTTTTTCTCGTCAGACTGAGCGTGCGTCATCATGCGAGAAATCTCGAACGTTACTATACACGCACGGCTTTTCCCCTCTCGGAGTAGTGCGAATTAATATCCTGGTTCTCTTTTGTCTTTGTTTGTTTGTTGTTTTTTCTTTTCTTTTCTTTTTTATCTCACCGTTAGCATTCATCTCGCTCCTGAAAAAACGAGCAGATTCAGGAGGTAAAAAATTTAAAACTCTCTCGGGCTACGACGGATCCGCTATAAAGTGTGTGTACGCTTTCTCTATCGCCGTAGAAAAGAGTAACAATCTATCGGATGCGCGAGAGACACTTCGCGCGCGCGACGAATAGCGGAACGAACGCGCATCGAGTGGAGAAAATTGTGGTTTACGCACTACGCTCGCCGTACGAGGCCACTAGACAGAAGTCGACCCCCTTACATTCTGAGATCCTTGTTCTCGTCTTTACTATCTCAAGATGCGATTGTGCATGTATGTTGCTTGTTGTGTGTGTGTGTGTTTGTTTGTTTGTTTGTTTGTTTGTTTGTTTGTTTGCCAGTAACTCTGTGAGCATTTACTTCTGGACTAGCGACATATCGCACGAGTCACATAGAACAGTATATTACACCGGAGTATACCTCAAAAATACTACATGTAGATAAAAGCTTTAAAAAAACACAGGTGAGATAATAAAACGTCGTTGACTAGACCCCAAGAAGATAAAAAAAGAAGGAAAGAAGAGGAGAAACCAATGTCGAATCGAAATTCATATACCCGACGATAAGTGTACATCGTACTTAACACAGATTTCAATTATCATTCAGCGATCGGAGCTGACGTATACAGAGGCGATTAAAGCGATCAGACACGTTCGCGCATCTTTCCATTGTGTCTACATCCTCCCAATTTCTCCGATCGTTTTCTCAACACGGAGCTTTAAATTATAAATCAAAAATATTAATATTCTCATCTAACAGCTAAGAACAATAATTATCCAATTAATTAAATTTCGATTGCATCTCTTTATATTATTTGCAACAAATACTGTACAAAAAAAAAAGAGAAAGGAAGAGTGAACGAGAGAGAGAGAGAGAGAGAGAGAGAGAGAGAGAGAGAGAGAGAGAGAGAGAGAGAGAGAGAGAGAGAGAGAGAGAAAAAAAAGAAGTACGATTTCCATAAAGAGAACGCACGCGAAAGTCGATTCCTTTTTCGCTACTAGTAGCTACCTCCGTTCGGGGACGGTTTCTGACTGGCGACTCCGTTGCTCGGCGGTATCGCGTCCAACATCAACTTCCTCCGGTGGTATTCGGTGCTCGCGCTCTCGCCGGCCATCGACTTCCTGCGCAACGGCGTCGTCGCATTCTCCACGTTGACCTGCATGATGGAGTTTGTACTTTTTCGCCTCGCCGGTAGATCGTTGTTACTCGCTTGCTTGCCTGACGACGTGTCGTGCTCGCTTTGGCTCGTCGCGACGCCGTTGCTCGCGATCGCCGCGCTCTTGCTCGCCGCCATCGTAGCGCCGGCGGCGTTCGGACCGCCGACGTTGGCGACCTTGCTCGCGATACTCTGCATCGAAGTCGCACTCCCGTAAGCGGACCCGCTGCAGCCACTGTTTTTCCCGACGACGGAGCTCTGCATCGAATTGTTATGGGCGACGCTCTTGCTCGAAGACGACGAGGATGCCATCATGCTGGCGTGCTTGCTGACGTTATTGTGCACGGACATCGTGCTCTTGACGCTCTGCGTGCTGGGCGAACCCAACGGCAACGATGTCTTCCGCCTGGCATTCGAGTTGGCGCCGTCACCGCCGAAGTTCACCTTCACGCCGGTGCCGACGCCGATCTTCGACATGTCGTGCGTCGACGTCTGCGTGCTCGTGACCGCCCAGCGCTCCACTTGGGCCTCGTGCGACTTCTGCAGCACCTTGCGCACGTCCCCGTCTTCGCCGCCCTCCTTCATAATCTCCTGCAGCTTCTGTATGTTCTGGTACAGGATCACCGGGCTGATGAGACCGAAGTCGAACAGGCTGCACATGTGCAGCACGAAGTTGCGGTAAAGGTTCTTCATGAGTAACTCCTTCCCTTTATTATCTAAGAACATTTGGCAAGCTATTGGTATTTGGCAGTCGCCCACGTATCCGTACTTCATCACGTGTAGGTTCCACATCTTCATCAGCTCCTTCTCGCCCTCGTTCACGTCCGTGAAGTCGTCGATCATCATCATCGTCTTCGTTTGCAGCCACTTGGGATCGTTCTCGCCCTCGGAATCGATGTCCATCTCTTTGGGGTATATAGGTAAGCAGGTCACGGTGTGATGATACAGTCTGAAAAACGCGTCGATCAACGCGTTAGAATGCTGGTCAGAGTGCTGGCGATGAATAGCATTGCATTTTCAATGCCTGTGCCAACGTAGCCGCGCTGTCATACCTGTTGTGGCCGGTGATGTAAGGCCTCTGGCTCTCGAACTCGTTTTCCTCGAGCTCCAGGAACTCGGATAGACTCGGCTTCGTTCTCTTTGGACGACACACTAGGATGTTCGTTACACTGGTACGCCTTGTCGGTCCTGTCCTTGAAAAAGGTACGCTAGACGGTTGTGAAATTAACTCGTGAGGACTACCTGCATACGAACCATCATAGCACTCGTTTATTGCTACGTCTATTCGGGCACCTTGCGGAATTGGCTGGAAGAGAAAAATACACGCGCGATCAGTCGCAGATCCTGCTGGTTGGGTTAGTCTCGTTTCCGCGTTTCTGTTCGATCATCGTGCGAATTCAGAGTGCTGGGGAGTAACGTAACGTGTCACTTGTAACGCCGTTCCTCTTCAGCTTGGTAGCTTTTCGTAACTTGGTAACTTGGTTTAATTACGTTTATTTTTCTTTATCAGTGATGACAACCGTTACTGAACCGAAGGTGTTTGTACACGGATAATAAATATAATTATTTTCATCGTTATTGGACACATGTAGAATACATCTACACGAAATGGAGTGAGCAGTTGCAAATTATACAGAGCCTGAAAACTCGTGAGAAGAACAACGGGAAGTTGTAATTTTTTGAGGAAGATTGACGATTACTCTATTTTTCAGAATAATTGTTGTTCGAAACAACCGTTGTTGCTTCTCAGAACGCCATGGTAATTTTTTCGGTAAATGAGTAAAACGGTAAGTAACGGAGTCGTTTCGAAGGGATAACTTTACCAAACTTTACCAAACTTTACCCTATGGTCTGGCAAGTCCGGCGAAATAACTTTCCCGATCCTGTCGCGCGGACACTCACCACGTATGTAAATGTAAATCGCGAATGGCAGAGCTTCAAGTGCTTCAGAAGCGAATAGAGTTTGCTGCAGTCCAACGAGCACCACGGGCAGTGTAGGTCTTCGCAAGCCTCTGTCTGCTGCCGACTGTTATTGTTGTACAAAAATTGATAAACTATCTGCTGCGATCCCGCGTTGGCGTCCACCTTCTCGTTGGAGACGCTCATTCTCGAGGGCGTTAATGGACTAGGCGTTGGCAGTGTCGCGTTATTGTTATTGTTTGTGCTATTATTATTGTGACCTACGGAAGAACGCTCAAAACCAGCTGAAAAGATAACGTGATGTTTATTGGAAACGCAGAGTGGTCGCGCCGTCGTTCGCGCTGTGCGTGCACGTGGACGTTTACGTTATTAATTACTACCGTATTAACTGACCATTGGTCGATCGATTTTCCTTATTGTCGCCGCTCGGTATCGGGTGTATCGGCGTTGGTCGGTCCACCAGACTGTTACTCGGTTCCGTCGTCCAACTGAGCCGGAACTTTAACGTCGGCCCGGCGCTGAACACTTCGAAGGGCTCGCAGTTCTTGATGTCCGGCAAGGACTCCCAAGAGCTGTGCTTCTTAGGGCTAGACCTAATATTGGTTTGTACTTCCTGCAAACCTAATTCGTAATCGCCGTCCGTCAGCAGGCATCGGCTGTGCTTATCGTACACTATGAGCTCGGAGCCGTACTGCTTCACTTCCTCGCCACTGCCAGTCTTAATCGAACCCGTAGACGATTTACGGCGTTTTTGAGCTGGTTCTACGGAAGGAACATCCCTACAATCTCCTGACTCCGGGAAAGAGGATGTATACTTAAACTCCCCCCCGGCTGTACGTACCTTCTAAATCACAGTTATGCATAAGGCAGCCATTGTTAGACACGCAATAAACCCTGAGCAAAAGCGTATAAGTCTTCGCTACATGACCGTTATTTAAGCTAAATGATTCATTGGGTATGGAAATTGTGGGCGCCTTTGTCGGAGGCTGAGTCTCAGAAGGGTTAATGGGGACCTCGCTTGTGCCGATTGGGACCTGGCAATCAGAAAGAAAACACCGCGCATTAATGGAGAGTTCCAGCCGGCGGGAAAGTTGATCGAGAATCTCCTCGTATTCGCAACGCACCATCAAGTTCAATGACACTGAACTCACTTGCATGATAGGCGAACTGACATCTTTCCGTTTCTTGTGGCAGATTTTCAATAACAATGTTTCCACTTTAACTGGATCCTGTGATATCTCAACTACAAATACACATTAATCTTAGAAAGTATTACAGTGTTTTATGTGAAATGTTACTGTTGAATGCCCGTGAAGCATCTCAAATATATACAGGATATGCGACAGATGTTACCTCTTTTGTCATAAAATCCTAAAAACGTGAGGGTCATGTATCCGGGAAGGCCAAGATTCTGTTCTTGATTGCTTTTCGATATTAACTTTTCTAAAATCGTGTCGACCTTAAATCCTCGTCGTGCCTTGTGACTTCTAGACATGCGTTGCCTCATATATGTTAAGTTTCTATTCAGAAATATTGGCTGGAAAGAAGAAGAGGCATTAAATCAAAACACATCCATTTAGAGAGGTTGAAACTACTTGATGTGAAGTGTGAACAATGTATATCTTTTATACCCACCATTCTTCACAGATCTTGCAAATAGTAATTTGAAAAAAACATACGGAAGTATAAGTCATGACAGAGAGATGATGTGGGAGCGCTCCAATGTTGAAAAAATGAATCTTAACTTACCTGATGAAACAAGTGTTTGCAACATTATGAATATGTATTTTTGTGTATGTTTTTGTTTTTTTTTTTTTTTGGAAAAAACAACTATACGCGTATATACAGTGACTGTCCGCGTAAGTGTATATGTATAACGAGAATAAATAAAGCCTAGTTAACGCTTTGAGGGCAATGCACAAATTAAAATTCTTAAAACATAAAATTATAGAGGTGAAAAATTATAGTCTACTCACTGAAATTTGGTTTCTTGTGCGGAGGAAGCGGTAAATTTGCGTTGGTTCTGCAAAAAAAAATATTAAGATCAAAAATATGAATATCTAGTTGGCACAGTTGAGATAATAGCTATGCGATGAACATACAAACAGGTGCAAGTGTTATAGAGAATATTTGAAATAAACTGAAGATTTTCTAATTATATTTTCATTAAATTATGTATTAATTATTCTTAAATTGTGAGCGATATATGGTTCAATCATAAGTATGCTAATTAAAAATGAATTAATTTATTGTAATCAAATTTCTCACTTATTGTAAAGATACTTATTGTAAAGAAAGATTGTAAAGAAAAAAAAAAACAAATAGCAACTTGAAACAAGAACAACAAGCTGAAAAGACTCTTATTGCAACCTTATTTATTAACTGTGTCTGTTATAATTGCTCCTACAATTACAAATTGTATTATTCATTGTAATAAAAAATCTTAAAAAAATACTTTATGGAAACCCATGTTCACATACAGTTTTTACTATTTCACACAATTGTTGTTAAAAGTATCCAAATTTTTTTTATTCATATGTGCAAAATAGTGTGATATTTTAGGAATATAGTGCAAGCTTGTTTCTCTAGATGGCCTCATGAGTTGTCTCTTTCTCACATTCAAAAATAGTATCAATGGCCTTTAAATAGGACCAAGAATGCCGTGAAAGGTCCGATCCTTCTTCAGTTCGAATGGGAAATGATGAATAGGTTGGCTCAAGTTATTTGAGACGCCTGCACCTTACTTTGTTACGACTTTCCTGCAGGTTAAACCTCTCTGATCCCATCTTATCATAATATCGCGAGAATAACAGCTGCTAATTCATCGTCGTCGTGATGTACCAACGCTTAAAAACTTCGATTCGCTGAGATGACATAAACCAGGGAATTTCTTAAAATACCGGTTGTACGAGAGGAAATTTTCCTCGTACTTAGATTTCCGCTTCATGTTCGCGTGCGGATTTCGCACTCTTCGCGGAAAATTCGATACACCGGAGCGAGAGAGAGAGAGAGAGAGAGACAAAGAGAGAGCGATAGGGGACGTCGGGACGATGATTACGGGAAGAAGCATACGCGCGCCGAGACCGATCCGCACGATATTCTCTTTCTGCTTCATCGTGAGCAGCGAGGATAACGATGACAGGTGTCCGTGCGCGCTCGTGAAACGACGAGGAAGAGGGAACGGAGGAAGAGAGAGAGAGAGAGAGAGAGAGAGAGAGAGAGAGAGAGAGAGAGGAGAGAGAGAGAGAGAAGAGAGAGAGAGAGAGAGAGAGAGAGAGAGAGAGAGAGAGAGAGAGCGTCTATACCGACGCGCGCCACGGCGCCCCGAGTTGGCCTCTGGCCGCGAGTGGGGTTAGGTCCGACCGCCGCGTCGAGGTATAATCAGCACAGAGATACTCGCCAAGAGACGACGGTCGCGTACCTTCCCGCGAGCGTCATCGGAGCGCGCACGATCGTGCCGACGCGGACGTCGGCCGCTCGTCGCCGACGGCCGACGCAGACACGGCAACAGCCGATGACGGAAAAATATAACAGGCACCATCAACGGAGGTGACAAGAGAATGTGTGTTGTCGCTCGGCAGCACACTCACTTTCGAAGGCCTGCAGAAACAGCTCATGGTCAGCCTGTATCTGGTCCATGCGAGGTCCCTTCTGCCCGTCCAGGTCCTTCTCCCGCTTCTTCGGCGGCATTTTCGCGCGATCCTCCGTGCACGACGAACTCCCCCGCGTTAACTCCACTGCTCGTCGCGCGAAAGTTGTACGAACGACAACACCCGCCCCGCGCGAAAACTGCGGCGCTCGACGGCGGCCTTCGGCGACCGACGCGCGCTCTTACCAGAGCGAGACGCGCTGCCGACGCTGCCTCTGGCGTGCGATTTCTGAGACACCAATCGACATATGCTCGATCGATTGTGTCTGGGGATATCGCAGCGATCTAATCGATTTTTACGATGACGCGCTAGATTTTCATTGGCCGGTTCTTCCAACTTCTTGCTAAATTAACTGATAACTAAATCATATGTGTTTATCTTTGTTTTTCCTTCGATTTAGACAAAAATAGATATGTAACTTGACTATCAGTTATGAAGGATTCACACTGCGTTCAATATCCGACACATGACATACGATATCTAATATAGGAGAACATCACATAGAAAATATTATAATTTTCCGTAAGAAAGCTGTTTTCCTTTCATTACAGGCTTTCTGCAATAAGCCGTTAGCCATAAGCACGTAAGCAAATTGACCAATCACAGTCGATTATTTGAAAAATGTAGAACAGGCCTGAGATATGTCGGACACTGTGAACCCTCCATTCTAGGTAGGTATCGTGCTGCGTTATTTTGCGAAAATTGATGGAAATTAAAGATTTTTTCTGAAAAATAGATTTTTTCTGAAAAATGCGATTTCATATTTATTAAATTGATGTTTGACGATTTTGTCGATTACTTTTATCTTTATCAGTTTAATTAGAATCTGGAAAGTAAAAAATACTTAACTTTTTCATGCTTAATCTTTCCAACTATTTAATATCTGATAAAATTGATTACATTTAATTGCACCTGCAAACCCGTCAAAAACGATGGAAGTTCATAACGGGAACTTTGAAACTACACTCGATCCATTAGATCTGTTGAATATATAATATTTCTTATCTTTGAACATAAATATATATAAGAGGCCATTAGAAACGAAGAATATTTGATAATATAGGAAAAAATTGCATCACGGGTTCGAGAAAGAATCGAGGTTGTGAGTATTGTTCAATTGCATGTCAGACGAGTTCAAAGGCCCGTATTTATGGTCGGATCTTATGGGCCTTCTACGCTATTAGTATAATAAGCTATTAGTCATAAGTTGTAACCGAATTGATGTCAACCACAGTCGATTATTTTTAGTAATAATCAATTGTGATTGGTCAATTTGCTTATAGCTTATAACTAATTGTTTATTGTAGAAGGCCTCTAAAGGCTCGGCTACAATAGCTGTAAAGGCTCGTCTACATTAGCTGTAAAGGCTCGTCTACATTAGCTGTAAGAGTAAAGCTAAGACTCCATGCATGCGGTGAGCTCCGGCAAACGGCTGCGGTGACCAATCAGGAGACAGACGCATGCCGGAGCTTGCCGCAACCGGACTTGCGCCTCCCTCCTGATTGGTCACCGCAGCATTTGCCGCAGCTCACCGCATGCATGGAGTCTTAGCTTTAGGCTGTAAGGTTGCAAGGCACGAAATGAAATATTTTCATTCGCTGACAGCTTACGACAGCTTACAGCCTTACAGCCTTACTCTTACAGCTATTGTAGACGAGCCTTAAGAGTAAGGCTGTAAGGTTGTAAGGCACGAAATGAAATATTTTCATTCGCTGACAGCTTACGTTACATCTTTACAGCCTTACTCTTACAGCTATTGTAGACGAGCCTTAAGAGTAAGGCTATAACGTAAGCTGTCAGCGAATGAAAATATTTCATTTCGTGCTTGCAACCTTACAGCCTTACTCTTAAGGCTCGTCTACAATAGCTGTAAAGGCTCGTCTACAATAGCTGTAAGAATAAGGCTGTAAGGCTGTAACGTAAGCTGTCAGCGAATAAAAATATTTCATTTCGTGTCTTGCAACCTTACAGCCTTACTCTTACAGCTAATGTAGACGAGCCTTTATATTTAAGACCGTCTTAAGTTCATCTTCAGATGTTGCACAAATTATTTCATTGGCTACGGGGTATCTGAAAGTGAACTTAAGACGGTCTTAAATATAAGACGTGACTATGAATACCGGCCAAAGTCTGTTCATTTTTGATTCGATTAAAGCCACTACATATACTTTTTGTAAGATGGAACAGTAAAGGCTCGTCTACAATAGCTGTAAGAGTAAGGCTGTAAGGCTGTAACGTAAGCTGTCAGCGAATGAAAATATTTCATTTCGTGCCTTGCAATCTTACAGCCTTACTCTTACAGCTAATGTAGACGAGCCTTAAGCTTTCGACGAATTGCGTTGCTCGATTCGTACATCCCGTAACCGTAACTATCTGAAACAAGCAACGTGATTGGTCAAAATCTTGCTGTTACGTCTTATGGAAAGTGTGTGTGCGATAGTCTTTAATAAATTCGGCCTAGCCTATCACAAAGCTCATTTTCAGTTGCTTTCAGAACGATCTAAATCCGCTTGAATCGAAAGATCTACAGACATTGTAGTTTTCTTGGATAACGAAGCAACGCATTGCCGCGTCGTGTGCGTAATATTCATAAATGTTGCTCGAATGTTTGAGGTCATTTTTTTTTACTTTTTTTACGTACGAACGGGTCAAGATGGCAGCGATAATCGCGTAGACGCAAGGCATCCTGTTTCTTGAGCAGACAGGAAAATTGTACACTACGCTACTCTTTGCGTTTTCGACCGTACAAGTCACGCATGGTAATGCGTGTTTATTGAATTTCGAGAAGTTGGGAATTTACACAAGTTAGAATGACTGAGGAAACACAACAATCCGAGGTTGCTGCGGAAAATGACGTTGGTGCTGTACAGAATGATACGCAGACGAATTTATCGGATGTCGGAAAAGTCCGAGACAACAAAAAAGAAAAATGTCGTCCCATGACGAAGGTTTGTAAACAAGCATTCTACTTTAATCTAATTGAATTAGTTTTATCTAATTAATTATTTATTAACATCTCATTGTCTGCCAAAAGTGTCGCTTAAGACATAGGTTATGTTAAGTGCTGATAAGGAGATACCACCCGGCGGGATGTTATCCATTTGTATGAAACCAAGCGCGATAGTAAATTGAAGTATAAATGCAGTTTAATTATCCTTTAAGAGTTTAAGTTAAATTATTCATTAAATTTGTATATTAAAATTACATATCAAAGATAATTTCTATCTATTATACATTATGTGCAAGTTGCAGTGAATAAACAAGTTTCAAACAAATATTTAACTATATCATACACGAAAAAGAATATAAATATTTAGCAATATTTAAGTCTTCAATTGTTCTATATGAAAAGGCTGTTTTTCTCAATGTTGAAAACAGACATATTTTTGAGATTAGAAGCTAAGACATTTATTTATGGTATTGTATGTATGTAATTGCAGTATTTTATATACTTTATAGAATATATTTTATAAAATATGTATACAGTATTTTATATAAATGGATACTTTATATACTTTCTATATTTACAAACTTTTATCCAAATTGGTAATCTTGGTTCAAAAATTTATATTTGCAACATATAATTTAATATCATATTTGTCTATTTCTAGGTGGTAATTAGACGACTGCCTCCAACAATGACACAGGAACAATTTTTAGAACAGATCTCTCCACTTCCGGAACATGATTACTTTTACTTTGTGAAAGCTGACATGTCTCTTGGTCAATTTGCATTTTCCCGTGCTTACATCAATTTCACAGACCAACAAGACATATTTGTGTTTCGAGAAAAATTCGACAATTATGTCTTCATAGATGCCAAAGGTGTGGAATATCCTGCAGTAGTTGAATTTGCACCCTTCCAAAGATTAGCGAGGAAACGACATGGCAGGAAGAAGGATCTCAAGTGCGGCACTATCGAGAGCGATTCGTACTACATAAGTTTTCTAGAGAGCTTAAAGAACCAGGAAATCGACTCGAATGTAGCACAATCAAAGACCGAATATTCTTACCAACCACCAGATAGTAAGTGTTTCTACTTTATATTATATATCTAACTCAAAAAAACACAATATAGATGATAATATAACTTCTGCAAAGGATTATTTTAAAGTATTGTAATAATTCCACTATACAGATACAACAAAGAAAGTTACAACAACTCCACTACTCGAATATCTGAAGCAGCGCAAGCAAGAGAAGCAGCGTCTCAGAGATGAAAAGCGCGAAGAAAGGCGCAGGAGAGATCTGGAGAGACGGAGAACGAAAGATGACCCTATTATTTCTAAGGTAAGGCATTTCTTAAATAAATCTAACCGGTTGCAGTTCGGGATAATCATGAGACAGTCATTTCGTTTGTAATTATTCATTCAAGATTAAGATTTCTCAATTAGCATGTTTGTTTTTTTTTTCTTTTTTATTGCCATCTTCACTGATAACGAATAATTTTCGCCTACAGCAAACATACAACACAGAAGTCAATAGGTCATCCAAGTTCATGGTATTACGCTCCGCGAAAATTCAATTAGAAGAGTTGTTGCTTCCAAAGTTTGTCGAAAATGCAAGTATACACGAGTATCAAGGAGAGATATTCTTCCATAGATATGCGGAACAAGAGTGGCACAAGAGCCATCAGAGTTTTTACGAACGCGTTAAAAAGCCGATTCAAAATGTGAACAATATCAAGAATCAATATTCGAGTGATGATAAATGGGTTAACGGCAAAAATTATTTGTATCGGCACAAAAACGATCATGTAAGACGAAGTTTTTTATTGGCAGAGTGATTTCTTTTTCTTTCTTCATTATTACGACTCTTTGTCGTTCGATCAACGTTTAATATTGGAGTAACGAAATTTAATTCTCTCGTTTACGTCAGTAACCGCGAATACCTCCCTGACTTTCACGTATGTGAAACAGTTGCGGTACGATACTTGAGCCGAAAGAATCGCATGTTATTCCCCCGAGGTGGTATATAAAGATAGAAGGAGAGAGAGAGAGAGAGAGAGAGAGAGAGAGAGAGAGAGAGAGAGAGAGAGAGAGAGAGAGAGAGAGAGAGAGAGAGAGAGAGAGAGAGAGAGAGAGAGAGAGAGAGAGAGAGACAGAGACAGAGACAGAGACAGAGACAGAGAGAGAGACAGAGAGAGAGACAGAGAGAGAGACAGAGAGAGAGACAGAGAGAGAGACAGAGAGAGAGACAGAGAGAGACAGAGACAGAGAGAGAGACAGAGACAGAGAGAGAGACAGAGACAGAGAGAGAGACAGAGACAGAGAGAGAGACAGAGACAGAGAGAGAGACAGAGACAGAGAGAGAGACAGAGACAGAGAGAGAGACAGAGACAGAGAGAGAGACAGAGACAGAGAGAGAGACAGAGACAGAGAGAGAGACAGAGACAGAGAGAGAGACAGAGACAGAGACAGAGACAGAGACAGAGACAGAGACAGAGACAGAGAGAGAGACAGAGACAGAGAGAGAGACAGAGACAGAGAGAGAGACAGAGAGAGAGACAGAGACAGAGAGAGAGACAGAGACAGAGAGAGAGACAGAGACAGAGAGAGAGACAGAGACAGGAGAGACAGAGACAGAGAGAACAGAGACAGAGAGAGAGACAGAGACAGAGAGAGAGACAGAGACAGAGAGAGAGACAGAGACAGAGAGAGAGACAGAGACAGAGAGAGAGACAGAGACAGAGAGAGAGACAGAGACAGAGAGAGAGACAGAGACAGAGAGAGAGACAGAGACAGAGAGAGAGACAGAGACAGAGAGAGAGACAGAGACAGAGAGAGAGACAGAGACAGAGAGAGAGACAGAGACAGAGAGAGAGACAGAGACAGAGAGAGAGACAGAGACAGAGAGAGAGACAGAGACAGAGAGAGAGACAGAGACAGAGAGAGAGACAGAGACAGAGAGAGAGACAGAGACAGAGAGAGAGACAGAGACAGAGAGAGAGACAGAGACAGAGAGAGAGACAGAGACAGAGAGAGAGACAGAGACAGAGAGAGAGACAGAGACAGAGAGAGAGACAGAGACAGAGAGAGAGACAGAGACAGAGGAGAGACAGAGACAGAGAGAGAGACAGAGACAGAGAGAGAGACAGAGACAGAGAGAGAGACAGAGACAGAGAGAGAGACAGAGACAGAGAGAGAGACAGAGACAGAGAGAGAGACAGAGACAGAGAGAGAGACAGAGACAGAGAGAGAGACAGAGACAGAGAGAGAGACAGAGACAGAGAGAGAGACAGAGACAGAGAGAGAGACAGAGACAGAGAGAGAGACAGAGACAGAGAGAGAGACAGAGACAGAGAGAGAGACAGAGACAGAGAGAGAGACAGAGAAGAGACAGAGAGAGAGACAGAGACAGAGAGAGAGACAGAGACAGAGAGAGAGACAGAGACAGAGAGAGAGACAGAGACAGAGAGAGAGACAGAGACAGAGAGAGAGACAGAGACAGAGAGAGAGACAGAGACAGAGAGAGAGACAGAGACAGAGAGAGAGACAGAGACAGAGAGAGAGACAGAGACAGAGAGAGAGAGAGAGACAGAGACAGAGACAGAGACAGAGACAGAGACAGAGACAGAGACAGAGAGAGAGAGAGAGAGAGAGAGAGAGAGAGAGAGAGAGAGAGAGAGAGAGAGAGGTGGAATCAGGATTTAACTTTACGAGTCGATTCGCTGCCGTGCCCTGACACACGCGAGCAGGTCGATGTTGACCTTTGATCGGCATCAATGATTCTCGAGAAAGAGGAGCACTTGTTATTACATTTATTACGCTGTCGATTTTATACACCATTTTCTGAAAACTTTATGTAATCTCTTCCGTACACGCGCAACACGTGTAACGCGATTAACACACAAATTCTCACTTTGTAATTATTTCAACCACCTGTACCGAATTTTTAAGAGAAGAATATGTTTATGAAAATATTCGATTTTTTAAGCGTTCGATAATTGTGCTCTTTATTTCGTCGCGTGCGTGGTATAGAGTATTGTGAAGCATGACAAAGTCAATGAAAAACCGTGAAAAATCTGTAAGACAACGAAAAGGACAGTGCACGTATATATACATATGAGAAAATAATGAAGATTGATAGATGCGCGAATGTTCAATTTTGTGCAGGTTCTAAAGAATCCGGACCTGGACAGAGAGTCCAGTAAAGACGACAAAGAAAACAAGGACGAGAGGGACAAGCTTTCGCCGAAGGACTTGAAGAACCGAACCAAAAGAGACGACAAGGTGCGGGAAAAGTCGTCGCGAGATCGAGAGACCAAGCCCATCCTCAAGGGTTACAGGGACGAGAGGAACAAAGATCGCGACCTCAAGCAAAGACGATACGACGAGAAGAAGCTGTACGGGCGACGTGACGACAGGGAGGGCGTGAAGGAGGACAAAAGGATCGACCTGAGGGACGAGCGGAAGTACGAGGCGAAGGAGGACAGAAAGGTGGAGGAGAAACGCGGCAAGAGTTACGAGAAGATGAGGCAGGAGAAGAAGAAGTTGGCGGAAACGAAGAAACAGATGGCTGACGCCAACGTGAGCGAAGCCAGTCCGAAAAAGACGAGGGAGGAACACGATAGTGTGCAGGAGGTTGAGGACGTTACCGGCGGTAACGTCCGGGAATCCGCGCGCGACGACGAGGATTCCAAGCATGCCCGAGACAACGAACGTGTGCAGCGTAACGCCACCGAGGATAGAGTGACGGGCGAAGACGCGCCGGAAGATCGTCGGGATATCGCGGAGCGAGGAAACAGTGTCGACAACGCAGGTGAATATATTTTATCCTTACTGCTTGCTTGAAGCACGCGAGCTCTGAAGGCTACGAGAGACTTGAATAATTTCGCGAGATTCGCTCGCCAACACATTTGACGAGATAAATGAAAAAGCGACGAAAGGCGATAATGTGACGGACATTTATCGATGCAGATGCGAACGAGGACGACGGATCCGAGTCGAAGATGGAGTCGAAGGTTGTGAAGAGACGGAGCTCGCTCGAAAGCGGCGGCGAAGGCGGCACCGGAGACGGTAACTGCTTAAGACGTCATAAATCGTTAGACGGAGGTGGCCAAAGCAATCTGCAGAAGAACGAGAGCGAAGAGAAAGAAAAGGATAAGAAGGATCCGCGATTAGAGCGTAGGATAAGGAATAAGGTGAGAGCCAATCATTAAGCCAGAGTCAAAGGTCATCTGGCCGCATTCGAATAATGAAGAGCCATCGTCGTCACAGCTCACAGCTTCTTATTCGGCTAGAAAATTACAAAATTACAAATTTCGTCTGATCCCTGCTCGGCTTTTCACTTTTTCATTGTATCTTCTATAACTTCATCAACAATTCTATCAGATTGTCAATCTGTTATATTCACCAAATTCAAATTACCAGTAAAAGTTCAACTAAAAAAAAATTCAACGGCTATTTAGATCGCAAGTTGCTAAGCGTATTCGTCCACAGGACCGTCCGGCGATGGAGATCTACCGACCCGGCATGGGCAAGTTCAGCAAACAGAGGCTGGAGCGTGAGAAGTCCAACAACGACGAACGAGCGTCCCTCTCGCAGAGTCCTACGCCGAATCCTGGAGCGTCCACGAGCGGGAAATCCGGAAAGTCCGCGACAGAAGTGCGCTCGATGACCTTCAAACGCAGCGTCAGCCGAGACGTGGCGTAACAAATCTGGTCGCGCACACCTCTCCCAACACAGACGTGTTGCACTGCCGAGAGGTCCGTTTCGAACGGGGCTAGAACCTCGGTCGAGCGTTCCAGCGACTTCATGTCTCGCTGTTCGTCGGATGGTTTTCTTCGTCCTCGGTGTTTTTGGACTTCATTGGACTTCAAAACGTTGGTTTGAACGCTTCTTCTGAAGACAAATCGGGTACGCGGCAAATCTCTTCAATCCGAGAACTGGGAACTTTGCAGAAACATGATGAAGAATTTTATGCCGCTGAATTAGTAGAGTGCACAATTTCGGAATTTAAAAAGAAATACAGCTATATATAATTGAGACTTATTGGAGAAAAGAGTCGCAAAGCAGTGCGGCAGCAGAAGGTAAACTTAAGTTCACTCATCGAACATCTACCGTGTTTCCGATTTGTATTCGACAGAAGTGCTCAAACCGTTTAAAAGACACGTCGCGCCATTTCCGCGTCGCGTGCTCAAAAACATACTCTACCACACACACACACACACACACTTGACGCGCACACTCCCGATCATACTCCATTTACCGTTTCTCGCGTCTCGCATTCTTTCTTGCTCCACGAAGGACGCGAGTTTATGAGCTGTGATGTTGTCATTTGTCGTTGACAGATCAATAAATACAACATACTCTACTACTAGTAGTAGATAAAACATTCTTAAACAGTCGTGTCTCAATAATTTTAATACGTTGGCTTACGTACTCTACGACAATGCGATACTATCGAGTGTACAATTGAAAATAATAACATTCTTAGAGAGTGACTTGAGAATCTTTTGTTGACCTTCGTGACTGCGTTGGATGTGGTTCTCGTAATGACGAAACTACATACGAAGCATAATTTTTGATAGCTGGAACTACGTACTATTACTACTACTACTACACTACGCGTTGTCCCTGTTTTCACTTTATCTCACTTTCACCTTGATATTTTTATATCTGATTATCTCTCAACTATAGCATCGGGGAATTTGCAAGCGCCTGTAGTCAATATTGAAAGAGAGAGTGAATGTGTGACTTGAATTGAAATTATGTTGTTCAAACGACTCGTCTTACATTTCCGAAGAAACTGAGAATGTTATTTCTTTGAGTTACGTCCTCGAGACAGTCGAGCCGAGCTTCTGACTGCAGTCTTCCGCGGCGATTTGTCGGTTTTGTTGCGCTTCGGGCACGGCGACATGCTGCTGCTGACTGCCGTGCTCGTAGATGTTTTTTGTGAGCGCCTTTTGCCTAAAAAAGAAAGCAGAAAGAAGTGTAATACATTCATATTTTGCTCATTGTTTTCACCTGCAAATAACTAAATACCGCTTGTCACAAGCGTAGAAGTAGTAACTGGAGCATCGTTTTTCTCGTTATCGTTATCATCGTCGTCACTGTCGCTGTCGTTGTCTTTCGCTAATGATTTTTTACGGGACATTCTTCTGCTATTCGTTGCGGTTGTTTCTCCGGCAGTTTCCGCTAAGAAGCAGATATGAAAATCATCAAGAAGTGTCCATACCTTGAGATTTTATATGTGAATTTTACACTTGACGTGAAAATATTGACGAGACATGCCAGCAATAAAAATCGGCGATAAATATAATAACATAAGAAATCGATAATATATATAATATTGTCGGAGCCTCTCGCACTCACGAGGTTTTATGACGGGCGGATTATCCGCGTTCTCTTCGCCGTCAGAGCTGTTCTCTTCTTCGTCGCTCGTACTCTTGCGTCTAGTTCGTCGTGTATTCCTCCTGATCTTCGGCACATTTGACGGAGGTGGCATCAGACGGTTGTCTGTCATTTCCGAGTTCGCGTCGCTCTCTAGGAGCTCCTGCAACTTTTCCTCCAGCTCCGTGCCGACGGCCTTTGTGTCCGCTCGCTTCTTCACTTGTTCGATGATATTCTCCAGGGCCGAAAGTACCGGCTTATAGTGGATCTTGTCTTTCAACAACGGCAGATTCTCGATAAGACGACGTACACCTTCGGACGGAACGACGAGAACACTGTTTCGTTTCAGATAAATCGTGGGCAGATAAAATGTCAATTGTTCGCGACGAACTTACTTCTTCCGCTGAACTGCAGGAGCGAAAGGCAATAGGAGAGATCGCGCCACTGCCTCTCCGTGACGGCTAATTTGAATCTAGCGCAAATCTTCTCGATTATAGTGTCGACGTGCTTCTCTTTCTGCAAGAGACTGAGGATGTATCTGCAAAAAGGGACGAGAAGAATTCGTGAAAACTTCGTGAAGACTCGTTTCGATTGATGTACACAGTGTGTAACATTTACTTGATGGTTTCTTGGAACTGTTTCTCCTCGAGATTCAACTCAGAATCCGCCAATCGCGACAATATATCGGGTACGACATTGTAAAGAGCGTTGCCTTTCTGGGCGAGTTGGTTGAAGAATTCTTTCGTGTCCTGTCGTATCTGCTCGTCCTCGTCCATGATGCACAGGGCCAACTCCGAAACTTGGCCCTTCACGCGTATCATCTCCCTCATTATAAGATTCGACAGCATACGGACGCAAGTTCTGCGTACGCTCGTGTCCGCGTCTCGGAGTCTACGACAGTTTAACACGAATGTGGTAACAGCAATTGCAAGGGTAAATGCGCCACCCGATTCCGTCAACACTGCTTCTTGTGAAAGATTGGAAACGAGGAGGAGAATTGGCAGGGAATTTCTTCTACAAAATATCACATAAGACAATAACAACAATACAAAACTTGCGACTTACCACATCTGTAATTTATAATCGCCCTTAATGTTTCTTGCAAATTACACTCGCGATACGCTCAGAGCTTAAGAGGGGAATTACACACGCTGCTCCGCATTTTATACTTTGAACATTGACGAGCGAAAATTTCAAGTCCATTGATCTTACCGTTTCTGTTAAAAAAAAAAATTCGTAAAAACTGCCCTTGAAAACGCAAACGGCCTGCCGCATGTAATTCCCCCCTTGATCTATTATCGATTTTAAATATCGGTGTTCAACAGTTATAAACACACCTGCCATAGATGTGTTTCGACCACGGCTCCACTTGATTAGGGAATCTGGTCGCGAGATCGCTCAATCCGATCAGCATGTTCGACCGGACACCGGGATACTGCGACCGTTCCAATATCGTGACCAGCAATTGCAGGTTCTGTTCGCAAAACTCCGAACTCACCGTCATCATTTTGCTAAGCGCGAGCGAGCCCGCAGCCTGCAGGTTCTCGTTGTCGTACTTCTCAGGATGCTTACACACATTCAACACCAACGGACTGCGAGGAATTACATATTACATATTACACACACACACACACACACATGTCACGTTTTTTTTTGCTTTTGAGACATTACTTCTCAGCTCTGCGGCGCCAACGCGAATCTTCGTCATTCGTTGCAAAAAGTAAATCGTTACAGTTACAGTTCGCTCATTTCAAAAGAGCAACTCGTTATCTCGTTACTCAGAATAGTTACAATTTCAGTTACTTTTCTTCACAAGTCTTGAAGCTCTCTTTTGTCCTTTTGTCCTACATAAATGTATTTTATACGTACACGAATCTCGCGAGCAAGCCGTTCCCGATGAGAATTTCGTTCTCGAGTGCGTTATTTATGAACTCCGCCTCGGCATCGTCCACCGCCCCTTCCAGAGATTCTTCGCCGTTGTCCTCGTGCGCGACGCTTGCCATACTCGTGTTCTTAGAGACATGTCGCGCGGACTTGTTTTCGGTGAACGACGGGAGGGACATGTCCTTCCTCCTCTGCTTGTTGCCGTTGCTGCCTTGCAGCTCTCGCAGCACATTTCTACGCTTCTGCTCATTGTAGACGAACGTATCCAAGTGCACCATCTCTCTAATGGCAACATGTCCGATTACGTACAGCAGTTGCGTGAGCACGATATACGACACTTTGATGTCCTGAATCTTCTCTTTGTCCACGATCTGACCCTTCTCGCAGATGTCTAGCAGTAACTTCTTCATCAACTCGTGCGGCTGATCTGCCAACTGCAGCAATCGAGAGGAACTCGCTCTTAGCGCGTCGCGCGTTCGTCAGCGTCCCGAAACTTAATTAACCGCTCCTCACTCACGTGATATATCGCATTGATCGCATCCGTCGTGAAAGAGATGTAAGCCTTCTCACTCGTGCTGGGAAAGTTGTCCGTCAACAGTATCAGGATCTCTCGGAACATATCGTGATCATTGGAGTACCTAGAATAGAGAAAAACGTTCTTTTTTTCTCTCTCTTTTTTTTTTTACCATTCATCGAGCAGCAACTCGCTCACCTCAATGGTGCCTTGTCGACGTCCTTGCTGGTCTGCCTTATCTGCAGCAACATCCTGCACGTATCCCGCGCCAAAAGAAGGTCTTCCTTCGCGCGCGCGCCCAGTCCCACCTTTACCAACACCTCCAAATTGTCGATGGCTACGTTAGTCTCCGCTTGACCTATCATAGTTATTATCATTAGCGCCGCTCTGCTGTCGATCTGCGACGTGCCGGAATACTTCAAGGAGAATTTCTCCCACAACATCTGTGCATTCGTGGAGAGATACGGAGAGATTATTCATCGTCCATTCAAACCGACGTGTGCAAAGCTGGGAGCCTTTTCTTCTTCTAATAAGTCGTCGGCGTTATTATCCATTACAAAAAGTAAATCACACAATTACAGTTACCTTAACTCACTTGAACAGAGAGCAACGCGTCATTACCGAAAAAGTTGCAGTTTCAGTTACTTTTTTCACAAATCTTGAAGTTTTTTTTCTTTTCTTCCACATCTATAATATATCCCACCCACATCTTGTTTGCGCGAAGTAACGACAAACGTAACGATTGTATTCGTAATATAGAAGTGTATATAATTGCGTTACCCTTATGAATGAAATAAGATTTAACGTTGACAAGTTGTTGGGAAAAAAGCAACTCGTAGCAGCAACGATGGCCATAAAGTCGCTCACAAATGCTCACTTATCAATCGGATTACCTGCAACAGTTCGCTGTTCAATTCACCGCTCTCGTGCCATGTTGCAACGAGCTGGGCGAGAGCTGGACTCTGTCCAGGCTGCAAGTCCTTCAATAAGCCGATGAGACGATTTGCGCAGGTAACGGCTATCTGACGGTCCGAACGTTTGTCGTTCGCGTCGACATCCAGATAAATCTGCTTGTACACCATGGCGATGTTGTTGCGCACCGATTGATCGCGGTGGAACACCTGGAACAGGGCGTTGCGCACGCACTTGGCCGTTCCGGTTACTCCGAACTGGTAGGCTGTGCCCAAGAACGTGCACGATTCAACGGCGTCACCCGCGCACGTGGAGAACAACAACTTCTCTGCCATGGGTATCGTCTCTTCCAACTCGGTGGCAAAGCGGAGACAATTCTGTGGGGAGAAAGAGATATATGCGTGAACTATGAACAGTTCGAGGCGGTCGTTAATGTCTACCTGTACCTGTACGTCGTATCACAGTGTACCTTCAAATAGTTTACAACATATTTCCGCTTGACCATCTGCTTGACCAGCTCATCTTTCTCCGACTTCTCTACGTCAGTAGCGTTCTCGTCGTTATTCATCGATCTACCCTCCGAATCTATGAAGATCTTCAGCAAAAAGGCGAATAGACACTCCTCCTTCGCCTCGATCGAAAGATTCTCCATGTCCGGCGCTTCCTTCAACTTTGTGCATATCTTCCACAGGTACGTCACCGCCTCGGTGACTTCTCGATTCAACAGCAGCTGTCTCACATGTTCAAATACCTGATCCGGATCGATATTCTCGTCCTCCTCAACGTTCACATCGTCTGGAAAAAGAGATTCAATGCGCTCAAGGATTTCACGGTGTCTCGCGAGAAACGATAGCCACATGAGCGGCGAATGACAATAAACGACACCACCGGACACGAACCATCTGCTTCGTCGTCCTTTAAGACGTTTCCTATCGCAGCTTTTATATCCGGCAACAAAGCGGTCCAGAGTTCAAATCGTTGGGCGTGACCGCGTCCACTGACGCTCGCGACTTGAGTTTTCAACTTCTGCAATTTTGCTCGCTCATTCTCCAACGAACTGGAGAGTTCGGTGCAATTCAGCTGTAATAAAACAAGACGTGACTGTAATAAAATAAAATGAAACAAAACATCAACGTCAAGAGTCAACAGTGCGCAACAAAAAATTGTGCAAAATAAAGCCAAGTTATTAGTTAATCCTGGCGCGTACCTTGCCAGCAAAGGGATTGCTCTGCAACAGGGTGCGCAGCAATTGCAAAGCCTGACGACGAACGTTGGCGCTCTTATCCTCCAGGCGTAGCGCGGTCGCGGCCAGAAGACTTCCGTATCTCGCCAACGGCACCGCTCCTTCGCAGCACAGACGCTGCCAGATCTGCAGCACCTTCGATCTCACGTAAGCATTACAGTCTAGTATGTGTTCCTCGAGGTAGTTCAGGCAGTCGTCGCGCTGTTGCTTTTGCTCTTCCGTGAGATTTTCGCTAGTCAACGCTTTTTGCACGACAGCGCCCAAAGTTGCGATCACGCAGTTTCTCATGGTATAGTGCTACAACCGTTCCGACGTTTCTCAACAAGGCCATTCAACAACAAGAAGTTTAACGAGCAACCAAAAAAATTTTGATGGAGAAGAAAAAAAGAAACTAAATAGCAGACGTACGTCGTTCGACAGGTACTCCATGATTTCGTCAAGGATGGGGATTATGAGATCGGGTTGCGAGATTGCGATATTCTCAAGGAACATGGATATGTTGCGGCTGTCCGACTCGCCCACATCGTTCTGCCTGATCTCGTTCATCATCTCCTTGATCAGACCGTTGCAGTTGCATTTCGTGACCATATGAACCACGCCAGCTGCTATGTGAATCACCAGTGTGTCGTACAGTTTCACCAGCTGCAATTCACGGGTGTGTGTTAATATGTATTATTTCCAAGTGAAACAATCAAGAAATCATGCAAATAATTTATTCAAATATATATGTAAATATATACCTGAATAATTCTCACAACACATGTTATCCCATGATTGTATTTCTTTACTAAAGTTCCCAGAATCTGTGTAGATAAAAATTTAGTATTTGGATGTAAGTGATATTGAAAGAGAATTTATGATGCATAAATGCAAAATCAACAATACCTCAAATATAGTTTCTCTGATGTACTTTTGCTTCGGGTCTTTGGTCCCCTCCAATATCTTGTAGCATACTTGTGCCAAAATCCTGCGCAACATTACAGTCATGAAGTATGTATTTCAGATTTAATTGTTATTACAACTTACGTAACAAAAGAATTCTCGACAATTGGTGGACTCCAGATCTTATACAGTGGAATCTGCAACCACCGATATAGAAGATCCAGAGCTTTAGATCTATTTTTCTCCCATTCCATTTCATCCTTCGTCCTGACATTTTTTTTATTCTATAAGAACAAAACTGGTCTTCTTACATCTCATGTAACTTTATACCATATAAAAACTTTAAAGAACCAGCATACCTTTCCAGTATTACTCTCATTCGCATCTTTCACGATATAATTATTTATATGACAAACAAACCATGAGAATAAATATGCCAGCATTTTGTTAATACACAAATATTCTTCTCTGTTTTCCTCAGTAATATCATTGTCACGATCAAATATTTTTTCCAATTCATCCACAAGTATCTCCACAGCTAAAAGCCCCAAACTTATGTTAAGTAACTGACGTACTCTGATTAATTTAAGTTATATTCATATCGTAAGAAACAATGCTTTCTCCTTTGTGACACATAATAAGTAACGCTTTCAACATGGAACTTCACCTTTGTGAATTCTATTAAAGGAACGTATGCAGACTTCAATCTCCACTTTACTGCCATGGACAACAACAGAGAAGAATGTGTCGAAATGATTTAAAATAAAACGTGCACCTTGTTCTTCTAATGCTGATCGTGTACCTACGCAACATGAATGTAACTGTTACAATACAATCACTCATATTATGTCCAGCAATTTATTGATGTCATTTGTAAATAAAATCTGTGCTACGTTACCATCCAAATTTTGTGATATCATTCGTATAGGAGTTATCTCCTTGACAGAATACTGGTCAGCATGAGATGTCAAGAGTTCATCTTTTATTAAGGGTATTACGAATTTCTTCACCATTTTAACATAAGCACAGAACGGGGTATGCTCACAACAAAATTCGTGTTTATGTATAAAATCCGTTTAATGTTCAAACACACTGCTGCCAATCTATGGGTTTGTTCTTTCCAGCTGAACTCCTTGCATTAGTTCAAAAAGTGTACACTAGGGGCGCGAACACTTAGGCCGGTATTCATAGTCGGATCTTATACTTAAGACCGTCTCAACTTCACCTTCAGATGCTGTACAAATTATTTCATTGGCTACGGAGCATCTGAAGGTGAACTTATGACGGTCTTAAATATGAGACTCGACTATGAATATCGGCCTTAGGGACAGCAGCCAATCACAAGTGGCACTGATAGTCTGTATCACTTTTGAGAGAGAAATAGAAGGACAGATTATGAACGCCACTTCTGATTGGATGCTGCTTTTCTGCGTAGATATGAGGCCGGTTCATTGGCTGCGTTCAGTAGAACAAAATGATCAGTGAGCGCTTAGTGATTATTGTTTGTGATTGGAGCATTCTTTTAGATTCTTCATAGACCCAGAAGTATTTACCAATCAGGAGCGAGAATCACTAATGCCCAGTTCCACAATTTGCTTTAAACGGGGCTTAAAGCTAAACCGATGGTTAAAAGCAATAGTATATGCGCATATACTATTGCTTTTAACCATCGGTTTAGCTTTAAACTCCGTTTAAAGCAAGTTGTGAAACTGGGCCTAAGCGCTCGCTGATCACTTTGTTCTGCTGAACGCAGCCATTGAACTGTAGAACTAAAGCCCGGTGTTTCTTCACACCTCTCCATAGCTATCTTCCAGATAAAGATATCCGTCAGATAACTGAAAATTCGTTTTCTTCATTGAAATTTCTAGTTACGTGTTTAAAGGCTCGTCTACATTAACTGTAAGAGTAAGGCTGTAAGGTTGCAAGACACGATATGAAATATTTTCATTCGCTGACAGCTTACGTTACAGCCTTACAGCCTAAAGCTAAGACTCCATGCATGCGGTGAGCTCCGGCAAACGGCTGCGGTGACCAATCGGGAGACAGACGCATGCCGGAACTTGCCGCAACCGGACTTGCGCCTCCCTCCTGATTGGTCACCGCAGCATTTGCCGCAGTTCACCGCATGTATGGAGTCTTAGCTTTAGCTTTACTCTTACAGCTATTATATAGACGAGCCTTTACAGCTAATGTAGACGAGCCTTAACAGATAGCTATTCTTCATATATTACTAGCTTTAGATGTACAAAATGTACTAGAAATTTACTATAAATCACCACATTCTGCCAGCGACATATTGGCTGTGTTCCAAAATTCACTGCCGGTACTGAAAAAAAATAGACATTTGTGTCACATATATTATAGATTTGGGTGCATTCAGTGCTACAACCGCTCACCGAGCGCTAAGTGAGCTCTTGTATTTAAAGCCAGCGGCACACGATGCTTGTTTTCGTGCTGGATTGCTTGCTGGATGAAAATACTGCGTTCTGATTGGTGCATTTCCATCCATCTTCGGAAAAGTACCAATCAGAACAGAATCCATACAGATCCATACAGAATCAGTATTTTCATCCAGCAAGCAATTCAGCACGAAAACAAGCACAGTTTGCCGTTGGCTTAATTGACGTGTATATTTAAGTGTAAAGGAATATAGCTAATCAAATGTAAAAGCTCACTGAGCGTTCAGGAAGCGGTTGTAGTACTGAATGCACCCAATGTAGATCTGGAAATGTCATCAAATCTTTTTAAGAGGTGAGAGAAACGAAATTTTGTATGTACTATCTATCTTCAATCATACTTTAATCAGGGCAATTACTCTTGAATAATGAATATAGAATTAAAATTTTTTATTATACAATATATTGTTTACGAAAACAATAATCACAAAGCGAAATAAGGTAATACTTTATTTTGTCAATCCTTCTTATGACTATGTGTGAACATTTTGTATATAATATTTAGCATCTATAAAAAAACTCTTCTACTACATTTAACGCACCTCATACCTGTTCTATGTACACTTTATTGCATTTTCTTGTAAGCTTAAACTTTTAGTCACCTATTAGGCTGATATTCGTAGTCGGATCTTATATTTAAGACCGTCTTAAGTTTATCTTCAGATGCTGTACAAATCATTTCGTTGGTTACGGGGTATCTGAAAGTGAACTTAAGGCGGTCTTAAATATAAGACCTGACTATGAATACCGGCCCTAGCATATGATAGACAAGGACGAAGATAGGGTCCGATAACGGCACCAATTTTCCTCTCCTACATATTATCTTGACGCCGACATCGTCGCGCATGCGCGTCTAACTTATCCAACTTTCCATCACTGCGGGAATAGGGCCCCAGTGGCCCCTTTCTGTCGACTGCATTAGGACCTTGGAGACAGTGCAAGCAGTGTGTGACGATTTGAAAATCAATCGATTGGTAACCAGCAAATTTTAAGGTAAGAGTAAGAAAAATTTAAATATAGGCCGGTATTCATAGTCCGATCTTATATTTAAGACCGTCTTGAGTTCATCTTCAGATGCTGTACAAACTATTTCATTGGCTACGGGGTACCTGAAAGTGAACTTAAGACGGTCTTAAATATAAGATCCGACTATGAATACCGGTCATAGAGTATAGCTATAGTCATAAATTTTAAAGACAACTTTATACATCATATATCTTATCGCAACAAGCACAAATCTTTTAACAACGTCCTAAGAATATTCTGAGAATATTCTTACGTTCCAAGAATGTTCTAAGAACATTTCTTGAAAATCCCGTGTTGTCTGGGATTACATAAACAACCAAGAATTTTGTTTTTATTATTGAAGAAACATTTTTTCATCATAATTCGGTCATCTTAATGTCATTATGATTTTCTATTTTGCCCAGACAATAGCGCGATAACAACAGCATATTCCCCGAACACAGTTTAGAGTAAAAGTTTTCAATATCCCCACAGAAACGTATATCGAATCCACGTGGAACGCACGTTGCATTCACGTGGAATCTACAAAACCACCTGGTACCTTTGTAGATTCCACGTGGACACAACATTCCTATTTTCGTGGGAATGGCCGCTCTTAGTATAAACAAAGCAAATATGAATCAAAGAGAAGCAATCAATCTTTTCGTGCTAAGGGATTTTCGTAATAAGGGATTTTCGTGATTTTATTTGACTTACAACTTAATTAGATTACACAGCAAATAGGATACCTACATATCGGGATATGTTTCTTCCGGATGAATATTGCGTCGTAATTAAGCTTTGTGCCGATGTTTCGCAAATATTGCAGCTTGCATCATCCGGATTAGGAGCTGCGATACTGTAAAGGTCATTCTACAATACGTGTCGTAAGTTGTAAGCCGTAAGAATTGGCGAATCACAGTCGATTATTACAAAAATAATCGGCTATAATTGGTCAGTTCTTACGGCTTACAACTTACGACACGTATTGTAGAATGACCTTAAAGCGTGGCCTACAATGGCCGCAAGCAGTAAAGCCAGCGGCACACGGTGCTTGTTTTCGTACTGGATTGCTTGCTGGATGAAAATACTGCGTTCTGATTGGTACATTTCCATCCATCTTCGGAAATGTACCAATCACAATGCAATATTTTCATCCAGCAAGCAATCCAGCACGAAAACAAGCACCGTGTGCCGCTGGCTTTAGAAGAAAACGTGAACAGTAAGAAATGGACCAACTACAGTTGATTATTTTTGTCATAATCGACTGTGATTGGTTTATTTCTTACCGCTTACGCGTACTTCTTAGTGCTTAATGCCATTGTAGACCACGCTTTACAGTATCGAATGATGCAAGCTACAATGAAGTTGCTTTGCGAAACATCGACACAAAGTTGAATTACGACGCGGTATCCATCCGCGGAAGAAACACACACCCTGATTCAATGTATCAATGGCTGCGAAAGTCTAACAATTAGGATACCTACATAATCTATCTTAAATTATTTACTTTTCTGTGTATGTGTAGCATCATCTAGCGATATATGAATGGCATAGGCCGGTATTCATAGTCGGATCTTATATTTAAGACCGTCTCAAATTCATCTTCAGATGCTGTACAAATTATTTCATTGGCTACAAAGTATCTGAAGATGAACTTAAGGCGGTCTTAAATATAAAACCTGACTATGAATACCGGCCTTAGACTTCTATATTATATTATATACACTAGACCGATAACTTGTCTCTCTAACAAATCCCCTAAAAGTATGTATTAAAATTTCATTCGTATGCGCATTGCAAGGTGCCGAAAGGGATGTAACTGCACTGTACTGCACCGTACAGACATTTTTCTCCAGAAAATGTTAATATTTATCCAATATTTAATATTTCCTCTTGCAATGTCACATTCAATAACACATTCAATGTTCACATAAATATTAAATATTGGATAAATATTAACATTTCCTGGAATAAAAACCTGTACGGTGCAGTTACATTCCTTTCGGGATCTTGTAACGCACATGTGCCCACGATTCTATGTTTTATACCAGAGACGCTTTTATACATGAAAACCAATGGAAGTTATCATTCTAGCTTATACATAAAATACGTTTACACGGCAAGGTTAATCCGGATTAGTAACAACCGTAGTTAGTGAATTCTTTGATTCGATTGGTATATTCTTTTAGATCTAAAAATATACTCTAATCGGATTCGAGACTGCACTAACTACGGTAGTTACTAAGTCGAAGTTAGAAGCCGTGTAAACGTAGTCATAGAAGCTGTGGAAGTTCGAGGAGAATGTAATTGCTAATCAATGACTACGTTTACACAGCTTCTAACTTCAGCTTAGTAACTACCGTAGTTAGTGCAGTCTCGAATCCGATTAGAGTATATTTTTAGATCTAAAAGAATATACCAATCGAATCAAAGAATTCACTAACTACGGTTGTTACTAATCCGGATTAACCTTGCCGTGTAAACGTAGTCATTGCTGATAGCATTTCATGCTTTGGGCTGCGTTACAATATTCACTGTTGACCAATAGTCAGCATTGAAAATCTATAGTATATGTGACACAAACTATATGTATCTTCAGTATTGGTAGTGAATATCGGAATGCAGCTCTCGAAAATAATGACGAAAAATAGCGCGAGTGATGACGTAACGCTGCTTTTTGGTGACGTCATTATCACAGTATATGTATAAGTAGGGAACGAACGCGCTGTAGTCATAGTATATTCTATATCCAGTAGCGACATTCTCTGGCTGTGTTCCAAAATTCACTGCCAGTACTGAATATTTAAATAAAAAGGAAGATATATATATATATATATAGGGAGAAAGAGAGCAGAAATTGTAACAGAAAGTTGGTTTTTTTAACTGCGCTACTGAACCAAGTGTAATAAATTAGAGTGAGACATATAATATATTTTCCCTGTAAGAAAGTGAGATAGATTAGATGATAATGCGGCGTATGCGCACTTCATTTTTGGCTACGCAAAATTTGGAGAATGACCCTATTATAGCTCCGTTCCGATACTCACTGTCAGCAGTGAAACTCTATAGTACGTGACACAAATTATATATTTTCAGTACTGGCAGTGAATTTCGGAACGCAGCCTGTATATACTGTGCTATTGACAAAAAGATGGTCTGCACTTTTTAGTTGCACTGCTGAAATGAGTGTAATAAGTTAGAATGAGACATAAATACCGGCCATAAATTTTACATTTAGAAAATTCCGTGAATCCCCTGCACCAAGTGAGTGGCATATCGGAGCATGCATATCGCAATTATTGAGACCCGAAGTCAAGAAATAAAGAAAAAGAATTCCATGCATTTTTTCATTTAATACAGTTTAATTATGTTATGTGTGATATAAATTGAATTAAGTGATATAATTTGTGATAAGTGTGATATAATTTGAATTAAGTTATCGGTAGTACGTATTTTAACATTTTTTCAAGTTTAAATGTTTGAAGTTACACGAAACGTTTATTAACTACGTGTACAATAGAGTGAACGTAAATTAATCCATTAATTGACAACAGAATAATTAGCTCACAAAATAAATGGAAGAAATCAAGAGACGTCGATATTGTTCATTTGAATTACAGTTTACTTACGTTCTGTTCAGATGTTTCCATGCTCCATTTTATCTTCTTCCGGCATATAATGAATAATAAAGATGGAATGATATGATTAGCACAAAAATACTCAAATCGAGCGCATAAACTTTGTTATTTATTAGAAATTAATAGATATAATACATAGTCATAATTATTGAATTTTCTAAATAAATCGTACACTTTGCATCATTTTTGGTTCACTTTATATTTAAAAAATGATGTATATTAATATTTATATTATTTATATTATTTATATTAATATATATATATATTTATAAAAAATTATTTTCAGGTCTTCTCCAACACGTATCAAGTGCATTTATTTAAAAAGAATATTTCTATCATGTATTATACTAAAAATAAAACATCAGGCTTCATCAATACACAGTAAGAAAAACAATCTTGTGATTATGAATACATATAATTAGTTGATTAATTAACATATATTTTTGTTATACTTTTTATAAGAATTGTAATAAAATTGTAAACAGTTTATCGATAAATAATGTTTTATTTAATTTTTGTATGTTTCAAAAAACCAAATTTTCTTCCATTAGTTTATATTTTTACCTAATTAAATAACTTTATCTGGATTTTTAGAGATTATACAGTACATGAGTCAGTACCAAGAATTTTAATACCAAAAGTGGATATTCCAACTAATTTACTTTCTGCAATAAAGAAAGAACATTTGATGCACAAAGTTTCAGAAAATTGTATGAACTATGTAAAATGCATTGAAAGTTTATCTAATGTAAAAACTATAGGACAAAAAGATTATTGGATTATATTCAAGATTTGTTTATACTTAGAGCAGTACCAATCAGATATAGAAATGAAAAATTACAGATTGCAAAATTATAATACTACAAAAGTTACTCCAGATCAATGTCTTGTTATAAAAATATCATCTCTGAATAGTGAGAAACCTTCGATCACATCAGATGACATTGTAATATTTTACGAAGTAGATACAAAAGAAAAATATGAAGGAACAGTTATACGGGTGGTAGGAAATGATGTGAGTGTACGTGTGGAGAATTCTGTGTAAGTTCATTATGATCTTTTAGCTTTTAATAATTACAGATACTTGATATTCATTAGTAGAGGCATTATAAAACAGATTTATATGTATTTACGCCAAATCTATTTTAGGATAAGAAAAATGCAAAAAGACAATAAAAAGTTTAATATAAGCTTCCATGGTAGCTATTGGACATTAAGATGTTGCCATTACGCATTGTCAATAGCAAGAAAATATAACATTGGTGAGATAATATATCCACAACAAACAGCAAACAATTCGTATTTGAAATAGTAAGTTTTACTATTTTATTATCTGGAAACATATTGGTGTTGATTATATTGGAGTTTCATTGTCTTAATTTTTATATATTATTATTACATATTTGTATAATTGTATATATATATTATACAGTAATAGCAATATAGACTGGATAGATACTAATGTATCAAAAAATGAGGAGCAGATGCAAGCAGTAATTAACATTTTACATAAGACAGCGTGTCCTGCGCCTTACATCATTTTTGGCCCACCAGGTACTGGCAAAACGGCAACATTGGTTGAAGCTATATGTCAGGTATGTTGTGTTAATGACTGACGTTTGGTAAAATGAGTGTTATTTCTGTTTGTCTTATATTTTCTCTCAATTATTTGAATGTAACTTAGATTGTGAAGCAAGATCCTACAAAGCACATATTGGTGTGCACGTCATCCAATGCAGCGGCTGATGAAATTACGAGCAGACTGCTCAGACATCTTCCAGCACAAATCATGTATCGAATGTATGCATCATCCAAACGATGGTAAGACACATTTGCTTTTATATATATATACACACACACACACACACATAATTTTATATAAACACTCATGGTATAATCAATATTATACAAGAATTAGAAAGGTTTATACAAAGGTTTAGAAAGGTTTATACATCCTTATGTCTTACGGTTGGTTTGCAATATTGAATATCAACTTACAATGAACATCCGCGAACTATGTGTGTCCGATTACAACGAAACGAAGATAGTACAGTTTTTTATGCCGTACAATTTTTGTTTAAAAATTTTTTCCTATCTGCAATAATTATCGAGATAGCATAAAAGGGATGAAACTTCGAGGGGCAGTTTCACCTCTTAAACCTCAGCGATTATCGATAAAAAAATGTGGGTCTCTTATTTTTGGCTATTCTACAAATATGCAAAGTTTCGTTGAAATCGGACACACAGAGTTCGCGAATGTTCCTTGTTAGTAGTGTAATAGATGGAATATAGAACATACAATATACGAAGAGATCCAAATTCTTGTAAATTAAACAGTCTTTCGTTTTTCTTTTTTTTAATTAGGGAAGATGTAAAACAGGAAATTCGAAAGTGTGCCAATTTTACAAATAGTGTACCTCACACTATTGTGTCCTTGCCAAAAACGATACTAATGTTGAAGAAAATTATTATTTCAACATTAATAACAAGTATCAGGTATATATTCGAGATATTATATTGTTTTCTGAGATACAATCAAATTTTAAGAAATAATAAAATAATTACACAATAAAAACACAATTTAAAAAATTGAGCAATTTGTCCCTAATAAAAAAAAATATAAAACTGAATATACGACTGAATAACGTAAATATGTAGAGATATATTCTAGCTGATCATACTAATAACTATTTTGAGAAAATTGTCACAATACGTTATGCATGATATCTCTTTGTTTACTATAGATTAGCTGTTATCAATTTTGAAAAAAATCATTTTTCTCACATCTTTATTGACGAAGCGGGTCAAGCAAAGGAACCAGAGATACTGATTCCACTCACTTTAGCAAAGAACAATGAAGACTCGTCAATCTATTTCCAAGCGCAAGTCGTTTTGGCAGGCGATCATCACCAATTGGGACCTGTGATCCATAGTAAAATTGTGCAAAATATCCTTGGCAAGTTTCTCCATGGCATGGCATGTGATATAATGTACGTTTCATAATCTTTTAACTATATAATATTTTAGGCATATCCATGCTGGAAAGATTGATGAACGATTGCGAGCTGTACATGAAAAAGGACGGAAAATACAATCCTAACTACGTGACTAAATTAATAAAAAATTACCGAAGCCATGAATGTATTTTACACGTGCCAAACAATCAATTTTATAATAATGAATTAGTATGTTGGGGACAGACCGATACAAGGATAGCACTTGGTTGGAAGAAGTTGCCCAATAAAAAATTTCCCATGATTTTTCAAGAAGTCCTAGGTATAGAAGAAAGAAGTTCAAAAAATAGGTTGATAATTTAAATTAAATCATATAACCTGCGTATTAAATAGCTCAAAACGTAAAATGAAATTGCCTTTCCTCGCGATAGACTTCTATGAAGTGATTTTATTATTTAATTGTACGCAATTATAAAAATGTAATATTTCCAGTGTCTTTAATGCGGCCGAAGTACATGCGGTATTGGGGTATGTACATATGTTAATGAACGCTAAATTCGAAAATTATACAATAAGCGAAAAGGACATCGGAATTGTAACGCCCTTCAAAAAGCAGCAACTGGATATTATGCATCGTTTAGCAGCAAGGGGCTGGAAGAATGTAACTGTGGGAACGGTTGAAACGTTTCAGGGACAAGAGCGAACTGTGATGATACTAACAACCGTACGATCCAAAATTTTCACACACAATGGCGAGGAGCACATCGGATTCTTATCAAATCCAAAGGTATGTTGCATTATGGCTCGTTACAAAGTACACACTGAATATATTTTTCAATTATATATTTTTCAATATAAGTCACATTTGATATTATCAAAACCGTTTACATGTTTGTTTCTTCTTCATGGCGTTTCTCTAATTGCGTTAAATTTTAATGTGCATTGCCACATATATAAATGTACTAATACAAACGCGCGCGCATCTGTATGTAAGGCCGATTTTTAATTCTTGATTTTATTATTTTTCCTTTTAGAGGTTCAATGTCGCCGTGACACGCGCTAAGGCTCTTCTGATAATAGTGGGAAACCCGGAAGTTATCTGTAAAGGTGAACACTGGATGGCACTATGGAAATATTGCGAGAAACATAATGCATGTGTGCAGTTCGATCGATGCCCGTTAAGATCGCAAATAATAGCAAAATTTAAGAAACTATATAAAAATCAAGTAAAAGACATTAGCACCGCGACTGTAATAACGAAGCCGATGTAATAACGAAGTTTCCATCTCTGACTGACGTTGTGACTGTGATATGATGGAAACCGAAATAATAAAATAATACCGAACATAATATGATATGTATATCGTTAAATAATGTATTAATGTGCCACATGAAGAAACCAACAGAGTAATTAACAGAGTAATAACGGATTTGGAATGATATTCGTAATCCGTTTATATAAATGTTTACATAATATTATCAAATAATTAATCTACCTCATAGTTGCATGGAAAACATTATTTACATTTAAAGGACAGAGAGTATTTGACTTTTCGCTGCGGTCGTCTCAGTTCGGCGAAGTCAGAAGTGAAAAAATAACTCAAAATTCTTACGCGATACTTCGAAATATAAAAATATGTCCACATAAGGTAATATTTGTGAAATACGTCGAAACATTTCACTTAGCTTCTCAGTGATAAAACGTATGATAAAGTCGCAGTTAGATAATTAATTAAAAGGTTTGTTTTCTTACGTTTTGTTTGTTTTTGTTTGTTCTGTTTCTGACTTCATCAATTAAGGTGGCCGTGGCGAGGAAGCAGGAGCTCTAAGACACAAAATTTGTTTCCGTGACAAAGACTTAAAGATCAGTTTTATGATCTTTGGCTACAGAATCTATTTTTCTAATTATTACATAACTGTAAGGCTCATGGTCTTTCGCCGCGAAATTCTTAATCGATGACGCAGAAGCGAGAAAACGCATGCCCAAATGCATGCCAAATGCATGTCATTTTCAAATAAAAAGATATTTGTATAGAAAAATATTTCAGATCGCTCGCTAGAATATACACGGCTCAAAAGAATTATGGCATAGATAATTTATTGCCGAAAATTGGCCAACTTTGACTGGCGATTACTTCGCGAAAAATTATCGTAGACTAATGATTTTCTTTTTTCAAAATGAAGCTTGAAGTCTCTACTTTATAAAAATGTATCTCGATTTTTTGCACGCGATACACCAATACCCCTGTAACCCCTGACATCTGAGGACATGTTTGGTATACTGAAAATTGCAAAATTTGACGGAATGCACGGACGTGTTTATAATATTTTTCCGGGGACGCCGTTTGCATCGTCATAAAGTTCAAATCTTCCCCTTCAATTTGAAAAAAAAAAAAAAATGAAATCGCTACAATTTTTTCTCGCAAAGTTACAGCCCTTCAAAAATATCGTTGTTTTTGACCTTCGGGCCAAGTGACCGCCGGCCGGCGGATTAATAAATGGCTGGAAATCATAGTGGAGCAACGGCAAAAGTGTTTGCTGACATACGCACGCAAGCCACGCGCGCATGTTTTTCAGCTCCTGACTCGGGTTTTGACCACAGTCAACATTCCTAGCATCGACAAACAAACTCTCTCCGTATTCTCCACGGCTCCATATGATTTCTGTTTCTTGCTCTACAATTTTTCTTGCTGTCACTGCTTTTTCTCTGCTTTCTTGCTTTTCATGACAATGCGACCACTGAGTCAAATTCAGCATGGGCAAAAATCATTGCGCTTATGGGCGAAGGTCTCTCGCAATCTTATTTATCCCAAGGCGTCTTAGGCAAGACGCCTTGGGATAAACCAAATCAGGGGTTTCTCGCATTTGGTCGCGTTACCGAGAAAGTGGACATTTACATTATTTTTGAAGGGCTGTAACTTTGTGAAAAGAAATTGTAGCGATTCCATTTTCTTTTTTTTTTTTCAAATTGAAGGGAAAGATTTGAACTTTATGACGATGCAAACGGCGTCCCCGGAAAAAAATTGTCCACGTCCGTGCATTCCGTCAAGTTTTGCAATTTTCAGTATACCAAACATGCCCTCAGATGTCAGGGGTTACAGGGGTAGGGGTGTATCGCATGCAAAAAATGGAGATACATTTTTATAAAGTAGAGACTTCAAGCTTCATTTTGAAAAAAAAAAAAAAATCATTAGTCTACAATAATTTTTCGCGAAGTCGCGAATCACCAGTCGAAGTTGGCCAATTTTCGGCAATAAATTATCTATGCTATAATTCTTTTGAGCAGTGTACTTGTAAGATATTTTGAATATTATGCTGCTTCCTTATAGGACAGTCGTAAAATGATTGTAATATAAAGTTACATAACTAAGCTATATATAGATATATATAACTGTATATATATATATATAACTATAACTAGTTAAAATATGGAATGATTATGCATGAATCAGGCCTGATATTAAGCATTTTACGATTGTTTATTAACTTTCAAGGAACACAATGTCTGGAACATTTTATTTATTTATTTAAGTATGTTTTAATGATCTGAAATATTCTTTCATATATTCAAGTATCTTTTTATTTGCAAGAACTTCTAGCGCATGATTTTTCACCTCCATTATTCAATATTGCTGTGATGACCATTCAAAAGTTTTACTATATATTGTGCTTTAATATGTACAACTAGGGAATTGTAACATATAATTCATATGAGACTTAAAAATAAGAGGTTTAAAACTTATAACTTATAGTATAGCTCTTTAATTACACAAGATATTTATTCCTTTTTGTTCATGTTTCTAAGTTATGATTTACTTTTTACATTGTGTTTTATCAACTTATCGTAATTTATTGTAATTTTATTCTATAATTTTTACTATAATCTGATCTCACTATCTGCAATTTGTAACGTGATTGATAAGAACAAAGTGCAAAATTGTTGCCTTCAGTAATGCTTTAAAAATCAGCGCGGTCAAGTATGTCAGTTTGTCCAAATAAAACAACAAATAAAACTACTCTTATAGAAAACTATTTATTTTCGCACAATTCAAAGACGTGTGTCGTTTATTCAATGTATATTACGTTAATTATTATCTCACCTAGAAAGTCTCATTACTCCAGTAGCAACTTAGCTTCGTTTCCGTTAACCTTCTTATTGTTACCGTGCTGAACCGCGAACTCGTATTTCAGACTGGCGAACAGGATGTCCGTGAGGAGAAAGATTTGCGCTATAGCGAATGCTAGCGTTACACCGAAGTAAAAGTTTGCGTTCGCCGATCTGGAATAAATCCATTGATGCCATACAGTCGGAGCGAAGACCGTGCAGAACAGCACGAAACAGCCTACGATAAATCCTTGTTGCATATCTATGATTAAAACAGATTACAAGTCAAAATCAGTCTGCAGTGCTGAGCTGTAAGAATGCTTTCATTCAAATCATCTTCACTCACGTTGAAACAAATGCTTCCAAAGCGGCAACAGAGATATATAAAAGCCGACATCTCCGATACACGGGTAGGATTTGAATATGGCAGCTATCGCTAGATACGAGAATGCTAGCAACATTGGATCGCGTCGCAATCGCAGCGCTAAAGGGACTATGTACAATAAACTGACGTTTATCTGGAATGACGCGATGAAGAGCCATCTGAAATGCTCGAACATCTCCGTGAAGAAATACCAGTACAATCCGATGTTCGGGCGTAGGTCAGGCACAGTCAGAATGAATCCAATAGTGCTCCACAGGAATGACCAACTTCCCATGATGTAGTAAGAAACGGCGAACAGCACTGCCAAGATGCTCATGAACGCGACCAGCATTATGATGATGCTAATTTTCTTGGTCTTATCACTTGCTGCATTGGCGACGTAGATAGCTGCTGGCACCATCAGCGATATGGGATAGAGTTCTTGCAGTGTCAACAGTGCTATTGACATGCAACTCCACAGTATGGAATGCCTTGTCATGGACAACAGTGCAATCGAATAGAGCAGATTGGTGAAGACTGTAGTTGTAAGGCCGACACAGTTGAGTATTATGTAAGGATTAAATAGGTAGCCTGCAGAGACATACAAGACTGATACACTGGAGGTACCTTTGTCAAGCTTATCTTCATCTTGTACTTTTTCTTCTTTTCTCCTTGTTGCCTATAATATAAAGATGTATTATTTTAATGAATGACTGTGATTAACCATTGTGATCAAATAAAACACTTAGATTAAATCTAAATGTCTAGTCTTTGTGTGTTCAATTGAATATACTCCGTTTAAAACTAACCAGCTCGATTGCGTAGTGCTTTGCGGTAATTGCAAGGCACAAGGCTGTTATCAAGTCAGTAGCGATAAACAGCAGAAAAAGTACCCACTGAGGTAAATATTTCTGCATAAGATTAAAGACATATAAGCCAATAGGAGTCTCATGAAACAGATCACCTTCGTAGGGGTCAATGCCAAAATTATACAAATAAACCCCTTCAGTTACTGAAAATTAAATGCATGAAATTATAATTACTAACGCAAAAAATTTTTTTGTTTTTGATCAATTAATCTGTTTATTAGACTAATTAATTCCTCATCTTTATATAACTTTGTAACTGGAAGAAAGTTTCAATTTTCCCTAACTGACTGAACAAATCAAAGCTGAGATAAACCAAACCCAACTGACCTCTCTTCCAAGAGTTCAAAGCAGTCGACACTTCGACGCGGTTGCTGATGATTTTTTGGTAGCCGGAATTCATCAGCAGCCATCTGATAGTGGCAGCCAGTGCGAAATTCGACAACCACTTCCTCGACATTTTATCTATCGCGGCTTTACACTACAACCGACTCATTTGTTCACTCGGCATATAACCTACAAATGAAATGGCACCGGCTTTTCGATAAACATGTTTCCTCAGGAGATGCGACCGGTTCACTGTTATCAATAAATTGATATTTTGCGGATAACCACTCCCACTTCACACTAATTCTCACTTGTGTCCATATGAGAACGGCATTGATTCGAAACCGCGATATTTCGAGGGATGATCAGACCGTTGGCCGAAAGACACCGTCAACATCGTCGATATTATTCGTCTCGAGGACGCTGCTGACACTTGCTCCGTGATGCAAAACACAAATACAATCAAAATATCGGAACGTACTCACAATATTTTTACGATTTTACTTTCGTACTGTAAAAAATATGAAAAGATATATTTATTGCCATATTTTCGCTATTGCCAATAACAAACATTTTAATGCCACTTGTGAATATCAATAATGCCGACTTCCGTTTAAAATCACATACATGAATATGAATTTCGATGAAATGTGAAAATGACAAAATCTTTTAATCAACGATGAAATTTTTCCCAGGAAAAAAAATTCAATACGTTCAGTACAATATTAATTTATAATAAAAATCATGTCAAATCGGCAAAAAATGTGGAACGCTTCACGATTTTGCGTGTCATCCTTGCGCAGGGGCCATGCTAATCTTCTCTGTATCGTTCCAATTTTAGTATATGTACTGCCGAAGCAAGTACGTTAGTACGGTTGAAAGAAATTCCTTATATACCGGATAGTACATTCAAATATACTATCGAGAAACTTGATTTTCCTTAGGAAGAGCCATCTAGTGATAAATCCGTGTATTGTCGTTACATCATAACCTCACATTTAACCTAGCCTTAAAAACAAACATGACTTATCGGCCACTGTGACATTAACAAATAAAAGTCTGAATTAATTATAATTTAATAGTTGACTCGTTTAACCAAAGATACCGGTTTTACGGTGAGAAATAATATTGTATCTTAAGTAACAATTTACCCGATCTTGTACATTTTTATTTTATATCTTAGTATGTAATAGCCGTTAGAAGTTTATTTTTTAATAAATCTTTATATCATATTATTTATTCAAATTCTCTCTGTCCTACTGATTGATTAATATCAAAGCGAACTGTTTGTTCCATATCAACTAATATTTTGTAATTTTTCATGTACAGATTGATCGGGAGCTATGCGATTAGCAGGCTGGAGATATGGCGTATTTGTTGGAAGTTTTGTAGGTCTCATAGGTTTACATTGTTATATCTCCATGATAAGACCTATGCTGAATCCTGAACCATACAGTATTTGTCAAAAAAATTATCAAATACTCAATTCAAACATATATTTTTATTCGCTTATAATTAATATTTTTCAGAAAAGATCAGAGAAGTGGCTTTCAAAGATAGACCTGTATAAATTATCCCATCAAATTAAACTGGAGAGCTGGCTATGAGACAGAGTCTAGGGTTAGTTGCATACATGCCTCTGCATCACAAATATTCTATAGTAAATAGGTATAAGAAAAAAAATTACACCGACTGTTGTACAAAATGTCTATTAATGTTCTTTGCAATTAAATGGTTAATTTTGAAAAGTACATCAGTCATAAAAAGTTTTATAGTTTGCATAGATTGTAATTTATACATAGAACATAGTTATAAGCATATTTTTTTTACAGCACAATATCATACTTTCTGTCACAAAATAATTTATATACTTTCTACTGCAAACAGTGAGTGATTGACTGCTCGAGCAATTATCACGTAGAAGAAATTTCGTTCGTTAATCGACTAGAAATTTCATTGCTAGTATACAATCTTGTAATTATGCACTATATAACACATTTATTGTACACATACGAAACATAGGCCTTGTGTTAAAAATCATTATCGTCGCAGAGATCCAGAAAGACATCAAATGCTTGTCGATTGCAATTGCCTTCTGCAGTGAATATATACTTATGGAACGTTCCATCCATGCATACAGCTGCAATTACAAAATGACAGGATGCGATATCTGCATCGCGAGTATTTTTCAAACGACATAAATACCTATCACAGAATTACGTGCGCCAAACGCACAAACACACGCGCATTCGGGTGGTACTGTGAAAGTAGCCAATGCCCATTGACTCTCAATGTAGTTACCTAGAAAGCCCATCTTTGAGAAACTGAAAATGAAAAGAAATAGTTTATACAGTACATGTTTATCTATTTGGAGAATTTATATTTACGTACGTGGATCGTCGATTTAAACGAGTGTCTTTCAGGGCGAATATGTGTACTGTTCCTTTGTCACTAGAGACACATAAAAATTCCGAATCCCTGCTGAATGTTATGCTGAAAGAGACGTAGCAAGATTAGCGCTATCAAAACAGAAAGATATCAGTAATAAATCAGTAATAATTACAGTTGGTGACAATAAATTACTAATTATTATAATAATGTAAATGGCACAGTCGGTGGAACAAAGATGGCAATACTGTTTCCTTGATGATTTTCAGGATATGTTTGATATCCGATATAAAAATTCATACTTCGAGAATTGTTAAAACCGATGAAAATTTTGAAATTGTTTAAAGAATTGAAAATTATCAAGAAACATCTTTTTGATATCAGGTGTGTTCTGAAATTCATTGAGATAAAAGTTTTACAACTTCTACTAACTGCACATTATGATACATTATAATACAAACAGTAATAACAGAGAACATTATTTACATTGCCTGATTTCATATTACCAATAAAGTGTAGCGGGATCGGCACCACGTCTCAATTCGATCAACAGATGCCTTCGTATAGAGTCCCATACTCTGACTAGGGTTCCTTGAGCAGAAGCAGTAGCAACCATGGTGCCATTCCCGTTAACCGCCAGACAGGCCAATGCACCCTGTTGTCATGAGAAAAAATATAAAGTAATTTATTATTTGTTAATTACAAAATAAATACCTGATGTGCTGCAAGAGTTACGGGAGCGCTCGAACTTCCAGCCTCAGTAGCACCAAGATCCAACAGCTGCACACTACCAAGTTTATGACCAGGAAAAGCCAGTAACTGCTTCTGTGCTGACACAAGAGTTGCTAATTCTACCAAACCTTTTGGATTGTCCCGCGTTTCCAATGTCAATAACCGCCGGGTAGGTGTGGGAAACGAAAAGACATGGATCTCTCGTTGAAGCGCCACTACCATTCTATAACAAAAAATTATATTTATATAACGAAACAATGCATTTCATATATATATATATATATATATATGTAATATATACATGTACATATGTACGTTTATAGTGTGTGTGTGTGTATGTGTGTGTGTGTGTGTGTACTACATAATGTATATATTATGTATCTATATAACATTCACATTTATGAGGATAAAACTACAGACTTTTAACTAACAACTTACTTGTCTCTTCTCAATCTAACTGCTTTGATGGGACTGGTAAAAGTAACTTCCATAACAAACTTCTTTGACAGATCATCATATATCAATACTGTATTATCGGCGAATTTAGCACGTGTTCCACCACCAACTACTGCAATCACGTTTGTTCTCCAGAGCATTTCAGCTATGACGATGCTTCCCATCAAGTCATTCTCGAAATGCGCCTTTTCAACCAGAGGTTCGACATTGTAGATTCTTAATCCAGACTCCATGCAACACATGAAACATCCTGCAAAAGTGGATTAATGAAATAATGTCAATGACATTATATATTAGTTTAGATTTTCTCTAGATAAAATCGAAGTTCACACCTTGATCCTGGTTAAACCTCAAATTGTGAATGCCTCTCATAGCAGTCATTGCGATTCACAGTGCTTTGTTCTTAATGTTATCAATATATGTTTCTGTTTAGACAGACGTGAGACATCGTCTGTAACAATAGTGAAAGATAAACAAAAAACAAACATTACAATTTTCCCGTGAAAATTCAAGTATCTTCTAACAACAAATTCAACTAAAGCTATGAAGCAAAATCCCATTTTGCACAGAGAGAATAGTTAACAGTTAAAAGATAATGTGTATGTATTATGATAAAAATCAATCTTTAACATTATTGTCAACAAAGTCGAAAGGAGAAAAGTAGGTGTTATTCAGAATGTTATTAACAACCAATTTAAAATTTATGTGAAAAATCACTTCTTTAACTAGTATAAACATTGAACCTCCACATGTTTATTATTTATAGTCAACAAGTGCTTATAATAGCACACACGATATCATACCTCCGCGCGCAGTATGTATTGTATTATTATAAATGGCTCATATCTTGAGTCTCTCTCTCTCTCTCTCTCTCTCTCTCTCTCTCTTTCTCTCTCTCTCTCTCTCTCTCTTTCCCTCTCTCTCACTCTCTCTCTCTCTCTCTCTCTCTCTCTCTCTCTCTCTCTGTCAATTCTGGCTCCGTGTCTCCGAGGTGGATACTTAAGGTGCGATCGACTAGACGCTGAAAATAATTTGAAGCGCCTAAGGGAAGCTGTGATTGGTCCGTAGGGCACTTCGAAGCGTTTGCAGCGTATAATGGATCGTGTCCTTAAGCTGCGTTCTAATATTCACTGCCAGCACTGAAAATCTATAATATTCGTGACACAAACTATGTATTTTCAGTACTAGCAGTGAATCTTGGAACACAGCCATACACTACGTTTACACAGCCTCTAACTACTTGCTGTGTAAACGTAGTTATAGACATAGACTACGTTTGCACGGCTTCTAACTTCGGCTTAGTAACTACCGTAGTTAGTGCAGTCTCGAATCCGATTAGAGTATATTTTTAGATCTAAAAGAATATACCAATCGAATCAAAGAATTCACTAACTACGGTTGTTACTAATCCGGTTTAAAGCCAGCGGCACACGGTGCTTGTTTTCGTGCTGGATTGCTTGCTGGATGAAAATATTGCGTTGTGATTGGTATATTTCCGAAGATGGATGGAAATGCACCAATCAAAACGCGGTATTTTTATCCAGCAACCAATCCAGCACGAAAACAAGCACCGTGTGCTGCTGGCTTTAACTTTGCCATGTAAAGGTAGTCATATAGAGAAAATGCGAACAGCGAATGTGAATATTTAGGCCGTGTTCCAAAATTCACTGCCAGTAAATATCTGAGATATACCTGCCTGAAAATATATAGTTTATGTCGCTCAAACTATAAAGGCTCGTCTACAATAGCTGTAAGAGTAAGGCTGTAAGGCTGTAACGTAAGCTGTCAGCGAATGAAAATATTTCATTTCGTGTCTTGCAACCTTACAGCCTTATTCTTACAGCTAATGTAGACGAGCCTTAAATTTTCAGGGCTGGCAGTGAATTTTGGAACTCTTTGGCTCGCTTTATCCTGATTGGCTAAGCTCCAATCTTGAATGGCTGCGTTCAGCAAAACAAAGTGATCAGTGAGCGCTTAGTGATTCTCGCTCCTGATTGGTAAATACTTTTGGGTCTATGAAGAATCTAAAAGAATACTCCAATCGCAGACAATAATCACTAAGCGCTCACTGATCATTTCGTTCTACTGAACGCAGCCAATCTCGCAGTATGAACGAGCTTGACGTTTTACCTGACGTCATCTGTCAATTGTGTTTCCAACATTTTGTCAGTGGCTGACAGATGACTCGTCATTCGATTTAGCCTGTAAATAATCGTTTTCGTTCGCGTGTGTGTTACATTTAATGCTCGAGCGCACACGTAGACGATTTAACATTGGCTCAGGTGGAAATGTCATTTCTTACGAATACTTGAACGTGTTAATGTCATGGCGAGTTCCGTCAACGAAATAAAGGAGTCATTCTCTGTGAGCGGTAAAGGAGGTAACCTTTGTTTCCTAATTTTTGAATCAAATTACGCTGGTAATTGCTTGATTAGCTGCAATAAATGTTAACAGCGAACTGTGTCATAAAAGTTTCCGAAAGAAATTAACAGTCACAAGTCACATTGTACGAAATATGTGTTGCACAGTTAATAACTTTCCTTGTTCATATTTGCTCAGTCGTAGGTTGCGTGGCTGCGAAGGTATCGATATCCTATGAAGATATAGCCACAAAGCTTCTCGATGAGAAGCTTCTCTTAACGGCTTTGGAATTGCACGCTGAACTATGCGAAGTTGGCAAGGAATTACCAATCCTCAGAGAATTTTTCTCAAATCCGAGCAACTTTGAAAATTCCAGTATCAAGCCAGAACCATATACATCCATGCGTATGTGTTTTATTAATTAAGATCTTAAGTAGATCTTATAGAAATTTCAGTTAATTTTAATATCTTAGAATCTAACAACTTTAATAAATTTTCTATGTATTGAGATCCACTTCTTTTTTTATTAATATGTTTTAAAGTAAACAACTTGATTGAAATCTAGAATATATGTCAATGATAAATTTATATAGAAAGTTTAATTTTATCTTTAGTTGTATCAAAATTTGTTAGCTACAATACTAGGAACAATAATATAATTATGAAATTTAAATATTAGCAAATATTGGATTTTCATAATTTATTAATTATCATTCAACTATAAAAAATACATATTACTGCTATAAGTGAAACATTATTACATATCAGCCAGGTCTTCTAGTCAGGCAACCTTGGACTCTTTGGATATGACTCGATACTCAGAAGATGGAGGTGGTGTTGATGAAAGAGTAGCTATTCTTGAATTTGAATTGCGCAAAGCTAGAGAAAATATATCTGCATTGCGTGCTAATCTAACTGTGGTAACAGGTATGTTGAAACATCTTTATGTATTGGTTCATAATGTATTTTTCATTAATACTCTATAATTAATAATGTCTTGTGGAGTTAGAAGGTATACTAAAGGCACCTGACAAGAGTTCTGAAAAGAATTTAACCACTGAACTTCCCATCAAACCACATGAGCAACGAGCATTGAATTTTCTCATCAATGAGTACTTGCTAGCGAGATCTTATAAACTCACTTCGATTACCTTCAGTGATGAGGACGAAGATCAGGATTTCGAGGATTGGCAAGATGTGGGATTAAATATCCCTAAGCCTGCAGAATTATTACAGATATATAGGGAATACATGAGAGTCAATGGACACGATAAACCACCATCTGTAAGCGTTGCTGTACAAACGGACTTTGTTGCTGATGAAATTGAGGAACAAAAAAATGAATATCAGGAAATGGTTTGTCCTACAGAATGTTTTCGTCCTATAGAATTATCAATACGCTGGTGATGTCTAAGTTTTAGATTCCTTAAAATGGAGTCCAAAATTTTATATTCTTTATAGGCAACACAGATCGAAAGATTAGAACAGCAAATGGCAGCATTGGAACAAGAGAAAGCTGCTCTTCAGGAAGTAATATCGTCATCCAATGAAAATATAATAGAAAATCCAGCTAAGGTATGTTAAATAGCATCTTGGTACCTTAAAATATGTTTATAATTGATAACAGTTTGAAAGTAAATCTAAGGAAATAGGATAAAAATTATTTTTTGTTAGTTAAATTATAATAATCTCATCACTCTAAATGAATTATAAAGGATAATGAAAAATTATCTTATTTACAGTCTGGTAGCTGTGGAACTATTCGTACTATCAATTCCAGTTCCACAACCCCTGACAAGTTTGAAATGTTAGAAGCATTACCGAGAGACACCGCTACTCAAGAACCAGAAGAAGATGACAGTGCATCTGCGGTTGTTAGTTTGGACGAAACAGACCCGGGAGACAAAGAGTGGACTAGGCTGCAGTTACCCAGAGTAAATATTATAGAGCGGTCCTCTAGAGAGGTTCTATCAACCACATCCTCCAGGTTATATATATTATTATACATATTTACGTATTATCGAGATATCTCATCGACGTAGTAAGACTTAAATCAAGGATTAACAAATGCACGGAATAAGAAAGTGTAAATATAATATAAGATAATATATAAATAAGACAAAAAACTGGTAGTATACTTTGCAAAGGAGTAAGATAGTGATTACACACACACACACACACACATACACACACACACACACACACACACACACACACACACACACACATATATATATATTTATATGTATACAAAAAAGCTACAATTATAAAATTGCCAAATTTCTCAGATCATCCAATTTCATTTGTACGTGTATTCGTAAACGTTGTAGAGATTTACCAGCCAAGTTCAAATTAGAAGTAGCGGCGCATTGCTTGGCGAATATTTCGGGATCAGTGATGCCGTCGATAGAAGAATCGTTGAAGTGCGGAGTTACTCGGGACACGTTGGTCGAGATTGTAACGTGCACCTTGCCGCGAATTGTGCCTAATATCATCCTTAACAAGCGCGAGGAGATCATACCTTTGGTCCTTAGCGCGATCCACTTGCATCCGAATTCCAGCGAGAGGGAGAAGTTGCTGCAGCTGCTGTTCAACTTGAAGAAGAGACCGCAGGAGGACGAGCGGCAAATGATATTGGCTGGTTAGTGCACTCAATATACGTGCAGGTTAATTATGTAGTAGTTATATATTATACAACATAATATTAATTCTTTAGATCTAAGAAGAAGAAACGTTTGTGTATATACTGCATATTTATAATGTGAAGAAATTATTTTAAATAGGATCACTTCATTTTTTTTATTTTTTGGCATTTTTAGGCTTAATCGTGATGGTGAAGCTGGCGGAGGAGCCGCTGGAAAGCGAGGAAATCCTGACGATCTGTTGGGAACAGAGCCAAAACAAATATCCAGAACGGAGATTATTAGCCGTTGAATGTTGCTCCGTACTCGCGTCATACACGTCGGCTTCCATCAGGAATTCGCTGATGCTATCCATGCTGCAGCAGATGTTATTGGAAGACAAGGATCCCGTTGTTCGGACTAGTGTAGTGAGAAGTCTTGCGCTGCTCATAGCTCTAATGGACGACCCTGACAAATATTTTCAAGTAAATTTAACGATTATTTCACCATCTTACATAATTACACAGACGATTTTTTTGCGGCTCTTGTAATTGCGATTGTATTGTACAATGTATCCTTTCAAATCCACACACACACACACACACACACACACGCGTGTACGTATGTCATCGCAGTGCGAAGAACTGGCGTTAACGGCGCTTCATGACACATCGTCGATGGTTGTCGAGACGGCATCGTCGGTGTTGTTGCCGGTATTGGCGCAATGGGCGTTATCCTTGAAAAGGCTACATCTGAATCTGTTGCCGCGCATAATCCTGAAAGTGAAGAACCAACTGAGACAGACGCATTCGCAAAGTTCAACGAACAAAGACTATATCGACGAGGAGAAACTAGTGCCGTCGGTGGGTATCCTGCAGTGCATCTTGCCGTATATGGTCCTGTGCGTCGCTGATACCGACGCTGTGCGATCCCGCATCGAGGACGGAACGTCGTCGAACTTGCGTGAGTTATTAGAGTAATTGAATTGTAATGTAAATTGTAAAGTGGCAGGGTGAAATTAGTGAATTGTTTGATCGACATTCGCGCTTTGGGATGATGATTTTTGCAGTGAAAAATTTTATCAAGTGGGTTACAAAACTGGATGAGTTCGACATAATTAATTATGAGACATAATTAATTGTGAGAGGAAACGAATGTCGAATTGATTCGAAGATCTTTCTTTTCAAATTCGCATTTTTAAATTATCTGAGAATTGTAAGATTAAAAGTCGGACAAACAAAATCGGATAGAAGAAGTCGTGAAGTAATTCCAAGGATTGTAAAAGATGTCAGAATTTTGAAATCCACGACAACGTACCGAATTTAAAATAAGATTTAAGAATAGGAGTTTATAAAGATTGCAGGAGTTTCGAAGACTCGAGAAAGCTTGGAGTCGAGAATATTGCATTAGATTTTGCACGAAGCTTATAAGCTCGCACAAAAACAAAAACACAAAAGTTTTCTAGAAAACTTTGTGGTGCAGCCGAGGAATTTCTGGAGTTGTGTCACTCCAACATCGTCGACCCGAGGGTATTCTACGAGGGTCCGGTCAATGTCGGCATTCTCCTGAACACATTTTTCTCCAAATCCTGGGAGGATATGTCCTGGCCGGAGTTAGAGTGGTTTACAACAAAATTGTAATTATGTCATTCTTTACTAGTTACTAGTAACGATGTATCTCGTCGATGTAAGTTCGTCTCGTGAGCACATTTTTGGCGCCATAATTATGCAGTGAACACCGCGCTGCAGTGATCACAAACGAAAATCACGATCACAGTCCACAGTCAAAATTGAGTGTCTCCGGATGACTTTGGCCGCTCTGAAATTTCAAGCGATTACTTTCGGAATGTATGTTTCTCTTTTGCAGTGTTTTCGACGTCTTGGAAATGGTGAAATCCGTGGACGCGGCACACGAGAACGTTTTAAAGACGCTTCTTACGTACATTTACTCGTTGTGCATAGGCTTTGGCAAATATATTACGCGATCTAAGGTAAATATATGATTCTACAACATTAAACATATTCGTTGGATCATGTCTATGATGTCTAGATTGTTTGATTTCATTCATCGTTATGTTCAGAGCTTTCTTGTTCTGTACTTTCAAAGACTCTTAGATTTCGAAATATTTGGTTTCGAATTTTTATTCGAATTTTATTCGAATCTATTCTTTTATTCGACTTTTATTTCGAGTTCTTATTTATATATAAGTAATAATTAGGAGACTTTTATAAATATTATTTCTCCCAGATACAAGCGGCGTTTTTCCCGGAAGTGTCAGAGCTTGAGCAGCAGTTGACAGCGTTATCGGTAGACAAGAAGAGCATGAGTTTCACATTGATCCCGAGTTACTTGGTGATTCTGAGCACTCTCGATCCCGCGGAGCTGATCAATTATTTCAAACAGTTCCTTGTGATCTTGTCCATAAGCGGTACCAATATATCCTGGCTGCACGTCGCCGCCTGTGAGGAGCACGTGCTTGTTGGTTTATGGGATGGTTTGTGCGATATTTTTTCATTTTTTCGTTATCAATATTGTCATCAGTGATCTGTAGCAAGATTTGTAGTGAAATCGCAGTAGATTTGCAGAATGATTTTTGTATAAAAGTTGGAAAGTAACAACTCGACGTAAAAAGTACATATATATATATATATATATATATAGAATAGGAAGTATATATAATAAGACCATGAAACATTCCTTGAGATATAAAAATTAAGATAACAATTCGTATCGATAAATCCACTTTCTGTTTAAATTTTTATCGTACTTATATTTTCTTCAGGATGTGACACATACTTTCGGAATTACGCCGAAATAGCAAACCCCTCATACGTGTTCTCATTTCGTATTTCTACTCACAGGTGTGGTGCACCCGCGATCCAGCGTGAGATCCGCGACGGCGGCGTTATTCGGCTCCATCGTAGCTCATGTCTCGGATCGACTCGCGAGCACGAGGGTTGTACCAGCCATTGTGACATTAGCCAGCGATCTCGAAGTGTGAGAGAATCTTCTCTACTCATATGCATGCATATGTATCTAATATATCACTCCCCCACGTACGACTTTTTCAAAAATTACAATCACTCCGATATCGTTAAGTATTCACAAACAACGAGCCGGGGCGGGGGGGGGGGTTCCGCCGCCGCCGCCGCCGCCGCCGCGCCGTCGCCGTCGCCTTCCCTCCCATCCCCCCGTCTGTCTACCGTCTGAGATATTATTTCTCTCGACATCGATTCATTCTCCGTACAATGTTGTGCAACGAGCAAATAAATGTTTCTAGTGGCGTGCGTTACGCAGCAATTCTGTCATTGGGCCGTGTAATAACAGAGTGCAAAGTGAGAGAAGCCCGCGACAAGGCTCGATTGACATTGGAGACGATCGCGAAGGACCCCCAGGGACTTTCTCAGATTCTGGCAACTTCGTTGGTGTCTACGTTCGCGTTTATCGCGCCCAACTGCCCGCAGAATTATATAGAGGATAGTAAGTTACTCTGTGAAACATATATTTCTCGCATGTGTGGAACGATAAGCGCAGAATTTCTCTCTCGCACGTACACGTGCACGCATATGCACACATAATATCTCAACGACATATTACTCGTGTATTTTTGCTCAAAAATTATTCATGATTTCTCCGCATCGCTCCGCACCGTTAGGTAAGCTTCACGTTTATTTAATTATTACACCATACCGAGTTGTTGCTTTTACAATTGCAGTAATAGCGACGCAATTATCGGCAATCGCTGCGTTCGCGCTTCAGCAAAGTCGCAAAATCGAGCTGGTGAGCGCGTTGGTGGAAGCGTACTCGGTGTTGGTTTACTGTCCGTTAAGTAGCCAATGCGTTTCCGGGGTGGTGGTGCCGGGACTGCGGCACCTCGAGACACTGGTGAATCAATGCCTGCCTCAGCAGAGGGACGCGGTGCGATCGCTACTCAGGGAAGTAGAGTCCAGACAAGACGTCGCGAGGCCGATTGAGAGGTATCGTACACGAAATTTATTATCGTCACGAATATCTTATTGATCATGTTATTATAATTTATTATAACACACGTACGCGCGCACGTGTGTGTAAATGTATGTTGAAATGTGTATAAGTGTATATTTATATATTTATAATTATGTCATAAATCGAAATATAATACGCGCAACAAAGGACGTTCGGCTCCTTGTGACACTGATTTCGACTGTCGACAGGACACTTTCAATGAGTTCCGGGCTTTCTCTGTCCATGGCGACGGTGAACGTCGGCCAGGGCGTCGAGGACATGCGCCAGAGGATGAGCAAGATTTTCCAACAGAAAACCGGATCACCCAGCATGTCAAGCATCTTTCGCAAAAAATAAACTCTTTACGTCGTAACGGTAGATTAAGAAAATTGATCTAAATTATTATTCTACACGCGTCACGAGTGTGTCTCGTCGATCTCTCGTACAAAGATCAACGAGAGACCAATCACACGAGGTTATTGTTACGACGTGAATGTTGTTTTAAAGGAATGTTAACTTATTTTTTTATCGTGCTCTAGCTAGTAAGTAATGTGTAAATTATTTTGTTTAAATGACAGAACAATACTACGGACGCTACGGACAAATGAAGAATGTGAATTTTTACATTTCGTAAAAGTCGATGTCGACAGCGTGTCAATCTATCATTTGTTCTTTTTTTTTTCACATGCGCAACATGTTCAGCATGTTTTCCCCTTCAGCAAATTCACCCTTTTTCGACGATTCCCGATCGTGACACGAATTTGTGCATTAAGAGAAAAACAGAAAAAAAGATTTTTCAAAAGAATGCAGCGTTTAACAGTAATTAATGTTTAATTTTGAAATCTGTTACTTTACATAGTAATAAACAAACGTCATATTCATATCGTATGTCATATCATATATATATATATCGCATATCATATATATTTATATATAATACACAAGTGTTTTCCTCGTAAAGTAGTTACAAAATCAGACTTTCTAGGAATACACATCCTGTTGCTTTTGTCTTGCTCTCATTTCGGTTCTGCTTCTTCGTTTCTTACTTTTTTGTTTGGTTTCATTATTTTTTTTGTATAATCACAGTTTATATACCGATGCATTAACGAAACGTCGTTATTGTATGTTTTCTCTTTTTTCTTCTTTCTTTCACTCGGACGATCGATCAATTGTGACACGATCGTCGTTGTGTCGCGGGAACGGGGCAAATTCGCACAACGTAATATTCACATTACTCTATGGGCATTACTACCATCGGGCATCGCGGTCGAGGTACGGCCATTGAGATGCGTGGTCGTGTTTCGCTGTTGTCTATTACCTTCTACGTGGTGTAACTTTCGAAAAATCCTGTTGCGCGACGTCGACGATATATAAGAAACTTTTCAGGATTATTACTTCGTGTAAAAGGAGCCTGATCTCAGAAACGGTAATAATGTGGAGGAAGAAGATGCGTGAGGATCCGCAAAACGATCTCGGTTGCGATTTTCCATATGACGTCGTCCTCCAAAAATTAGTTATTTAACTAATCGGCAAGAATCGCAGAGAGCCGCATAAGTAGCGTATAAAGCTGTACGTTAAATTAAGATTAGATTAACGGATAAGGTACTTTTTTTGTAATGTCCCATTATTTCTCTCATCTTTTGTTTTTCCTTCTTTCGTGCTATATCTCATCGTTACATTCCCCCTCGTTCGCTCATTCAGCGTATCTGTGTAATATCGTAAATCTCAAATCCTCAAACTATCTGCGGATTTTCGTTAAATTACCGCGACTAAAATTATACTGCGCTTTCTCACTTCATGTATATGTACACGTGTAATATCTAAAAAAAGAACAAAAAAATGAGACGCGCCGCGTATATACAAAAAATGAAAAAAAGGCACATATGGAAAACCAAAAAACCCGTGTTAATTCAAAAAAGAAAATTGAACGAGGTCGTTTGTAAATCGCTAAAGTCGCGTGTGCTTTGTATCTGTCTGCTTTGTACTGCTGTATGTGTGTGTGTGTGTGTACGCACGTGATGTATATTGTGTGTGTGTGTGTCATTTTGTGACAAGGCGCGCGATATACGAATCGCTATTCTTTTCTTTTCGTAAATTTTATACAGGACCCACGGCGCGAGAGTTACAAAGTTGCGAATCGAGATCGCACGACACAGCTATGAATGTCTTACACGGATCGCAAATCGTAAAATCGCGAATTACATCACATACACGTATGTAATTAATGCTTATAGAGCCTAAATTGCTCCATGCTTATTATTATCATTATTACTATTATCGTTATTATTATTATTAGTAGTAGTAGTAATAGTAGTAGTAGTAGTAGTAGTAGTAGCAGTAGTAGTAATAGCAGTAGTAGTAGTAGTAGTAGTAGTAGTAGTAGTAGTAGTAGTAGTAGTAGTAGTAGTAGTAGTAGTGATGGTGGTGGTGGTGGTGGTGGTGGTGGTGATGGTGGTGATGGTGGTGGTGGTGGTGGTGGTGGTGGTGGTGGTGGTGGTGGTGGTGGTGGTGGTGGTGGTGGTGGTGGTGATGGTGGTGGTGGTGGTGGTGATAATAGTAGTAGTAGTGGTAGTGCTGATGATGGTAGTAATGATGGTAATGGTGGTTGTGGTAATAATGGTGATGTTTTTGGTGGTGGTAGAGTCGTAGTATTAGTAGTATTAATAGTAGTAGCAGTAGCAGCAATAGTAATAGTAGTAGGAATAGTGGTAATAGTATAATAGTAATAGTGGTGGTGGTGGTGGTGGTGGTGGTGGTGGTGGTGGTGGTGGTGGTGATGGTGGTGGTGGTAGTAGTAGTAGTAGTAGTAGTAGTAGTAGTAGTAGTAGTAGTAGTAGTAGTAGTAGTGGTAGTAGTAGTAGTAGTAGTAGTAGTAGTAGTAGTAGTATTATTAGTGTTGATAGTGGTGGTGGTGGTGGTAGTAATATATATGTATATATAATATATATACATTGAATATATTTACTACATCATTGGAGAGCGGTAGCGAAACGAGACTGTGTCTCGGAAATTCCGTGCAAGTTTGGTTTGCCGAAAAGGAAAAAGAAAAAATATATATATAAAAAAAATATATGTATATATATATATATATATCTCGCTTTATATCGTAACAAAATGCCTTTTGTAAGACTCGCCTAGGAGCAGCACGTGAGCGAATTGAGTACGATCCAATTGCTCCATGATCCGGTGCGTCGCATTCGCCGAAGATTGACGTTCGATCGCTCTAACATTTGGTCTAGGCATCTAAGAAAATTCCACTTCTCTCAGATACACATCGGATATTACATCGAGAAAAGCCAAGTGTACGGGGGCATTTTCACGGACGAGATTTACGAGTGATTTCGAGAAAATCGCGAAAGATGTTTCTGGCATCGCTATATTTTCTTTGCAATTTCGTGATCGCACCGATTTTGCGAGCTGATTTATGTTAAAATCCTTTAATTTCTACGCAACAACATTACATCGTTTTTGAATTTATTTTAAGTGTTTTGATCGCGTGTATATATATATATATATTTTTTTTTAGAGTTACATGTATGTATATATATATATATATATTTTATTTTTTAATATTAAATATTTGAATTTTTGACACTTCTTGTCCTTCGGTGTAAACATATTGAATTTTGACGTTAAAAGCGAAAAGTCGTGTATGATTTTTATAATTTACGCGTGAACTTCATCTTTTTCATGTCATAGTCTAACATAAGTCAAGAGCCTCGTATTTCTAGCCTTTTAATACGGTGGTACTAGATTTTGTGTGATTGCGAGAAACTATAGTATTTATACAATACTCTATTCTCTATTCGATAATATATTTTTGTTTACACAATGCTCTACATATATCCTCGTTATATATTGGAACCGTAAATTTTGGGAATCTCGGATCTCTTAGTTCCAATTATCCGCTATATAAATCGTACGCGTTTCAATGTTCAATAATAAAAATGACAAGGAGATCCAAGAGGACACAAACTGATCCAAGAATATGAAAAACCATCTGACGATCAACACTCCACAACTCGCAAAGTCAACTCTGCAGACTCGAGAAAACTGCAAGAAACCAAGAAAACATCTTTCAAGCGCGATTATCTGAGAGTTAATTTTTACGTATCCGATATATCGTTTATTTGATTTATTCAACTCAATTTTAACAAAAACAACTGACAATCCTATTTGAAACGCCCTGTTTTCTCTGTTGTGTGTACGTGTATATGTTACGTGCGTGTGTATATACGTCTGGTGTGTGTCTTTCCGTGTGTGTGTTGTGTGTGTGTGTGTGTGTGTATATATATGTATGTGTACAATAGGACAAATGAAAAGGCAGCATCAATAAGTTCAAAGTATAGCGGTATACACGTCGACACAACACATTATTTTGGATGCACCCTGTTCACAGGAGGTCGTTTCCTCGTCTTTTCTCTGCTTTTTCTCCCCTTTTTGCATTATATTTCGTCAACCCGAGCTCGCGCGCGCGCACACGTATAATCATTAACAAATATATCATATATGCGCTCAGGCACACACGCACACACACACACACACACGCGTGCGCACGCGTACACACGCACACCCTTGTTTTTTTTTCGTTCTTTCTTTTTTCGCTATGTGTTATGTATGTATATATGTCGTTGTGTATGTGTATGCACACACACACACACACACACACACACACACACACACACACACACACGTGTGTGTGTGTGTAGGTACATATATTCGCGTTGTTATTAACACCTAAAGCCAAGCATTTCTGCTTATAATAATAAAATAATGACGATAATCATATAATAGAGCAATTAATAGTTATTAATATTAATATTGATAAATCGGTAATCATAATATACAACACACTCGAGGCACTTAAATGCGTGCTCAATTAATCGTCCCGATTTTCGCAGCACTAGCTCCGACCCAAATTGGTTGGTATACTCTCTTTTTTTTTTCTTTCTTTCATTCGTTTTCTTTTTTTTCTTTTTTAATCGTTCATACATAACGTCTTCTCACACCTTTCTTGCCGAATCAAAGCGTAATCCTAGGGCTCTTAATCGTCTTAAACACGCCTCGTTAGTCGAAAAGGATCAATAAGTAAGAAAGTAAGATCCGATTCGCGCGGCGAAAGATCGAAGAGTCTGGGCGGTTTCACTTAAAACAGAGGGGCGGGGACGGGGGCGTGGGGGAGGGCGACGCGTCGATGAGTTTCACGAGGAGAGACCGGAAGTGGCTTGAAGTTTGGACGACGCTCCGCGACTCGCATCTGCGAATGCGTCCACGATAACCGCTGAGACGGAGACGGTCGTTTTTCGGTATTTGCTGTGTTTCAGTCGGCAGGCGCGCGCGCGCGACTGCAGCGAACGGGATGGAAGAGCACGAGATTTCGGTGTGAAAGATCGGAGAGAGCAAAGGAACGCGCTTTATTATACATCGAATGCGTCCGCCCGGAAACGAGGGAGGGGGTCTCCTGAGGGTTCGTCAACAAACGAGAAACTGAAACCGCCTCTCGAAGACCCCCCTCCTCCCAGTCACGTGTCCACAGGACACGGGCGGAGAATCGGTGGCGAAAAATTGCGACGACCGAGTCGCGAGGGGTTTTCAAACGTTCCCGCTCGATCGTCGCGCGATTTCCTCTTTCTTTCTGTTTCGTCCTTTTTGCCACCTATGGACAACGGAGAACGTGAAAGGACCGAAGAGACGAAGGGAATGGAATTGCCTGCCGAAACAACGCACGGACGCTAAAAGACGTCTCGTCTCGGGCTAATGTTTCATCTGTCTCGCACGACGAGTTTTCGCACATGGAGCCCGTTGGCTCTCGCAGGGAGAACCTCAGGAGTCCCGAGGTGATCTCGTCTCACCCTTGGCGCTCCGGCGACTCTCCGTCGGACAAATCAAAGATTAGTCTAAGGAAGGCTTCGGGTTCTTCAGACCGGCCGGGCTTGAGCCGCGAAGGATCACGAAGGCGGGAGCCGCAGAGCGCGACGACTCACGGAAGGGCTCCCGCGAGTCCTGGTGCTCGGCGTTCGAATCGAGAGTTCGCCTTAAACTGGCGAAGTTCGGCCCAACGTAGACTCGGCGAATCGAGGAGTGATCGTGATCAATGGCACAAACGCCTACGCGAACAACGTAAATTACCGTGATAATCGTAACGTAAATGTATACATCTCTTTCATGGCGATTGATACGCGATATGCGTAACATAAATGTGTCCACGAGAGACCTCCGGTAACTCTCTTTCTCTTGGGAAGAGAAAAAGATTATAACGATAAGTGACGACGAGAGACAACTCGCGACGAGAGAAAGGAAATATAAACTACCACACCTGCTCAAAATTATCTCTAAGAAAAGAAAAAATAAAAAAAAAGAAAAGAAAAAAAAAAACAATTGGATTCGGATCCGATACTCGCGAATATTCGCAGGATTACTCCTCGATCTCGTCGTCTTCGTCTTGGTTTTCGCTAGAGCACCGTCGTTTTCCTCCGCGGCAACATCCTCTCCACACGCGTGTGTGTGTGTGTGTGTGTGTGTGTGCTCACTCGCAAACTCGAATTTGCGTCTTTCCCTACTCCTTTCCTTTCTCCTCCCTCATCGTCGTTATCGTTACACATCATCGCCAACCATCGTTTACGAGATTCGCAATCTCTTCGTTCTCCGATTATCCTGATATTTTCTCCAAGGGATCGGGCGAACGTTTGTGAAAGGAGGAAAATTTTAAGGGATGGGGAGGAGAAGGGATTCCACCACTTTTCACATGGCGAGAGTCTCGATTCGGTGCCAAGTCTGCTTCGTTGCATTATCTCGGGAGATTTCGTCATGCGATGTGTTCTTCCTTTCTTTCTCTCTCTCTCTCTCTCTCTCTGTCTATTTTTCTTTTTTCGTTTGGCACAAATATATGTATACATATAAACACGTTTTTCTTTCCCAGTTACATTGCGGTCCTGTGCGTGAAGGAGGAGCAAGGAAAAGGGTCCTCTTCCTTTTAAAAGATTAATTATCTTATCTCTCTTAACGTTTTTACAAGCTAACAAATATGTACCTCCAAAATCACAGAACCAAAAGCGATATTATATAACAATATTCTCTCCCTTTTGCGCGATGTGTACCGGGTGATCGGGAAGCCACGCAACCGGATCCGTGCATCATCGATAAAAAGCTCGCATACAGAAAGTATGCGATATCAGTTTTACGTGTAACACGTTTCTCGTCTGCATGTATGTTCGAATTTCGGCTCTCTCTTCTCTCTTCTCTTCTCTCTCTCTCTCTCTCTCTCTCTCTCTCTCTCTCTCTCTCTCTCTCTCTCTCGATATTGATTAGTGTTAAACGTCAGCTTTATACGACCCACAGCGATCAGTGTAGAATTATTGAATTCCGAGCGATCATGTATCTCGTATATATACATGTGTGTGTGTGTGTGTGTCTATATATATATATATATATATATATATATATATATATATATATATGGTCATGTACAATATATCGCATATTTGAACTTTTAGATTCATAGATCCTTAGATCTATACATACTCATTAGCTCAGAGTCCTTAACTTACCAATTACCGACGAAATCTTAAAACTAAAGCTTGGCTTATTAGATACTCGAAGCTGCATATTCATATCGAAGCTCGTAGGACTTTTAAATCGATAAATCGTCACTAAGTCTCGCGCCTCGTAAAGCTTCATTATCAATTCCCAACAAAGGATTCACTCGAGTTCGTGAATTCCCGGGTTAATGAATCTCATACATCCTCCTATACCTCGAATGGAGTAGAATTGAAGGTATTCGATGCTTTACGCGCTATTACTTTCCGGATGACAATTCCGACCGCGAATGCTTCGATATCCATGAAGTCTCTCTCAAGCCTTTATAAAAATCCTCTCGTATCCTTGAATCATATAAACTACGATCGACGAATTGCGTAAACGCAAAACGTTCAGATATAACTCGCATCGACCGACACCGGCAATATATATCAATTGCGCATCTGCCGCAGCATACGCGTCTCGCTTCACGGGACTCTCCGATCACCCTGTATTAATTAACAGCGTCGCCGGCGAATGCGTTGCTAGAAGTGCGCGGCGAGTCTCTCACGCGTCCACCCGAGCGCGCACACACAAACAGAGCGCACATTATACGCATGTCATAACACACACACACGCACACTTACCCACACACACAACCGCATACATTCTCTCTCTCTCTCTCTCTCTCTCTCTCTCCCCTCCCCTCCCCCTCATCTCTCCCTCTCTTTCTTAATCAATCCGTCAATCGATCGTTGATCGTAGGCGAGACGTCACTGTACAATGTAAAAAGTTCTTTTTTCCGCGCCCACAGCGCGTGACGGCTTATCCGAAAAGAGCGCCGGGGATAAAGATGAAGAGGATGGTAGTGAAAGCAGCGGCGAACTCCGGGCTCCGGGCTCCGATATCCGTGTGATCCGACCCCGAGGAAATGACGATGATGTAGTAGCACAACGGCTAAATATCGTTGTTACCTCGTCGTCGCGTGGTAACATCCGCAGAGGCATCTTGTTTCGCGATATCTAAAGCCAAGCCCGCCGCGCGTCTTCCTGTCGTCACCTTCAAAAAACAGCAAGTGGACAGAATGTATATGTAAGTGGCAATTTTGTAGAGACGAATTTTGCGAAGAAAAGAGGTGATACTTTATCGTCAAGCGGTGTACGTAACGATTCTCTCTACGTAACGGTATGGCCAACTATTTATGTCATGTTTATTCGATGATCTCTATAAACTTCTCGAAGTGAGATTTCGCTCGAAGCGACAGCGAAGATGCCGTCGCATGGAGTCGTAAGAAAGTGAACGTCTCATTCGAACTTGGAGCAGCTTCTTTACTTATACGAGTGAATGTCGCGCCCAATTAAAGTCCGTTTTTCCTTATGATGGTTGGATACGTGAAAGACTCACTCGTTCAATTTTGAATGGAAATATTAATCCGACGATGCAGAGTGGGAGACATCCCTCTATGTAAGCGAAAAGTCACTTGAAGAAATTTATAGAAGACGCTTCTCGAAGAATCGACATTTTATGACACCACCCGGTTTAGAAATTTGAGAATGCGATGAAGAGAAAACTTATTTTGGAGTTCTAGAGACTTGAGATGTGGTTCAGCACAAAATACGTGCTGCTGTACCCAAATGTTTTACCGGGTTATTTTTTCCTGCAGAATATTCGAGATACGTCCCATCATTATCGTGTCTGTCTCTTTACCTTTAATTAAAAGACACTCTTGAACTAATTAGAATTAATTTCTCTCTGATGTTCTATCACAAAACACATCTTACACCGCATCATTTCAGAGTTTTATTGAATTCATCACATTATTAAATCTATTATATGAGATAAAATTACAAACTGAATATTTTGTAGTGTGTATAGCAATTTTGTAGGAAAAAAAAAAGAGAAAAAAAAAAGAGGAGAAAGTGGAAAAAGAAGCTTGTATACGTTTCAAGGAAGAGGATACTCACATGTCGCTTTTAAACGTTTCTGTCCCTCTCATCCATTTTGTGTTTTGTACAAGGTAGCTCGCGGCAATGTTGCGCTACTTGGGCATAGCTCGGCCTTGTAAGATCCTGCGGTAGAAAAAATATTAATTAATTTTCCGAATGCAAATATAGCTTGAGATACTGGTTGCCAGGTATAATGCAAAATACGCTGCAGATAGAACGCAAAATTCCAAGTCAAACTTCACAGAAGCACTTAAAGTATCTTTGAAATTTCATCAAGTCGCCTTCAGGATTTTAAGGCCTGTTAATTGTATTTGCTGGATGCTTCGAAAATTAGAGGAAGCGTATAATGTAATTCAATATTTGTAACTACAAGAGAGACTCTTGATAACATTAATCTTCCCTAACATCAACTCTTCCGCCATCCTTGTACGATAACAAAATTTCTGTAGAATCTTTAGATCTTAAAATTCTTGGATTTTCAGATCTAGATACACACACACACACTCGTAAGTCTGCACTTCTAGTTAAAATGTTGATTAATCAAAGATTTTTTTTTTTGACAAAGTCCATCACAGTAGAATACTCACTATAGGGAAGGTAGAGGCCACTCCAGTTTGCGATTGGGAGTTGAGTGAGGCAGTAGGAGAAGGAACGACGACGACGACGTTGTTACAATCGCACCTGGTCACCTGCTCGGCCTCGTCTGTCACCACCGCCGCCGCCGCCGCTGCCGCTGCCGCTGCCGCCGTCGCCGCCGCCGCCGCCACCGCCGCCGCTGTCGCTACCGCCGCAGGTGCTGTCGTCGTAGCTGCTGTTGTAGTTGCCGTCACCGACGTCACCACTGCCGGCATGTGCGCGTTCGCATCTACAGCGTCGTCCACACCGTTCACCATGTTCGAGTCGTCAGTCTTTATCGATCTGTCAGCGGTGCATTGTCAGTAGTAAGGGACTAACACATGCTTACTTAATAATCCTTGGATCCTTAGATATCCTGCGATGGATCTCTCGGATCCTTAGAAATACAAACATACGACCCACGCATCCTCGGACAGCCTTGCCCTCGGACACGGGTACACAACCGGATGTGCATTTGTTGCAATATGCAACTTGTACAGATATCGAAAATTCACATACGTGCTTCCGTATAACGCGAGATTTCCTCTTTGGAAGATTTTTATATCCTTAGATCCTCGGACAGGGCTAAGACCGCGTGTGTCCGTTCGAGAGCATGCGCGCGTAATCGTGGGAAGAAATTCGCACAGAAATTTACATCATCGTCATCCAATGCTCGCACTGCGACCATTAATGATAGATATACTGGTTATTAACAAAAGTTTACACGTGTTTACACGGTGGAAGATGTGATCTTGACGGTTAAACAGAACTATCGGATATCTAATAACGTCACTATAAGCGCGACGACATTACGACTCACAACGAGCACCATCATACTAAATCGCATACTAAATGCACACTCTAGTGACCGTTCTATCCCGCGCACCGAGTGTGTCACAACTTCGTTCATGCACAATCAAGAGGCTAGTTACTGTGGACGATTTCCGGTCAAGCGTGTCAGCAATATCCCTGGGAACATGGAGGATTCCGAAAAAGATTCAATCGTCTCGTCGGAAAATTAGTTCGAATCGTCAATCGCAGAATTCGAGTATCCCGCCGTCTGACCAATCTTTGATACAATATTCTCGGCGTCACAGCAAACGACGACACATGCAACGGAAAAAAAAATTTTTTTTTTTTTGCGAGGAGCAAGTCCGATCGGCCACCACTTTCGTTAATGACACAGCAGGAGAAGTACATCAAGTCTAATTCGCAGGAGAACCGCCTGATGTTGAACGATTGAGGGATGCGCATAAAAGGAGGATTTTTGCAATATCGCAAGACACGATTAACAAACATCAGTATACACAATGTTTATTAACTTCTAGTTTATCGCTGACAATGCAACTGTAGTCATTACCAAAGTAATCAGGCGCTATACCGAGGCCGTGTGTGTGTACGTCTTCGTTCTTCCGTTCTTCCGTTCTTTTTAATATTTATTTTGCAGTCACGTGACGCGAAAATTATAACTTAACTAGTAGCGTTAGAATTATGAGCTAGAGAGAAACTTCTTCATCAAAATGCCTTTAAGAGTAACTTGAAACCAAACAATTAATAATAATAATAATAATAATAATAATAATAATAATAACAACCATAATATTAAAAATTTATAATGACGGTAGTCATATATATATATACATATATATATATATATATATATATGTATATATGTATACATAATCAAATAATAATTATCATAATGATTATAATATATTAGAGAACCCTGAAATATATATAAATGTTTTATCATATATATCCTTATTTATCTTCTTATTGTTCAGTGGCCGCAACAATACAGGCAAGAAGAAGAGGATCATTGTAGCATAACAATACCGCATACCTCTCCCCCCCTCTCCTCCCGCTCACAAATAGCGCCTTTAAGAGCGCCTGCTCAACGCGTTAGCAATGGCTTTGTTTAACGCTGAATCCGACGGAAAGTATGCGGTATATTATATTTGTATCGAGAAAGAGACGTTTTTTTTGTTTTTAGATCTTCCGATCATTGAACGCTTGGATCTTTACATGCCTACGATTCCCTGGATCAGATATTCTCAGAGGAATTTGGGATATTCTTGCCTCAGAGACAATCCGGAATCCGTGAGAGACTTAGACTCCTTTTCGCTCCGCGTGTAAATCTTTCTATGAAAGTCAGGATTTCTTCAAATCTTTCGGCGCTTTCTGAAATTCTTTGAAAAACCCTGCAGTCCAAATTTCTACGAATGTGAATGTGAGACGTATGAGACGAGGCGAGAGAATAAAAGATGTCGATATTCAAAAGTTTTCAATGTATCCAGAAAAGAGAATTTTTTCTCGACAAATCAAACAAGTATTTGAAGATTTTATAAGTAATTGTTGTTGTATAAGACGATCTACAGATCCAAGAATTCCGATTCAAAATTCCGCGATTCCTGAATGTCCGATTTTATGGAAATAGTTATGTTGCAGTTATCCAGCGATTCAATGATCCAAGAATGAAAGAATCTACATGCTCAAGGACTAAGCGTCTAAAAACCCACGATACCGCAAACTTAAATCCTTATTTACACACCAGATTTATACAGCATGCTTATGGAATCTTTGCGGAAAAAAAGAAGATATCTAGGTGACTTTTATATAAAATCGAAAAGAAGGGAAAAAACAGAGTTTCTGGAATCTCGAAATCAAGAAAGGCACAATAGCGATGACAATATCGACAAAAACTTATGGCAAATCATAACAATTGCAAGTACCTCTAATTAATTTGTCAATTAATTAGAGACAGTGGCGAAGGTCTCGCGCACGGTCAAGGATCTAACAACTTCTTCCAGATTCAAGAAGGCGTCGATGTTCTAAGGATTCCGATGGACAAGGACGAGACACCATCTCTGCGTGAGCATTCTCGCGTAGGGAATAATATAATCGAAAAGTATCGTTCCAAATCCCGGAAATTGCAGACGAAAGATTCAGATCCCGATGTTAATTGCTAACATCGAGTCACGCGTTCTTAGATCCTTGGGTTTCTAAAAATAGTTGTCACAAGCGTGACAAGTTATGTACGCAATCAACAAAGAGTGGCGAGAATATAGGCTGATAAAAGATTACTCCGGTAACTCAGAGGACACTAATAATTTTAGTCGTCATTTTTTTTACTCGAAAGCGTCTACGTAATGATGGAAAGAAAGCTTCGATTCTTGTGTCTTTCCGACAACAAGAGTAAGATGAAAAAAAAAAAGTTAAAAAAAAAAAACAAAAAGCTTATCTCTCTTTCTTTTCTACACAGGTAACAGATCGATAGACGGCGTACGATCGATCAAAATCCGGTATCTTCGAAAGACACATCGAGTCCATCGGTACGGTACAAAAAGCACGAAATGCAACGAACAATAATAACAACAATTAAACACGATTCGGCATTCCCCAAGGCGTATCGCGATAACAATCCTAACGTAGACTCTACTTTATATTTAGTATAGACATCGTTCGTTCGTTCGTTCGTTCGTCGTGCGCGTACGTATAATAATGCAAATGCGTATCTTTAGATCTTTAAAAATCCCCACATCGCACATCAATATGACGAATTCTCCGGAGAAGAAAAAAGAAAGAAAAAAAGAGAGAAGAAAAAAGAACTATACATCTAAGGCTCCTTGCGCGGAGAGACGTCCCGAGAGAAATCTAAGGATCCAAAGATACACGAAGAGCAGCTCGATGGAAGAATCGACACGAAGAATTTAATGAAGCGACGGAGGTAATAGGAAAGATACAAGGATATACAGTACGATTCCGAAGATGTAGATCGATCAAGGAATAGAAAAGTTCACGATGACACAAAAATATATATTCGGGAACGCATCAATTGCAAACTGAATCATCCCTATTGTCGTTGTTGCTGGAATATCTACTACACTGAACACCACACACTTGCGTTTGTCTTCTACATGTCAGATATTGGACATTATATTATCGTCAACGATCAGATACAAACGTAAATAACGCAGTAAGACTATACATATCCCCCTTGCTAGTGCAATGTAGTAAAATTGTTTCTCCATTCATAGGACTAAAAGTAACGTCAAAAGATCAACATTTTTTCCATTAACCGCGTAAACAAAAATTGCTTGTTTATTCAACGAAGCGTTAACAGAGTATTGCAAACGATCAGCCGCGTGACCATTTTTTATCGACTTAACAAAATTCCAAACTATATGATTTTTTGAACAATCTAAGTGGAACATATACGATTAAATATTTATTAAAAGAAGAGAAAAACTGCGTGTAATTCCAACGCGTGGGATTCGACAATACAACTCGCGGGTGTTTAATGCAAAAATTTGTTAATCATTCAAATAAGTTTCGACAAAAGGAAAAGGAAAGAAAAAAAAGCGAGAAAAAAGCCGTTACAAGCAAAAATAAAGAGTTGAGTTTAAAAGAAGATAAAAGTAAACTAATATGAGTTACAAGTAAAATTAAATACGGTTTCACTCTTTAAAGATTCAACGTTTCAAAGACCAAAAATATTTCAATCTCTCCCCCTTCCCTCCCACTCATTCATTTACACACAACACATTCTCTCTCTCTCTCTCTCTCTCTCTCTCTCCTCTCTCTCTCTCTCTCTGCGATGCAAACGCAACACACACACACACACACACACACACACACACACACACACACACACACACACACACACACACACGCACGCACGCACGCACGCACGCACGCACGCACGCACGCGCACACACACACACACACACACACACACACACACACACACACACACACACACACACGTATGTATGATATATACGTTTGCATCTGCGCGTGTGTGTGTGTGTGTGTGTGTGTGTGTATAATGTAGGTATACGTGTATGTATGTATGTTGGGGGAGCGGAAAGTTTCGTCGTACTTTGGAACAAAACAGCGAAATATTCGCCTCGATAATCAAGCGCTAATGCGATAGATTCCACTCGAAAACAAATTCTACAATGGATTTCTAGTGGTATTCAATTTTCTCTGCATGTACGTAAACACAAAAATATCGAAATGTTAATAATATGCGCAACGTCGAATTAAAAAAAAAAAAAAAATCGAGTACTCGTAAGATCAAGCATTTCCATACTTTAGAATCCACAAACTGTACGTAAACGCATCGTCGTTCCATCTAGAACTCGTGATCAGGATCCTCGCCCATACTGGACGTCGACGATTTGAAAGGTCGAACCGTTCCGTTTGTGTGGCCAAAATGCACGAGAAAAAGAAATCAAGCAACGCGCGACTCTCCGCCTGCCCAAACCACGGCCGTATACACCGAGGGTGCGATATAATAAAAGATCCCACTCACTTATCAGGAGATGACGGGGGAGTGAGCGTGACGGTGCTGAGCGTGACGTCAGCCGTATTCTCATTGTTGGCCGGCGCAGGGTTAAGGACAAGGGCGTTCGCAGGAGTTGTAGAGTTTCCCAGAGCGTTTCCTTGCGCCTCGACGGCACCCACAACGGCTCCAGGACTAGCGGACCTACTAGCAGCGTTTACGGGTGCAGATGGTGGCTGTTGCTGCTGATTGCTATCTTTGTCTTTGACAGCGGCTTTGAGCTTTGCCGTGCCTTTGACAACGTCGGACAATCGATTCTGTGACGATTCGATGCCGCCGGCACTGCCGACGTCAACCGACGTTTTGCCGAGATCGGCATCGAGGCCAGGTAGAGGTGGGAATGCAGCCGCCTCCAAGTCGAATTGAACGCCGCTGCTGCGGCTGCCGCCACCACCACTACCACCACCGCAACCGCCGCTGTTGCTGCCACTGCCGCCGCCTATTGGCAGCGACTCCTTGATCGCCGGCAACGAGTTGTTCCCGGCGGATACCTTCGCGTCCTGATCTTTGGTCCTGCGGTGGATACGATGGCGGGGAAACGTCGTCATCGACGGTATCGACGGCTCTATAATTGTGTCCTGATCCTGCACGGAGGACAAGGAGGATGTGGACGAGGAGCAAGGTCCCTTCATGTGCTCCACGTTCGACGCGGACGAGGAGTGGAACTTTGTGCCGGACTGATAGGAAGAGGTCGACGAGGAGGAGACAGAAGATAGTGACTTTGAGGGCGGCAGGCTCGGAGCGTAGGTAGACGTAGAGGAGTTTAAGGGCATGCCGCCGCCGCCGCTGTTACCGGTCAGAGGTGGATGAGAGCTGCGGGTGCTCATCGGCGGCATGGACGACGGCTGATGGTGGTGGTGATGATGGTGGTGATGGTGATGGTGATTGTTGCTGTTGTTGTTGGGGTTGGTAGGGTCTATTAAGCAGCCTCGGTCGGAGCCGTTTCTCTGTTTGTTTCTACGTACAATAATAAGATATTATGAAAACATATTCCGACCAATCGACGGAGAGAAAGAAGAGAACAATGGTCGAGTAGCAAGATCGGACGTTGAAAGCAAAACGCGTACCTGTGTCGCGGATTATATCTTGTGTTGTGAGGTTTGAACGTGTTGTGCGGTGTAATCCCATTCATAAAAACACCCATATCGAAGTATGCGGCGGGACTAGTCGGTCCCCAAGACATCATACCTGCGTGATAGAATGGTTGATGCTGGAAGACGAATAAAGAGATGAAGGGTTAGAAAGTTTTTCGGTTTTTGAGTTTTCGTAACTGCGTATACTTACGTATACGTGGACTTGGTTCGCGTACGCTTGCATAGTATTTTGAGGCATGGTCGTGCCATTGGTATAAAGGAAACGTTGTTGTCCAGTCGTATAACTGCTGGGATCGTAAACGGCAGGAGGAGGTGGAGTTCTGTAGCCATTTTTTATACCACCTACACCAGCCACTGCTGGTATCGGTAGCCTATTCATTGGTTTAGCTTTGATTCTCGCCATTATCGGCTTTCCCTGGTGCAAAAATCGAGTATGTTTCAAGCGAAATAAGATACCGTCGCGAAAATTAATCACTATAAATTTGTACGCAATTATAAGTGTAACTTGAAAGTGTAGATAGACATGGAGAGGTTGTAGACTTGCAGATCCAACGTTACGTACGTTATGTAACCGATGGATCGTTAATCGAAGTATCACAAGTTACATTCAAAATGCGCGATTTTTGAGCGAAGCAACAAGTTGCAATGTTGAATTACCTGAAATTCCCGAACCTCCTCACGTAAAAATCGGTAGGCCTTTTGAGCATCCTCGTCGGATTCAAACGTCACATACCACGAACTATTGTGAGCAAACTCGCACGAAATAAACCTTGGACACCCCTCCCCCGAAAATAAATTCTGCAATGAAGAACAAAGTGAATTTAGCGAGGCAAGTTTGCCTTAAGCGCGTATCTGCCACCATTTATCTGTTGTCAGCGCTAGGAACAATTTATCCGGCACAAACCTTCACATCTTCCAGAGGAGTGTTATCCGGAATCTCGCGAAGTATCACAATACATCGTTTGTGATTGGGCCTTACTTTCTGTCCCTCTTCGTCCACTTGCACGTTAGGAGACTCCCTCAGCACTTCGGTTATGAGCTTAATATCTTTTGTTAACTTCTTTACTTGGTTAAAATTTGCTACTGTCCATATCGGCACATATTGATCGTTATCCATTTGTGACAACAAATATGTATCGTTGGCTAAATTCTCCCTGGAAAGCATTGCAACATCGTGTCATTAATATCATACTGAATCTTGAAAGTGAGCATCGTTCGCGCCTTTAAATTGATGTATCATTGTGTGCATCGCGTTTAGATATTCGTGAATCGTTTAACAACAAGTTATTATTAATCTTTCACGAACCGTGTGCACGTGCGCACGCATACGCACACACACACACACACACACGCGTGCGCGCACACGCACACACACACGCACGCACGCACACGCACGCGCACACACACACACACACACACACACACCCACACCCACCGATGGCATAGAAAACAAATGTCAAATTATTATATATATCGCGTAGTCACAGTGTGAATATCTAAACACAATAAGTATGCTCCGGACGTGCCTAAGCTTGAAGGCGTAAATGACGTTATACGTATACATACACGCGCTTGTGCAATTTGCATGATGATTGCACGTTTGCAGAAGATTATTTTCAACCAAATCTTTTTCTCATTCACTATTCAATTAGAAGTTGTAACAGTTGCTGTAATGATTTCAAGTTAACAAACAGTATGAACTCTTTGCACTCGGATCACTAAGATTATTTTATAATACGGAATACGGAGTGCAGAAAGATTGATTCGCAAGAAAATAAATGTGGATTGTGATGAAATTTGTGAGATCACCTTGCAGCTCGGCAATTAAAGGAGGGTAGAGTCGCAGAGATTCGAGAACAGAAAGTGTGACTGCGATACCTGGAGAAATAATACTCGAGTTGCGATGAGAGCATCTGTTTGAGTTGTTCCAGGGGTATGCCAGGGACAGATAAATCGGCCATTGATGCGGGTGGAGCAGACACATCACCCAGAGCAGTAATATCCACTGAACTGTATCCGACAGCACCACCAATGCCTATGGCGTGTTGCGATGTTGGTTCTAGGCTGCCAACACCTGCATCGAGAATCAACTCACTTCCGCTGGGCGCACCGTTCATGACTCCGTATTCTAAACTAGGCACTCCACCACCAATCGCACCTGCAATCGGACCCAGGGTTTCAGGGGTGGCTGGGTAGACCGCCCCTGGTGGGAGCTTACCAATGTCCCCATTCATGTACACGTATCCTGAAAACGACAAGTGTTTGAGATTATAACAATCCATGTACCGCGACACATATGTTATCTTGGAGAGTACAATTGGTTGTCCTATGACATAATCACAAGGTATTCCGCAAGAATACAATCTACACTTTACACAACGTGGACAAATAATGAGATGCAAGAACAGTCGAACTTGTCAAACTATAGAGGAACGATATCGCAATCTCTATATAAAATTTCAGGCCATTGTGCGCCTGACACAATAACATATGTGCAGTTATTACACATGAAAATATGACTTTTCACAGTGTGTACGAATTCAACAGCCTCGACCGACTTGGCTGATGTTAGATCACAGCACTATACAGACCAGATAGACGCTGCAATATCGCAGATTGCTTCGTGTCAAGCAAATATACAGGATATCGCGAGCACCTCGCAGCCTGGCCCGATAAAACACCAGTCATCCTATAGAATACCCGACGATCTTCGTCATAGGACAACGGCATCTGGCACGACACTCTGGCCGATCTGCACGATACACGTACATCGAAGATCGGAGAGCACAGAATATCGATACCAGCAGCAGCGGCGTTACACTCGTGTCTCCGCGGTGTCTCAAGTACAAGTACAAGTACGTCGACGTCGGCCGACCGTCGCGTAACACCACGATGACAATGACAATAGCGTATCACGACGAGGCGACGCGCCAACGATCGGCGGCGGGATCGTCGTCGGGGCCGAGGGGCGCGGGCGATATTCGATCAAGTTACGCGAGGCACTGCCGAAAGCAGCCAACGAACCAACCAAGCAAGCGTGAGTCCGCGCGCGACGTCGACAGCGCCTGGTCGCGAAGACGAGGCACGTCGGTGCTGCCTGCGACCGTCAAGATACGACGCTCGGACACGAACGACCTCGCTCTCGTTGGCTCGCGCACACGCTCAAACACTCGCGACAACGGACTCGGCGACGGAGCTGCGGACTGCGTGCCACCGCGGGGGCCACTCGGCGAGGGCTACGGTGCGCCAAGCGAGGATTCCCGCACGGCAGGACGCGCAATATGTTGGAGCGCGCGCGGCACGTTATCGGCCAAATATAGCGCGCGATCGGGACACGACAGCAGCGACGACGGCGAGCCGCTCTCCTTCAGCCGGGCGAGAGCAGCAGCGGCGCGGCGACACGACGACGGCTGGCGCGGATCGGCTCGGCTCGGCGTGGTTCGGCGCGGCGCGGCGCACGCTCTCGTCGCGCGACCCGACACACGAGGCGTGGAGAAGAGCTTTAGTCACAGAACAAGGAAGTAATGGTGCGATGACAAGACACAACTACATTCCGAATTCGATTGCGTGTAATACCGCATGACGATGACAATGTGGCGTGACACGTCGAATGGGACGGATGGTCGTTACCAAAATCACCGTTCATCTTGAGATGGGCCCGGATGATCCCATGTGCCCTGAATATAGCGCTACGAGATGCCTGCCCGTTTGCTCACTCGTTCGTTCGCTCACTCGCTCGCTCGCTCGCTCGTTCGGTCGATCGGTCGATCGGTCGGTAGGTCGGTAGGTCGGTCGTTTGTTCGTTCGTTCGTTCTCTCTCTCTTTCTCTCTCTCTTGCTCGCTCGGTCACTCGCTCGGCCGCCCGTTCGCGCTTACTCACTCTCTCTCTTTTTGTCTGTCTATCTCCCTCCCCCTTTCTCACTCCTTACATACTAGATATATATACATATATATACGCGTGTGTATATATATATATACATATCCTTTCTCTTCACTTCTTAGACGGCTTTTCGTAAAATTAGTTTTTCAGTTTTAAGCTCTCTCACAGTAAAAAACTTGTTCTGTTCGCTCTCGTCGCAGTTCACCGTATGCACGGAGCATCGAACATATTCGCAAATTCGTTCATTCGTTTGTCTCACATTCGTTTAGCTTAAAAACTAATTAGCAACCAACCAACCAACCAACCAACCAACCAACCAACCAACCAACCAATCAATCAACCAACCAACCAACCAACCAACCAACCAACCAACCAACCAACCAACCGACGACCGGTCGACCAATCAATCAACAATCAAGCAATCAACTGACCGACCAACCAACCATCAACCAACTAGTTGGCCAGCTAATCAGCCAACTAGCAAGACAAGCAATCAACCAGTCAACCTACCAATCAGCCAGCTAGCAAGCCAACCAACCAGCCAACTATCCAATCAGCCCAATCACCAACTAACCACCTAACCAAACCAACTAGCTAACCTACCAAAAAGTCAGGTAGACAGGTAGTTAAGTAGATGAGCAGGTAGCTAGGTTGGTTGATGAACAAGCAGTTAAGTAGCTAGATAGACAGGAAAATAGACAAGCAGACAGTTAGGTAGGTAGGTAGGTAGGTAGGTAGGTAGGTAGGTAGGTAGGTAGGTAGGTAGGTAGGTAGGTAGGTAGGTAGGTAGGTAGGTAGGTAGATAGGTAGGTAGGTAGATAGGTAGATAGGTAGGTAGGTAGATAGATAGGTAGGTAGGTAGGTAGATAGGTAGATAGGTAGGTAGGTAGGTAGGTAGGTAGGTAGGTAGGTAGGTAGGTAGGTAGGTAGGTAGGTAGGTAGATAGGTAGGTAGGTAGATAGATAGGTAGGTAGGTAGGTAGGTAGGTAGGTAGGTAGATAGATAGGTAGGTAGGTAGATAAGTAGGTAGGTAGGTAGGTAGGTAGGTAGGTAGGTAGGTAGGTAGGTAGGTAGGTAGGTAAGTAGGTAGGTAAGTAGATAGGTAGGTAGATAGATAGGTAGATAGGTAGGTAGGTAAGTAGGTAGGTAGGTAGGTAGGTAGGTAGGTAGATAGGTAGGTAGGTAGATAGGTAGGTAGGTAGGTAGGTAGGTAGGTAGGTAAGTAGGTAGGTAGGTAGGTAGGTAGGTAGATAGATAGATAAATAGGTAGGTAGGTAGGTAGATAGGTAGGTAGATAGTGGATAGGTAGGTAGGTAGGTAGGTAGGTAGGTAGGTAGGTAGATAGGTAGGTAGGTAGGTAGGTAGGTAGGTAGGTAGGTAGGTAGGTAGGTAGGTAGGTAGGTAGGTAGGTAGATAGGTAAGTAGGTAGGTAGGTAGGTAGGTAGGTAGGTAGGTAGGTAGGTAGATAGGTAGGTAGGTAGATAGGTAGATAGGTAGGTAGGTAGGTAGGTAGGTAGATAGGTAGGTAGGTAGGTAGGTAGGTAGGTAGGTAGGTAAGTAGGTAGGTAGGTAGGTAGGTAGGTAGGTAGATAGATAGATAAATAGGTAGGTAGGTAGGTAGATAGGTAGGTAGATAGTGGATAGGTAGGTAGGTAGGTAGGTAGGTAGGTAGGTAGGTAGGTAGATAGGTAGGTAGGTAGGTAGGTAGGTAGGTAGGTAGGTAGGTAGGTAGGTAGGTAGATAGATAGATAGATAGGTAGGTAGGTAGGTAGGTAGATAGATAGGTAGGTAGGTAGATAAGTAGGTAGGTAGGTAGGTAGGTAGGTAGGTAGGTAGGTAGGTAGGTAGGTAGATAGGTAGGTAGGTAGGTAGGTAGGTAGGTAGGTAGGTAGGTAGGTAGGTAGGTAGGTAGGTAGGTAGGTAGATAGGTAGGTAGGTAGGTAGGTAGGTAGGTAGGTAGGTAGGTAGGTAGGTAGGTAGGTAGGTAGATAGGTAGGTAGGTAGGTAGGTAGGTAGGTAGGTAGGTAGGTAGGTAGGTAGGTAGGTAGGTAGGTAGGTAGGTAGGTAGGTAGGTAGGTAGGTAGATAGGTAGGTAGGTAGGTAGGTAGGTAGGTAGGTAGGTAGATAGGTAGGTAGGTAGGTAGGTAGGTAGGTAGGTAGGTAGGTAGGTAGGTAGATAGGTAGGTAGATAGGTAGGTAGGTAGGTAGGTAGGTAGGTAGGTAGGTAGGTAGGTAGATAGGTAGGTAGATAGGTAGGTAGGTAGATAGGTAGGTAGATAGGTAGGTAGATAGGTAGGTAGATAGATAGATAGATAGGTAGGTAGGTAGGTAGGTAGGTAGGTAGATAGATAGGTAGGTAGGTAGATAAGTAGGTAGGTAGGTAGATAGGTAGGTAGGTAGGTAGGTAGGTAGGTAGGTAGGTAGATAGGTAGGTAGGTAGGTAGATAGGTAGGTAGGTAGGTAGGTAGGTAGGTAGGTAGGTAGGTAGGTAGGTAGGTAGGTAGGTAGGTAGGTAGGTAGGTAGGTAGGTAGGCAGGTAGGTAGGTAGGTAGGTAGGTAGGTAGGTACGTAGGTAGGTAGGTAGGTAGGTAGGTAGGTAGGTAGGTGGGTGGGTAGGTGGGTGGGTGGGTGGGCAGGCAGATAGGTAGGCAAGTAGATAGTAGGCAGGCAGACAAGCAGGCAGAGAGACAGGCAGGTAGAGAGGCAGACAGACAACCAGTCGGACTCGATCACTAAGTTGATCGCTCACACGACAATCGTTCGCCCGTTCGCTCGCTCGTTCGTTCGTTCGTCCGTTCGTTTGCTCGCTCACTTATTAGCTTGTACACGTTCGCACGCACACGTTCGCGTGCATGCAACGAAATTCACGACACAGCACGACTGGCGACAGGCGGCAGCGAGATAGCACGAAATCTCGCACGAATTCGCGACGTACGCGTAACGATCCGCCCGTGCGTGATGCGAGCCACCGCGCCGAGCGGATCGACGCACGACCGTTTCACACGACGGGATTTTCTTACCGAGGTGGAAGAATCGAACTCAACACAATCTCTCGAGGAAACTACAAAATGGCCGACGCGGAAAGGCACATGCCGTGGCGCGCGATGCATTCTGGGATCCGGTGGTGCGCTGTGCAGCCCATTCATCGCAGCGCCCCCTGTCGGTCGGCGGCATCGGCGCCGCCGCGCGCCACTTTTGTGTGCGTACGTTAAAAAGCCGATAAAGACCAGATCGCGTGGAACTTTTCGATTCTGTTGGAATTTCCGACGAAAGAGCGGAGCAGAAAACGATATGGAAATATCACTGTTCTTTTTCCACCGGTTCCTTGTATCGAAGATTTCGTCGCTCGACGAATGACGAATGTTCAACCGAGGTCCAATCTTCCGTTCGTCTTAAGACAGAGTAACAAGAAATTTAATAAAAAATTTAATTCCGAGTCAATTGCAATGTTTATTTTATCCTTATCTTTCGCTGTTGACGTCCAATCGCTATTTTCGCAAAGAAGCAAATCTGCTCTTCCCGAATAAAAATATCCAGTTACCGAGTAACAGTGATTACTCGTATTTCCGAGAACCTCGCATCTGGATACTTCCTTTTGTTCCTTGCTCTATAAAATATACCTTGCTCAGTTCTCAAGTAAATTGAAAAGTATCCACCATCTGAGATATGCGCAAAACACACAGAAGAAATGCTCTTTCGTAGCCACCAAATTCTAGATTTTATTTTCCGCTATTACACCTCGCAGTATGTTATATTAAATCGATATAATTGCAATTCCACGAAGCACGATTGTAGTAAGTATAGCAAACGAAATCAATAAACAGCGATAGTGTATCTGACAATTTTTTTCCTCGATGAAGTACATGTTGCACTTGTACGACGAGCACGTGTACATTCGCAATCGAACGCAGCGGCGGATATCTGCCACGATATATCTGCGAATTCCATAATTTAAATTGTATTATTACTTCTTTGCTCTTTCATGTTACACAAACATTAGGAAATACAAAATTCCATTGCATACTGACAAAAAGATCGGAAGTTCCTTTCTTAGTTGTAAAATAATAATCTATAACATATAATGAAAAAATCAAAAGTTTCTCCTCTAAAACACTTCTTATTCATTATCAAATAATTCAGCGCGAGTAACTTATAACTCTGTCTGGTTTGAAATACAAAAAGGAAGAGGAATATGATCAAATTCTCACAATAAGAACCTCCTTTGTTCCGTGTATTAATTAATTTATTTATCTAGAAGTCATCATTAAATCTCATCACTTCAAAACAATTTTCGTTATTGCTTTAAAAAAAAAAAGGGGAAAAGCAAGAAAAAGCAGATTCGAGGCACCGAGGATAGTCGAAAGAGGACAAGGAGATTCTCTCTATCAAAGTATTAAATCGCTCTATAAAAAAAAAAAATCAACAAAAGTTAGGCACGAGACAATTTTGCTCTCCAAACATCAACAACATAGAGGAAAATTGAGATTTCGGATTATTATCACTATAAAGGAATAGACGATGAACGAGCGAGCGAGCGAGCAAGCAAGCAAGCAAGCGAGCGAGCGCGCGAGCGAGCGCGCGCGCGCGCGCGAGAGAGAGAAAGAGAAAAGGAAGCCGGATTCAATTGGGAACCTATAGTTACGCCTTGCTGCCTTCTCGGAACACGTCTATTGCGTCCAGATACATACTACCTAACGCAAGAACGAACATCCATCCGGCGCTGCTAATTACCGCTCGCTCGTCTATGCCTCCTCCTCGATGATGATTATCAAAATGATGTGTCTTGTTACTGCTACTGTGGTTGCTGCTACTGCTGTTACTGAGGTAATCACCTCAGCAATTATTAACACCTAACATAAGGCTTACAGAGTGTTTACGTATGTACGTGTGCGTGCGTGACCTTGCACGTTTTGCGTGTATTGTGTGTGAAACGTATTGCTTTTCTCAAGAAAAGATCCAATTAATGATGTATTGCCTGCGTCGATTTGCTTGTAATCCTTTCTCTCTTCGCTGTATCTTCTTCCTTTCCCCTTTTTTTCTCTTTTTATAAACTTTTATTTACTACTACTTGTTTTCTCTTTTTCTCTGTTCGTTTCGTACGCGTCTTTCTTCCGTTTCTTTTTTTATTGATATTTATGTATGTATATATATATAAATATACATATATACATATATGCACGTGTATATGTATATATATATATGTATATATTTGTATATATATATATATTTTTTTGTATTTAATATTATAATCGGAGTGTCCGATGAGGAATTAGTGACTGATATACAGGTTCAATTTGAGAGGATGATAAAGCGCTGACAAGGGGCGGAGCTGTCCGTTGTTGTTGCTGCTGCTGTTCTTGTAGGTAGTGGCATGGATGATGACTATTGTTGCTGGCTTGTCGATTAAAAACCATGAACCTTCAGCTGGTCGGGTTTTGCCAGACCTGATTTTGTCAGCCACTGGCATATATTCTCTCGCTGGTCCCCCTGCAGCTGCAGCACCTCCCCGTACTCCGGGTGCTCTATTACTGTCCCATTGCACGCAAACTCCTATAGATCATCAGATATGTGTAGATACATCAAGTTTTGACCCATTAGAATGTATATTTTAATGATCAATTAGGCCAAATATTTCAATGACCTGTTAGTCCAGATATCTTAGACTAAATATCTAAATCTGGTCCTTTTGGCGATTCATTTGTAAGAAATGTTAATATCTCTTTTCCAGAGAAATTCCAAGCAAGCTGAAGGATTCTATTTAAAAACAATTTTCCAAGATCGATTAACAAAAAGTGAAACCCATAGCAAAATAGCAGGCAGATAAAATCAATAAATAGTTTAATCTTGGAATTATATGATTTAAGTTTTCAGAAATAACATCAGTGATTATAATTAATATTATATAAAATATCAGGACATACAATTGATTCTTATAACCTAAGGGACAATCAATATAACTTTTTTCACATGCTTTTCATTTTAAAAATTCTTTCTAATAATTTATATACTTTACCACAATCATATAGATTTAAAAATAAGAATATATAAAAAAATTAATTTTTAAAAAATAGAACAGAATGTTTCTCACTGTTCAACTTATCAAGCATAGGAACAAAAAAATAACATTAAAGAAAGAACATCAAACATTGAGATCATTAAAGTTAAATATGATTAAAATTCAACCAGAGGCAATATGACAAGGTACCGATGATGACCTAGATTTTAAACAAAGAATATCTCACCTATGTCAAACCACTTATAGAGATACACTTATACTATACTTGCAAAATATTTCCAAACTGCAACTGCTTGCTGTATACCATACAGTTGTTTGCATCAGACTTATTTTTAGAGTTCTGCTTCACTAGCTTATGGTGGGAGGTGATGGAAAAGGGAGGGAACAAGAAAGAGAGAAAGAGAACAGGTGGAGGGGCAGGAGGAGCAAGGAGGAAGAGGTAGTACAAGCAGAGAGGGCAGATGAAATAAGGGATCGACGGAAATTCCCAATTGCGTATAAGAAAGGATGCTCACCTTTTTACATGCTCTCACGATTTTCTTCAAGTCATATTCAGAGGAGAGTCCTTGCACCGTTGTTAAGGTCTTACGACCATTCCGCTGCTGGATCCTTATATGCACAAGGCCGTCTTGGACGTCATCGTCTGAACCCTTAATTGCATCTGCAAAGGGGTCTGCGGGAAGGAAAAACGAAAAGCCATCACCATTGTGTCGGGTTGCGCATAATTACGCAAGATGCATAGTAATGCAAGCGAAAGACTGTTACAACCGCCATTTTGATCGCGAGACAACGGTGCCGTGCCATCGCCGTCACCGTCCCCGTCTACGAAGAATGAAGGGACAAATAGATGGAGAAGAGAAAGACAAAGAGAAAGAGAGAGGAAAGAAGATGGGATGGTCCAAGGGAGAGAGGGTGGGTGGGTGGATGGATGAGAAAGAGAAAGAGAAAGAGAAAGAGAAAGAGAGAGAGAGAGAGAGAGAGAGAGAGAGAGGAGGAAAGAGAGAAAGAGATAGGTAGAGGTATATGAATAAGTCCGATAATGTCTTATCCCGTACTCACCGAATGTGTTAAGATTCTGGATGGACATACGACAAACAAAAGAGATCCCTCGGATGGTATACAGCTGCGAAGCGCAGGCGATAGTCTGGCAAGACGTTGGAATAACGCTGCGACAACAGTGGTACGATGCGCGGACACTGCGGAGAACGAACGGAACGATCCCACGAAATCAAGCGCGATGGTCGTATACGCAGGCCGGAAGTAAAAGTTGCATTTGTCACGGGGTGATGGGTGGGGTTGCGCGCGCGCGCCTCCGCGTTCCTAAAGGTGATATCGACGCACGCTATTGGCGACCAAGGTAGGAATGTTGGGGTAATGTCTAAGGCCTAGTTCCACAACTTGCTTTAAACGGAGTTTAAAGCTAAACCGGTGGTTAAAAGCAATAGTATATGCGCATATACTATTACTTTTAACCATCGGTTTAGCTTTAAACTCCGTTTAAAACAAGTTGTGGAACTGGGCCTAAGCATGCTAATTGGCGACCGAGATAGAAATGTTGGCAGTCGTCGACGCATGTGATTGGTCATCCTCTGTCGAGAAAACTTATTTTCTAGTGATTTCGGTTAGACATTTGATCTGTTATTTTTAGCTGCACTACTGAACTGGTGCAATAAGTTAAAGTGAGGAAAAATCAAGTTGTCTCATTCTAACTTATTGCACTAGTTCCGCAATGCAACTAGAAAGAACAGATCAATTTCCTTTTTCTTGAATTACAGGATGCGCTCTGATATTCAGATATTCAGCCAGTGCTGAAAATCTATAGTATATGTGACACAAATTATATATTTGCAGTACTAGCAATGAATATCGGAACGCAGCCTTTGTCTCTAAAATACAAACTATCCCATTGTATCCCGCGATGAATGTCGGATATTGCGACAGAATGCTATCGAGATACATTGGTTCTTCAATAAATATTCTTAAAATTAATTGTTTAAGTTTTGAAATTATCAAGTGTGCAAACATTTTCTGAAATTTTCCCTGCAAAAACGACATACAGCTTTCGGATACCCCCTAGCCAATGAAAATATTTATACAACATCTGAAAATGAACTTAAGACGGTCTTAAATATAAGATCTGACTATGAATACCGGCCTAAATGATTTTTACAACAAACGAGTCAAAAATAGACTTGGGCTCATAGACTACGTTTACACAGCCCAATTTACGCCAAAGTTATAACATCGATGTTATAACTACTGACGTTAGATGCCATGTAAACGCTCCTTTACGACGAAGTTATTACATTGATGTAGTAACTTAAAGTCATTTGGTGAAAAGGCATAGGGCAAGAGCACAGGCTTTTGCATAACACATAATACATAACACATAAGAGAATAAACCAATTAGTTTTCTTCATTTCCCTCCTCAGGACCGAAATGAAGAACTCTGATTGGTTGATTCTCTTATGCGTTGTGTATTATGCGTTATGCAAAAGTCTGTGCTCTGGCCCTAAACATACACTGTGTTGCATCGATTCGTTCCGCGAGAGGGGAAATGGAGGTCCCCCTCTCTGGCATGCTATTGTGTGCCAGCTCTCGGCGGCCGGCCGCCCGAGAGCCCAACTTATCGACGACTTTACCGACACTGCAATGGTAACACGAGCAGCGAAAGAATAATTGTTGCGTCGATAAAGACATGTATGTGAGAAATCGGGAGAATATAAAGTCTGCCACTTTTATTTGGAGAACTTTTGTTACAATGTAAATCGTGTTATTATTTACGTAATAATATTAAATAGATAAACATAGAAAAAAATTTTATACCGTCACACATACGCGATATTGGATCTAAGTGAGAGATTGGTGCGGTGCATATATGTGACGTTGATTGCAAGCAAATTGAATTTTTTTATTAATCAAATAATTATGCGCACACACGGAAGTATTCCTTTGTTAATATTTGGATGGCTCTGAAAAGAGCCGTTTGATGTTTGGTTCTGAAAAGAACCGTTTTAATAATCCGTCCAATGCCCTTGGCGTGCAACAACTTGTTGGAGACGTGTGTCGACGGAATTGACACCGTTAAACATGCCGTTAAATGTAACGTCAGTTCAGATAATCACGGTTTAAACTTGATTTTGTGGAACTGGGCCTTAGATGAAGATAATATGTATTCTAAAGCCAAACCTCTTTGGTGTTCAAACGTTCAAAATATTTGTCAACTGAACTCCAAAACCGGGATAGTCATAAATTTTTTTCTCAAATTGATGGTACTGCAGTGTTAAACTTCGTTTAAATTCATTAAACGCCCAAAGTTTTGGGTTTAACTTTAACTGTGAGAAAGCAACGTTAACCATGGTTTAAGGCAGTTGTGGAACGCAATTTTTCGTCTAAACTAGGGTTAACGAGTTAAACTTCGTTTACAGTAAGTTGTGGAACCGGGCTTTACTGCTTACTGCCATTGTAGACGACGCTTTTAAGGCTCGTCTACATTAGCTGTAAAGGCTCGTCTACATTAGCTGTAAGAGTAAGGCTGTAAGGTTGCAAGACACGAAATGAAATATTTTCATTCGCTGACAGCTTACGTTGCAGACTTACAGCCTTACTCTTACAGCTATTGTAGACGAGCCTTCACAACTGAAATAGCATTTTGTAACTAGTAGTTGCCATCGTTCGCAACTCGCAATTGCATGTTTGTAATCTATTTTGGACCGGGCTTTAGCCACAGACTTCTGTAGTATAACTAAACTGCTAACTCTCTTGTATACTGTAGCACAAAATTGACCCCAAAAAATATGTATTACATAAGGGAATCAAACATTTGCGCATTGTTAGGGATTGTTGTGAATTGTTAGAGCCAAAGCACAGACTTCTGCATAACGCATAATACATAACACATAAGAGAATAAACCAATTAGTTTTCTTCATTTCCCTCCTCAGGATAGAAATAAAGAACTCTGATTGGTTGATTCTCTTATGCGTTGTGTATTATGCGTTATGCAGAAGTCCGTGCTCTGGCCCTACGTCCACAAGGAGAGGGGCTACATAAGTAACATGGCCCATCCAATTAGAAGAAATGTGTTTTGATTCAACCAATCAGACGTGAATGTCGGACACCAGGACGGCACATACTTTTCGGGGTCATGTATTGAGTCGGAGTTAGCAGTCTAGTTATACTATAGAAGACTGTGGCTTTAGCTCGCAATCTATAGTGGGATACGGCCTTTAGTGGCGCGATAAACGTAATCCAAAATATAATTCATTATAACAGTAAAATGAGAAAGTGATATCAAATAAATTTTACGTTCAATACTGTATTTTTTATTCCAACTAAGAAAGAGAACTACAGAAGCATATACGATTTGATTTGTTTTGATCTTGGTAATATCTGTATTGTATGTTGTATGAGTATATTAATTGAAACGTTTGCAACAAAGTGATTTTAATATGAAGGAACAGTGAGCATTCTGCATAAATAATTTACAGGTGTTATTTGACGAGGTTTAAGAATTTATTTGTATATTTAATAATTTGCTCATTTCTAAATTTCAGGTTTAGATTTGGGAACTCTATCTGATAAAACTTGTGCGAGCTGTAAAATTGTACACTTATTATGAAACAATTTTGAAAGAATCATTAATTGTGAACCATTTTTTAGAAAACAATTCCTTATATTTGATGAAAAAAACTTAATAGAAGTTATTTTCGGATTAAAAGTATAAATTTGCTTTCTGATGATCAAAATATCTTAAACCATTACTTACTAAAATTTAATTTCTTTAGCAGCACTCAGTTTATGACAATATACTATATTCTATTAAATTGGAACAAATTTTATTTTATCTTACATCAGTTACTTACATATATTATTATAATTCTATTCGAATACTTTTGTGATTATCATCAATGATTCAATCACAAATGTTACAATGCCATAAAAAAAAAATAGCAAGCCTTTCAGTTTTCTTCATCATTGACGTAAACCGCTTGAGAGGGGAGAATGGGAATAAGATAAAGTAGGAGAGGTAGAGAAGAAACAGAAGACAATCGCAAGCTGGTTCAACGCCGAAGATTTCTTTTTGTACTCTAAAAATGATCTGATTATAAAAAGTAATCGGCCTGTGGCTTTTTACTGGGAATACCACGGCTTTCTTGTGGCGCCGCTTCGAATATCGTAAAGTCTCTTTGCAAATGTTCATTGAGCTCCAATATCGCGGCAACATTACCGCATCTGTATGAAAAGAAAAAAAGATATATTAGATATGTTAAAATAGAGCTATCAAAGCCTCCAAGATATAAAATAGTGTACTTAAGATTACATGGAATAACTTCCATTAGAAAAGAAAAAAGGAAAAAATATATTACAACCATAAAAATCACACACCTGTAACAATAATTTGGTGCAGACCAGACTGTCAACACAGTTTCATTAAAATGCCATTTGTAACCTTCCATCACCAGCTGATGAGCTCTGCATATCATGTCAATATCGTTCGCAGAATTAAATTGAGCAACAACGTCGCTGCCAAATAGGTAACCCGCCCCACGAGGTGACACACCCCAACCCTGGGTGTCCTCAGGATCTGACCACAATAAGTCACACATTGGCCCATCGTGAGGAACCTGTAGGATTAAATTGAGAAAATATAATTAAAAAAGTAGTAAAGTAAAGGTTCAATATATATAATTTTGATAAAGGTAGACGATACAGTGAAATCCAACAAACCGATTAAAAAAATTTCAGCTGCCTTGTATATTATATATTTACCAATTTACAAATTTATTATACAGATACACAATACTTTTGAGGAACAATAACCAATTTTTAAATTTGAAAATATACTCCTGGATTAGCTTTATATGGAAATCGCTGAAGAAGAATCATAATAAACAATAAACAATAATCTACTTACTTCTTGTTTTCTATCTATAGTTCGGATTTGATCCAATGTTTGAATACTAGGTGACAATCCACCATGAACACAGAAAATCTTGCCATCAATGATAGCAGATAGTGATAGATAGTCAAATATCTCTGTGCAATACCGCCATACTGTTATACTTCCATATTTGCGTAAGCATTCGTCATAAAAACCATAAACTTGTGTTATTTGTCGAGATTCATGATTTCCTCTTATCAATGTGATTCTGTCAGGATAACGAACCTGTTTACATACGTATAGACATACAGTCATAGATAAGTGTTTTGAGCAGATATAAGACAATGACAGACAGAACACGTAATAGTAATAATAATAAAGTTCCTATGCAGGATTTTTCAAACCCCTACATGTAATCCATTAATAATGAATTCTTAAGAATATTTTGAGATAATTCCCAGTATCAGCATATATTTTGCATGTGTAATACATTCGTGTAAAAGTAGACTCTTAGGAGCTGTATCAACATTTCTGGTTTGTTCTTTTTAACCAATTTCTATTTCAATGTAAAAACAAAGCAAACAAGGTGTTTGTTTTTACCTAAATTCCAATTAATTGCAGTCCTTTAGTTGACATACCTTTAATGCAAGAAGGAGGAGAAATGTTTCAACACTATAAAATCCTCTGTCTACAAAATCACCCATAAAAAGGTAATTTGTTTCCGGTACATCGCCACCTACTTTGAATAACTCTTTTAAATCATAAAACTGTCCATGAATGTCTCCACAAACCTAAAAACGACAGAAGTGCAATTTCTCCAATATCTTTAATGGTTTATTTCTTATGATAGAATTATTACTACTACTTATAAGGAATAGAAATAATTACTGTCACAGGCGAGTCGACACGTTGGACGTTGCTTTCTTCGATAAGGATTTCGCGTGCTTTGGCACATAAAGCTTTAACCTCGGCTTCCTTGATGATCTCACATTTCTTCAGTTGTTCGATTTGCCGATCCAAGTCACTAGAATCGGCCATCGTACAGTGCCGGTGAAAGACTGGTTTGAAGGTTTTCTTACCAGAAAAGGCAGCTTTGCGCTTATCAATGGGTTCTTGCAGCTTTAGTGACGTAGAGATAATAAACTGTCATGTAGCTATCGGATAAGCGTACAAAGGACGAAAATAAGAACGAAGTGAATATTTTAAGGTAAGGTTGTGTGCATGTACAACACTTACAAACTACCGACCACAGTCGTGTCTCAACGCCTCACTGTTGTAGTCGTTGTAATCGACGCATTTGACCGGAAAAAAAAAAGCACGTGGGATCCCACCTTCAATAAAATGATGCAAAACTGATCCTCGTGCTGGCAGGAGGCGGGATACTCGCGATTACTCCGAAAATCGTCTTGCCTCCTCGCAGTGGCTGGTTCTGGTTCTGGTCCAATAAATGGCTTTGAGCAGAGCTGTTACACTCTACCCCCTACGCCAGTCAACGATTATGAAGATAAAAGAAAAATTGGGACAATGCGTACACAGTCCCCACGATAAAAAAGTATGCGTAGCTACAGAAACACCATATCCAAACGCCACGGAAGCGAACTCCTCGCAGTGGCGACACCAAACAATTTAGATTCTAGCGGGGTCTACAATAGAAGTCGTAAATTCCGAAGTCATAAGGTCGTAAGGAAATTAACCAATCATAGTCGACTATTTTCCTTGCGGTCGGAGAATAACCAATTGTGATTGGTCAATTTTTTTATGGCCTTACGACTTAGGACCATACGAGTTTTATTGTGGACCTCGCTTTAGGCCTTCTACAATAAGCTATTTGTCATAAGACGAAAGCAAATTGACCAACCACAGTTTAACCACAGTCTAAAATTCTAAAAAAAATTGTCGACTGTGGTTGGTCAATTCGCTTGTATCTTCGCTTGTATGACTGACCAATGACGTATATAACTAGACCAAGCATTCCCTCAAGCATGGTCTACAATGGCCGCAAGCAGTAAGAAGTAAGCATGAACAGTAAGAAATGGACCAACCACAGTTGATTATTTTTGTCATAATCGACTGTGATTGGTTTATTTCTTATCGCTTACGCTTACTTCTTACTGCTTACTGCCATTGTAGACGACGCTTTACACAACCTTACAGCCTTACTCTTACAGCTAATGTAGACGAGCCTTTATACACATCAATGGCCGCGTTCAGCAGAACAAAGTGATCAGAGAGCGCTTAGTGACTATTGTCTGTGATTGGAGCATTCTTTTAGATTCTTCATAGACCCAGAAGTATTTACCAATCAGGAATGAGATTCAATGGAAAATCTAGTAATGTTGTCCAACTGTTGAGTCTGCTGAATGCAGCCATTGGCTCCGTCTCTTAAAGCTAGCGGCATACGGTGCTTGTTTTCACGGTGTTGGATTGCTTGCTGGATGAAAATACTGCGTTCTGATTCGTACATTACCGAAGATGGATGGCAATGCACCAATTAGAACGCAATATTTTCATCCAGCAAGCAATCCAGCACGAAAACAAGCACCGTGTGCCGCTGGCTTTAACTTTTGATCGAGCTTGTCCAAAGAATCCGCCGCGCATGCGCGTAACATTTCCCACATATGTTAATTTGAATTAAAGGAGTTCGTTACGAACGTGGGACGTTGGATGTCGGTTCAGCAGGCCGGTTCAGGTAACTACAAATTACATGAGAGAAGATTGAGAAGTTCGTTATAATTTTCGGTTAGCAGAAAATACGACAGGAGTGTGATATTCTATTCTATTCTCGAGAAGTTATAAAAACAAGTGCAACGTGAAATCTGTGATATAATTGATGTGTATTTTTTCTTATGTTACATTTCCTTGTAATTGGCGTAGAAAATTATCTTCATAAAAGTGCTTCAGAGTAGGATTACTTCAAAGTAAGGTACATGTAAATTTTGGTTCATGAATCATTTGAGTGGTATATATTTCGTTTCTGATATAATTTTCCTTCTAAATGTATTTCTTACGTTGTATACATAATGCTCGTTATAAATAATTGTATAGTTATGTATTTGACTTGCATCCTTTCAGAAAGTTGTACAGGATGGAATTATTTCAGTCTGTGGACAAACAGATACGATTTACGTTGTTACTTGCTCCATTTCAAGCGATGACAAGGATTGAACTAGAGGCTTATGTAAATAATATCGTGGAATGTTACTTGGATGTTAAAAATCCTTCCAACAAGACATTAAATGTAAGAGGAATATATTGCTTAAAACATTATTTTATTGTTTCACATAAGAAGCTGATGTAGTATCATGTGCAGACAAATTCCACCATAGGACAATGATTGGCTATTAAAAATTTTCACCTGACACTTTGCATGATTTGCTTTATATGTAGTAATGATTTTCAGGTGACTGTAACAAAAGTACCAGATGCAAAACGTCAAATCATTGTAAATACAGACAAATTAGAAATTTCTGGACAGAGTAGTAGCACAATATCCATTAAATGGTCCCCTAAAGAAACAGGATGCTGGCGAGATGTTCTACAATTTACTGATAGCAGACGGATTAAATATGACATTGCTATAACAACAACTGCTAAGACAAATAAAGAAAAGATACAAAAAAAGTTATCAAAGAAAGCAATATTATCGAAACTACCTGTTCTTTCTGTACCAACTGTAAATAAACAACTTTGCGGAGATGTGTCGTTGAGTGTTCCGAATAAAGGCAGTCAGTCATTGTGTCTCAATTTGAGTAAACAAATGAGAGCAGATGAGCAGACAAAGCATGAGAACAGTTTGAACAAAGAGAATGTCCTGAGCAAATATGAGGTGAAAATTTACACAACGCAAGAAGACAGAATGAAATCCCGTCGTTATGACTATCATGAATCAACAAGTATTTTATCCGAGCAGAATTCGAATGTGTGGAATGACGGCAGTGTGGTGTCTCAAGCCTTTCTTACTTGGAGTAAGCCGCAAGAGATACGAAGGGCCACGTACGTCAAGGAGAAAAGACACTATAATGGCACTACGACGATATATGGACGCAGTGAGGAGGTAACTGAAGATGTGGCGTGTATCGGAGATCGATCCAAGTCGAATTTCTCTATGCTGATAAATGAGCTAAAATTTACAACTACGGACGTGATCACGGTTTCTCCGCAGCCTGTGAAGAAGGAATCAGCAGAATTCACGAGCTCATTGAACGAGGAAACTTGCGATGAGAGGAACAAGACCTTCGCTGTCGGTCACCGAACTTACGAAATACCCACCATTTCCGTCCAAGAGACGAATAGTAACATCTTGTCGCCGGCACCGCGACCGCTGGAATGTTGCGAGTTGTCCTTCAAAGATGGTGTGAACAATTTGATCGCATCGTCGCCGATTGTTCAGCGATCACGCATCGAAATATCAAAAACTGAGCACTCCGGACATCTTGTAGATAATGTAGATTACAGCGGTAAAGTAAATCATGGATACTTTAGTTGCACGACTATCCCCGAGGATATCGGGACGGTGAAGAATGCAAAAGATGTATATATCGAGATCTCCCCGCCAAAGAAATACCTCTCTAAGGCGTGTTCACCACTGTTTAGTACAAAAGCCGGCAGAGTCACGAAGGAAAAAAATCTCCACAATGGCAGAAACGCAAAAGGACTCCAACTGTTTGTACCTGTTACAGGTGAGTCATGTGAGTTTTCCAAAGCTAGTTTTCTCAGTAATATCGAGCTTCTCTCTAACGTGGCGCTATCACGATAGCGAAAAAAGGCACGAAGAAGAATGCATCAACCGTCAAGATAAACAAGTCTCTCTGCACCTTGCGCCAAATGAAGAAGGCTTACCCGATTACACCGGTTACCCGGGAATCGAGGCCGCACACCGAGGAAATCTCCATCTATGAAGTGTTCATGCCGAGTCCCTTCACATCGTCCATGACGGAAAATCCTTTTCTTAAAAAGTACATCACAAGTTGCAATCTATACCTTGTTCACTAACTTAACTTCACACTAACGCGTTAGGTTTTTTTTAAACATGACCCACGGAATAATTTCAATTTTCCCGCATCTAATTACACATTGATAAGTTGTAAGTTAGTTTCATGTACCGTCGCGCGCGAAATCGCTCGGTGCGATAATATCCTTGATCTCGTTAATCTCGTTAATCCTGTCGTGACAGCACGGCAAGCGTCTCCAACGAGAAGTGGTTGTTGCGGCAGGAACTGGTGTTCACACTGTGGCTGAACAGTGTGCTGTCCACGCCGAAGGACTTGCGTGTCAACATCGACAACGCGATCACAGACACCATCGACAAGTGGCAGTCACGAAAGGACCGCGACGAAGGGATCGATGTTAATGCGCCATGTGCTGCGATTCTGAGAACCGCATCCACCAGGTAGACATTGTATCAATGATAGATGTAAAACGGAAAGACGCGACAAAAACAGTCAGGTCCCAGGCGTAGCCGAGGTCTAACTCAACGACTGATTAATTATCTGCAGTTGTCACACGACGAAGAAGCTGCAAGTCTTGCGGAGAGACGCGTACGCCATGCTTCACCGCGCCGAGATGACGGGAATGAAAACGCGCATCGACAGATGCATCACCGAGGGGATGTTGTACGTCAGACCAGATCGTGATCTACATCGGGACTTTGGTGAGTGAGATCATGTGCTCCTTCGAGAGCTTTGTTCGTTACTACGAAGAACAAAATAACAAAACATCATCAACGATCCGTGTCTCTTAGTTTCATGCGACATTCGTTGCAGATATCAGACGTATATCGTTGTATGAGAGTCCGAGTAATTTTTATAAGAAATTGCAAACCGACCATCTCCGATCGCTCTAGTAATTCTAACGTCTTCCACCTAACTACTGCCTAATCCACGTAGCTGTGCACGTTACACGTGCAAAGTGTCAGGAGAAAACGCTCCACGCGCCTGAAGTCGTGTCTAACGTTGCCGTATGCGTGCCGTGGCAGGTCTGCAGAAAGATGTGCTGAGCGTGTTCTTGTGCTACAATCCGCTGTGGCTACGCATCGGCCTGGAGGCCGTGTACAACGAGAGCATTCCCCTGCGCAACAATAACGACCTGTTCGGCCTCAGCCGCTTCATCACGGAGCGGTTCTTCACGAACCCGCAGCTGACGAGGACTCCGGGTTACCACAGGGCCGACCCAAGCAAGAAGTTCCTCAAAGCGCTCAATCAATTCATGCTGAAGAAGTTTCTCCTGCTGGTGTACTTCCTGGACTACGCGAAGCAGCGCAAGCTGATCACCCACGACCCGTGCCTGTTCCGCAAGCAGGCCGCGTGGAAGACAAGTCGCGAGATCCTGCTGCGCTTCTCGCGCGACCTCCTCGCCGGGGTCGGTGACGTGACGAAGATCCTACGCGTCTACGACTACGTGTTGACGCACCGGCAGACCCACATCGACGAGTACGAGTATGAGGTGACGGACATCCGGCAGGACTTGCGCGACGGCGTACGGCTGTGTCGCGTCGTCGAGCTGATCACCGGCGTCGACGGACTCACTCAGCAGTGCAGAGCGCCGGCGATATCGCGCCTGCAGAAGGTGCACAACGTGGAGGTGGCGCTGAGCGCGTTGCGCCAGATCGGTGGTGTTCTCGCGGACGACGTGGAGGCCAAGTACGTCGCCTATGGCGACCGCATGAAGACCTTGTCGCTCTTATGGCAGATCGTTCGCAAGATCCAGGCGCCGAGGTTCGACCGAGCGGCCCGCACGATTCAGAAGTGGTGGCGCTCGCGAATGTGGCAGACTCGCGTGAGGAATTACCTGCACGAGCGCAGGAATTACGCCGCTTACGTGATTCAGCGCGCATGGAGACTGCAACACTGCGAGACGAAAGTCAGCGAAGAACGAGTGAGCCTCCTGCGCGCCAAGGAAGCCGCGATACGGCTGCAGCGATGGTGGAGGCTGGCGCGGGAGAGCGTGCGCGTGAAGAATCGCCGTGAGCTGGAAGACAAACGCCGGAATGCGGTGCTCGTGTTGCAGAGGAGATGGCGAGCGGCGTTGCTGATGAGAACACACCGAGAACGTTATCGCGACATGAAGAACGCCGCGACGCGGATACGGTCCTGGTGGCGATCCAGCAGGCTCGCGCGAGAGAAACGCGAATGGTTCCTCCGCTGCAGGAGGAGCGCGCTCGTCATCCAGAGGGTATGGAAGATGTACCAAGCGCGGCAGCGACGAAAGCGAGACGCCTGCTTGTTGAGGATACAGACATGGTGGAGGGCGACCTCGTGTTCGCGCAGGTATCAGCTGCGGAGGTCCTCCTGTGTGAAGATACAGCGATGGTGGCGAGAACGGCAGCGTTACCGGGCGCAACGGCGAGCGGTGTCTCTGATAGAATCCTGGTACCTTTGCACGAAGGCCGGCAGAACCGCTCGAGAAGACTACTTGCGGATGAAGGACGCCGCGACGCGAGTGCAGACCTGGTGGCGCTCGGTGATGATCGCGCGCGAAGACCACCGTAGATACCAACAGCTTCGTCAGAGCATCGTTATCGTGCAGACTTATTGGCGGCGACGTGCCTCGGCTCGTCGGGATCGTCGGCAGTTTTTGGTCAAGAGGAAAGCATGCGTTTGCCTGCAATCTTATTGGCGGCGAATGATCCAAGTGAGAAGGTGCTACGAACGACGCAGGAGCTGCGTGATTATACTGCAAAGGAGGTGGCGCGCGGCCCTAGCCGGTCGCATCGCGAGGAGGGAGTACGAGGACATCCGGGCGAGCGTCATCGTCGTGCAGAGCCGTTGGAGGGCTTTCGTGGCGAGGAGGCGGTTCCTCCGTTGTCGGCGGGCCGCGATCGTCATTCAATCGTATTACAGGATGAGGCTCGCGATGAGACGATACGACGATGTGAGGCGAGCCGTTTTGACGATCCAGGTATATTGGCGTTGTAAGCGGAAGAGGATCGAAGCGGAGTCGCTGAGGAGGCGGCACCAAGAGGACCTCGTCTTGGTCGTTCTGAATCTTCAGAACGAATGCGAGGGTGCTCCGTCGGATCAGCCGCTTGGCAGCGCCATACTTCCCAGCGACAACTATTGGCATCAGACGATCGACATACTGCGTACTTGTAATAATGTCGGGACCTTGCTCACCTGCCTCAGCAGTCTGGGTGAGCTCGTTGTATCGTCTCGTTCGACAAGCGATACTGCATAATTCACGTTCTTAGCTGCATCATTTATTCTCCGTGAGGGAGAGCGACGATGAAGTTTCGAGAGTAAAGCAATGAAGTAAGAAATTAGTTCTCTATTATCTCAGATTGGTAAGATGGATAAAAAGTGGGTGTAAGTCCACGAGCAGTACTCAAAGCAGTACTTTCAAGTTGCTTCTGTAGAAGAATTGCGCGTGGATGAATGTAGGAATGAAATATTTACTTTGTTCCAACTCTCGGATGAATATCGGTGTCGGAAGTGTCAGATTCATCTAAATTATGCGGTATCGTTCCACGAACAAGTAGTTAATAGTAGTCTGAACAGACTGAAGAGTGCGGATAATATGAATATGTATTCATTATACTCATCATGCGTAGATACCATAACGAAGTTTTCACCTACGGTTTGTGTGACCCTCTGCCAGCTGAACCTGGTCGACGAGATTTACAAAACGATAAGCCAGCGCAACAGGTCGCAACCGTGGATGATCGTCTGCCAGCGAGCGTGCAGTATTCTCATCACCCTTGCGAAATACCCTTACACGAGGAAATGTATCGTTAAGGTGAGCTCACCGATGCCCCGGGGCCGATGATCTTATCGTTCTTTATTTAATCCGTTGCACTGTCTGGAAAAAAAAAAAAAAAGAAACCAAGAGAAACTTTTCCATCGATTCCAGCAAGAACATGCGCTGTTGTTAGTGAAGCTTCTGAGTGACGCGACGAAGGACAAGGATGTATTCCTGCATTGTGCCACTTTAATATGGCTCCTTTGTCACGATGAAGACTACTCGAAGGTATGTTCTAGTTAATTGGATGAAAGTTCGCAGACTAGATACTCTTAGGCTCTTGCAGTAGCTGCAGATTTCGTAATTCGAAGATGTATTTCCGTTGAAGCGGATTTTTCGATTCTTCATAATTCTTGATATTTTGAGGCATTTATATGAGATTTCACGTGTGTACATGCTTCTATATTCTCTTTTTACTTCTGTCGAAGTTTTCCGACTTTTTCAGACTATGACAATGCGTTCGGACATAAGCTGGCTGCTGCGAAACATTCAGCAAAAGGTCTCGACGGCCACGACAATGGCTAAACTTCAAAAATCAAAGAATCTCGAGAGATTATATTCCAGCTATGATTCTGATCGAAGCAGCACGCTCCAGTTCAGTAATATGAATGCCGCCATTTTAGCTATTATCGATAGGACTAATATATATTAATAATTTACAAGGTTAGTAAGAGTAATCTTCTGATGAACGCGTTACCAAAGTTTTGCCTTCTCGAAAAATATGTTCTCACTTGTCCATCACTTGTAGCGATGAATTTAAAAACACCCTCCGAAAAGATACAAATTGAAAAACTGGCGATCCTGTGCAGGAAGCCGCAAAAAAGTCAAAACGATTAAGTTTTCATTCTGCTTTAATAATCGACTCATTCCTAAAAACGTGGCAGAACACTGACAACGATGATAATTTGATTTGTGTGCGTATAATACAATAAAAGATAAATTTAATCTTTATTTACAGTGCTACTCGCAAATAAAATTAATAATATAATAATAATAATAATGATGATGATGATGATGATGATGATGATGATGATGATGATGATGATGATGATGAGAATGATGATGTTGGCGATAATGATATTAATAACGATGAGAGTGATGACGATAAATTATAACTATGTAATAGTAATAAAACCGCAATTAGCAACAGCAGCAGTAGACTCGATAGTAATAATAATTATAGTGGTAGTTAGTCATAGCGGTAGCAATAATTGTATTTTCTTTGACTTAATTATCATGTACAGACTTAAGTTCTTTGATCTGTTTAATCAGATACGCCTTCTCATCGTTGAACTGCTCGTCCTCAGAACGGTCCGTATGGAAGCGCGTCAGGAACTCTATCAGCTTTTCCTGATTGCGGAGCAATATATCCAGGATGGGTTTCGGTTTGTTCGGATTCGCGACAAATACCTGAGCACAACCAGAAGAAGAGCATCGTTAACTCTTCGTTAGCGTTATACAAATGGATTGTTTCTTTCGCATGTGTCAGGATATAATTGCAAGGACCGAAGAAGAAGAGACTGTATATAGCAAGGTCGCGGTACAAAGTATATTGAGAAATTGCGGATCGTCGCACGGGAGGAGTTGATCCAAGATCGGAATCAGCGCAATATGTATGTATGCACACACACGCATACGTAATTTTTTTTACACTACATGACTACAAAATTTTATAGTCGAAGTCAAAGTATGCATCGATGACTCTACATGAATAATGAGTTACAAATTCAATTTGGACCGCATAGACTAGATTGCATACCTTGAAAACGTGGAAAGCCTCGAACTGTATATTGCGAGACTTCTCCTTCAGCATGTTCATCATCAGCTTTAAGTTATCTGGATTCGATATATATCGTGTCATGACCTGGAACATTTTCAGCATAAAGATTACGTCTCCGATAATGCGATCACGCGCAGCCATACATTTGTATACAAATATTCTCCGATATTTTCTTACTGTGATTAAGCCTCATCAAAGATCGTCTACTATTGTATGCTATTGTATGTTTTGTAATATATTACTTGCATGTTTCTAATTGTCGACAAATTGAGCAATCTCACCTAGCCACTTAGCGATCAATTTGCCATGATATAAGCGCGTATCTAACATTAGGTCTAGAACAACACCATAGATCATACCTACTAGTAGAACTTTCTTGTTCTTTCTTACACAAATGAATTATAAACGAATGTAATATAAAATGAATTACATAAATAAATGTCCTTTTTTTTAAATTTTTTGTATACTAACATTGTAATAAATTTATATTTAAAATAATAAATGAATGTACATAAAATGAATTACATAAAAATTTTTGAAAATTTTTTTGTATATTAACACTGTAATAAGTTTATATTTAAAGTAACAAATAAATGAATCTACATAAAATGAATTACATAAATAAATGTTCTTTTTCTTTTCCCTGAAAGTTTTTCGTATATTATATTATAACATCGTAATAAATTTATATTTAAAAACACAAAAGACAACAGAGACTTTTGTATGCACATGTAGAGAGAAATGTTTTGACATTTCTCTCCAGTGTGAATTACATTGATGATAATGTTGCACGCGTCGCTGGATACTTACAGTAAAATTGTGTCTGTCGAGCAGTAGTTCGCCCAGTAGCTTTAAACTCTGTCGTCGTGTTACATAGTTTTCCGAATTGAGTAACCTCTGATAGTGTGAGAAAACTTTATCGTAATTTATCTCTAAGAATTCGGCGCTGAGTATCTTGTGCCTCGTAAGTAATTCCTGAAGAAGAAACAGTGAATCGAATTATACGCATAGCAAGACACAGTACCGGCAACGCGTTAATGCTCGAGAAATATTCCATTGAGAATATGTAACGAGAGATTTTTATTGAACTTGATATAAACGGTATCGTGATAACAAGAAATTCGAATAAAACTCCTCTCTCGTGCTTCTCGTGCTTCGCAGATAGAGCGGGACGTACTTTGAACGTAGAGAAAGCATCGGATGCGATATCGAACGTAGAAACTTCGACGTATCTGAAGAAATTGTAGAAATCGTCCGAATAAATCATAATCTTAGCCAATGCCTCGTATCTCGCACACTCCCGTAACATAGTGCCACAATTGAGCGCGATGTCTTGGTGTTCGTAACTGCAAAAAAAGGAACATCCGTGAGCATCAGCGGACACAGAACTTTATCATTTTGCTTTACTGACATTCAAGAGAAAGAGAAACAGTGGGGACTCACCCAGACATAAGTGTAAAGAGAATTTCGGGTTTGGTACATATGTACTCCACCGTGGGCGATCTGGTTCCAATTTGCCTCCGCAGAATGTTGTTGAAGACCTGCGCGACATCCTTCTTGCCCTTAATCGGAAACAGAGGAGAAGAGTAAAAATTATCACTGATAATTTGTATACTTTCAGAGAAGCTCAAAAATAAGCTCTCTGACTAAAGCTTCGCTGAGTTACGGACGAGATGCGGACTTTCATTCTAACAAGTGTACTAATCTGATTCTGCATCCTTTGTGCACAATGAGTAATGTATCATTGGCAAAATGTCGAACTGTGTTTAGAGGCAGTTGTTTCAACTCCTTGGTAAGTTAACTGGCAGTTAAATCATAAATCAAATCTGTTTTTTTTTTCTGTGAAAGTGAAAGAAAAACGAAGGCAGACATATGGTTTACTAGCAATCAGTTAACTTATCAAGAAGTTGCAACAACTTGCCCCCCATATACAGATACATAATTGCGCCTAGGATGATGCAAGACTGACGTACCTCGAAGTCGATACGACTCAGATTTTGCACAAGCAGAAGTAACAGGTTGCTGTTGTACAACTCCTGCGCCAACTGTGCCACCACGATGTCCGCCTGCGGCTCCGTCTCGGCCGTGCCGTATAGCATATTTTTAATGTGCACAAGGTTCTTGCTTACGTCTTCTTGCGCCTAAAACGGGATGTATTTCATCGTAGAAACCGACGCGTATCCACAACAACGTACCTTCTCTACCTTCTTGTCGCCGCGTTCCAATGCGTTTACCGCCTCCTTCAGAGCCTTCACCACTTCCGCCGGACTCTTCTGGGACTTTCCAAACAGAGGCATGTTTTCTTACAATGTACGCACCTTGCGAAACACACCCAAAAAGAAACAGACGGTCCTCATTATTATTCTCCATTGTCAATTAATCGTTCATGAAGTGAAATTCCAGGATGAGTGAGTGTATGTAAGAAGCGTTCGCGACTCTGATGAATAATCTGATCATCGAATCTGATTTTAAAAAATGCAATTAGGCATTCCTCCGTCATTACTATTTTTGCAATTGATACATATGGCATTAATACATTGTGCAAAACACACGCGGCAGACCAAGAGATAAATGGTAAATGCGTTTGTAATAAATATGCGAGAAAATTGACTTTCGTCTCGAGCGTCGTGTGTGTGTGTGTGTGTGTGTGTGTGTGTGTGTGTGTGTGTGTGCGCGCGCGCGCGCGCGAATACATATATGCATACATGTATCATATGACGCGACAAGTATACAACATGTTCATGTCACGCGTAAAGAATATACCGTGGGAAACGCAAAAAAGAGCCGCGAGAGCGATCGCAATCCTGGCAATCGCAATGCGAGAGATCGTCACATACACTGTTGTGGAACATACAACGGGGGAAAATGACGAGGTGTAGAAAACTGGAGCATCAGACACGGTTGAGCCGTCAAGTCAATGTCACGACTCGCGCGGAATTCGTCGCTGGGCGACGAAGATCGAGCGCAAGATCGGCGGCACGAGAGAGCGCGCGGAGCCTATCGCCGCGTAACGTTATTCACGACGAGCATCTCTCTACCTCTCGGACCTGCGCTGGCTGCGGGACACTTCCCGACCGACTACGTCAGAGTCGTACGTGTAGCGGCTACGGCGCAACGCACCCTCGACGTCATCAGTGTCCGCGATCGTGTCGCGATGTCGTTGGCAAGGTCGACCTCCTCCGTGGGCGATCTCGCGCGGAGCGACCGGATCGGCTATCGCGGGACAAAGTCGCGAAGAAGCTCTGGCAGTTAATCGGTTCTGAGGCGTCCTAACCTCAACTTCAACGAACGATTATCTCCACTCGGCGATGCTCGACCGAGTCTGTCGAGTCACCTGACCTGTGACGGGACGGGGGACGGAGACGTTGCTTTGTGCCATATTTCCGTGCGGATTGAGGATACGCCTTAAAACGCGCGCGCGCGCGGAAGATCTCGAAGTGGTGGCGACGATGACGAGCGAGCCATTGATAACGATCGACCGAGAATCGAGTCTCCGATCGCAAATCGCAACTCTGGTCGCGGACGCGGACGCGCTCGCGCTTGCTTGTTCGTTCGCTCATGCGCGCACGCTCGGTTACGAGGTGAGGATTCTAACTTAAGCCAGCGGCACACGATGCTTATTTTCGTGCTGGATTGCTTGCTGGATGAAAATACTGCGTTCTGATTGGTGCATTTCCATCCATCTTCGGAAATGTACCAATCAAAACGCAGTATTTTCATCCAGCAAGCAATCCAGCACGAAAACAAGCACCGTGTGCCGCTGGCTTAAGGGAGGCAGTTGGTGTATAGCAACTACCGCCCCCTATTCCGCTTCCATCGGGACTGTGCGAGAGAGAACGAACAGTAAAAACAGAGTGCTTCCTTTTCTCCGAGAGTTATAACCCTACTCTTGAAATTTGGGAGAACGCGCAGTCTAGATATACTCTATATGTCTATGGGCCAATTGTTCCAACTTCGTGGTAAGTTAACTGATAGTTAAATCATATCTCTGTTTTTGTCTAAGTTGAAGGAAAAACGAAGACAAACGTATGATTTAACTATCAGTAAAGGCCATGCACGTACAAAAGTTTTAGTCGTAACCGTAAGTCCGTAAGCAAATTGACCAATCACAATTCGTATATTTCGAGATGCTGGATTGTGATTGGTCAATTTGCTTACGGTCTTACGGTTACGACTAAAATTTTTTTACGTGCAATGGCCTTTAAGCCCTAAACACAATACCAGGCAATAAGAATAAAAATAGACCAATTACAATCGATTATTACAAGAATAATCTATTGTGATTGGTCTATTTTTATTCTTATTGCCTGTGCCTGGCATTGTGTCTAGGGCTTTAACTTACCAAGAAATTGGAACAACCGGCCCTATGAGAGTTGTCGTCATCAAATCACGAAGATAGTAGATGGTCGTGCCTATCATATCTTTCAGTCCTAGTGGAACTAACTCGAACTCGATTTACCGTAAACACCCTGGCTGCGTTCCAAAATTCACTGCCAGTACTGAAAATCTATAGTATACGTGACACAAACTATGTATTTTCAGTACTGGCAGTGAATTTCGGAACGCAGCCCCTGAGTAATGAGGGGGAAATATCGATCGATGAAGCAAGCATCGAATCTTATTTTCTTGAAAAATTGATTATGAGACTGATATTTTTGGAACCGATTATTCCCTAGATCGATTATTTTTTTCGTCGATTATATTACTAGATTTGTTGCTAAATTTTTAGGACACTAGGGAATTTGTTTACTACTATTAAGGCCCGTTTATAATAGCTGCAAAAATAAAGCGCTGTAACAGTAAACAGTAAAAAATAAACCAACAACAGTCGACTATTATAAGAACAACCGACTTTAATTGGTTTATTTCTTGTAGCTTACGCTTATAGCCTTATTCTTATATAAGCTTATGCTTGCAGCCATTGCAAAAGGGTCTTTAAGGTTTTAATAATAATATATTAATTTATTGTTGCAACATATAACTTTTCACATTAATTTAAAATAAACTAGGAAAACATCTTATCGATTATTATCGATATTTTTAAGAAAATATCGATTATGCAAAAACGATTTTTCTGATAATCGATTACGAATCAAAAGACGATGCTTTCCTTCGACGAAGCCCATCTCTAGTAGACTGAGAACTATCGCGAGAGACTATCTACGAAGACTTGCTTAGAAAGAGACGGACGGTGTTGGTGGTCGGTCGGCTCTGAGGGATCTATCCTTTCGGCTGCGCTTGGTTGTACCATCTGCATTCGAGATGAAGTAGATGTATATTTGACGCTCGGTGGAAGAGAGAAGGAAACAATGCGATTGCGAGATAGCTCAGGAAGTGCAGCTGTAGAGAACAACAATACGTGATGACAATCTATCTTTGTTCAGCTTGACTCCTATTGGAGGAGCCGAATGACGAAGAAACGCGGTGGGGAGCTATGTCCGATTTACGTCACACGTTCTACGTTTGGAAATGGTTGTGGCTGCTGTCACTAATGAAAACAAAGTTGGTAGCAGTGAAAGTTACTAGTGCTGCGTTCCGTTCCTCGCATCAGTAAAGCGCTGATGTAATAGTGATCCTGAGTTAATGCAATAATGATTCTGAACAATTAATTGATCCTAAAAAATTAATTAATTTAAAATTAATAATTATAATTTTCACTGCTGCCAATTTTATCCTCTTTACTGGCAGCAGCCGCAGCTATCTTCGGAGAACGGAGGAAAAATTTCCATAACCAATTTCGGAACAGGCCTCGTGTCTCAACGTAAGTTGCGCGAATGAAAAGTAAGCCGCATCCGGCACCGATTGAACGAGAAAAAAGGAAACAGAAAGATCAGCAGTGGCCGAAAACGATTCAAAACGCGCAATCACAAAGAACAGACCAGCGATTTCCTGGCGCTGCACGCTGTGCGGCGCGCGATAATCAGCGGCAATCAATTGTCACTATTGCCATCATCGCGCTACAACGGTACGCGAAACGAGGTGTGAAGAGAGAGAGAGAGAGAGAGAGAGAGGAGAGAGAGAGAGAGTGAGAGTGAGAAAAGGAAGAAAGGATAGTATTCAACGACGTCGGTCGGAGGGGTGGAGAACGGTGTGCTTCCAAAGGTGCCACACTCACACGTACGCACGCGTGTTGTGCGACACACAGTGGGCCTGCGGAGCGGAGCGGACTAGGAGGATCAACTGGAGAGTTTTCGTTATGTATCGATTTACTACGTAAATACTCTCGCCCTCGAGACAAATGGGACACACGGAATGAGAGTCTGCGGCACCGATTGCGAGACAGGTAACGAGCACCCGCGTGCGCATACGCTCGGTGCTCGGTCTGGACGGCGTACTCTCCTCTTGCTTGTAGCAGCGCGCGTTGTACAGGTTGTACAGGTTAGAGGGCATCTCGCGCACCGGAACGGTGCACAGTGAGTGGACGACGATAAATGATTCGCGCGACTGACGAATGAGGAATGACGTGAGCCCCGATGAACACTCGCGTAGATGTCCGTTTTTTCGCTCAACGCTCGCGTTGATGCAACGCGGTGCACTGACGTTGCACCGTCGTGCAAATCCGCGACGAGGAGCCTCGGTCATTCGGCAGCCACATGCTCGATCTTGACCGAGTGGTCGTTCGAGAATTGCACTCGAACGGACGGCTCGGTGCGTTTTCACGAATTTATTCGCGAAACGATGAATTACGCATGGGTGATATAATCGTGTTTCGCGTTTCGCGGCGTCAGATAATGTTGAGGCAGCGCGATATTGGGATATATCGATAGTATACAAATTTAAAGATATTACATATTGGAATCTGATAAGTTCTCAGGTATTAAAAGTTAGAGAGAACCTTGTTGTGTAATATACGCATAACTCTGCTCAGTAGGAAGACATGGATGCCAGGGTGATAGAGGTTCTGCAACAGGCAGTCAGCCAAGATCCTAATATCCTGAAATCGGCGGAGCAAACTCTGAAACAATGGGAGACTCAACAGGGGTTTTATATAGCATTATATGTAAGTATTACCTTGTTAACAATGAGACTTATTCACAAAGATAGGCTTTTATGACAATATTTTTCATGTACGTACTGCATCTATGGAACGTAACATGAGTCTATAAATTAAAAATATATTCAGATATAAGATAAATATAATAGTTTCTCTCTCTCTCTCTCTCTCTCTCTCTCTTTTCAGCTTACATAAATATAAGTATAAAATTCTTTAATACTGAAAGAGATAAGATAAGATAATCTTATTTTAAATGTGATTTTTTTAGAATGTTCTATCAAATCATTCCTTGGCTGTTGAAGTTAGATGGATGGCTATAGTGTATCTAAAAATTGGAGTTGATAAATATTGGAGGATAAATGCCCCAAAGTAAGAAATTGTTAAATAAATAAGGATTGATCTCAAGTGAAGTATTATTGACAATTTTTATTTAATATACTCCATTATTCTAGTGCAATTCGGGCTGATGAAAAAGAATTTTTACGCCAGCATTTGCTGACAAACCTGGAGGAACCTGTGAATCCATTAGCTGTACAATTAGCAATTCTTATTGCAAAGATAGGAAGGTAATACTTATGACATGGAGATACCTAACCCATTTGTACCGATACTTTTACTAAAGTAATATATTAATTATCGTTTTACATACAGGCTTGACTACCCCAGGGAATGGAGTACACTAGTACCAACTTTGTTAGAAGTTATAAGACGGGAGAGCCCTTTGGCACAACGTCAAGCGTTATTAACATTGCTTCATGTCATTAAAGCTTTAGCGTCTAAACGCCTGAGTGAATCCCAGAGGATTTTCCGTGAGGTAGCTGCGAGCATGTTCAGTTTCATCCTGACCCTGTGGAATACTTTTACGGAATCCTTCCTAATATTAGCGTCGAACGGCGCCGACGTCCGGCAAATACAAGAAGCATTGGAGAAAGCTCTGCTGTTGCTGAGAATACTCAGGCAACTGATTGTAAACGGTTTTACCAACCCTTCCGAATCTCAGGATGCCATGTTATTTTTGAAAGTTGTTTTCGAGCGTGCGAGAGCCGCTCTCGAGTGCCGTTAGTACTTTCTCTCTAAAATTTCTTTCGAGAGAGTCGCTTCGTGCGCGTGACGTACACGAGCGGTACTCTCGCTTAAAGTTTCCATGCGCCCTTAACATGTGTCGTTAACATTGCGTTCGTTTTCAGGGAAAACTTTAGCGTCTAGAGGCATACCGGTGGACATGTGCGAGAAGTTTATAATACATTTGACCAAAGTTTTAATGGGAGTACTAGAGATGCACCCGTTTTGTTACGTGGAGCTTATACCGACTTCCTTAGAATTCTCCGTTTTTTACTGCTTCACGGAGGCTGGTCAGACATTAGCATTTGAGAGATTTATTATCCAATGTCTAAATCTAGTGAAGAATATTTTAACATCGACGTACTATAGACCAGCTAAGATTGTCGAAGGTGCGTTTCTTCCTTCATGTGTATATATGTAACTCTTACGCTCGTTCAAGCGACATCAGCACGTCAGAATGTCTTCTTTTATCGAAACAGATACGAAGGACCCGATAGCGTTAAGAGCGTACCAATTAAGGCAAGAATTTTTCACACCGGACACGTTGACGGAGATTTGCTCCAGACTTGTCACGCATTATTTCCTTTTAACTCCCACGGACTTGGAATTATGGGACACCGAGCCGGAAAATTTCGGTGGGTATTAGCGTCACTGTAACACACACACACACACACACTAGCCTAAAACCGACTTGCTTACATTTATATGCACGTTATAAATGTAAACCTGATTTTCTAATTCTCGATATTGCAAATGCTTCAGTGCATATAATAATGTATAATGTTGTAATATAGTTATAATTATACCATATATATATATATATATATATATATATATATATATATATATAAACATCAGTAGTTGCAGCAAATGATTAAACCTTTATATCGTTCTTTATATCGTTCTTGTAAACGCGGACTGTAACAGATTAGAAACTGACTTATAAACGTAATTTACGTTATACATATTTTTTATGTTACTCGTACAAGTTACTACAACTATAAATCACTACCGGTGATATTACTCTAAGTCTCAAATTAAAAGTCTCTCACAGAGAATAATGCTTGTTGCAGCTATCGATGACGGTGGCGGAGAATCATGGAAGTACAGTCTCAGGGTGAGTGATTGAAGATGTAATTGAACCATAAGCTGTAAAAACCACTGTGTGAAAGGTCACGTAATTATTACATAAATGTGCTATAATTAATTATTTACGCAGGCGTGTATTATATTGCAGCCCTGCACCGAATCCGTATTTATGGCGATATTCCATAACTTTAGAGACGTTCTCTCGTCGGTTCTAGTTGACCTGATGCGACAGCATCATCAGCCTGTCGATCCCAATAATTTGCACGCAATCTTAGTGAAAGACGCAGTTTATCGTGCAGTTGGCCTGGCTGCATTCGATCTGTACGACGAGGTAAGTGGATAGTGTTGTCAAGAGTCCTGCGTAAACATTTTAATTGATCTAGCCAACATATTTTTTATGCTACAGGTGAACTTTGATCAGTGGTTTTCGACGACTCTGAAGGAGGAATTAAAGATTCGAAATAATAATTATAGAATTATCAGGAGACGTGTATGCTGGTTGATCGGACAATGGACGAGTATGACGCGAATTTTTCATTGGAAGTATAAAAAGAAAATCGCTTGCGCTTCAGATGCATATATGTGAATTTGATTTTTCGCAGGTATAAAATTAAGCGCGGAATTGAGACCGGATGTTTACATGCTAATGGTGGAGGCGCTAAGTCCCACAGAAGACTTGGGCGTTCGATTAGCCGCGAGCGACGCCTTGAAAAAGGCGATCGACGACTTCCAATTTAATCCGGAAGAATTCGCCATTTTCTTGGAACCGACATTTTCGCTGTTGTTCGCTCTCCTTAAGGAAGTGAATGAGTGTGATACAAAGGTACGTATAAAGCTTGACTTTTCGTTTCATTGGCGCATCTAAGGACGATACTCGTGTATAGTCGGGTCGCATATTTCAGATCCTCCAATTTATTCTCAGATGTTTCTCGGATCGTTATATCGCTGTGAAGCATTTGAAGATAAATTTAGGATAGTCTTAAATATGTAATATCCGATTATGTGAATACCGCCCTAAATTTATAGATGCGATTAATTATACAAGCCATCTGTAATAATCTATAATAGTTTGTAACTCTGTTTTTGTTAAACCTCCGTTAGTCGGTTAGTCGGAGGGTTAATAATATTTATGATATATTTTTTATCCATGAATGGTCGCGATGTACCTTACAGACACCCTAATTCACCAATATTTTCTTCTACTTTTTGAAACAATCTTTTCTCCATTAGCTCCACTGTTAAATAAATCAAGCACTAGAGTACATAAGAAACAATGAGGAAACAATGAAGAAAAAAAGACAAACACTAGGATAGATAAAAAACTTTGAAGCTTTGCGACAACGACGATACGTTATACTCTGAATGTGTGTCTATTGGATATTGCAACCAACAAGTTAAAATACTAATGAAATGAAACCATGAATTACCATATGCTAACTAACTATGATTGTTTTATGCCGCTCAACATTTTCATTTTTTCTCAACATATTTATATTATATATTCTAAAAGAATCTTGAACCCCTTGACCTAGAACACTAATTGAATCTCACTCATTCATTTGCGGTAAGACGCGGTAATAATACGACGCTCTCAAGAATTGTTCTGTTTTTCAGATGCATGTATTGTTCGTGCTGTCGTTTATCATTGAGCGCGTCGGCAGCAAAATTAAGCCTTACGTCGCTGCACTCAGCACGTATCTACCTGTACTTTGGCAGCAATCGGAGGTATTTAATATGTTGAGGTGCGCCATAGTATCGACCCTGATACATTTGGAGAAGGTAAATAACATGTGTATATATGCGTCTAATTGCCTAATTGCCGATTTAATATTGATCATAGACGATCGTTCCTCTAAATCTCTCTCCCAAGGCTCTAGGATCTGACAGCGTAACTTTGGAGCCGCTGGTGGTTAACGTCGTGGCTCTTAGTTGCGACGTTAACCAAGAGGGACATGTTTACCTATTAGACGATGGTTTGGAACTGTGGTTGGCTTTATTGGAGAACTCACCGGCGCCGACGCCGGGTATATTGGGCCTCTTCAGGAATATGCCGGCGTTATTAGGTTAGCAGAGCAGCAGAGCCTCTACGTCGATAATAATCATGAAGAATTCTCGCATATTGAAGGATGTTGCACAACTGACGGTTACGCTTTTCAGATCAGTCGGCGGATAACCTGCGTTTGTGTTTGTATATAATTCAAGCGTATGTACTGCTGAGCCCGCAAGACTTCTTTACGCAGTGGGGTTCGGTAGTCATCGAGATACTGAAGGAGCTTCTGAGTGACTTACGGTCGGATGGCTTAGTGATGGCGATGAAGGTATTCGAGACCTGTCTCAGAGCATCGCCCCAACAAGGCACAGAATTGATCAAGCCTGTTTTACCGAAGATATTTGAGTAAGTAAACTTTCTTCACGGCGGGAAAGCAGATTGTTGCACACGCGCGGAGACACTTGGTACACTTGATGCGATATGTTTCCAGAACCGTTTACATCGGCGAGGAATATCCGATGGTCATGACCATGTATCTGTCCATTGTCGCGAGAGTTTTGCTAGTTTCTCGAGATATTTTTGTACAGGTAAGAAAAGTAACGCGCATCAGCTCTGGGTTCTGTGTCTGTTCTGTATTGTCTTTTAACGGCAATGTCGTTGAAAGCTGTTGCAGGACAGCCACAAGTTTCGTGCCGTAGTTTAAAGCATAATGGCCTCAAGATGTGAAACTATACTCTCTCAGAGCACATTATATACTGATATATTGTTTGTATTAGTCTTAACATGTGATATAATTGGTCCCTATTTCCTTGAATAATCAATGAAAGGTTAGATAATGTATGTGTTTGTTCATATGGTTAGAAAGTTCTAATAATCTACTAGCTACATTGTGTTAAGACTATTCTAATTTGTGTATTCTGATGTGTATCTTTCTTAGTATATCTTTCTCTTATGTATCTTATGGAAAATTCTAAAGCATCGCGATTTCATGTGTCAAGGCTACTTTGTCAGTCTGTGTATTTGATATTGTTTGTATTTGTTGGTGAAATCCGCTCTCGGGATGAAAAATAATCTCTCTCTCTCTCTCTCCTTCTCTCTCTCTCTCTCTCTCTCTCTTTCCCCCTCTCTCTCTCCCTCTCTCTCTCTCCCTCTCTCTCTCTCTCTCTCTCTCTCTCTCTCTCTCTCTCTCTCTCTCTCTCTCTCTCTCTCTCTCTCTCTCTCTCTCTCTCTCTCTCTCTCTCGCAGGTGATCAGCGATTTAGCGCGTAGTAAAGGAAACGATACGAGGGAGGAGGTTGTGTTTGGCAAGATTTTACACGTGTGGCTATGCGGCATGGCCTTGGTGTCGCAGCATGAAAGGAGTAAATTATTAGCCCTCGCACTTTGCTCCCTCCTAGGAGCAAATTGCCCTCCCACGGTCCTCGAGCACTTTCCACATATAATGGCGATGATCGTTGAGGCGCTCCACGACATTACCAAGGTTGACGATATGGGCTATGCTTTCGAGTAAGATCCGAAACGTCTTCTGTTTTACACGCTTGTTCGTCCCGAGATTGAAAGTTGCGTTGAAATCGAAAATTGTACTTGTTGATAGTTCCTTGTTGATTGGTGATCAACCCAGTCCGTCGCAATACGAGGAAGTGGATTATGAAACCGAGCACGCTCAGCGGCAAAAGAAACTCGCCTTCACCGACCCTGTACACAATGTATCCTTGAAAGACACGGTGCAGCAACAGGTGAGAAAATCTGTCGCGAGTTCTCGCGAAATAGTTTACTCTTGCTCGAAAATTGAAAACGAATTCTCGACATTGCCAGTTGGTCGCGTTGCGAAGAATGGTCGGTGACAATCAGTTCGATCAATTGATGCTTACACTTAGTCCCGACATTGAGGAACAACTCAAGGACTTTATATCCCTGTGAGGAAGAAGTAAGATCAAAACACAGAATTAGGACATGTCGGACAAATGCTATATGAAATGTAAACGTATGAAAGAAGCTTTACAGCGCTCCATTGTAAAACGGCACTATTTTATTGTATGATACTACCACCTGTTTCACTGTATTAATAATGTTGATAATAAAAGGTACCGCAACGCCATTCGACAATTCCTTTCTCAAATGATCTCGCTTTATTATCACTTTAGTATCACTTCTCTGATTTTATTTCCGTCATTACAAGCTTGTTTTTCAAGCGATACGAAGAACCTGCTATATCAGAGAAAAGAAAGAGAGGGTGTGTATAATTTTTAAAGATTAAATTGTCATTTATAAAATCATATATTTGGTTAAAAAAGTCAGCTAATTTTTTGGTTAGCAGATTAAAAAGGCTCCTGGGATTGGTGAGATTCGCTAATCATCAGATCAGCTAAAATTGATTATGCTCCTCAAAATATCAAGTCACTGCGCCTTATTATGAGTCGTTGCCCTATATATCTCATAACATAAATAATAAAACACATTAATAATAAATAATGTTCTTGTTATTTTCTTTCTACTTTTCCCTTTTTATCGTACGAGAATTTTCTTACTCGATATTTTTCGATTGCCTCAATCTCTGTGCACCAAAGAAGTCAGAGATCCGTATATTATCCGTATATATAAATAAATAAAAAAACATACCTTAAAGTGTCTACACGTGCGTTACCAAGTATCAATTGCAAGAAAAAAATTTTATACGAAACCGTCGCAAGTCGACGTCTCGCCACTCGATCGATCGACGTATCGACATCCGATATCGTGTCTCGATGCTCCTTCCTGCGACCAATCGCGGCCAAGTCGCTCTCTCCGTTGGTCCTCGGCCTCTCGGCGACGCTCGCGCAGTCTGGCGGCCATGAGAAGCCGTAGTGTCAGCGGGCGGCGGCAGCGGCGGCGGCGGCGGCGGCGGCAGCGGCGGCGGCGGCGGCGGTGGCGGCGGTGGCGGTGACGGCGGCGGCGGCGAACAGCTGTGTCGGCAGTGTGCGTCTGTGTGGCAGAGCTTGGCATAGGGGGTTAGCCGAGTTCCGCTCCGGTTTGCGGTGCGCGTCCCAACGGCGTCCAGCAAGGCCGATTTGACCACGGTGAGTGAGACTGACATAGTTCCACGTAGCCGTCGAGGACGACGCGTTCGGGCGCGCCTCTCGCGCGACGATTACGTGTGTCAGCATACTCGCGACGCTACGCCGACATTAGCGTCCGTCGCGCGAGGAGCGCGCTCGATCGATTCGTCGCCGAACTCGGGTCGCGAACACTGTCGCGGGCACCAGCCTCCTCTCTCTCTCTCTCTCTCTCTCTCTCTCTCTCTCTCTCTCTCTCTCTCTCTCTCTCTCTCTCTCTCTCTCTCTCTCTCTCTCTCTCTCTCTCTCTCTCTCTCTCTCTCCCCCCCTCCCTCCCTCCCCCCCCCTCTCCCCCCCTCTCCCCTCCCTCCCTCCCCTCCCCCTCTCTCCCCTCCTCCTCCCCCTCTCTCTTTCTTTCTCTCTCTCTCTCGCCTCTCGGCCACTCGCTCGCCTCGATCGAAAACACCTGTCGGTGTTTTCGGGGCCATCGCGCGCCGCAGTATCGCCGGCGCGGCGCGATAACACTCGTGTTTTCGCCTGGCGTCGCCTCGGGTGATTATCGCGCTTAGCGGTAGGTCCGGTCGCTTAGCCTCGCGTTGCCTCGCGCGTCTCCCGTCTCCCCCTCCAGCTGCGATTGCAGCCCGGCGGATTTTTGAATGATCGTGCACGAGCGTAGGCGTAGTACCACGTGACCGATCGTAGTACCCGCAGTCGGGGTCCGGCCTCCTTCTGGGAAAACCATTGATGATTTTTTTCCTCGGCGGCGCGCGGTGACACGGCCGGTAGCGAGAATTCACCAGAGTCAGCGATTTCCCCTTCTCCTCCTCTTCCTCGAGATCGCAGATTCGCTCACGGAGCCGTGCTCTAGAGTCCTTCTGATCCTCAGACTCAGAGCACGTTGTGTGCTCTCTCGTGGACGGAAATATGTTCGCAATTTTCGCGTGAGTTTCGAAATCCGCCCGGTCCAGCGGGAGCAATCCTTCAGTCGGGTAGGACGGCAGGACATTGGGCAAGAAATATTGCTGACCGCGACGCTCGAACGAGCGAGACGGAACTCGCTCGTTGTCGAACTTGGTGTCCGAAACGAGGTCGCTTGCCGTGAAACTCGTGTATTCCAGAAATTTAATGAACCGCACGCATGCATATTTTATATGGCGAAAGAGAGAGATAGAGAGAGAGAGAGAGAGAGAGAGAGGGGGGGGAGGGGAGGGAGAGAGAGGAAAGAGAGAATCGATGCCGCCAGCGACGCGGCGGAAAAACGCTCCGGCGTTTGAGATCCCTCGCGTGCGCGCCTCTTTTTATTGCGACCGCCGCTGCATCTGCTTTGACCTCCGACTTTTACCGCGTGTCACGTCGTTGCATTCGCGTTTCACGGCCGCGAATTGCGCATCCCGTCTGTTCATGCTGTGGGGGATAGCTCTCGATGGGTTTAAACTCGCCCGCGGCCGTGGCGACGACACCATCGGGGAGGAGGGAGGGATACATCATTGTTAGTGCTGTGATGAAATGTAATAATAAATCGCGAGTTACCTGGATTGGCGCGCGCGCGCGAGAGAGAAAGAGAGAGAGAGAGAGAGAGAGAGAGAGAGAGAGAGAGAGAGAGAGAGGGAGAGAGAGAGAGAGAGGGGGGGGAGAGGGAGAGGGAGAGGGAGGGGGAGAGAGAGAGAGAGAGAGAGAGAGAGAGAGGAGAGAGAGAGAGAGAGAGAGAGAGAGAGAGAGAGAGAGAGAGAGATATCGTACTACGCGACGGGTCGCCAATGTCGCGTCGCATTGATCAGCAGCGCGCCCGGTAACGCAGCGGAGTAACGTAACGGCACTCTGATGTGACGGGGATTAGAACGACGGTATATTATAGCGCTAATCCTCGGGAAGCATGCGTCGGGATTGATAAATGTGTAACGACGGAAAATTGCGAGCGACGGGGAGGTCTCGCGTCGCCCTTCGACGCGGCGACGTCGGAAGTCGTTGCGATGGAGTCCGCGCCGCGGGGCTTTCCTGCGTCCCGGTGTTTCTCTATGCGACGAATGACGGACAAAATAACTACCCGGCGAGGAAAGAGGAAATAATATCAAGTAAAAAACGCCCGCGCGCCGAAATAGAATGCGGGACCGCGCCGCGCCGCGATCCGGTGTGTGTGTACGTATAATCCGGCGCGATGAAATTTTGGTATTAATTAACATCTGGACGAACGACAGCGGACTCGCGCGCGCGCACGACCAGAAGCGACCAGAGCGGCCAGAAATTCGCGCGTAACTCGATTTCGCGGCAGTTTGCCGGGAATTTACGCTGTACGCCGTTGTGACGCGCGCGATACGCGCGGCTGCTTTTCGCCTTATTGTTATTATTGTTCCAACGGGAAATTCTGCATATACTCGCGCTTGGATTTTCCTCGATCCTCATATCAAGATCATGGACGTGTCCTTCGCTGGAAGATAATGATCCGATAAAATTTCATAACACACCTGCTCCCTTTTTTCCTCCCCCCCCTTTACACACACACACACATATACACGTACGAGACACGGAAAGCAAACAATTCGCGACGATCGTTGCAAGTTCGCTATTCATGAAAATAAGGTGGTGACGTATGCGAGATAGCTTCCGGGAACGTCGGGAGTAGGGATGGGCGCGATTTCATCGATCAATCGAAAGAACCGATAGTTTATCGATTCAATTAATCGATGTTTTCACATGATTTTATTTTTACTTAAACGATATTTAATGATCTTTTGTCAACATCTCGCGACCGATTTTTATTTTTTCTTTTAAATAGAGGATTTTTGTAATACCGTCTTTCAGACACGGTATGAATGAAATTCAAGAACGTTAAGTCCGGATCTACGACAGATATAGTAAGCTTTAGGTCTTATGAAAGTGGCCAACCGCAGTCAATTATTCTTGTAAAAGTAGGGAAGTTGGGATTGGTTAATTTCTTAAGGTTTAAAGTTTATTACATCCATCGTACAGTCATAGACATGGGTAGGTCCATTTGTCCGGTTTTTATCGATAAGTTTCGAGAAACGTTGCCGAAATGGTCCGATGAGAGCACTTATCTTCCGAAAATTAGTTCTCTTATCATCATGGAAAATACATCAAATGAGATACCGAGTTAAAAAAAGTCTTGCACACTGACGAACCATCGGCGAAGCGATATCCAAGTGAGAGTGTTCTGTTTTAAAGAAGAAATGAAAGCTCTTTCTTCTTCGACACGAGAACAGAACTCCCATTAGATATCGTGCTCATAGCATCCAATCGCTATATTGCAGTCGCATCCAATGTGCAAGATCCTCTAGGAGGATTTCTGGTAATACTGAGAATACTGCGGCGGGTGTCATTCTATCCTTGTTTCACATTCAGTGAAGAAAAAAGAGGATTGAATAAGGCCGGCTACATCTGTTGTGAATTTAAGAACGCATCCAACATGTAAGCAAGGAGAGCATCCGAACGCAGCTCTCTAGCACTGTTTAATCCGGTGCTGATCAGTTTAAATTTAATTTACTTAGCAAATTTAATCGATTAATCGGTAAATCGACCTTTGTTTTAGAAAATAATTCCATGTCACTTCAATGTTCCTTTTATTAATCGACATTTTAAACATCGATCGTATTTTCGAACATCGGCCATTTCTAGTCGGGAGGTAGCGATTGCATCGATCTCGAACGCTGAACGCGCGATAAGTTCGATATCAGGGATCAGGCGCGATTATCGGCGATTATCGCGCGAGAAATGTGTAGCGTGCAGCGTGTGTAAGTTTAGTCACTGCGCGCGCGCGCGCGCGACTAAAAATAAGCGCGACTTGATTAAAATTCGATGTACACTTATCGCGCTTAATTCGTGGGTGGGTGGGTGACTCCGTGCGACAATTGCTTGCGACTTTGTCTACTTTGTTCGCTGCTTGCTCGCGCTCCCGTGCGCTGCACGCGCAATTATCAATTGTCAGCGGGCAAAAGAGCTTGTGGTCAGTCACAAACTGTGCGTGGCACGGCGTGCGAGGCGGGCTAATTAGATTCGACCCGGCGAATGCGAGCGAAGACTTTGTTGAGATTCAGCGCGCAGGAATCGCGCGAGCGACTATTTGCTCGCGTCC